TCCCTAATTTGATGTATTCGACCCAGTCTCCTCGCTCGCATCCAATCAAATGGGCTGCACACGCTTAAATCGGGTGTTTGTTACACAGAAAGATCCAATCCTTAATCAAACTCTAATAATTCCCTCGTTTAACTTCCTTTGTCGATAGATTAACAACCACATACGAAAAACGCAGACGGCAAAAGTTACTTCTGAATTGGTTACTTCTCTTAAAGACAATTTCGTTTGCTTTTTTTCTAACCTTTCTAAAGATCCCCAACAGAAAAATCTCCTTTTGACCGTCAAAGCCAATACGACTCTCACAAACCACTGAAAAACATTCTCAAACATTCACCCCTGTCATTTCTAAAAGTGTGTCCTGCTGATTCATATGATTGTAGGAGGAAGTTAAATGTTGAATAATAACTAACAGTAGTAAGTAGGAAGTAAATAATAGATATTTGGGTTTGAAAACTTAGAAAAAATAAATAGACAAAATTCTCTATTTAAATTTCGTAAAACAGCGCTGATGAACCTTTTTGACTTAAAAAACATTTCTTTAAGGAGAGTGGTTGCTGTAGGGGGTTCTATAATTCCCCCGTTAGACAGGTCATGCGGTAGGCGCTGATATTGCTTTAAAAAATAAAGGCAATAATTTCTTACCGCAGCATTTAATTATATGTGTTTTTTAATGATTGATATAGTTCTGTTCAGCGATAACATTTCCGGCAGGTGTTTATTTACAGTACTAAATGGGTTCGCTCCTTGTTTTGATGTGATTGAAGGTTGGTTTTACATTCCTCTCACGTAGCTGTAAGTAGTGTCGAGGCTTTTCTTCGAGGATGGGAAGGGGAGGCTCTATAAGTGACCTGAGATAAAGCCAAAACTTAATAAATGACGTGTGATCGAGTTTTACAGGGAGGCAAAGTACGTTGAGGTTTGAAGTTTTCCCTTTTAAATTCGTGACGCGTGAAATGCTGTTTAAAGTTCATATGAAAAGTTGAAAAGTGAATTTTTCAAAAAAACTTATGCGTCCTCTCTGTTAAAGAATTTAAGTTTAGTCGATTGACGCACATAGAGATTGAGTTAAAAGGCATTATCGTGGTGAGTGATAAAAGCCGAGACTTATGCATGTGATTCCGAGATCTCAGTGTGGAAAATCGAAACTGAAACTATTTGTGTGCCAGAATATCTTGGCTCACAACATTAACTCTTACCTACTCTTGCAATTTTTGAGCAAGAACATCGGTATTGATGACAAAACGTCCTAGTAGTGAAAGAAATGTCAGGTTTTGAAGCTCAGAACAAAGGCTAATAAGATTCCAAGATCGAAAGCGCATAATTTTTCAAAGTACCGCATTTGCATCTGTAGCTCCTAGCTATAAAGATAAATTCTTTGTCAAATTTCCCGTTCGTTGACTGATAATTTTTTTACTTGTTTGCCACCCGTGCGCGATTGCAATTTACACAACAACACAAGTGATTGTCAAAGAAAGGATGAATTCGTTCTAAACATATGCAACTCTAGGGCAAAATTATCTTGTCTAAGGTTATGCATAAAAGTCATAAAAGTTACTTTGGATTTTATTTTTATCCAAGCATAAACTCACAGAAACTTGCGTGAGATGTTTTGTTCAGGCTATGTATGTGTGAATTTGTTTTACTCCCCAAGATTTAAATCTTATAATCTCTTAGAAATTTTTCCACCTGATAGAATTTTCGACTTCCTGTTTATATGTGAACGGTCAGAGCTTAGTACTTAATTCGTATGACATGAAGCAATACCATATGAGGTACAACAATTGAGGGTGAAGAATGGTTGTGTTTATCATATTGATGGCTTGTGACCGAGTCTAATTTTCTTCTTAAAATTGATTGACGTTTGATAAAGAATTCATTTGTCACGTCATAAGTGGATTGAATTTTAAAGAGCTTACATCTCTATTTAAGAAATGCAATTTTAACCCTATTGACACAGAAAACTTTCCTTTGGGTTCAAAACAATGACTAATTTCACTGAACTTCACCATCATTTCATCAACCAAACAAAATGTCCTCCCGCTGTCTCTGGGACATTTACAGCATTTCTTTTGATTGCCAGCGTATTTTCCTTAGCGGGAAATCTTCTCGTGATCATAGCCTTCATAAAAACTCCGACACTAAAATCAAGAACAAATTACTACATTGTCAACACGGCAGTTTCCGACTTGGTGTCCGTTTTCTTCACCTGGCCGCTCTTTGCTACCGAAGGGATGCTAAAAGCAGATGGAAGTCTCATTACAGACATTGAAGTCTCCGTATTTTTTTGCAAGCTTGGGATTTATTCACGCGCCGTTTCGTATGTGGTTTCAGTTGCAAGCCTGGTGCTGATTGCCGTGGACAGATTCACTGCAATTGCCTTTCCACTGAAAGCTGTCGACATTACCAGAAGGATTCGAGCCTTTTTCCTCCCTTTAAGTTGGGGGGTTCCTTTGTTGGTTCAAATTCCCTTTTTTATTTACAGTAAAATTGTCAAAACAGAACGGTACACTTTTTGTAGAACCGTTGCGAAGAGCTCGATGCTGCAAATCTACAGTTTGGTTGGTTTTTGCCTGGTTTATTGTATGCCGTTAACTGTAATATTTGTTCTCTATCCTCTTATTGTAAGACGCCTAAAGAAGCAGGCACAGTTTAATATAAGCCATAACAGACAAAGAATTCTCCAGTTAAAGATCAAAAGGATTCGACAAAATCAAAACATAGTGAAGATGTTTAAATCAATAGTGTTTGGTTTTTTTATTTGTTGGACGCCCATGTACGTCTACATGTTCCTAAAATCTCTTTATCCGTCAATATTCGACAAAGATAGATGTCTCGTAATGGTGGGTTTATTCTATTATTTCTGCCCATTGCTTAGTACAGCAGTAAATCCCTTCATTCTTCTTGCGTTCAGTTCTCATTTCCGTGCCGCTGCGAGGAATTTATGCACGTTCAGTTTGTTTCGGAAACTCTCATTTTGCTTTCCTCTAATACGTGTTTCACCGAAGGAAAACATCGCACTTCCTGCTCTGAAATGATGTTATCATAGCTATTTCATTAGTAAAGCAAGGCCAGATATTTGTACTGAGTCATCTCATAAATGTAAATCAACCAATTTATTTGTAAAAGAGCTTTATTTCTCATGTAAATTAGGTGATGAATTAAATATTCTCAGATCGTGAATCTATCTCATAATGTTCCTAAACTGGCGAACGCGCAGATATTGGCAGATGCTTTTGGCTCATCCGCTACGTTCCTTCAACCAGATGGTACTTACGGAACCCGAAGATACACAACATCTACAACTACAGTTATTGTGGGCCAAGCATCAGTTGTTTAGCACTCATCAACTACCTAAATTGCTTTCATGACGTTTTGAAAACATAAGAGGCCTCTTATCAAAACAAAGTTTAACCGTTGTTTAACAAAACCGCCTCCTAAACTGTCCTGGGTTTAGCTGAACCTTTTATCTGAACATTCATATTTGCGAACAATTTCAAGAGGGCCAGCGGCTAGCAGTATAAGGACGCTCATTTATTGAGAACAAACCCCCTTATAGAGAATACACAAGGCCCACTGCTTGCGTAAAACTGCGGTTTGGATTAGACCTCGCGTAAATAACAGGTCCAATATATTTACTTAAGGCAAGAAAAGAAATAAGATCACCCAATGCCAATTCCTCTGGAGATTCACAAAGAGTAATCTCCTAACTTTCCATACAAAATTCTTCCTTTTCTTAAATTAGTTCATTTTGCATAAGAATAATCTTTATTTCTAGTCTTGAGTAAACAGCGTTCAGTATGTCACGTTCTTACCATTAAAAAGAAACATGCTGTTTGGATTTGATCTAATGGGTTTATTTAGTGCATAGTCATCAAAGCACGTTTGTAGACTATTTTTATCGACGTTAAACAGGAAAGCAACTATCAGGCAGCCGCACGGAAATACTAGGAGATGGATTTATCGTATTTCCCAGAGCCTCATTTATACGCGCCTTAAAAGGAAAGTTTTAGAAACAAAATTGCAGCCAACAAAGCTTCTTAGAGCAAACCAAGTTTTGATGCGATTCCACTTCGCTGTTTAGCTATTAAATTCATTAAAGGGGGTAAGTTTCTAAAGAAATTGGGGTGCTGCGTCGGTGGGAGAGTACAAGGTAATTTAGTATTATCAACTGAGTCGATAGCGTAAATTGGCTGACGCTCCAAACGTCAGCTTTCAAACTCTTTGCATTGGCCAATTTACATTATCGACTCAGTTGATAATACCAAATTACCCTGTTTATTAATTGATTCATTTCTTCGTGCGATTTCATTTTTGTAGTTAAAGTAAAAATGGAATGGATGTGGATATAACATAGTGTCTTTATTTAGAATATTCAACAATTATTCACCGAAGTTAAAGTGATGAATATTTAACGAGCTGCGAAGCAGCGAGTTAAATATCCATTACGTTCACCGACACCGAGATGAAGGATTGTTTTATTGTATGTGCTACTGCCAAAAAAAAAATTGTTAATTTCTGTCAATATACCGAAAAATAGTCGGAAAGTAAACACTTGACGCGCGATTTTGTCTCTTCTGCTGTTCAGAGGTGAATAGTACTACTCAGGAGAGGATGTACTTGCTAATCACTTCCAAACCAGTCAATTAACGGGCGCAAAAAGTATTCTTCACCGCTGAGGTCTATAATAAATGTGAAAACGAATCTACTCGATAGAACAAAAAAATTTTACACATTTAGGAATAAGATTTAAAAAATTTACGGAATACTCAATAAACAAATTAGCTCTTAGCATGAAAAAAGTAATTCTGCGCAGGAGCCAAGTGGCCGACAAGACTTTTCCGGTCTACGTAGCACGGAATGAGTAGGAGTGCTACTCTTCCCCCTGGAACAGACCCGAAAGGGAAACGTAACAAGGAAACTCCGTTAGGGCATTGACTAGAACAATAGCGGAAGGTGATTTAAGGCACGGTAGTTGACTATATAAGAACAATCCAAACATTGCGTTTAGTATTTTTATTTATTTCTATTATTCTGCCTGCATGAATACATGAATAAACATAACCCAAAAGTAAAATTTGAACCTGATTGTAAATTAGCATCGTGTTGATCGATATCGTCTATTTGTCGCCATGGTAACAGTGTAACACTCACATCCGAAGGAATTACTCCCCTCCAGCCAAATCAAAGCATCTCTTCATGCGGACGAAGCAGCACAACTCGCCAGCACAGCTAACGGAAGCCTTCCTGCACATTTCAAGCAGCACAAAGCAACCTCTCTGTTGGAGATATGTAAATTACGTTATTCTAAATAGTTTACTCTTTTAAGAGAACCAATGACAAAGAAATGTATTGTAATGATAAATTTCTAGGGCGCTCTCTCCATTGGCTCGTGATTGGTTTTAGTTTTGCAACTGATTGATTGAGAGAGTAGCGCACGTTTCCTGAACCAAGGTAAAGGCGAAACATGGAAAAAAATCTCAAGAGTTATGTTTTACTAAAAAAATTCAAAACGTTACCAGCAACCGAAAAATCATGATTCAGTGCTTCACTTCGTTCAGGAATTGTTAAACAATGAGGATCTCAGGTTTCCTCGAAAAGACCATGGTCAATTATCGTAATCGTCAACGTTATCACCATCGCTATCGACATCGTCATTATCGTCGTCGTTGTCATCATTATCATCATCATTGTTATTATTACCATTGTCATCAGTATCGTCATCGTTGTCATTATTACCATTATTATCAGTATCGTCATTGTTGTCATTATTGCCATCGTCATCAGTATCATCATCTTCATCATAACCACCATCATTAACATTTATCGTCATCGTCATCGTTATTGTCTTCGTCATGGTCATCCCTATCATTACAGTTATTGATGTTATCACGGTTGTAATGACAGCTATGATGATGGTGATGATTCACATTATGACCTCGATTGCAATTCGTGACATGTGCGTAGAGTGAGTCAGGCACTCACCACCAAAGGAGGAATTGAAGGAAGAGGGGATGGTAGTTTTTCCTTTGCGCATCCGAAAAAGTTATCCAGACATTTAAGCATTTTACACCTGTCCTCCCCTGCTCTCCTCCAGCATCTGATTTTTCTTTTAATACAACGTTTCTATTAAAAAAAAAAAAAATGAACATGATATCGATTATGATCAGAAAATGGAAAAAGAACCTATAATCTTTTAAAATTCTAATAAAGGGAGAAATGAATCGAGGTTGCAGACGTATGAAAATTGATTATATTTAGAATAAACGCTCAAATGTGCTCTCCTTGACAATCGCAGACGACTTGTTTCAGTTAAAGATAAAAATGCAAGAGGTAATTTTGGTTATATTCAGTGGCCCTAGAATATTAGTCAATAAAATATGTTCTAAAATATTTTTCAGGCAGATTACCGCCCCGTTAGCTTGTTAAGGGTGTTTCTTTCCCCTTTTCTTTTCCTTAAGGACCACATTTACCATTTAACAACACAAAATGAATACGTTTTACTACTACAGAAAATAGTAGTTACTTAAGAAATAGATAGCACTTTCTATCGGTATTAGGAGAATACGAGAAAAGTTTGTAGATTACTCACCTCCTCCTCCGATAGGAAGTGCGATCAATTACTTTTTATAACATAGACTAAAAATGTTTCAATTTTGCATGGGTTTACCGTCGCAATAAACGATAGGTTTCTAACCAATCGGGGCGCTGGTAATAATTCAGTTATTACATCTAACAAACTGGTTGGTGTCTTCACTTACCAAGAAATCTGGTGGCTCTTCGTGATCATTGGTAATTAGAGTTGTTTCTGGTAATCCATTGTCTCTCACAGCCTCGGCCATTTTAAGGTCCTGTTGCTCAGTTATGAAATTATACGAAGCCCTGTAAATTGCCACTTCATTGGAGAACACGTGCACCGCGAAAGCTGCCAGAAGCAATAACGCAGTGAAAGACTTCATGGCGACGAAATGTTATCAAGAGTGCTGTGTCGAGGCAACAAACATGCCTTGATATAGTCTCGGAAAAATCTCATTTAATTTTAAACTCTGCATACAGAAACAAAAGTTGATGCCAAGATATTAGCAATGTGTTTGGACAGCTTCCGTTGCTGAGTGCTCGCTGAGATTAACTTCACTGTCAAGCGGCTCTAAATTTGCACAGATGCTAACGAACGAACACGGAAACCTATCTCATTCTAAAGGTAAGATTCCCGCCCAGTTGGAGAAGTGTTTAATTGTGTTATCGCTGTCTCCGTCACGGAAGCAAAATTTGTTTTAACCATCAAGCGCAGGGAGGAATAACCTCAGTCCCTTATGGAGATTCGGACGACATACTTTCCGATTTTTGTGCGGTCCACTGAGATACAAAGAATTTGTTGAAAAGCTATATCGTCTATTTGGTTCGCTTTCACTATAGACTGAACATAATTTAATATTCGCAGTCCAAATTAAAATTATACATTTTTACTTTTTATATTATTTTAACTATAAAAATTTCACAATTATTAAAAGTATTTTTTTATTGGGGAGGGGAACACAAAAAAAGTCTTAAAGTTTACAAATATTTGACATATGAGATTAAAAGTTTGTCTTTCTTTAACATGAAACCGTAAGGGGTACTTAACTTTCAGACGAAAAAAATACTTAGTTAAAAATATAAGATAACTTGGTTTAATTAACCCAACGAAACCTTTGTTATTCAGATAAAGAGCAGCAAAGCAAATTGCTTTTTCATGTTTGCCAATCAGTGTAGGGATACAATAAGCAAAAGATAATTAAAATTTAAAACTCATCTGCATGAGCACAAGTACTTAAGTCAAGATTGGTGTAACTTCTGCATCAAATTACGTAAGAGAGTAAAACCAAAGAAGTTCAGGATACTTTTGAAACTATACTGCCAATTGCCCCCACATTTGTCAAGTGACCTATTCATGGTATTTCTTGCACCAGATGCATATTGAACACTTAATTGCAAATATGGAAACAGAACACAAGCAGGAGATACTACACTTCTAGTTCGTAATATATTTGTAAAAACAAATAATTTGGTTTCAAATATTTATTACAAAAGATGCTAAACAATGCTATTTACATTTGAACTAACTGCTTCAAATTGATATACTTTTCCATAACCACCTAAGGCATATGTCTCTAACACTGACTAAAAAACCAAAGCAAGCTTTACGATAAGTTTCCCATTCTGAAAACGCGAAAATATTCAATTTCAACCTTTTACGGACACTATCTGGAGAAAGAAATTCTTATGCATTGTTTTGACATTAATAATCCTTTTGAATCTGGGTCGATTGCTGTAATTTCCCAATAAGTTAACTTTAATAACTTCCGTCGTCATCGTCATCAAAGTAGTCGACTTTTCTTGCTCGGTATGCGTCTTTGAATTGTTCATCAAACAACTCAAGATCTTCCTCGTCACGTAATACACCCTGATGAATAAAAATGAGATAAAGTATATGTAAAAATTTACCACTCACCGCGTTTAGAGTTTCGAAAGAGTTATATAACCATTAAAAAATTATCTTCATATGAGCTACGAATTCGACTATGAACGCCAAAATCAGTTTATCCCCACAAACTGCTGCTCTGTTTATCACTACCACCTTATTCAGTTTGAGCAAGAATGTTTTGTGTTTAGTTTCCAGTTGTTCAAACAGATGGTTACGAGGTGAAGAAAAGAGTGAGACTCTGACCGTAGCGTCCCAGATAAGCGACTTGCTAGACAAAATTCAAAATGGCGTCGTTCGTGGTCGGATTTATAACTCATTTAAAAGCAATTTTCGTTAGGTTTCTCTTTGGGATCTCAAAACGCAGTACTTTCGACAAGCGGAGACACAAAGCAATACTTTTTCTGGACCATACTTTTCCTTTGAAAAAATTGCTTGAATGGTAGAAAAGCACCGAAACGAAGAGAGCAATCCACATACATTGTAGAGACGGGAAGGCTAAGGATAGAGAATGATGGATTGAGTATTTCGAAATTTTTGGCTGAGAAGCCTTTTTCAGGCTTTTTACTGAGTTTTTCAAACATGAAAGGAACTAAACCTAAGCAATCAGCCACGTTCGAAGTGTCATCTGGAAGGACGAATTGCGCGACAAGTATACAACGTAATGTAATACAAATACTACTATTGTGCTACATAAAAATCAATAACAGTCAAAAGACACCATAACAACAGAACACAAGAGGTATAGGAAATATCCACCTTAGGTAAGAAACCAAGAAGTTTGGACGCGTGTTCTTGCAGCATCCTCTGTCTTTCTCTTTCAATAATTTGCCTCCTGTATTCCTCCATTCTTTCTTGTTCACGACGAGCCTCCAGTTCTGCTTCCTGATAAAAAGGAAAAAGAAATTATTTTCGTAAATGAAACAATCATCAACAAAAAAAAGGGGACATTACACGGCCGCGCGGAGATACAAAGCTTCGAGTGTTGAAAATTGTTTAAAATAATGGCCTTTAGAATTTTTGATTTCGGAAAAAACCCAGCCATAAGCAAAATAATTTTTTTATATTTTTATATGTAACCATAGCAACAGTGATCTTTTCACGAGAGAAGATAACATGTGACCTTCACGTGTGAAGAAACATGTTTTCGCGCGAAAGCTCACTTGGTATTTCATTGGTGTATAATAAGACAACATATCTGCTGCACTTAGAAGAAACGTGTCGTCTAACCCTTTCCCTCTGGAACTGAATTCTCCTGTCCTCAATCAATTTTTCTACTGCTTTCTTGTGTTCCAGTTGCTTCATTCGTCTCTTCTGAGCGTTCATTTGTTCAATTCGGTCATCTTCTGCGAATTTCTCGAGCATCTAAAAGAGAAACATTTTTAGTGTCAGCAAACAATGGTGGAATGAGCACGATTCCTCTCAGGAAATCAGTGGAGTAAAACGCATCGAAGCGAAAGCAACACTTCGTGTAGAATACCTTTCTTCTGAATTCTTCTTCTTCTTCCATCTCTGCTTGTCGCTTCATCTCCTTAAACTCAAGTTGCTGTCTACGCGTGCTCTGCAAGTCCAACCGCTGGCGAAGCCTGTTTTCGATCGCCATCTAAATAAGGATAGAAGCAAAACGAAGAGTCTCAATAAATGCGCCTTCATGATAAGATGCGCATGGGAAATTAAGAGCATTTCTTTTTAGATTTGTTATCTTGGTGTTTTCCTTTCATTTAACATAATGAAATAATCCTTTAGTAGATTGGCCAGTAATCATTTGGCTCTAATTTTTGTTATTCACATAAATTTTCAGGATTACAATATTTTTTTCACTTCACTCGTTCCAAAACAGACATCTTTACACTTTCCTTTCTATACAGTTAAAGTTCCAAAGTTTAGTCACTGAGGATGAAGGAGATGCAGTGTATCACAACAAAATTAAGAAGACTAAGAAAAGCCTTTACCTTTTCCTTCTGTCTCTCCATTTCCTCTTGTTCCTCGAGATACAGCTCTGTTCGAATTCTGAATGGAAAAAGGAAAAATAAAGAGATTGATGACACCTTATAATTAACAGTTCCATTGAAATCAAATATGCAGTTGCACAATCTTTAATCCATCATTCCGTTAGTTCGTTTGTCCAAGCGTCAATTGATTATCTGTTCGATTTTTCTTTTCTGTACCTTTCCATTTCTTCCCTAGCCTCGGTTTCTTCTTGGATTTGTTTTGTAAGCTGAAAGGAAATACGTACATTAAAAAAACAAAGTTTAAACTTAATTTTTTCTTCCTCTGCACATTAAATTGCACTTAACACAACAATTAGCTATAAACCATTCCCTTTAGACAACAAAGAGAGCGAAAACCACCATTTGCGTTTAGTTTGGGTCTCTCGTTCTATGTTAAAACTGTACTGATTATTCTTCAAGCCAGAAAACAAAATTTAACAACTCAACAACGCTCTGACCAGCACGCTTCTCTCTAATGAGCCCCCTCTACCAGCCTATCCTTAAAACAATCAGTTAGCGTAAAATACACGGTACACATTTGAGCTGGGTAGCGTTGCAGGTCAAAATATTCTAGCAGTTTAAAACCTGTCGTAGTTTCTGTAGATAACATAACATAACATAACCAAAGAAAAGCAAAGCACGCATGGCGGGAGTTCAGAGTAAAAACAAAAAAACAAACTCAAACTGCGGCCCTCGATGAGTTCTTATTAAGTCTCTCCCTCTCTTGGAAGTGTCCTTCTACTGGAAGTGTCCTTCTCCAGTATATTCACCTCCCCTACCGGAAAGCCCTGAGAACTAATGAGCCCTCAGAAGGCTCATTACAACACACACGCTAATACTCGTCATAGTATGATCATAATACCGACCTTCTGTTGCACAGCTGCCATACTCTCTTCTTGCTGTTTCTTCTTCTCCATTCTATCTTCCTCCCGTTGTTGTTGCACTTTTGCAAACTCCAAAATGCGTTCATTCTCCTCCTCCATCAAACGACGCTCGTGCGCTTTCCACTCAGCTCGCTTCGTCTTAAACTCTTCAATGTACCGCTGAGTAGCCAATTGTTTCTGCAGTCTATTTTCAAGCTCCCTTGTGACATTAACAATGAACAGTTTTAAGTATGCACTTTTACCGATACATTTAGTTATGTATGGGTTAAGAGTACGTCTCCCTCTATCTGTTTAAGAGACTACTTACCACTAGTTACGAGTTCAAATTATTTGTTGTGTGTATGTGTTAAGCCAGTGTAGGAGAAGGCAGTATGCGTGAACGTCTTGGGTACATGAAATAACATGTACCCCCCCCCCCCTTCAATAACAATGTGTGCTAAACTGAAAAAATGGTGTACACTAAATAAATGTTTGATATAGCTTCTAAACACGAATGAAGTCACAAATTACAAAACTATAGAGCAATTTCCGATTGATTGCCGAAAGAAAAAATATGCGAGTGCATTGGTTTTACATTGATTCGCTCTGTGATTGGTCCAGAAAACTTGCGCCACTTTCTCAACCAATCAGATGCAAAACTAACTCCATTCACGACTTGCATTTTCCGCGCTTGAGGCAGTTCGGTTGTGTTTACACTGAGTTCTCACTGGCTCTTAGAGGTATTTTCCTATCTCCTGATTCCCCGTTGTGATCACTTTGGTTTGGTATTGTGACACTCAATCGAAAAGCGCTATAATAGGCAGTGCCAAGTAACCGAAGAACAAACTTAACACCTAAGAGTGAACATCTTGCTACACACCTTTGATCTTCTTCGTAGATCTTCCTCACGATCTCATCAATCATGAGCTTTTCTTTCAAGAATTCCTCATAAGCCTCCTGTTTGCGGCGCTCCTTTTCTGCCAGCTGCCTCTCAAGTTGCTCCTGATAACGGACACTTTCTTCCCAGCGTTGTTTTTCTTTCACTCGTTCCACTTCTTGTGCTCGCTTGTATTCCTCTTGCATCTTAACATGTATTTCATCATCCCGTTTCTGGGTTCGCAAAACGGGCAAAGGAAAAGAAAGAAAAGAAACAAATTGAGAAAAAGATATTTTCACGAAATGTAGAACTTCTCTAAAAAAACACCTCTTCATCCTGTACGCAAGTGCCTGATTTTCAAATTGATCTGAAACCTACAGAAACTATCAAAGATATTCTGCCAACTTCCACATAATGCTGAGATCTCTAAACAATTAAAACCCATATTTACATTTGATCTGAAACCCACAGAAACTATTAAAGATATTTCGCCAACTTTCAAACAGTGCTGAGATCTCTAAACAATTAAAACATATTTACATTTGATCTGAAACCTACAGAAACTATCAAAGATATTCCACCAACTTTCAAACAATGCTGAGATCTCTCAACAATTAAAACATATGTTTACATTTGATCTGAAACCTACTGGAAACTATTATAGATATTCTGCCAACTTTCAAACATTGCTGAGATCTCTCAACAATTAAAGCACTCATATTTACACAATGTAAGGTGGACATTACTTAGCAGAGGACTCATGAAAAAGTTTCAAATTTTCAAAATATTTTTCAATCAATGTAAATACAAACAGTTAACTTAACTTGAGGTAGAAAAGTACAAAAACTAAGGCTAACTCAAAAGTGGGAAATTATTTTCCCATAAGAGTGAGATTTCGGTCTACAAGCATGAGAATAATGAGATATTATAATATCAACACCAAGAGCACATACAATTTGGAAAAAATGTCAGCATTACATCAACTCACCTTACTGTCAAGTGCCATGGCTCTCTTTTCAGCCAGTTGAGCTGCTCTTTCACGATTCATAAATCCTGCTTTTAATTTGGCTTCAAGTTCCCTCAATTCAACACTAAAAATATTAAATAAACACTTCGATCTTTTATCTCATAAAGACTTTATTTGTATGATGGTTTTCAGAGTATAGCCCTTGTTCAGTGAGTTCACTGTAGTTTGGTATACTTTTAGATGTCCAGATAGCTGAATGCTTTGGGAGCACAGTCACACTAATTGTGAAAAAATTTGCATTGTCCCAACCAAAAGTGTAACTTCTTTCAAGCCAGAGGTACAAGGTGTCACATTACACCAGAGAGGGAAAGAGAGAATGGCTGGCGGAAACTGCTATACATACACGTACATGAATATTTAATTTAGAGAAGGGTCTGACAGTTGATTTGAGGGGTTTCTTGTAACATCTGAGTGTTAAGCCAACTGTCCATTTCACATCTTTTTATAAATACACAATTTTTGGGAATAAAAAAATTTACTGGAGGGTTTTGCACCCTCTAAGAAAGGTGAATGAATATGATGGCAGGAACTTTTAAGTTCAAAGCTGTCGGGTGCTTTTATTATCTTTTTTTAATTGTATAATGCCTTCTTTAGCCTGGTTTTCATATGTTGGGAAAATTCTGAAGGACCTGCAATTTCACTGTTCGCAAATTGTCCCTGATTTTGGTGATATAATGGTAAATAGACAGGTCTCATTACCAAATTCTTCTGCATGCCATTTTTTATTTGTGACTCAGTGGTACTGTAGCTAGGTCTGGCAGCTTAGCCATTCCTCTTTTTACCTAACAGTGACAGTAAAAGTTTTCATTAATCCTGAATGATCAGCAATCATCACAGAATTCTGAGACTTTTTCTGGATATTTTCTGGGAAAATAGAAATATTCCAGATTTTCCCAACTATCCCAGACAGTTTTCGTTTTTCTGAAACATCATGGACTTACTGATCACATACTCACTGATTGCCTGAAATTTTCTGAACTAAAATAAGGTTCTATTTATCTCCATTCCCCTCACTGCCACCACTGACAAACAAAACTACTGTGTATATTCACTTCTTTGCAGCAAAAATATTCACCACAAATTCATACAAATCCACTGGATATTGCGGTATTAGACGATAACACATTACCTATTTTCTCGTATCTGCTGTGTCAGCTTCTCTTTTCGAAGACTCTCTAACTTCATCCTTTCAAGCTCCTGCATGATACAAAATTGATACAGATACTGGTTTAACTTTAGGTGACTGATGATCAACAAGCCAGGCACATTGACTGTACATGGTCTATCTTTTAATGAAATTAAAAAACATTTAGAGCCAAAATGTGATCTCTCAATGCTTCAAAGGGCCAACCATTTGTTTAGCATGTTATTGATCAGGCAGTTCTAGTAAATAAAATAGATGCACAAGTACATCAACACAAACTGCTTTAAACTTTGAACTTCCAAAAGTGATTAACAAGTAACATCTCCCTATAATATTCACACAATATTCAGCAAAAGGTAATAAGGATACTCAAATCTATCAAGTAGAAGTTGTTAACAAATTTGCAAGGAAATGAGTAGCACCTACACTGTAGAGGTAGGAAATTAACAATCAGATCTTGGGAGTTAAAGGGTTTAGACTTACTTAATACATACATTTTACATTCCACAATTTGTCATAAGTTTCTCTAGTTTTTGTACCTACCATAGTCGCTCTATACTTAAAATCAACACGGACTGTATTTCGCCCTTAGACTAAGCAATGCAATCAGTGTAACAGTGTTTAAAAACAGCTCTCAGTTCAGGAAGATCCTCTGTTCAAGGGGCTAAATACAAATATTGTACATCCTGTTTAAACTCAAGCCCTAAAGCCTGTACCCTACTTGGCAATACTAACTGGTTTAGGCCTAAAGGATGAAACATCCACCATTAGTATTGGGTCAGTGTGTGTACTAACCTTGGCCAGTCTTTCTTCCTGTTCTTGTTGTCTTTCCTGAAGAATCTTTTGTTCTTGTTGCTAGTGAGGAAACACAGTATCTGATGTTAATTCTGTGTAGTCTCATGTTACATGCATGTAATACAGTTTAGGCTTCCTTAAACAGGAACTATTGCCTTTGGGAAGCAAAAAAGTTCTTAGTTGGCTGTTTCAGGCAACAGCTGGCCAATATCTGATTTCACCTTGAGGTTCATGAGTAAAGTTGTTTACTCACAGCTAAGTCTGAAGGGAGCCTTCACTGTAAATACCAAGAAAAGTGTTTTCAGTTGGGCAACAATACCAAAAATGACAAATTAATGTCCACTTTGCCAGTTTGTATCTCATTCTGTCTTTGGATGACATACATATTTTTCAGTATTAAGTGAAACAGTTTGAAATTTCAATCCAATAATCAACAATAGGAACTACAGATAATATCAAGTAAAAGAAATAAAATGAAACCAAGAATTAAATCACACAACAACTTGTTAGAGAAAGTTCCATGACAATCCCCAACTTCATCTGAGTAACTGTCACTGCCCATTAGGCTTTTGTCCTGAGAGATCTTAAATTGCAACAAGGCATATGTCTGCGAAACATTAGATTTGTTTTCTATTTGGGGAGGGGGGTATACACTTTCAAACCAGTTTGTTTTGATTGTTCTTTTTTCCAATTTAAGATGTTGTTTAAATAAAAATTAGGAAGAAAAAACTCCCAGCAAAAAATTTAAACCATAGCATACACATTTCTGCTATAGATATTGGGATCCAGTTTGCAAACAAGACGCCGATTACTTGATTGCTAAGTACGAAAGTGATCTACTACTTGCACGCGAAAAATTTACCCACTGTCATAAACAGATACTGAAAAGGAAAAGCCTTTACTTTTCTGATTCCTTCGTCCATTTCTCTTTCAGTCGCTTCCTGGTGAAGTCTACGTAGAAATCGTTTATTTTCTATCCTTTCTTCACTGGACATGTTAGCCTCTACAACACGTTCCTGGTTGATTCGCTTCATTTGATCTTCCCGAGCAATCTCTTTCCTTCTGTTCTCAGCAAGGAGTTTTTGCTGTTGAGCATGACTTAAGTTCATTCTTCGAACAGATGCCTTAAAGGAATTACAGAAATAATCATGCATTAAATGGATGCAATACTGAGGAAAACTCACCGTACTGAGTCATAGACAATCACCACAACTAGCAAGAAAATATCGTGCAAATATGCCACTACTAACCATAATATTAACACCAAAGAAGTAAATCAAATCCAAAGCGTAAATTTAACTTCTGGGCCACTTTCAAATCCGTGAAAATGCAATATAAGCTTATAAGACACTACTGGCTCTGATGGACCACCACAACTACGATCTGCTTGACAAATTATGTTTGTTGCTGTAACAACGAATGGACCTCGTTTACATGTTCGCCTCAGTTCTCCAAGTGCTTTTCCTCGGCCTCGCATCACCTCGGAACAACGACTCAGCCAGACTGGGTCAAAGTAACCGCTGAGTGCACACAAGTGCAGTCCATTGTTTTCTTGCCCAAATATAATTGTTGTCATGACAACTAGAGCGTCTCAGTGGGATTCTTTCCACGCGGAGCTTTGCACTGGAATGTCACGCGGGAAACAAAATTCTTACGTCATGCCGAGTTACCTGTTGGTTGTACCTTGCAGCTGCGGGGAATAGCAGAGGCCATTTTAATATTGTAGAAGGTTGTAATGCTTTTCATGTTGTTACACTGCACGTACCAAGCACCTCTGCACCTAAAGCACTAGCTTTGTCACTGAACCGAGTGAGGTATCCGCACAGCACAATTGAGGTGCAACTAGGCCCATGGACACCAAATCGACTTCAGATGATGAGGTTTGAGCACTTATGCCGCGCGCTTTAGACACGATAGATAGAAGTGAATTCACCCACACCCTAGCGTCCGTAACATATTGATGCTTTCTTTTCTAGGTTCGAACCTTGTTCGTGAGCGGCTTGCCAATCGATGTAAAACCTCGAGAAATATACCTCCTTTTCCGAGGCTTCAAGGTACGCTGCGCTTTCTTCGGCACAAGTGTTTTGTCGCTAATATTTTCCGTACAACATCATTTACGGCTCGGCTGAAAATGCCGAAAAGCGAGACATTAATCTTGAATGGGATTCGACAGGCATCAATCTAAATTTCTCTTAGACAAATCAGCGAAATAAATGAAGAGCTAAGTAAACTTATTTTACCGTTAAACGATTTAAATGATTGTCAATGTTTTGTAATCGACTTGGGCAAGGTCGCAGGGTTCAACTAGGTATTGAAAGAAACAAATGAATATTGAAAAGCGTTCGTTTCCCTTCGAGAAGCTTAAATGTTAAAATAGCACGGTGCTATTTTCGTCTGAGCCTTACAGCTGCGACATAAGAGTTATTAGCAATAGTTGCAACAACTTTACGTAACTTTTGGTCTCCTGCAAAGTCAGCAGCACAGATTTTGGCAAATATTTGCAGTGCGTCTGGCGCCGCCATTATGAACGTACACGATTTATGGTGTTAAGCTAACTCATCTTTTATGCAAACAAAAAACAAAGAATCGGCTTGTAAGTTCTCTGTTATTCTTCACAGGAATGTACACGACCCTAAATTTTATAAATAAACGAAGAAGTCTTGCGAAGTTTGCCCAAATCAGAAACTGCCGAATTACGTTCAAAACGAAGAGGGTTGGCAATTTTGCGCAGAAATTGAAAGTTGTAATTATCACTTCGCTATGCTCACGATTCCAGGAGTAATTAAGGACAAGGAAAGCTAATTAGGTGCTCAAAAAGAATAGACAGAATTTGAAAGCGGCATGTGGTTAGAACATTTGCATGGAAGGTGATTACTTTGCGACCAAGTTGGTCAAATTAGAGATACATCTGTTACAGATCCACTTCGTAAACCAACCTGACGATTTAGCTTCGTTTTAGTTCAGGTTGTGATGCATATCTGAATAAATTGTTTATACCTCGTGTAAATCAAACACCATTATCGCGACTGACTGAGAAGTACTAGGCGAAAACCTAAGTATCGTAAATACTCGATTGACGAAACCATAGACCTCCCATTAGTCAACAGTTGAAAAGAATTAATTTGTGCTCGGCCCGATTTTGCTAAATAAATAACGGTTTATTCACTAGACATCGAAATTCACACAATACGGTTTGAGTGATATCAGGAAAACTATTGTTATTCCGAATTGATCTTCTTGAAAACATACCATTATACTAGCTTCAGTCTTCTTTTACGACAAGATCAACTAACACACCGTACTCGACTTTTAAGCAATACTAAGAATATGTATCATCAGTAACTCAATCATTTCCGTAGATCATAATATAACACATGTAATTTTGCTTGTTCAAGATTTATTTTTGCGTTGAAGCTCAAATGTACATGTGTCCTGTGTGTTTTAACACCGGCTTGGAATACAACGATAACTGAGTAGGCATTTTTTTAACTAGAAGATTTATCTCATTCCCCAGAACGAAACAATGGGTGTTTTGAAAATACATATTCAAGTTTGTTTTCAATTGATTTGCTTCCCTTCTTTGCATAAAACATAATGTTGCATTTACAAATATTCGATCCTTCGAGATCGGTCTGATATCGATCACCAACAACCCAGTATCGCCACATTAAAAAGCATTAAGATATTTTTGTACGACTCTCGTTTCATGCCAAAACTTGACAAACAATAAGTTTTGTCTTCGCTTTTTCTCTGTTGCAGTTACAACAATTTGCATGAAAGTTGCTGCATTTAGAGATGGTTTTTAATTCGAGATATTTGCGTAAAATAATTTTTTTTTCTTTCGGAAATTCTCGCAACCCACGCCAGCAAGATAATACTGTATTGAGAGCTGGCAATTTTCGCCCAGCGTGGAAGACTAAGAAAGTTTGTTATTATTGTTCCAGGGTTATGAAGGATCACTGCTTAAGCTTACAGACAAACAGGTAGGAATAATAATGATAATAGCAGGGTGGAAGAAACAATTATTAAGCCAACTGTGTCTCACTCTGTTGAATAATACATTTCTACCTTATAGTTCTCATTTCTCATTAACTCTGGGCTAAATAGACTTGCAATGGGTGTAGCGTTTGAGTCTTAAACAAATTGAATCATAAAAATACGTTAGACGTAAATCTACGTGAAGTATAATATTTGGTATCTTTTTGCAAAGGACCACTTTTCGAAACCAATTTTAACGTGTGCCGTTGAATCTTCCAACATTCTGTTCTTGGGGTGGAATTCAACCTCAGGCCTCGCTGGTTTCCAGGCCGAGTCGAAGTTTTGAATTTAAGATGCTCCACTCCATAATGACAGGAAACTCTCTAGACTGCAAAAATTCAGTCTAAGCTATCAAAAAATAATATCTCAAGAAGTTTTGAAGTTAAAGCCTTTTAACTCCTTTTGTGGGGGGTAATTAACAATGTTAATCCATCCAAAAGTGCTCAGGGTGAGTGTTGGTATGACATGAATTCCTTTAACAAAACATTCTGAGGCAAGCTGTGAGCATAGAAAACTTCCAATAGCTTCGCTGCAAAGAAAAGTATTCAGCGATATAATTACCATCCCATGTGGTCTTGCAAGGCTACTGAATAAATTTTCTGTGCGGGAAATTGTTTCAATAGTGAGCCCGTAGTTTCTCTAGGTTTAATTTTTTTTTTTAACTCACTTCCTAAACAATAATTAGAAACAAACTCCCTCGAAAAAATGGCGGACATGAAAGCTATGCTCTTCATCTTTACCTTTGATTCTTCCTACAGCATGATTAAATACAGAAAAATAAAGTTTCTAACAAAGTCAAACAATCGCTCATAATGACCAACTTCTAAACCTCTCGTAAATCTTTTTTTTTTGTCATTACAACAGGGAAAACCTTCGGTAAGTGTAACAATACTTATCATTCAATTCTCTTCGTGAAACTTGTAGTTCGTTTATTGATTGTGACACTGAAAAGATGCTCGCATCTGATTGGTCCCTGAGAAACCATAATTGATTGTAGATTAAAGATAAAAAAGTCAAATTACGAAAATACTCTGACTGAGCAAATTTTACACCAACACCTTGACGATAGAAACGTATGAAATTAACTTTATGGTTTCTTGGGATATTTCATAATAATTCAGTTAAGTTTCCAGAGGAAAAATAATATAAGAAGTTTATGATGTTATCAAGTATACCCGCAGTGAGTTCTTTGCACTTTAGTACCCAAACACATGTAACTGATAGGCGTTTCAGTGTGTGTCTCATTATAGCAACTTGTATTCTTAGTAATTTCTGTCTGAAAAACAATTCATCTTTTGACTTTAGCCTGTTGCATTCGTCACGTTTGAAAGCAGAGAGGAGGCAGAGGAGGCTAAAGCTTCGTTGCAGGTTAGAAAAAAAAAACAAGCAAGTAATTTATTGTGTGCCCTACACTGGTGAATGACAGAATATAGCTCTCACCACAACTGTTCAGTTATTTACGATATTTATACAGGTTGGGCCTGTTCATCTTTAAAGCTGTGTTAAATGGGGGCCTGTATAAATAAACGAAAACAAGCTACGTTCCCTACTATTTGCGAGAAGTGCGTTTTTTTTTAACGTCCCCTGCTAAACGCACGCAGGGGTTGACTAGAAAGGGGTTGTACAAAAAAAAAACACGCACGTACCGATTGCATAGTTGATATTTGGCAAGTAAAAATGTAATCTGTTGAACTACACAAAAAAATTTATAAATGTTTAAAAACCCATTTTAATATGGAAAAATTTAAGACAACTATGCCCATATTTCAAAAACTAGACCAATGACTTTCTCAGGAATACAGTTTCAATCCAGTATTTCTATCCTTAGGGTAGTAAACTGAACATTTCGTACAGTTCTAATTCTTTTGTTAGTTTACTTTGCCTCAATTAAGAGACCATTCTTCCTTTTTTTTTTCTTTTAAATATTATTATTAAGGGTGTACGATTCGATCCAGATGTCTCGCAAACGCTTCGTTTGGAGTTTGCTCGCTCCAATACCAAGGTATCCAAGCCGGTGAACAAACAGGCTGTGTTAACTTCCGTTCCACACTTTTTTCCTCGAGAGCCTCAGCTCAGTAAGTACAAAGTTCAAATATAATACGATCTATTAACAAGTTTTATCAAGGACTTATTAGTTTGGTACGAATGATTTCAACAACGTTGTCATCAGAAAAAGCAGAAACAAAAAAGAGGAAAAACCTAGATAGGGTTTTATTAGCATATATAACTACACTCTAACTATATGCCCGGCAGCTGAACAATTTCCACAGAATTTCCACCGAAAAATTTTCCCTTTGAGTGTCAGATGTATACCCCATTCACGCCAGCAATACATGTTAAGTTAAACCGTGTTTAACTTAATAAAAATCAGAAACAGAGAAATGAAGAACTAAACTTTCCATAAGGTTCAAGCAGTCGGTAACTTGGATTTTAAATTTGCTAAATTTGAAGTCGACAAACACTAGTCTAAGCAGCTTAAGTGAAGGAAACAAATTTACACCGTGTTTAACAAAACGCGTTTAATAAATGTTTCGGCTTTGGTATGAATGAGTTAATAATATACTCACCGCGTGTGCTTATGCTTTATGTTAATTGATTCGATTTTGCGCTGTCCTCTTTTCTTTTCGCGACGTTTGAGGTTATACCCCTTAGCGATTTCCACCTTCCTCATTGTCTCTGCGTTTATTTTCTTTCTTTTTTTCAGTGCATACAGAGCTTGCTGCAGCAGGATTTCTGCCGGGACCAGAGCCGAGCATAGCATACCCTGCGTGAGTAAAGTTGAACTAAAGTCTTGATCTAAAAAGCACTCTGAAGCGTTGGCAACTTTGTAACATGTAAGGTGCAGTAATGTGGCCTACATTCAGTGAGAATCTTACTCAAAATGTGTTTTATTGCATTGTTACTTTGCACAATGACTTTTGCAGAACTTTCTGTTTCAGGAAAAAAAACTGTTTGTTTGTCTGAATCCACAAATGACAGAGAAGGTTTTGCATAATATTGAGTTATATGTCTTGTCCATATCGATGAGATGTACGTGTGTAAAACGCTTTCCCTCTCACCAAGCTCAAACCCACGACCCTGAGGTTGGGTCTTTTTTTCAAAATTCAGAGGGACTCTCAACTCGAGGGCGTGATAAATCACTTCTCCCCTGATACAATTAGCACGTTAGAAATAATCAGTTACTGTGCCAAAAAGAGTAAGTACAGCGCGTTTTAAGCACAACTAAAAATGATGAACCAGTCACACCTTGAGGATTGTGTAACATCTAAGTGTCGGTTTAACTTGTTCTAAACTTTCGCACAAGTTAGGTGCGCAGTACCTAGAATCAAGCAAAAACTACTTTCATTATAAGAAAAGTTAAAAAAACAAATAACTGATGATAACATCTCGTAATGCAGTCGATTCTTCTTGTCTTGTCTCTCACTCCAACAGGCCAATATTTAGCGACATCATGGCAGCTACAGCTCAACACACTTTCAATCATCATCCCTCCAGTATACTGCAGCTACAAGTGCGTCTTACTAACTCTTACATAGCAAACTGAAGGCGTCTTTGAGTCTAAAAAGGAGAATATTAGTTTTTTGAAAGAATTTCCTTATTTTTTTATTTTTTTATTTTTTCTTGTTAATGAAGATTAAGACCAAACGGTCACTGATTTCATTAAGTCTGTATCCTGCAATAGCAAGTATGGTCAAAAACTAGGAAAAGACCTCTGGAAGTGTATGGAAGCCCTTGTATTTCGTCGGTATGAATGAGTATCAACGGAAGGAAATCCAATTTATCAAATTTTCTCCAACAAATAATCGAGATGAAGAACTAAAGACATACTAAATGTAATAATTCATTCTATATATTTCAAAGTAAAGACAAGATAGCGGGGTTTCTAATATTTCGTACTTCCTTTTCTTTTTCTGCTTTGTAGGCGTTCCCGCAGCACCATCCCATCATTCCAGCACTAGCGTCGCCAACATCTCTTCATCACATGGCCAGTCTGGGAAATCCTCCATGTTCAACACTCTTTGTGGCCAACCTTGGGAAGGGAAGCTCCGAACAAGAGTTAAGAGATCTTTTTGCTGAGTAAGTTAACAATTGATTGAACTGCCTCATGAATCATGTCTGTGAACACTTTAGGAAGTTGAAGTTCCAGCTCCCTAAATGTTACCGTCACTTGAACTGTGCAGTGACTTCAACTCCTTTCCCAGCATCCAACATATATTTTTTCTCATAACGTAGTTGCAAATCAAACAAACTGCATTTGCATTTCTGCACGAGAGTTTGACAGTATGCTTTCCTTATATTATTTCTTTCTCTTTTTTCCTTTAGCTTGCCGGGCTTTCGACGCTTAAAAATGCACAGTAAAGGGAGTAGCCCCGTCTGTTTCGTGGAATATCAGGTATTTTTCTATTTATTTTTATCAGTTGCTCATTATTTACTTAATATTTGGTTATAGTGATAACTCTCATGAGATACAGTAAACATAAGGACACAAATTTCTCCGGAGAGAAAAAATCCTTTCACAGTGTACTTGTGATGATTTTTGCGACAGCCATCTCATTGCTTGGCAACCACTCTTTTTCCCCCTTTTTAAGGATATCTACACGGCGACTCATGCTATGAATGTTCTTCGAGGGTGAGTAGTGAGCATGTTTTTCAGTAGCCACCCTTTCGGTTTATCCAACAACGAGGTACAGCTGCACATAAAAATTTATCTCGAAGATTAAGACAAATTTTGCCAATTTTCCTTTGAGAATTATTGTATCAGTATTAATAATTACAATGATGATTTTCAGAGCATAACATGTCAATTTTGTGTCAACTTGTTTAGCCATAGTATAAGCTAATGGGGACACTGAAGTAAACTAAAGTAATCATTGCAGTATTCATGTAACTGCATTTTCTTTGAGCGTCTTTTTTGTGAAATAAAAAAATTGCAAAGTCACCATAGTTAAAAAATTGTACTTCGGTATCATAATCGTGGGGTGATAATAGTGAGATACCAATTAATCCTCGACCAATAAAAATGCCCACGTCTCTTAAACTACCCAAGCAATTGTACCAAAATGTGTCGTTATGAAAAGTAAAAATTGAGGAAGGAGTCAGTTATTGATCTAAACTAGGCCCTCAAAATAACTTTTTTAACGAACACGGAGTTTTAAATGTCTATTTTCTCATTTTAATTTTATCTTTACTTCTTTACAGCCATATCATGCAGTCTTCTTCAGAAAAAGGAGGCATAAGGATAGAATACGCAAAAACCAAAATGGGCGAGGTACATGAATGACTCTTTGTGTCACGCCCTCGTGTGTAGGTACATTTATGTGTGTTGTGCCACTTAAGGTAGTTTTATAAACCTTTTATAGGTTTGGCTTGACTTTTTTTTTTAATTTAGTGTCAACTTTTCTACCATTCATCAACTACCATCACTGAAATCAACGCTACGATTACTCATGGTTTATTGTTTTCATCGCCCTCCTTGGGGCAATTTTCAATTCAGTCGATAGTAATCCGAGACTGCATTGGTTTTGCTTTACCTTGCTCGGCGATTGAACCAGAAAACTCGCACCAATCTCTAAACCAATAAGATTCAATACTAAAATCAATCACGACTTGGTTACCCACGTTTTCCTGCACTTTGGCAGTTTTCTTGGTTTAGTTTAAGTTCTCTTTGGCACTTCAGGGTATTTCCCTTTCATCTAATTGGCCTTGTAATTGTTTTGATTTTGGTTTTATGACAATCAATCGAAAAGTGCTCCTTCCTTCTTACTTTCTTTGGTCTGATTTTGATCCATAATTTCAAAACTGCTTCATTTGTGAGTTAAATTACACGGTAATTCGTATTCATTGTAGCTACAGCTGTGTGTAAGCCCATATCTTTTTGTTAGGTTTTTATTATTTTATTTTTACTATTATGTTTTGTGAATTCCTTAGATAGGACGACGAATCATTTACAATACTCCAGGCATCTTTATAGTTACCAGCACTGGAGAACTCACGAACAAATTTTCTTCCTCTGAGAAAACTTTTAGGAATTCATTTGCAACCCCAGTGGCCTGTAAAAATATGTTTTTTCTTACGGTTTTACAAAAATTTTTAACATATGTCCTGGTAGGCATTTTAAAATAACTAGCAAAAAAACATCTAAGCCAATTTTGGCAGCTGCTGATTTTTTGAGGCCTCTTCTTGTCCTTTTTGCAGGGAAGGATTGACGGTATGGTCGCAATACCGATGCAATATTGAGACAATATGGAAAAATTAATGTTCCATTCCAAAAGCTGCTTCAGTGAGAAATAAGAGAAAAATACCAAGAAATAATCTAAAGCTACAGTGATGTTTTAGAAGATATTTGTTAAGAAATAGATTGAGCTAATTTATTGCAGTGTTTGCCTGTAAAAATGAACTGAAAATCAGATAACTAAGTATTTATGAAGGAATAGGGCTTTTTGCTGGCACGAAAGGGTCTTCGGATTTTTTTTAGAAATAACTGATATTTATAACCCTGTTGAGCCGGCGAGAAAAAACCGTTTTCTTCTCATAATCATAAAAAAACGAAATTCTCGCTTCTAGCAGAAAATCTTCAGTTTGAATGTAAAAAAGGTTGTAAGAAAAAAAGCTAGAATTCTTTTTCTGAAAATGTTATATTTCCTTCTTATTTTTGTTTTTATTTTTCACAAGTGGCTATTTTTCTTAACTAGATGGGAATGGAAATGTTCCCTGTTCCGATAAAGGAAATACAATTTTTTAACTTATTCGAAAAGAGGTGTGATTTGATTTCATCTATTTCCAGGTTTCAATCCAGATTGTAAATATTATTATTAATATTTTACATTAAAGTATTGAATGAAACCAATATTACTCAGAGTTTTTACTCAGTTGTCGCTGGATGAAGATCATCTTTAATCAATTTATCTTTACTTCCCATTTACCTTTGTTTAGCCGTCGGTAAACGTCTAAGCAATAAACTATGCTTTCAGTCAGGTGAATCAAGGGTGCTCCATCTCTCCTTTTGGCTGCGTATTAGAACTAGAACAACCTTGCGTTCACTCCTCTTTCTATAGTGCGAGAATCACATTTAATGTGTCCCCCAAGACCAAGAACTCTGCGTATTCTTTGAGAAGTGTAATGATCCCTCACCATATATTGCGATAACAGTTTCAGCTGCTCAATAAAACGCACATATTACGTTTTTGTCGTCAAAATGATCAAAATCGAAGAGCCATTGCTTTCTATGTGCTAAGTTAACCTTTTTCAACACATTACAAGAAATTTTTAAAATAGGGATCATTTTTAACTAACAGTTTGGTTTCATCTATGGGGATTAGCTCATTTATTACTAATTACTTACAGATTATGAAGTAATCAAAATATGAAAATAAAGAATATAAAAACCGGTTAGGATTGAATCAGTACAAAGTCTGATTATTGCAGATAGTGGTTTTAAAAACTTGAAAATAAAAAAAAATAAAATTAGTCCTTCTTGGGATGAAAAGAAGTTTTCCTTTATGAAAAATAAACTGATATCATAAACTGAGATTTAAATTAGTGAAGTTATAATGCATTTTCAATACCTGTCTGGGAATCATGTCTAGCAATCTAGAATGAAAAGTGTGAAATTACACAAACATTCACACAGCATCGAAATGACTCAAACATTCACACGGCACCGATAAGCATTTTTATGATACTTCATCTTTACTTTCTCTGTTGTCAAACTTAAGCTTATTTCAAAACACCTTTTCGAATGTAGTACATGTTTACTAACTGAAGTTCAGCTTTGCTCTCTCACATAGTACTTTCCCTAAATTTAAAAACTCTATCATTAACGTGTTTGCCTATCTAACCTCTTTTCCGCTTTTTCGCTGGTTACAACTGATTTGTTTCCTACCGAGAAATAGCGTCATACTGATGAAAGAAAGCTCAGCGAGTCAGTAGTGTATATCAGATTGCTCTTCGTCTGATACAAAGAGGCTTTGATTTTCATTGTAAAAAATTTTCAACAGATGCACGCTATTTGAACAGTAAAATGACTTTAGACAGCTCACTGAAGTCTTGGCAAATATATAAGGGATCATAAGACATAAGTTCTATTTTTGATGAACAGCTTGAAATTAAACGACTTTAAAGAAACCGAAATCAAGTTCATATGTTTTCAAATTGTAATTTTTAGTGAAAATTTTGCCACTGAATTATTACCATATCACTATTTACGGGGGCTGAAATTTCAGAAAGCCAATATGACAGGATTGCTTATCGCTTTTCCGGCTTTCATATATAAAACTATTACCGACCTTAATTTCGTGGCTTGTTTTAAATTTAACAACCTTAAATTAACTGAATTCGGCTACAACGTGTGTAGCTTAAAGCCATTAGATAAAAAATAACGACATGCACAAACCAAACAGAGGCGTAATTTTATGTGTCATTCCCAATGCCTTATTTTGGTCATTTTAAATTTAGTGGGTGACGCGTAGAAAATCCCCTTGAAGTAGAAACTTGCAAAGAAACTCTGCGGGGAGTCGTTGTTTTACCAAATCCAATTCTGAAAACTGTTTTTGTTACAAAAAAGATCACGTTTCATATTTGTGATTACTTTTGTAATTTTCTGTTATTATATTTACAATTCTTAAATTCATATGAAAAAAAACCGTGATTTTATTTCAGAAATCATCGAACCCACAAAGAGAAGAGCTGTTTAGTTTTTTTCTTGCGGTTTAGAATTGATGCAGAAGGTACATTTTTCGTTGAGTAGCTTTAAGATACAATCTCGTTGGAATCTTTTTTTTTCTTTTTTAAACCAAAAAGAGGTTTATTACTGCCTGGGTAACAACGGATAAAAAAAATCGGTCAAATGTGAAAAGAATATCAAAAATAATGCGATTGAGTAGTCTTCGAGATGATGTGTTTTTCTAATAACTTTTTAATTCAATAAAAGTCGAGACCTTAGAAGCACTTATGTTTTTCCCAGGTCAAAATCTTCCCAGATTTATACTCCTTCGTGAAAAGATACGAGGACTCGAATGGAAGATTTTTAAGCCTTAATAACTCGTACTGAAATGACAGTTGAAATAATATGTCAATAAAAGATGAGATGTAAGGAGAACGTGTTCCCTGCAACTGAATAAATAACCCATGCAGATTTCGTCACTTTGTATTTTCGTTTGAAATCAACTCGGTACCTAGATTTACTGCATAGCTTTTGGTAGTTTCATGTTGCTAGGTTACCTATTTCCGATTCGATTTTCCGAAATCATACACGGGCATATAAAAATCTGATATTTATCTACCCAAATATTTCCTTGATCAGAATCATAAAACGTGATGTTTCAAAGAGTAAAAGAAAGCTTTTGAATATTTAAACAGAGGTGCGGCTAGCTTTGGGCATTTAAATTCTGTTTCCCAGCTGCAAAAACAACGGTGTGGGGTCGCCTTTTAATCTTTCAAATGATGCAATTGTTGAATGCGCTCGATTCGTTTTTATTTTTCTTTGCGAACATTGTTTCTTTCCTCTGTGTGTCTTCTTTCTGTCAGCCTTCTTTACCTTTTATGTGAAGGAACTCACAGCGTTTGAGAAATGAAATTATTCTAACGTTTCATAATAGCAGTATAAATAAAAATAGTCCCAATTGAATTATGCATAGCCCGGTCTATTTTTCGCACCAATTTTTCGTCGCCTTTTGACTCACAAAAAGACATTGAAAGAACTCTGCGTAATTCAATTTGATTTTCCCTCTCCGTTCAAGTAACACAAAGTAGTTCCAGTGTTTATTTATTGCAGATGATAACTGTTGATCTTGGTTGTTTTAAAAGTGTTTTGCCGTGGAAAGCGGTGCCAATGAAAACCGCCAAAAATTCTTAAGCAATTATTTGATGAGGCCTTTATGAAAGGCATCATTGTCACTCCTACGTATTGGCAACTCCCACTAATCATTGTTTTCATGACATCTAAAAATTTGTAAATGTAAATCTCGTTCTACAGTCTATAAACAGTTGGCTTCGACTGTTTACATTGGAGCCAAGGTGGCTTAAAGTGCTCCAAATTATATTATTTTCACGCAAGGTTACTCCAGTCGCAGCAATCATCACCTTATTCGGCGCGATCGTTCTTGGCATTAAGGACGTGGTCAACTCGATAACTCAAATTAACTTCGCCATATGAACGTTGCGAGATCATGATCTCTTCGTTCTCGGAGGGCTCTCGCTGAGATTTTACTCCATAGAGTCAAAGATTATGTTGATTTGAACGGCGTAATCTCTAAAGGTTTAGCTGGTACTTTTGGTTCAGTCGAGATTAACCTTGCGCTTTGGAATGGAGAAGAAAAAGGTTTCCAGATCAGCGGATGACGATTCGTCGAAGCAATGTCAGAAATTCGAGGGAGAATCAATAAATTTGGCCAAAAAGATCTTAAATACCGTTGACAAGGACCTCGTCGTACCAAAATTGTCCTTCTTCTTCTTTTTTATGGCAACCGGCGCTTTCCTTCCTTATCTTGGTGTGTTCTACAAGCAGCTGTGGCTTACAGCTCGACAGTCTGGAATTCTGCTTGGAGTTCGCCCTTTTGTGAAAATGTTATGCTCCCCTCTCTGGGGAATGGTCACGGATGTATGCAACAAACCGAAGCTTATTCTACTTGTGTCTATTCTGGGAACAACTGTGGCCCATTTCTCGCAAAGCATAGTCTCGCCGTTTCATTTACCTTGCTACCCTGATGTGAACAGAACAAACTTTAGCCAAATCCGGTCAAACTTGTTCGCCCAATACTCAACTGATCGTTCTTCGCGACAAAGTGGCTTCCCAGCCACTTCTACACGTTTGCAAGAAAATTCTCTCGTAAAAGGTGCCGACCAAACAAATTATTCATCAGCTGAAAATGCCGGCACTACAGTTCGAGGGTCGATGGCGCCAGAAAAATTCCTAAGAAATAATGATTTTAACAAACAGAAGGAGCTCGGGAAGGAAGTGCATCCCTTCGATTATGGGACAGCTCAGGAAGAAAGCATGGAAGACACCGGACCAAGGCATGAAGATAAGCCGCGAGAAATCACCGACGCAAATTCCAAAATATTGACAAAAAACAAGAAACGCAAGAATCCTAACATGAAGAATGATTTCCGCGTCAAAGACAACCAAAGTATTTTTGCAACTTTGCTTGTGATTGTTTTTCTGGGTGAATTTATAGCTGCACCAGCTCCAATGCTGACCGATAGCGGAACGCTTGGTATCCTGAGTGGAAGGGAACACCAATACGGCCGACAAAGACTGTTCGGTTCGGTAGGCTGGGGAATCGGTTCTTTGCTGTCAGGAGCCGTTGTGACAGCTTTCAATTCATGTCCGTATGAAGACAGCATCAACTATGTGGCGTGCTTTTACGTATTTGCCGGAGCCATGATTCTCGACTTCTTCGTCGGCCTGTTCTTCAATTTCGTACCAGCGCCGTCCAAACAGGATGTCTCTAACATGGAAAATGAGTTTTTAAGGGGACTGAAAATATTTTACAACCTAAAGAATGGAGCCTTCATCTGCACACTGTTGTTTCTTGGGTTCTCCCACAGCCTGCAGCTTTCTTTCTTGTTTTGGTTTCTTCAAGACATTGGTGGAACACCAATCCTTTTTACCCTCATTGTCGCTGTAAATTGCCTGTCAGAGGTGGTGATGTTCTTCCTAGCCACCTACTTTGTGCAGAAGATCGGCCACGACGCTGTTCTTTACACAGGGCTTGCCTGCTATGGGTTACGATTTTTGCTCTACTCGTACCTCAATGAACCATGGTGGGTTTTGCCGCTAGAAGCTTTGCAAGGCTTCACATACGGAGGAGTTTGGACAGCAAGTGTTGCCTACGTTGGACCGCAACCAGGTGAGGAAAACGGTTTATGTTCAGAAATTTGTGGCAAGAGACCGTGAGCCGTTTCTGTTTATTTTAGATCAAAAATCATGGTAGTCAAAATTTCAATTCTCTAAACTTCAGCAAATATCACATCTAGTTGACATGCATTTCAATGTCACATTTCATCTTTTGATTAATTACCTGTGCTCCAGAAATAGAGAAAGCGAAATTTTTAATACCGGACCGCACCGCTTCAATATTTGTTGTTTTGAAAGGAAATAAGATCAAACAAAACTAGTTATTCTCCCAGTCAGATTACAGTATTTGTTTTCGTTTGCGTTATTAGATACCGGACCTCATGCAAGGAAGTCGTAAACGACAATATGGAAAAGTTTCAGTGGGCTATGATTTAAAAACACCATTCATTTAGTCACTTAGAGTAGATCAAAAAAATCTCCCCTGATAGTAGATTTGCATTTCAGTAGAAAAAAACTATCAAACAAAAGCAAAAGATATTTCAGGTTGAAGGCAAAATGATTTTTTTTAGTGCATATAGAGTCCTGGAAAATGTTTCTTATTCGTATCGAAGTTATAATTGGAGTTAAAGCTAAGGACACTTTTTTTATGTCACCACCTCTCTACATAAATGAGATTCTCAATTTTTGTAACACCCGCTCATCAAACTTAGAGGAAAATTCACTTTTTAAGCTAATTAATTTGTCTAAGAACCAAAAACCATTAACTGTATCGGTAAACCAACACCTCATGCCATAATGAAGCTTTGGCTCGAATGAATAAACTAAGTCGCCGTTATTAAAAACACTGTTATTCAAATTAGTTTACTCTCAAACGCAGAGTCTCGTTTAAATAGGTGTTTTTGTAAAGATTTTTTAATCCAGGGTCAACTCAACTACGCTTCCTTTTCATTTAGTTCGAATTATTTGACGGAATTTCAGTGGGCGCGTTGCTAAGATACCATTTGAAAGACTTTATTCCTTAATTTCAAACTGAACTGAGGTGGTGAATTATTGATACTTTCTTCATAAGCTTAATCCTGTTTTTCTTTTTAAACCATTCATCAACCTTCTTGTCTTTTCCGGAGCATCTGGTTTTTTCACCCAGGTTCTCTTTCAAAGGAAGTTAATTGATCTCCTTTCCATCTGATTTACTTGGCCCACCTTCCCCCACATAAAACCAATTATGAAAGAAATAATTTTTTCGGCCGTATGCTTTATAATTAAGCTGTCTTGGCCGCTTGTTAATAAGTAATGGTGATGAAAATTTCCTTTTATTTGACCATTGCAAATCTTCATAATCAGTCGAGAAAAAATTTTTTTTTGCTGATTTTTTTTTTCAATTATTATTATGATCATTCTCTCAATTTAAATAAGACAACGTCAGAAAGCTGAAAAAACAAATTCACAGTTGTAACGAATTTCTGAAACGAATACATAGAATGAGGTGAAAAAGCTATTTTTAAACATTTCAACAATTAGCCGCAGTTGGTGTTTCCTTAAAGTTTCAGTACATTTATCTGTCATATCAATGATATCAAACGAGAGTCTATGGACCCTACAGTAAGTATGTGAGGAGACCTGGGTTGGTCTATAATCGAGCTGACTAGATTTGCGTGATCGTTGGCAACGCAGGCTTTCCCATACAAAAAAAAAAACCCTTATCAAAACAATACTTTGAAAAGATTTTTAAGTAAGGCGGCTCATTTATCTGAATATTGAAAAAAACTAATTGAAATTGGATTCATCAAACCATTTTACCTCAGGTTTCTATTAAATCTGTCAAATTTTAAACACAAATGTCATCCTAAGTATAGTCAGTGCGTGAAAGAAGCTTGCGATACAACTTCCCGTCATTACGTTCAGCTTCTTTTCCTTGCTAGAATTATTTTAATTCCATTTCGGATCTGAACTCCGGCATCTCCATCGCGTGCAAAGTGTGACCATGTGGTTTTTTATCTCTCATCGGTTTTTATGGCCATGATCACGAAACATCAAGTTAAACATAGTGCAGAAAAATGAAATAAACACTTCCCAAAAAAATCCAACTTAAGAGGCAAATATGTGAAAAAAATGTCATCATTTATTTCACACTTTGCTAGAGAACCAAGTATTTTACAGATAAACGAGTAAAGTTGATCTTCATTCAGTAAGTTGTTTTGTCTGTTAATTATATGGTAACAAAACATTGATTCCGATTACATTTTTCATGATATCAAGGCTTTCAAGCCTCAGATGATTGAAATCAACCTTGACCTTGAATATTTAATACTTCGCAAAAATCTCATCTGGAACGACAAGACTAAACTAAAATAAAGTTATTTTTCGATTCGCTCTAATGAAACTTTTCAATATATATTTGTTTCCAGGCTCCGGAGCCACGATCCAAGGCATAATCCACGGGGTGTATTGGGGTCTAGGTATGGCTGTAGGCGGAGTCATTGGTGGGTTGATGGTTCATTCGATTGGCGCACGTTTAACATTTCGGCTCGAAGCGGCCTTGTCCTTTGCAATTCTTGTTCTGTTCTTCGCGATCAACAATTTCCATCAGAAAAATTCTCAATATTCTCAGATTCCTTCGGAGCCTGCTCAGGACCCGGGGGATGACCAAGAGAGCGCTGCAGATCAAGACACAACAGGGGATGCTAAATGAAGTAACTAATAAACAAAATTTTATCAATCTATTTATTAATTTGACTTATTTATTCATTGAGCTCATTGACATGAGAATTTCTCAAAGGAAGGGAGATATTATATTTGGGTAATTTAGTTGTAAAATATTTTCAGAGGAAAATTTATTTTATTTTTCGATTATTACGAATATCGATATCCGGGGAAACGTTTTGATTTTTTAAGCTATCATGGGACTGGGCAACGTAAGGTAAACACCATTAAATTAAAAAAGCACTTTATTTAAAAGTTAATATGATTCAGATTTATGTTCTTTAGTTAATCTATGCTTTGTCATTAACAAATCTAACTGTAATTGTAACATTCTTAAGACGGAAAGAGAAAGAAATTATGAATTTCAGTTTTTCTAATAATTGCTGAAGGAACGATTTTACAATAGACAATAGACGATTTTATGTTTACTAAATTCAAAACTGTCTCCTCGATTTCGTCAGAAGAAAAAAATATGATAATGATAAAGACATCTAACAAGTTTCTGTTGTTATTTTAAATGAATTATGCAATGAACAGGTGAATCACATGACTCTAATTTAGAAATTAACTGTTTATGCTTCGTTTTAAGAGCAAAACTCTACACCCATTGTCTTGAATTGGGATTGGTACATTATCAAAGCGTCCATGACCAACTTATTATAGTAATAAGGTTAAGTGTAAGCCATGTTTGCTTGTAATTTAATTTGGACAGTTCCCCGCTGGACAGGTGCACGTGCTTACATACAATTTTCTTCTGCTTATGCGGTAGCATGTTTCAGGCGCTAATTGAACAAGGCGCGATATTAGCCCAAGGAGAAAAACGCAGGAGGGTTTGAGACGGGTTTCAGTATTTCGGTTACGAGAGAAAACATTTGAGTATTTTGTTTTGTTTTGTTTTTTCTGCATCGCACTTGCCTTGAATGGAAACCAAAGGGAAAAAAGGGCCAAACGCAGGTTACAAACCTCCTCCCTTTTTTGGTTTTACGCAATTAACGCCCGTAACAGACCAGTTTTTAAAGCATTTGTTAGCGTTTTAAGGTCGATAACGAATTTATTTTTAAAGTTAGTTTATTATTGATGAGATGATAAGGGGGGGCTTACCAACCGCCGAAGAGAATTCAAAAAGCGAAAATTTCCTGTTCTAGCCCTTCTTATCATTCTTAGACTCAACACTGATTAAAGTCTTTTGTTTTTAGTTTGAGAAAGAAGTTATTGGTTTCTTTCCGAGTTTTTATTTTTAGTGACAAAAATTATTGAGGAAGGGAAGGAAATACTGGTAAAGGTATCTGGGCTAATGAAGAAGTGTGAGGAGAAGGTGACATGTGGAACTTGTTTTATGTCGCCGATCATGAATTCCTCTGCCACTTCGTTAAAATATTACTCGTCTCGGGGATTGTTGTCAGGCTATGCAGGATTCGGAGCAGTATTATAATTTCGGTTGCAACGTAGTGGTCAAAAGTCAGAGGATGCACTATCATTGAAACTATAACGAGGGGGGCCGAAAGCTTACTTTTAAGCAAGGAGAACCAAGTTGCCTTACTGGAGCTAAAGACAACTATACTAGCCATTAATTCATGAAATTTCTACAGCGTGAAGCGTTTGTTTTCCCTTTTCTGTTCAAAGATTTCTGTGAATACTTCAGTTATTAAACAAATTTTGCGTGATAGCTGTTTCTTATTTTGCGTGGCTGGTCAAACTTGACCCATTTGCGCATGCCCGTTCCTTTTGCGATGCATCGAAAGACGTTTTACTATTTTTATCGATCGAGATTTTCCCACCCCACCCCCCCAAAAAAATTTTCATTGGTATCGGCCTGTCTTCACCGCAAACAAACGCTATCAAGTTCTTTTATAATATTCTGCGTACCATTTTTGACAAGGTTTCAGGTTCTGACTTATCATCTATTGGAGGACAGATGCATGGAATACCTCACCATGAAAAACTTTTTACTTCTCTATTATAAAAAAAATAGATTCCACGTCGCCGAGGATCCATTCAGTTCTAAATCACAGAAGAAGTTAAAATTTGGTAAGAACATCAATATCTCTCTCGGCTGCGCCTCATGTGCCATTCTTTTTGTAGCTACTGCGCATGCGAGTAGCTTCTATGCTATCGGTTTGATGGATAGGGACACTTTTACCGAGGGTTTTCGGAGACCTTCGGATCACGATCGATTTTCTTGGCGCACGATTATGCCGGTAGTAAATTTGATAAGCATCCAATTTCAATAGACTTTACAGGTTATAAAAACACAAGCAAACGTATTGTTTTTTAATGTTCTTATTACATTTTGACAACCATCTGTGATCTATTTCTATACAGACTCAACATGGAGTCTATTTTTTAGGTTGATGTAACTTGTAAGTATTGTTTACAGATTTGTGCTCGTTACCTTAACGTATTTATTTTTCATCAATTTTCATCGAAAGAAGACAAAAAGCAGTGGAGGAGTAGGCTATCAATATAAAGGAATTTATATCAGGAGACAACCTTTTCTAGAAAAAGCAAATTTTGCGTGCTTGAAATGTTTCAAGTATAGAAGGCCTCAGGGGGGTAGTGTATCAATCAAACCATTCTTATCTAAACTATTGGAAGATCAAAATAATGCTCGTCAAAAATATTTTTGTTATGAACCTATTAGATGTGGCAAATGTTTTGAAAAGTGACACATTTAAGCAAATTTCACTTGATTTGTGTTATGCTAGAGGATAAAGATGTAATAAGTCTGCCAACGGCTTACAAACGACTTAATGATTTTGGCGCAGCTAACAAATAACTGGCTTGTGAATAAAAATCATTAAAATGCAAAAGCCGTGCGAACAGCTTAAAGGGTTTGTCCTGTTTGATTTCTTCCAAAAAAATGAAATAAGTAGTTGCATTTCTAGTAATAGCTTTGTTATGACTTGCTTTGCTTTGTTTTTTGTTTTGTTTTTTAATTTTTCTGTGCGAGCGTCATCACTTTGAATCTAGGTCCTCTAATTTCTTCGTTGCCACCCTGTTGACATCACTCGAGCCGGTTAGCCTGCGGTTGACTGCCCACATATGAATAAATATGAGACGTATATTAACATATTGAGTTACGAAGGGAGACAGATAGACCTTTCATTCTTGCATGTTAATGCGATTATCAGCGTCGGTGACGAGAGAGCGGAGTTTGTTTTCGACTTCTCGAGCGATTCACAAAAAATGTAAGCAAGTTAACAGAAAGTGTGTTTCGTCGAATGATGATTCCAACGTCATACCAGCCTATAGGATCTGACTCACCTTCAGAGAACGACGACAACCACGACGAAGAATTAGAAGACTCGCGACAGTCGACATGGCGAAGAGCTATTCAAAGAGTGCGCCATATAGATAAGAGCTTTGTGGTATCAAAAGCTTTCTATTTTTTCTTCTACACCGCATTAGGTTCGCTTTTTCCGTTTTTTAGTCTATACTACAAACAACTATGGCTGACTCCTGGGCAGATTGGCCTTTTGCTTGCTCTGAGACCCGCCGTCAAACTTGTATGCTTGCCGTTGTGGAAAATGGTTACGGATCGATTCAGTAGGCCAAAAGTGGTGTACTTCATCTCAATTTTCGGTTGGATCATTGGTTATTACGGCCAGTCCTTTGTTTTTCCGACCAAATTACCTTGTTATGGTTCTGCAACAGAAATTTCAGCCATTCAAGATATTGCATTTTCGACCCCAGCTTCAAATATAAGCAGACTCAACTCTACCGCCAAATCTAGCAACATTACAACAAGGGAACTTACTTTGAACAAACATTTGTCTACTTTTGTACAAAAATGGGACCCAAAAAGTTATCAGAAATTAAGCAAAATGAAGAAAACAGATGGGAATTTATTGGAAAGTGTCGTTAAATCGGAAGACGCTTCTTCGAAAGCAAAACGTTTAACGTGGTCGCAATTGAATGGTAATTATGCAAATATCGACACAGATGCAAAATCAAGAAAGAGGAGCTTTGTTCAGCGAAGTGAAAGTACTTTTAACTTATTTCCACGCGAAGACGCATCAGTTGACGATTTTAGACAAGTCACCAACGATCATCAAAATGATAATCGAGGAAAAAAACTTGTACTTAAGTCAGATTCAGCACAGGAAAACATCGTAACGAAGCATAAAAACAATGAGCTGCGGCCCTACGAAACAGTGAACGATATGCAGAGAAGTCCAAGACCAAGTGAAGATTTCCGCGTCAAATACAACACCTGGGTTTTTCGTACTCTCATTTTAATAGTAATTCTTACGGAAATCATAACGACACCTACGCCAATGCTAGCAGACAATGCTATCGTAAGATCTCTGGTGGAAACTGACAGTGTGTATGGTAAACAAAGACTTTTTGGTTCTCTGGGACTCAGCTTAGCTGCAATACTTGTCGCTGTGTGGGTGTCGTTGGAAACCGACTGTGTGCATACAGACACCATCAACTATGTCCCGTGTTTTCACCTCTTTGAGATTGCCATTGGAGCTACGGTTTTGGTTTCGCTCTGCGTTGAATTTAATAGACCTCTTGAAGAGAATCCGAACGAATTTGACTTCAAAGACGCGATGAAGCTGTTTAAAAACTTCAAAAACGGCGTGTTTATTGTTACACTGTTCTTGTTTGGATGTTTCCACAGCCTTCAGAATTCGTTCTTGTTCTGGTATCTTCAAGATCTTGGTGGAACCCCTACCTTATTCAGTGTTATCCTGCTCATTTATTGTCTGGCTGAGGTAGTAATGTATTTCATTTCGGGGTACGTGGGTGAGGCTATTGGTCAACAAGGAATCATCTGCCTGGCTTTCGCCTGTTACACAGCCAGGTACCTCATGTACTCCTACCTGAAAGATCCTTGGCTTGTAATTCCTATGGAGATGGTTCAAGGGATTACTTATGGAGGAGTGTGGTCCATTGCCACGGTTTATGTGAACGCGCCACCAGGTAAGTTCAGGCCTTTCAATATCTCAATACAGACAGTTTGACTTGATAATCGCTAGAAAAAACTATGCTGGCAATCCATTCTATACTTCTATGAAAAGGACGGATTTAACTAGTTCGGTACAAAACGATAGAGTCAGGGAGTTAAGGGAGTTTACATCAGGAACAAAGATTACAGTCAACGCCATCTCGGAGACTTTGCAGTGGCTGCAACATCAAGCACAATGTAGGGCAGAGTAGGAACTGCATGCCATGTCTGACAGCAGTTACTGGATTTCAATTTAGCCTTTAAGGCGGTACACTGAAAATAAGAATTACCTACTCACCTAAATATATTAATCATGCGCCTGGCAGGCTTAGAAAGTGAAAAAAGACAAAAGTTCACCAAGCATGGAGCCTCGAGAGAAAATCTAGGCCATCTGTCTTGGACTATTCCCTCTAACAACACCTTTCATTAGGATGCTCGACGCGATTTCTTTTTTCCTACAACAAGATGTAAACAGAGAGAGCATCAAATCGGTTTATGTTTTCCCGTTAATACGGTACTGACCTTTTTGCACTATATCCCTCTTGTTACGTTTTTTCCTCAGAAGCGACGCCCATGGTTCAAAGCATTCTTCATGGAAGCTACTGGGGCCTGGGAATGGCTCTCGGTTCAGGAATCAGTGGTGTAATCATCGATTTCACTAGCCCGCGCTCCATGTTCCTCGTTGCAGCAGCAATCTGTTTCCTACTGTGCATGTTTCACTTAGGAATTGACATTTATAACAAAATGAAAGCTTTAGAGGAAGAGCAAGCTCAAAGGCTGGCAGTTCAACGCGGTGAAGCAAAGCCGTCTAAATCCCATGAAAGTGCCTTTATCGGGGCAGCGGCTGCTCCATTAGTGCCATGCCTTCTTTACGGCAGATAGCGTTGAAATATTTTTGTAATTCGCATTTAAAATTTTTCCACGTTCATTTGGAGAAATCTTGTAAGGTCACTAACTTTGTCGAACTTTGGTTCTCTGTCTGTCCAAGTTACTTCGTTCTTAAATTTTGTTAAGGGAGTAAAACAATATTTAAAACAAGAACTACACACGTAGCATTTGTACCTAGAAACATGATATTTAAAACAGTAAAGGTACGGTCAGTTACAGGAAAAAGACGTTGTTGTTGTTGTTTTGAGGGGAGGGGGCGGGGTGAGTTGACTCTTAAAAAAAGTTTCTATCAGCTGTTTCAACTTGTGACCAACTGGAATCGATAAAAATGCAACTGACAGTGCTGAGCGCCCAAGTCCCTCAAATTCCCCTTGAATCATTGAGACAGTTTGATGAGTTTTTCTAGGATTAGTAATCGCACTTCATTTTACTAACCTTGAAATACGCCCGAGCAGAGGTGACGTTAAAAAACCAGAGGAGCGATTAATTCTGAACGAGCGCTGCATTAATGCCATGCGGCTAAAAAATAGACAGAAACAGAACACAACACGCACACACTTTGCCAGCTTGTTTTTCTATTTGACCGATCGTTACACAATATAAATGTATAACATGTATCACTCCGCAGTAAACTAACCAATTTAATTGTCACGCATGCAGTCTCATTCAGTCTCACGCAGTTTCTATTTAGGATATAGGAAATATCCAGAGGCACTTGGGATCAAATTCTGTGTGGCTACACAATGTACTTAATGGACCAGCTCAGAGCATCATGAACGTCTGTCACTAATTGCAGCTTATAACTGCAGCCAACAAAAGAATAACTACTGCAGTTATACGGGGCTGAATTTTGCTTACAGCTGCTTTAGGGTTAGGCTCGAATTCCCATTCAATGAAATGGTCCATATTGATGTCGAGTGATAGACCGGTGATTTTCAAGACCTGCCATGAAACGAAAAAACGGAGAGAATCAATAATTGCTCTATGTTTTCTGTCAGATTTTATGGCAAGAACTGTTGAACAGAGGTTTTTTAGCTGAAGAAATGGCAAACTCTTGAAAGAGTGACGAGGGAACATGTGTATTCTCAATCTGACTCCGTAGACAATTACGCAGATCATTCCCCTCTCCAAACGGTATCAATGATTCAACCCTAAATTATTCTAATAGTATCTTTGCCAGATTGAAATTCTAAAAGGTGTTACACAGCTCAAACATGAACAATTGTGTTCTTAACACCTAAAGGATGGACATGCAGCGCATAGCCAGATTACTTTTAAAACTCCTTTAAAATATTCGACGATCAACCCTGACGTTCTGTTATTTTCAAGGTTAATTTCACCCTTTTTTCGCCGCCTTCCCTAGTGAACTTTCCCTGAGAAAACAAAACCATTGGTCAGAGAGAAGCGGACGGCTACCTAGCGAGTGTGTCCCTTAGAGGGGGTTGCCTATGATTTACCTTTTTGTTATTGTCGTAGGTTGCTTTCTCTGACATGCCCCTCCCGTTGACGCTGAGTGAGACAAAAATACCCGAAGAGAGTCCGTACACATCTACTGAGCCCCATTTAGGAAGGTCTGGTGCGGCGAAACCATTCTTCTCAACAGATAATTTTATCCCAGACTAACATGGCAAAAGAGAGCTGAACATTAAAATCATTAGTATCTTCATTATTATTCCATATTTGCTCATGAACTTGAGTGTTACAAACAATTAAAGCGCCTCTGATGATATTTTCAAGTCTAAAGGCAAATTATATTACTCGGACGAACCTTTTTTTTACTGAATAAACTTGAAAACCACCAAATCTTCAAATTTGGCGCTTCGGTTAAGAAGAAAGCAAATGCCTGGTTAATTTTTCAACAAAGGGCGGGAAACAAATCTTCAGCTGGAGCCAGTTCAGTGATGCACTTACCTCTTGGCCTGAGAACTTTATCAGCAGGTATTGATTATTTTTCACGGTGTCTAAGAAAAAAGAGCGATCGTGTTAACTACAGATTGCCTTCTAAGAAAGATTACTTTACGCATGGTTTTCGTAAAACTAAAATCAAAGTAACTGCAACAGCCAATCGGCACAAAGACGCGATCGGTTTTACTTTGGCGTCTTATTGGTTGAGAGGATCGGACGGCGTGAGTTTCTGAACCTATCCAAAAGCCAAGTAAATTTAAACCAATACAGGTCTGGATTGCATTCGACACCCAGTCCAAAATTGCTCTATCTCGATCGTAAAGTTATAGTTCTTCTGAAAACTTGAAAGCGGAAGTCGACTGTAACTTTTACCAAATTCTAAATTAGCGGCAGGGCAACTTTCCCGGAAATACTAGCCCAGTTGTTTACTAACCGATGGCTTCTCCATCGTCCCAGAAGAGCTGTCCTGTAGCTTTTCCATCGTCTCCCAACGCTACAATCAGGCCCAATGGGTTTTGACGACTGAAACAATAGTGAAGCTATATTACTACGGGTACAAAAACAAAAATAAGTGCCATGGCTCTAGATAACGCTGGAATGAGGCTGCACTCTAGCACTAATCAAACGTTCGTCGAGTTTCATGGGTGCTCTTTCTTCTCACTGAACAACATATCAAAACGTTGGAGGAAGCTTGCAGCACGTATTATTATGTTCAAATAACCTCACGGAAGGATGGAAATTCTCCAAGCCAATTTCTGTTCCGGAAACCTTTTTATGCAATATCATTAAACCAAAAGATCATAAATTGTTCATTATCTCTTGATAAAACGCTGTGTATGATGTACAGCTTCGATAGACTGCTAACTGCTTATACAGAGGAAAATGAAGGCACTCTTTATTTGAAAACGTAATCCTTTTCTGGCAGGGTTCCGAGATGGAACGGGTAAATTGAGATTATTTTAATCGACTTTCCGACAATTCTTGTAAAAGTTGCTCTCAAAATTTGAAGGAAAAGGCCTCTTCATCATATTGGCCAAAAGATAAATCAAGGTCCCAGAGTCATTAATCGACATTTTTGCCCTTTACTTGAAGTGGTTAGGGTTTGATTGGAGGTTAGCGCAGAAGTCGAAGTGAAATACCTTAAAGCCGTGTTAATGGCTGGTTCCTGGGTTGGGATAATGTGGCCGCCTCGAACATGAAGAGGAATGTGATCAAGTGGGGCATCTAAAGTCAAGTGACTTTTACGGCTACTCATCTCCTTGCCCTGAAATCAGACCCTTGTCAGACAACCATTACTGCATGGGAGAACAGAGATGAGTAAGGGGAGGGCAGCTGACGGCACATATAGAATTGTTATTCATAAAAATAACTAACGCAGTTTGACGCTGTAGGCAATCGACTAAGAGTATCTTTTAAGCTTACTAGTATATACACAATAAAAGTTATGAAAAATTTTCAAAATAGAAACGTAGAAGGCGCCATAATGTCTTTGTAGTCCATAGTCCATAGTTCATTCTCCAACATCATTTTGGTGCCATCTGTAAAGAGATCTTCAATGAAGGGTTCGAAAAACAAAAATAAAATGAAACATACATACTGTGTAGTAGTCATACCATCGATCGTCAGGAAAATATGCATTAACTGCGGTCCTACCCTAAAAGAATTATAATATTCGACACTGTTGAATAAATTTGATTTAAGGACTTAAGTAAAGTGAGGAGAGCGAATCTAACATGCATATGTCTAATTGCGCTTTAAAAAACGACTCATTCGTTTCAAAAGAACGTATAATCTTTCTACAACATGGTTCTCACGAAACAGGAAAAACACATCGCTAAAAGCTGCTTCCAACTTATAGCGAAAAGTGAATGTAATTGGGATAAATGGAGTCATGAGATTTTTGTAACAAACACAGGCCAAAAAGTGTAAGCACCAACTACTTATTATCTCAGAAAATAAGTTAAGATTCTCCAATTTATCTTTGAATGTTCTATTTTCTACATTCTCTACTTCTCCTTAAATGACTACATACAAGCTCTTACCTCATCTAAAACAGGTGATATAAGTAGCGATGGTCCCCACAAAAATTGCCGGTCAATTCCCCAAGTTTCTTTGTCTCCTACGAACCTATTAAATAAAACCGCATGTATAGCTTATACAGGGGCGCGGTGAAGGGAGTGGGGAAGGGGGGAGGGAGTGAGGTGAGGAAGGGGTGACCCAGGGGTGCTTCAGGCTTGAAGGGAGGGATGATTATCTTAAATTCCTTATTTCTTCTACGGTAGGTTTCGACGTTTGAATTGTTTGGATTAGGATCTGAACAGGCACCAGCTGCTGTTAATACGTACTCGTGCATAACAGGCCGAACTACAGTGGAGCCGTCCATATGCGCTTCATAGAACAGTGTATACAAGAACGGCAATAATTTGTAACGTGTGCGGAGAACTATACGAGCGTTTCTTGCGAATTCTTCACCAAATGCTGTTGGATCTTGAGCCTGATGATGAAGAAAAAAACAAGATTTTTTTAACCAGCTTCTTTAATCTTACACATATACAATCACGATTCACAATTCTTACGATGAATAAGGTACTTGCAACTTACAACGGTTAGGTACCATTCTCGCTGCATTCCATTAATTGATATAAATTAGAATTCTCATATTTGTTTATTAATATTATCCAAACTACGAATAATTGGCTTTCAAAATATGGGGGGTACTAAGTTTCTGAAGAAACTGTGGTGCTGGCTCGGCGAGGGTTTCAGTATCACCTGAGTTCAAAATGTAAACTGGTAACCGAAAATAGGTCGTTTCGAGAGCCGACGTTTCGAGCGTTACACCTTCGTCACTCATTCCGACTCTATATGGTGGTAAATCAAAATTATCTGTTAAATATAGCGCTGAGGCCACAGACACCATAATAATATGTCTTTCATTTCCGTTACGTTACGTTACGCCACTCGAAGTGACTCGAAATTAAAGGGGTAAGTTTCTAAAGAAACTGTGGTGCTGCGTCGGTGGGAGAGTATAGCAGGTAATTTAGTGTAAACAACTAGGTTGAAAACGTAAATTAGCCACCGTAAAGGATAAAAAAGCTGACGTTTCGAGCGTTAGCGTTAGCCCTCTGACGAAGGGCTAACGCTCGAAACGTCAGCTTTTTTACCCTTTACGGTGGCTAATTTACGTTTTCAACCTAGTTGTTTACATTAAATTACTAACTACTACTTGGTTGGAAATTATGTATGGCTATCCATTCAAGCGACTCGGAAACACATTTGTTTGTCAAAATATAAGCAAATTATTGTTCCCAATAGAAATCGGAAACAAAGGGTTACAAAGACGATGAAATTTTCCTATTTCCAAAAAATTGCTACCTTGTTTCCATAGCCATTGTGGTTTCTGAAGAAAGGGTAAAAGGCTCCCAGTTGAGTCCAGCGAAGACACATCTCACTTGTCGGGTGATCAAAGAACCCGCAAACATCTGCCCCAACCTTGGAAAATAAACATTTATGTTCAACAAATTATGAATCATTTTGAAATGAAAGGAAAGAGGGAGGCCTCCAGGCAATGAAAACTGATTGGAATGACGCAAAACATGTTATCCAATAAATTTCGCGAAGGGCAGTTCGCCACTGTTTCGAAAGAGGGTCAGTCTATGCAATATTCACACTGAGAATTAAAATAATATAGGTAGCTACTCACATAAGGAATACCGAACAGGTTGAATTCTAACATTCCTAAAACATAAATAACACGACAAAAACGTTAGCAGCAAAATCAGGTCAGAGAACGCGAGGTAAAGTTCTAGAAAATCAAAACCTTTTTCGCCGCTTAAGGATATGTGAATTCTTCTTTATTTGTTGAGATTCTTCATTTAGGAAATTAGGTCATGGTAGAAAAAAAGCTAAGTTATACTATGAGTATCCATTAATGTACCGCTTTGTTTTACCAATAATCGATGTATGAAGCTGGTCCCATGATGCCTTGTTGTCTCCAAGCCAATGCCCGGCATATTTTCCACTGCTGGCGAAAGTTGATCTCGAGATCACGATACTTCGTTTTCCTGTACTTTCCCTCGCCGCCCTAAAAAAAGGCAACGTTGAACATGTCATTCGTCTTGTTATGCGCATGAGGCTATAAGAAATAGTTGAGACACCACGAGGAATTTAGCCCCAGACCTGGGAACTAAGCGCTCCAATGCTCTATCAATATGCTTCGAAAGTGACACGCGGCCAGCACATTTTCAAGAACCCCACTGCGGACAGCATTTGGAAACAGAAATAGAATTGTGAGTAGTCTCTTAATTTTTTAAAACGATTTATGCTCTAATGCAGCAGCGAGTTTGTGAGCTTTAACCAGTAATACTGAACGTGGTTTAAGGGTTATTAAAGGGCGAAATGGATGCAGCTTTGCAACAGGACTACAATCAACCAGCATCACTGGCTAACGGAAGAGTAACAAAACGGCAGGATATTCTACTGGGTGTCGGTACAGTCTTGTTTTTTACGCCCCAAATCGCAAAACTGATCTGAAGAAAGATAATCAGTCACAACAATCTCTGATATCTCATCAACAATCGCGCCAAAGTTAAACTGCGACTATTCTGATGCCGAATCCATTTTTAGTATATGTCCACTTACGCCAGGGTAACCAATGTCTGACTCCATCCATACAAGCTGTGGACATTATAATGTAAATCATTGTATTGTTTTGCGTTCATGCACACTGTCTTGTCCGCCATTATGTTTCCCATAATCCCTAAAGCACAAAGAAGCATTGTCATCTGAATAAATGTTTGGTTTAAACGATGATAAAAATAGAAAGAGAATTTCTTTAAAAGCTAAGTGATGCATCAACAAGCCCGGACTGATAAATGTTGATGGGTTTTATCGTCTCACTGCTGTAGGTAGAAGCAACTGGTGCCTCTGTGGCACGCTTACTCACTTGGTTTGTAAGGGGGATAGTCCCACTTGTTTTTGCTGCATCCACCCACTCTTCCAGCAACAAAGTTTGCCGGCTCATTCATATCCTAAAAGGAGGCAAAATCAAAGTGGTAATACTTGGAGTATACAACGAGGCACCATTGTTCAATTTGATGCCTAACACACTATTCCACCATTGATTTTATTAAAGATGGCAAGTGATTCGTGGGTCGAATTTCCAACTGAGTTTATCCCTTAAATATTTCCTAATCACACAGTTTCAACGATGAAGATGCAATAATCACACACTGGTAAAGCATTAATCAAGAAAATGCGTTGAGGCTGGGATACTTGTGTTTCAATTTGAGGTGATTCGTTTGCTCTTATAGTAGAGACCTTGAATGGAAACATCAGCAGGTCATTAAAGATCAGTTCAATAATTTAATTTGCACACTCACAATCCACAATCCGTCAAATTCGATGATTTTGTGAAAGTCTTTAATGAGATCCCTCCAGTATTTGCTGATGTTTGGATGGAAATAGTCCGGAAACGCGGCAAATTGTCTGTACAGCTAAAGGGAAAAGCAAAAGCAAATCAGTCGTGTGAGAAAATGCCCTTATGAGAAGCTAAAATCATGAAAGTAGCGCATTATATATTATACTCTTAAGTACATAGCCCCATATGCCCAAGCATGTATCTATAACCGGAAACGAGGTTAAAATTTAAAATTATGAGGCTTCTAGCAAATTTTTGACCAGACAAAAGCGGCAAATAATCGGCCCTGGCGAGGAAGATAAAATCAGTCAATCAAAGCAAGGCCACTCTCCAGCAAACGTGTACAAAAAAATCAAGTTGATCAAAGCTACCAACCCTTGTTTTTTCGTCCCAAGACAAGCTGTCGTTCATTGTGATGTTTTCAAACGTCGGCCAAACCTGAAAAAATATCAGTCAAATGAGGTATGCACAAGAGATAAACGCATCCTATTCCTTCACTTGGCCTCATCTGTCTCCTCCACTGAAGGGAAGTGTCAGTTCGAGGCTTTCTCTCGTAAAATTAAAAAATCTCAGCCTTCTATTACTTGCCAAGAAACAGATATACATGGTTCCTATTACGTTCATCTTAAGAATGGCTTTGGTGGAAACAATAAAAGAAATGTGGAATATTCAGGAATTTGATAATTCTACTAGACCTAATGTTCTTGATGTTGTAGAGATGGCTTTCCCTAGAGACATGTATGTGTTCTTTTAACGGCGAGTTCACCTTTGAGGACCACCTCGTTACTTGTTATCATTGACAGGTCAAAATATTATTAATTTCATCGCCGAGCCACTTAACCAGCCGGGCACAGAGTAATTCTCTGAATTAATCCTTAAAGAGTTACTTGCCTTCCCGAACAGGTTTTTTCCAGAATCGCCATCTTTGATGAACACATCCAGTTCGTTTCCCAGGTCGTAAGGAGGATAGTCGGTGTCATTGGCTCCAATAGCTGGGTCCTGGTGATAATGTTATGACTGAGTTTAAAGTTTGATACCAAACCACGCCTGTTCTGACTTTTTAAATGTGGAGACGTTTATCATTTAAAGAAAATTTAAAGTGAACACAGGAGCTGACACCCTTTTGAATGCCATCTTTGCTGATACTTTTACCAGCTTCACGTTGTAGAACAAAAGGAAACACTTCTGATCGTCTATTTTGATCGTGAAGGTAAAAGAAGTCTTGAGAAGAACTGTTGTCCATAAAAGTGTCTGACGTTTTGACAGCCTTTGCGTTGTTGTCAGTCGAGTGTTACACAAGCCCAACTCGTGTCAACTTATTAATCAGTTTTACCGTGACGTTATTGGCTGTAAGACCAAAGCACACACTTTTAGCTGTGCCCGGTTTCATTGTCAAGTTATACCCGCTAACCATGATCTCGGCAAAAAACTATTACTAACCAGGATAATGATGTATCGCAAGCCATCGTTCTTGATTGAGCGGACAAATTGAGGCAAGCCCTTGAAGTTGACTGGATCATAAGTAAAGTCTTTCTGTCGGATCATATAGTCGATGTCGCCGTATTGCACATCCTAAAATCGATCAAAGTGATTAGAAGACATGGTCTATGACAGATAAATATTGAATCTAAATATATTTTTATGGAGGATTTTATCATAGTACCATAAAATGCTATAAGTCACCTGAGGTAAATCGTGTTCAGTCATGTTCTCCACCAGATTCTTTACCGTCTTAATCTTGTTATATCCCCAACGAGAAAGCTGAAATCCAAGCGACCAATATGGCGGCAAAAATGTACGACCTATAGCCTGCGAAATCAGCATAAACAAATTAAAATCTATTTTCCATAATTGATCATAAACTAAAGCAGGTAATTTTTCTTTCAGGGTTGACTCATCCAGATCTTCCTCCCCTGAACCGCCTCTGGTTAGTTGTCCTCTCAAATCTGCCGTACCCTCTGTTTATTTGCTTCAAACCTGCCCACTAGAGCGTGAAATGGGCGCAAACGTGGAAATTCCTGATTACATATACAAGCAAAACTTTCAATTCAAAACTACTCCGAAATGACATGACTAAGCAAAGCGTTGGTAGCTGACCCATGAGCCACAGCCAAATTTTGTGAAAAAACAAGACCGGTTGAACTAAATGCAGCATGTGATTGAGAGACAATGGAAACAAGATCAAGACTAATAAGAATAATTCCCCTTTTTGACGATTTATGTCCATCATCTTCAACGCCTGGCAAAAGCAGACAAGAATGGTCTCAAAAACATCATTTGCAAGAAGATTAGCGGAAAAAGAATGTAACTAATCTTTTTTTTTTTCCTTTTTTGTTATAATCGATAAATACCTCAGTATATTGCTTTATGACATCCTCAGGAGAAGGACCAAGAAATATGTAGAAATCTAGAATTCCTCCAATTGTGCGATATGTTATGGCTGGTTTTGGCTGTAGGGTGACATCTAGAACGAAATACCAGTCAAGTGTTACTCATAAAGCAGTTGTAAAAGAATTATTTATTTATTTATTTATTCATTTAAGGATTTGTACAAAGCATTACCGGAGCAAAAACAATAGGACATAAGTCCCCCACTAGGTTTAAGCTCCAACCCAACCCCCTCCTAAAATAACTTAATAATGCAATTAGACTAAATAGGCTGCTTAACAAGTGCATGCAACAAGGGTACTTACCCGGCGACATTTAGGACAAATTATTTTAAAGGTACGAAAGTTGTCTCAACAAGAAATTCAACAAGGAATAACATTAACGATTTTGAATGGAACAAAAAAACTATCATTTGAATGTCCTCTCTTGTTGCAATCGTTTATATAAAAATATGCCATTAGATGTCAAAATATGGCAAATCTGAATTTCATTCATGTGGGAGTTTACTTTGTAGTATAGTTTGAGGTACGAAAACTTGATGTTCTGTTGATCAGAGAAGTCAGAGTTGAAAACTGGGTGTAGCTTCAAATATAAAAGATACCAAGAGAAGCACGTTTGCCCAAAAAGACACGTAGAGGATACTAACATGACTCCTTCCATTCAATGTTCTTTTCTCGAACGCTTTTACTTACCCATCGCGTTGCTATTCATTAGAAAAACCCCGTGAGATTTGCCATCGGTTTCCATACAAGTGTAGAAAGGATGGTGGCCATATAAATTTCCACCACTCTGTAACAAGAAATAAAAAAATAGTGAACTTCTACGATTAAAAAAAAAATAATTATTAGCGTAATCATTCAAAGAAACAAACGTTTAATAAGGTACATCGATGGAAAGCTACTCACAAATGGAAACTGGTCTCTTGTGAAGATAGGAAGAACTTCCCAGGCTGAAAGGTTATGTTTGAATGACTTATGTTCCTGTTCACCAAAACCGTACACGAATAAAGAAGGGGGCTGATTCGAGATCTGTATATACTGGTCCTCAAATATAAACACGCCCACAGACGAGTCCCATCTGCAAATGTTATGACAGTAACATAGTCAAGTAACGCCAGCATACGAGCCAAAAATGTTTCTCCTCCCGGTCTAAGTATCATGAAGCGATGAAGGAGTAATGCTACTCCCCCTTTGACGGGTTTCCACTCAGACCTTTCAATCCAGTGTCCAAAGCAATAATTAATCACATGGCTACCGTGTCTTCAACACTTGTCTCCAAAACTCTTAGTTAATAGACGACTCTGTGCTTCGTATTTTTCCTTTTTACAACATGTAATTTCTCGCGATTGCCAGTTCTTCGAGAGGCAAAACAAACAAAAGCAAAATTTAAAAAGTCAGGAAAACAACCCAAGCAATTAAAATATTGAGGTCACCTACATGACGACATCGTTTTCTTTTCGCAGTATATTCAAGGAGAAAGGATCCTTCTCGAACTTAACAGTATACTTTGCATTAGAAGCCTTTGATGTCGCACTTGGCATAGGGACTGGTACTTCATATCTTTTTTTCTTGGCGTCGTAGAACTATGGAAGTAAACGAAGCCCAGTGTCAATTTTAACACTGGAGAAAAAAACACAGTGCCGGATGAGATTTGGTTGCTAATTTCTTGCCACGCTAGTCATGTATAGCCACTACAAGTCTTGAAATTTGAGCAAAGCTTATCGCACGCTCAACGAAATCAGATAAGTTCATTCATTACCTTAAATCTAACACGGTCGTCTGTTTGAAACTCAACATCAAGGACAATCTCGTCGATGTCGTCCCCATAGATAGTCGTGTTGGAGCGTCTATTAAGGGTGGCTCGGTATCCTAGCTGGGTTTCTCGAACCTCGCCATCTATCTTATATCCACCTAAATATGACTTGGGGAAAAAACACCAAGGAACACCCTGCAAGAAGGAAGTTAGGCTTGTTATTTCAGTCAAACAAGGATATGAGCCCTCAAGCTTAAATCATACCAAAGGGGCTGTGATGATCATAGTGGAACTCACTAATATGAATAGAGAATAACATATGGGTGTGCACAAGCATGGAATGTATCTTCTTGTTTTCAACCCGATATCGCGAAATCGAGAGTTGAACACGAGAGAGAAGTTCCTTATCTGTAGCAACCTTATACTATTTTCTATTATGTAGGCACTATAGGCCTTAACTGACAAAAAAAGTTTGACAAACGGCCTTGAGAATTTAATGGTGAACGTTTTGCCATTCATTCATCAACCTGACAGACTGGCGCGAGAGGCGAGTGACGTGTCAGCAGCTGATTGGCGATATCAAACAAACGAGAAAAAAATTACTTCTGGAAAGGTCTAGAGTAAACTCACGACTGGAGGGAGATACGTGTACACAGCTTTCTAAATGCAAATGTTTTCCTCATCCAATATACTGTTGGTTAATAACAATACGGAACACGTGGATTCCTTTGTCAGTTGAGCCTAAGCCACATATACTTCCATCTGATCTATTGTGAGAATGGTGTATTGACCTCAGTAACCCGAAAAAAAGGAAACAACACAAAACAAATGGAAAAAAAAAACAAACAAAACAAGATTTCTGGAAACTGAAGCTGAACTACAAGGTGACAGGTTGTCAGCCTTCTTTATTTCTATTCCAATACTCTGACAACTTCTTTAATTTCATCTTTTTTTCCGAGTTGTCAGTAGTTACCTCATTTAATTAAAAACAAAGAGGTTTCTTAACATGCATTATACTCAGTTGGGTCACCATGATAAGTGATCTGGTCTAAGTGTATTGAGTCCAAGCTTTCTTATATATTCCTGACACTGAAGAACGAGTTATCAATTAATGCAAAATTAGAAAAAACTTGTATCTAATATACATATCTAACATCGAACATATCTAAGACACAGAGCGTTCGAGGGGAAAACAAACCTTTTAGAACTTTCAAAAATTATGCACGTTCGATTTCTGGAAATACAATTCAATGTTGTTTCCCTCTGTTTCAAGAACAAGTCCAACGGCGTTACAGTAAAACTACTGCCACTGGGGTGACTTGTTCAAAGGGTGAAATGCTGAATAATCTAATCACTTGAATCGACCCACCAAATTCTTCGTCATATTGACTCGCTTAACTCCGAAGCACTGAATGTCACCACTAAATTCATCTAAGTCATTGTTAGTCGCTTAATTGAGATCAGGGAACCCCGCTTTCAGCCGTAACGAAGTAATTCTTTCAAAGAGTAAATATCATTACCTTTGATTGAGATTCCTCCCATGTGCACCCACGGGCCTCGCAGAGAGTTTGGTTTCCAATTTCAGGATAACAGTCGATTTTGTCTGTGTCCAAGACATGCTGTGCGAAAACCGACGATAGTGCAACGGCAACGATTAAGCAAAGAAGCATCGTTTGGTTGTAACGGGACGCCATTACAAATTTCCGCCCGTGGCGTCTTTTTATTTCAAAGCTGTCACGAGATAAAGAGCTGTGCTTGGAGTACCAACAGACCTTGTCTGACCCCTAGCTGTCGATTATGTCAGTTAATTGGTCACGCCATAGTCTCCAAAGCGGGCCGTTTCTGGGGGAGGAAAATGTGACGTGACATCGCAAATAAAACAAATAACGCCACATACAAGTGTTGTCACGCTCATCCTCTCCTCAGAACGAATTAACAAATACTGGGGAGAGAACGTCATAACCATGATGTGGGGTAACAGAAAGTGGTGTTTGCTATTTGTGGATAGGAGTGTGGAACAGTGATTACTTTTCCTTTAAAGACACTTAGCACCTTGTTTGTCTCCGTAATCATGATTTATTGTTATTTTGTACATACATACATAACTTTATTTAGTACTACAGATATGAACATCCTGCCCAATTACTGAGTTAAAATAACTTGAAACTGAAAAGTTAACTTGTTACTGAAAAGTTTTTTTTATTAAATAATTTTCTTAACTTTTTTGATCATGTGATCTGATCAACTAATCGTAGCAGCACGGTGGGAGGATTTCGAGCTCAAGACTGATTCATGCATCACCTCCTCCCTATCTCCCAAAAATATATATCCCACCATTATGAATGGAAAGTAGCTTGCACTCAGAGACATCAAAAATTTTCTGAGTTTCTTTTCCCAGTTGATTTTGATGGGGCTGAACCAAATTCTGACGGATCGCTGATTTCAGCTGGCAAGACGCCTACAAGAAGCCTACAAGAAACTGAATCACGTCAAACTAAAGTGGTATCAATGTCGACATCTCGACATTTCCCAGCCTTAGATACGAGATAACTGGGTAGTCCGTAAAGATAGTTAATAATTCATGTTAGAGTAGTTTTCCTTAACAGCAAATATCTAAGGCTGCAGTCCACCGACAAATAATTGGTTTTGCGACACTCTACAAAGCATTTCCTCTTTCAAATTTGCATAACTAGATTTCTCTGATGGTATAAGTGCCACATGAAACTGATTCAAGTAAAGTGAAGCGCCATAGAGAGTTTTGGCTCAATGTCTGCCGCTCTCTCGAGTTAATGTCTTCGTCCTCGAGGAGCGTCGGTTAATTACTTGAACAGAGGCTGGCTATCGAGTTTTGGATAATTAAGAAACATTGCCGTTTGAGTTTTAACCTTTGGCGGAACAAACGGGAACGGATATGTCGATTTACAACTGGAGAGTCGTATTTCCTCAACAATCGTGTCATTCAAAGGCAAACGGTTGCTTGATGATATTCAATGTCATTATAGGTAACGATTGTCCTTAAATGAGCTCATTATCATAAAGGAACTTAAGACGGCCTCTTTCTTCTAGGTCCTCTAGGAATCCCATATGCGATTGGACTGCTCTCTCAAAGTACGGTAACCGCGTAACTGAGTGAGTGATGGTTTTCAAGGAGAGTTGATGCAATGCATACACACAACACACCGCAATAAAAACGTTCATGAACTGTTCCGAGTTGAAAGTCATCCCGCTTGACTTTTCCAATTGTTCTTGATAAAATCGAACAAGGTCTGTACGACTTGTTATTTCACCTCTCTCTGGAAGAACAAATGCAAGGAACTCAACCACGTCATGCTGAGGTGCATGAACTGTCGCCATTTCCCAGTCATAGATACAGGACACTCGACATAATTTGTTGTTTGCGATAAAAAAGCGGTTGTGGTTATCTTCCGTTGGAAATTCTTGCTTGCGGAGGCACACATTTCTTGGAGTAAAATCATAGTGAACTAAAGTCCTTGGAAATGACTCGATTACTTTCCATAAGCGGTCCATGTTGTCAATAAAACTTCTGACAAGATTCGTCCTAACATTAAGAGAAAAACACAATTTTCATCATAATATTAAAACAATTTTTCAGTTAGTACAAAAGTGATCCGGGATTTCTTTTGTTTTGCTTTACCATGCTCCGTGATTGGTCCAGAAAATCCGTGAAACTTTCGCAACCAATCAGATTCAAGACTAAAACCAGTCGCCCCTTAATAACTTGCGTTTACGTGCCAAGGAATTTGCTGGTTTCAACTTTGAGTTCTCATCGGCTCTTTGTGATATTTTGATTTGGTTTTGGTTTCACGACACTCAATCTAAAAGCAGACCATACTCTTTGATCCACCCATTTAAAAGACAAGTAATCAATCTAGTTTAAAGTTGCTTAATGCCAGGGAATGCGTGAATCACATGCAACCAGTAAGGAGAAAAGAATACATCCATTAGGAGCCACTTACCGAGTGACAGCCTTTTTAAAGCGTTTCATTCAAGCTTGTTGCGAGAATTTTGCTTTTTAATTCTTTCGCATTTTTTTTTCAAAGAACACGGCGTTTAACCCTTTGATTCCTAACAATGATAAGCATCTAATTTTTCCCAACAGTATCACCCCTGAATCAAACATTAAGATTAAAGAAACAAATGCGAACGAAAGAGGCCCTTGATTGTTGGACAAATTCTCCTTTTAAGCATCATAGGCAATGTACAGAAGATAGTACGGAGAACTTGCATACTGATGGTAGGGTGTAAAGGGCTAAGTTAACTTCTTTTTATGACAAAGAGTGTGAAATGATTCTTCCATGACTCATTGTTCTTTAGTTTAATTCTTACTCGAGCATTGCAGTTATTGATTGAGTGAGTTTGATGTCTAGAATAACAGAGTTCACCTTTAGTTTCCTTCGTCTTGAGAACGAGGCGTTAAATTTTAGGCATGGGCAACAAAATTGAGAACATATTATTAGGCATGTTAGGGCTTAGTCACCTTTTCGTAGTCCACAGATCAGGAAATGTCACGCAGTTGTGACGCAAAAGGGCGTACCAAAAACCTGAGAGCGCCTTCATAACGCTTCCGCTGTAAAAGCACATCCAGGGCTCAGATTCTAGGTTAGTTACGTTGCCAAGATGGATGCTATGGAAACGAGCAATATCTCGCAGAACCACCTTTGAAAATGATCAGTCATAAAAGTAATCAAAATAATAATAATAATAATGATGACAGCAACTATGAAGATGATGATGATAATTTAGTAAAATCCCGTTAATACGGCTACTAAACAAAAGCTGAAGTGTCAAGTGAACTTGATTGATTTAAACACTTCGTCTTCGCTATACAGGCAGAACTTCGAGAAGACCGGGCACTGTGAGAAACATGGGGATTTGGAAAAGAGAACCTCACATACGTGCTGATCACGAAAGTGAAATTACAAGAATAATGTCTCCTTCGCGCTCTAAGACCCGACCTGAAAATCAGTGCCACCTTCTTGTGGCACTGAGTGGCATTGTTACTTTAAGTTTCTTTTCTCCTTTCCATCAAATTACAAAAGATTCGTAGAGCAGTGAGACTTGCCTTAATATCTTCTTGATCCCAGACCTCTGACGCGTTATTGATGGTGTTAAAATGTGTCACGTGACCAGTAAGATCCTCCATAACTATTACAAAAACCTCCTATTAACCAATAAAAGAATGAGTACGTAAGCAGCAAAAGAGGCAGGCAGGTGAGACAGACAGAATCGAGTGAACATCTTGCAGCAAAAAGGGTTCAATTTCGCCTCAGAAAGCCCTATCAACACGAAGGTGTTTTTTTTTTTTGTCTGCACTGAACTCTACTTTCTTTGAAGAGGAATTCGGATAACGTTTGACAGTTTGCCAGGCTGCTAAAATAGCGCTTTGATTAAGTCACGACCGGGAGATTTCCGAGAAAGAAAAGGAATAATACAGACTGCCTTTACCTTAGAAGGATCACAGACAGTGTGATAAACTTTCGGTGCAATGTCTGTGAACCTTGAGTCCTGCGTCCTCATGACTTTAATCTCTCTTACATCAGAGTTCCTAAAAATCAATTTGATGGTCACACAAATATTAAAAGAAACATTCAAATTGCTCTCTATCGCTGGCAGTTTTCTCTTGTCTGATTATTTTCTGTCAAGCATTTTCCCCTGCTCTAACCTACAGAGGTGATGGATCAAGAAAGGAATTGTTGAAGTAAAGTGCCGTTGCCCGTTGCCACAAACACAGCACCATGCGCCACTCAGTGCTCAAACCCAGACCTCTCGACCGGGCGTTGAGCCCCATGAACTGATCACTGCGGCTCCACTTTACCTTGTTTGTTTGCTTTGCCCCGATACAGCTGGAGACGCAGGTGGGATAGATGAAGATGGAGACCCTACATCTTTGCAACTAATCTATTCTGGAAAATTTTTACCTGAAATAAGACACCTGACGAAACATCTCAGCATACTGGCTTACTTCTCCGCTTTTTTGCTCGATCCAGCTTCCAAAGATGTTAACGAACTTGAGGGCCAGTGGCTTACACTTTGCGACAACTCGAAATGTTTTCCTTGCTGAATCTTCTACCATTCAGTTGGTGGAGGACAAAGAAAATACATCTTGTCAGAACATAAACGGTCTTATAGAGTCGAGAGCACCGAATTGTGTGGACTTATAAACTCTATACAGTTCGGTTCATCTTGGATAAGACTCGCTCGATTTGGCATTTTGCAGTGATTTCAGATCGTTTTTCCGTCCATCTATGTAAGTTTTGAGACTTTTTTTCCAAGGATGTTTGAACGCAGAAAAAGCTGAGCGCAACTTTGTTTTCTCTCTAAGCCTACGTCTTAAGCTGAAAAAAAATGAAAGTCAAGTATTTTTGAAATTTAACAAAGCAAGAAAAAGGAAGCTGAAGCTCACCAGAGCTTGTTCTGTAAGTGATTTCAAATCCTTGATGCCCAATCATTCGATCGTCATCTTGAATGGCTTTACATGTTGTGGTTAGACCAATGCTTTGCTGAGGTATCTGAGTGAGCGATTAAAACATGTGTTTATACAGATTTTAACTAAGTTGCTATAATCGTTTACGGCGGAATATATATCGATGGCTCCGTTGAAAGATCTATGAGCTTCTTTGCAGTTATTTTCCCAATCAATATAGTTCTGAAAGGAAAACTTCAAATCTGTTAAAAGGTTGAGGCGCGCATAGTTAGTCATAAGCATGTGGAATACTCCGTACCAAAGACGTTCCTACTCATTACTGCGCATTACTACCGTGCACTTCATTCAACGAGCACTTCAAGCGCGTGCATTAAAGAGATAATGAGGAGTGGCAAGGGGAGAAACAAAGAAAAACACTTCAACTTTCTCCCCAACCATTTTACCTCGCGTCCTGGTAATTCCCACCTTTCTCAGACGATGTGCATTATCACTTTACCTCAAATGGATACCAAGAAACAAGTTTTCCTCTTTTTCCAAGGATACTTTGGAAAAACTCAACCGTCAACAGAGATGCAGTTGCGCCTTTACTTTCCATGCTGTTGCTGTTTTTGTCTCGAGCCTTTTTCATACCTTCTTCTGACAGGAAACACGGTCTGCTGCAGTATGGGGAACACAATTCTGCCATTGAATATCTGTGATGAAAGTAAAATGAGTTAAGTTTCCGTCAATGCTTTCCCAACCTAAAATTCTGAACTTGTTTTTACAAAAAAAAATCTCATACAATCCTAAAAATTCGCCCACAGCGCAATGTAAACATATTCGCATATTCACGGAGGCTCATTGTGCGGGCTTGAGCTACCTATGCTTTACTCAAGGTAGTTTGTCAGCCAAAGACAGTTGACTACAGCTGAAAGTAAACACTGAGTAAATTACTTCCGATTGCCGTATCACTTACAATAGACCTTCTTCGCCTTGTTGTTTTGTTGTCCCATTCGATATTACTTGAGGGATTATTTCCTTTGAAAATCGATCAAATGAAAGGAGCCTAAATTACTATCGCAAGATTTCAAAATTTACCGAATTGTTTTCAGTATTATGAGTAGAAATCTCTTACACTCTTGTACTCTTTACCATAGCGCTATTTATTCATTATCATTATTATTCTTTGAATCTTTTGTTCCACCTGAAATCATGCACATGATAGATGACCTCCGTCATGCTGTATGCTAATATTAACAATTGCAATCAAAGATCAGGTTGAACTTAGGCTTTCTCTTGTTTGTGGTACTTTGGGTGCATTGAACAGTGAAGCGACAATATTGTATTATACTCAGAAATTACTAAGCTTAAATTTCGAAGCCAAGATTATTTTGTTGGCACGTTTCTTGGTAAAAGGCGTATTGTAAGATTTTTGAATTGCAGACTGTCTGCCAACTTTGTCGTTAATACAATGCGCGAGCGCATGAGAGGATCGAAAGGTTGTTTTGGTATTGTAAATGAAAATAGTTTTGATGATGCACAATAGCTCTCTTATATGGATTTAGCCTCCATTAGCACCTAAAGTTAGTGATATGTTTCTGTAGTTCAATATAAGAGGGAAAACAAAGCTAGAAAATACTAGTTATCTAAAAATTTCTAACACTCTGTGTATACACAGACGATTACTTGCTATTGTAAGACACTTTTGGTTATTTTTCCTTTGGGAATGATTGTTTTCTCCACCGCTAGTAGGTTCGCCCTATTCGCTAGGACTCAAACAATCAAACAACAAAAATTCATTCATAAAGACTAGAAAGAGATTGTCAACCATTTTCGTGCAGAGTTGGAAACATCGTGGGTTTGTTACACGAAAAAGACAAAGCTTACCAGATTAAGGTTTACCCCAGTTCTTGAATGCAGTACTTATAAAATCACCGCAATTCTCGCTTGATCGAAGGTTAATTCTTGAGACAATCACGAGTAAACTTTACAAAAATAAGATAATACTCCGTCAACGTGCAGGTTCCCACGTGGAACTGAATAGAGTCCTCACTGCATGTGCATATTCCGACGGATTTTTGATCCGTAAGTAAAGTAAAACGCCAAATTCTATAAGTTCGCAAGTTACAGTTCCCTAGAAGTCTACCAGGTAGAATTTCTTTGCAAATTCTTACGACGATGCTCTCGTTCGTGGGTAGAGATGTATGTCACGCAAAGATGTTTTGAACCGAACCGCACCTCTTTGTTTTGGTTGAGTGACAAATAGACAGGATGGACTCGTGGCATATGGACTTGGACTATGGAACGAGATGTAGACAAAGAAAAATATGACACAAGGAAAACGGAACTTAAAAAAATGTGGGATATTATGTTGTATAAAATTTAAGAAAAGCAGATTTGCAAGAGAACTAGTAGTTCAACGGCAAACTCTACATTTTTACCATCTTCATTCCTAATTTTTAGAGACACGATAAATTCGAAATTTCTCCGAGTCAAGATGGGCAGAATTTCTCTGAGAAAGGGTGGAAGCGTACTAAGGCAATCACCTAGGACCCGCAACGACTAAATAGCTACTGAATTTTTATTGCGGTAATGAGTGCATATATTTCTTTGCTGTGCAGGGTGATTATTTTTTACGGTGATTCAGATAAAAGTCAATACTAACAATGTCGCTCAGTGACAAGATCGCGCCTGCTGTTCAAATTCCCGTCGAAAATTCAAATCTTTTTAAGTCATTTGTTTAACTCTCGTCTAGAAAGAGACCAGAAAATTTTACAGATGGGTGAAGAACCGATTGAAATTAAGACTGTAGGCATAAGGTCTCAACCAAGGTTTAAACAAATCTTGCGCACACGAGGCGCTTGTAATAAACTTTCGAGGGCGACAAGCCGTCTCAGTATAAGCCTTGTTTTTAAACCTTATTTATCCGGCATTTGAATAATCGATCGCCAAAAAACACAATATCGATGAGCTGTATTCTGGAATGAATAAAACCTCCCCTTTTTTCAACAGCAGAAAAGGGAAGACAAACACTATAATTCGGTAATTGGGTTCTCGAATGCCGATTTCTACCCAGAAAAATTAGGTCACGTTTCAGATGAAAAGAGAAAAAACATATGCTTTTAAGTAATAAATTTAGAAAAGAGGAAAATAAAAGAAAAAGAAAAGGCAAAAAAATTATAAAAATAAAAAGCTTGCTACCGCCTAGAGTCGATCCCTCGACCTTTCACTTGCCGAGAAAAGTACAATTCACTGCGCAGAGTATGCAAATGTAATTTAAAATTGGTAATGTGCTTTCAGTGAGTGGACCAAAATGTTCAAAATGCGAAGTCAATTCAGTGGCCTCGGTATTTTATCCTTCCATAATTCATTTCCGCGTTTGACGGCCCTCAGCCATTTTGACTTTCACGTTTGTTCGCATCGTTTGCATATGGTGCTTTCCTGAGAAATAAGTAAATGGGGTAAGTTTTTAAAGAAACTGTGTCGCTGCGTTGGTGGGAGAGCATAACAGGGTAATTTAGTATTATCAGCTGAATTATAACTTACATTGGCCACCGTAAAGAGTTTCAAAGCTGACTTTTCGAACGTTAACCCTTCGTCGAAGCTTCCACTGCTTTTCTGAGGGTCGAGCTAAATTTTATCAAGGAAATGGTAATTTTGATTTTAGTTGCGCAATTGTTACACTTATCACAGCATTCAATGACCTGACACGGTTTGATGCTACTCTAGTTTAAAGATTTAATGAAATAATGTAACCGAGAAGTTACGACCTGGTTCCCATGTGAACTTTAATATATTCAATGACCTGTTTGCTTTGAGCCTTGCTTAGTTCGGGTAGCTTTTTTTCCCGGTCGGTAACATGTCACGGCTGCACCACTGGTTTCATGAGTGACATAACCCTCGAAAGCTTACAGCTACATCATCTTTAGCTCTGCAAAATGAACCCTCGATCGATTTGCCCTGTATTTAAAGGACCTTTTTTTACTAAAAGCGGCACTTAAAATATCCACTTGTAGAGAAATGAGCCTCCTAAAAGGATATTTGAGACCCAGGGTAAAAACAAAGAGCACTGTAAACTCGTGTACCCATTAGGTGCCTACTTTTTATTTTGAATTGAACCTTGAATCCTACTTATTCAGATTAAATTTTATTTTGAATTATATTTTTTGCAGTTACCCTCGTGACCACGCATATTTTGGTTATTTACTTCAAGCACTCTAAAGAACAATATAAAAAAAAAGAAGTTGGTTGACCTCACTCCTACAGTCTGAAACGATATTTGCCCTCAACAAGTAGGCTAAAAATTTCAAATGCAATGTACAAAAGCCACGGCTGGAATTAAATACCAGTAACAATTTGATATTTCCTATGCTCAACTAAGTGCAGCTGGTTTTAAAATGAAATCCAATCCAGTAAAATGGGAAACTATGCATCTCAGTATAACATATCCGATAAAGATTAATGAGAAAAGGATACTTCTGTCTATTTATTTTTTTAGAGGGGCCATCATGCATCAGTTTATGACTCGCTCCGAAGGCCGACGATATTGTCTTCAGAAATGGTATTTCTGTGCTACAATTTGTTGCTTCCGCGAAAGTATCCTCGTTGCATTAGAAATAAAAAATCGCGCTTTCCAGCAGTAAGTTAGGTACTCGTGCCTACAAAGTATGCCTATCATTCGAGCTATAGGTAGATACATGTAGCTGTAAACAGTAAATTAAGCGCTAAGATGTGAACTGAAGACAGTTGCAGACACAAGACTTACCGTTTGATGAGTCACAACAAGTCACGGAGCTTAAAAGAACTTGGTAACATTTGTTCGAGGACGCTTAAATATTCCAACGAGCTGTCGAGGTTACGGTTTAAAACGACGCTATTTTTGTGTTCAACCATTTGCTTTTCTATATTCAGCGTGTACCTTGCTGTTTGGTCAAATGACTAAGGAGATATTGTTTACGCCCAGGCTCTGTCCTTTCTTGCACCCGTCTGAAAGCCTAGGCATTTTGCCAACGAAAGTGAAAGCTTATATAGCGTTCAATTTCACCAGCAGAAGATGTCAAACCTCAATATCTATCAGGTATACAATTGTGTCAATAATCTTGAGATCAGCGTAAACAGAAACGGGCCAAAGTACGCATGGGTTACCAAACTGGCTCAGAATTTGTGTCTAATTTTGGGCATGCAATAGGGACCCGATTGACATAAAGGTATTTTTAGAGTCACTGTTGTTAATCGGCTTTCTAAAGGGTGCACATGAGATAATTATAATTTGCATGGGCATATTCACCTCCTGGAGAAGACTTTTGATTTTTTCACTCCTCCTTCAGCTCGTTTTTTAGTTGTGGAGATGCGTCCCTGACCCATGATTTCTCTGTAATCATTTATAATGAGAAGGCAATGTTTCCTAGTGACTGAAAAGTTCATATGTCACGCAATAGCTATGAAATTTAGGCAAATTTGTATTCCTCTTGATTTACCTTAGTCACTTGGCCTTGCGTGTAGTTTTCTTACCAAAATAATAGCTAGGCTAGTGCAGTTATAGGCAATATGGTTCCATTTTCTTCCGTACGAAAATCGTAATCCTAAAATGAACAACATCGCACGTTTTCGTGGGGCCCTTGCTTTCATCCTCCTCATTCACTAACAGAACCACCAGGTTATGCTACTAACTATAAAATGAAAAGGGCAACAGGACTTGCCGAGGTGTCAACCTATACTAGATCCAACCTTCAAACTTAATCATCAATTAACTTTCGAACGAAAGACGAATACCGACTGGTCACGTGATAAACTGAGTTTTGGCGATCCCCTAGTAAAGACCCAGTAAAAGGTAAACAAAATGAAACAAGTGATAGAGACTGTCATCGAGACAAGTAAGGCAGAGTTGGTAAGCAAGTATCTGTCGAGAATTGTCGTCGAGCTTGCAAATCATGGATTGTTTCTGTTGCCTTTTCGAAGGAAGGTGGACAAGCGCGAGTGGAAAAATCCGCGAGACACTCACGCGTGCTTTCACGTTTCAGCTTTTGCCTCGTTTTGAGACAGAGGCCAGTGAGAGTGTGGCGCCAAATATTACCCAGAGCTCAAATAGTGCTTTTGATATATTGTCACGTTTTTATGAATATTTTATCATTTACATTATTTCTCCTATTGAAACGAAGGGTGCAATAGTAATGACAACAAATCTTATACCATCATCATAAGACCACAAGAAAAATGGTAGGTTTGTTTATGTTCAATGCTCGATGTTGTTCGCACCATCGCAACCGTTTCTCTCGTCTCTCGAAGTGAAGTTCGGCAATCTTTCGCTCTGACTCACTAGTCTCTTTCGGAGGAAGTATGATCGAGAATAAGGAAATGAACTAGGTACTTTCGGTTTAGAAAAGCTAATTTGATTAAGCGTTCTTTCGTGCACTACGGACCGATTTTTCCTTCTTTTATTGATTTATTCAAATGAAAATAAACGAAATTATGTCCAGTTCTACTGTGGGTTTAGCTAGAGTTGATATTGATGCAAGCTTTGCAAAATACTGCATTGGCTAATAGTTGAAGCACAGACATTTCACTGTGCTCTGAATTTTTAAGTTTTTCTGTATCATGAACCTGTCATTCATGAAAATATAGCCGTTGGTAAAGCATAATATACGTTGATCAGGGAAAACATTGGTCTAAATAAGTGACTACTACATAAATAATTATTATGGTGAACGTGAAGTCTGTTCTTTCATTGTTTATACTTAACAGGCTTTGTTTCATGCGAATCCATGCCTAGTCTTGCTGCAATTCGATAACATTAAAATCGCTGAGATGCATAGTTTCCCATTTTATTGGATTGGATTTCATTTTAAAACCAGCTGCACTTAGTTGAGCATATGAAATATCAAATTGCACTCACGCCAAATTTTGATCGTTCGCTAAAGAGAGATAAGCTTACTTTTTGAACCTGAAGAAAATGGCAGCTAACGTATTTAATTTCCTCGGTACATTAGGTGTTTAAGAACTTAAGACTTAAAATATCCCTTTATTAAAAGTTCAGAGACGTTATTTTGATGCACAATTGTGTATGTTTCTGTTGTTACTTTGAGCTTTTAAGTTTTTCGTTATGTTAAATTAAATGTTGATTATTTATGATGGATAAAATATGCAATTCAGCTTTAAAAGGGCCAATACTAATATTGCTGCCTGATTGATTTTAAATTTGATTGACAATGGAAGGGATTAAAAGGAATTTATTTCAGACAGTCTTTAAGTCTCTTGTGAATGCATAACGATTAAAATTTTTGAGAGGTAACTCAGCTCATCCAATAAATTTGTGGACACTGGTCCTATCTTTTTGTCTTAATAGTTAAACGATGCCATGATCTGTGAATACTGTGTGTTGATCATGTACTTTCTATCTCAGAATATTTGAATTAAATTTCCTGAAGGCAACTTTTGATGTTTACATTTTGTCAGTCACAGATCGTTGGTTTTCATTAAAGATATGGGAGCATTGTTCTGGTCCAAATATCTAGAAAAATTTTATTAATTACTTCTGTTATTCAAAGTAAACACCATTAACTAGGTTGTTGCTTATTTGCAAAAGGGTGAGGCAGACAACTCTTAAGTCCCACCAACTTTTTGAGCAAGTCTTTCTTACTTGGCATAAAAGTGGGAGGCAAGCCCAAAAAAAATTTGAGCAAAATGAAGGTTTAAATTGTAAAATCTACTATTCTATTTATATATAGTCTTACAGGCTCAGCTGAGTGTTACAAAGTACTTTCCATTATAGGGAACTACTTCTAACCACTTCTGCACTCAGACATCTGTACAAATATTCTTCTCATTATTCTCTGTTCATTTCCTATTAAGAGATTCTTTAGTTTTGTGTTGAACAACTATTGAAATGAACCTGTGAATAATTGCAGTAATGAATCATATAGGTGAATTAATCATGTATACCTGAAAACCATTCCAAACTTCAGGAAGAAATTGCTGTTTTTCAAAATACAATGTGAGGAAATCTAATTGTGAGTCTCATGAGCTTTGAGTTTAGTGCTTGTAACAATAATAGAAAACTTGTTTGTTTATTTTGTAATCACTTACAGTAACTTTTGTTTTGTTTTGTGTGTTTTTCTGTAACAGTTGTAGTTCTCCATTAGAACAAGGTGATGGATTGCACTGAGGATTCTTGCCATGACAAATCTTTACAACCATTCTCTTTGGAAGGCAGTGGTCTAGACAATGAAAGAGAGCCTATTTGTAACCAAAGAACTAGCACTCCTACCAAAAACACGTCCCTTCTTCACAGTGAAGTTTTAGTAACTACAAATGGACAGGTATCAAACCAAGAGGCTGTGTTGTCTCCTGTTTTAAATTCTGGGTGTCAATCTAACACACAGACTCATGATCAGGATCAAGAGAGTTTTTCACAAGAACAAAGTTTTCATTCCCTCAGAGAATATTCAACCCAGGAGAATTCAAGAGAAGAGTCCCAGTCACTTTATACCTCGGCATCGTCTAATATAAATGACACAGTAATTGCAGACAGTTTCAGTGCAGAGAAAGAGAATATTCTGCACCTACCTAAGAAAGAAACTCTACACCAAGTGACCTTTAGTCCTGAAAATGTTAGTAAAACTTCTGCTGAAGACAACTCCTGGGCAACTGCCCAGGGCTCATTTCAAGATGATCCTGATGTTGAGGATGTGACTATGAAACAAGAGCCAAGTTATTTGTCAGAAGAATCGTTTGATGAATCTGTGGATCATTCTTTTCAGGAGAATGACATTGCCAAAAGATCTGGTGATTTCATGCAAGATTTAAATGATTCAACACACAAAGAAATTGCATTTGCTTTCATGAATGACCAAAATTTGCAATATGAAAAAAACGGTGCCAAGGAAATTGCTGAAGGAACAAATCATGCAGAGGATATGGACTCTCCTGATTTAGAACTTTTGAATGAGATCTGTGAGGAGGCCACCAATATGACAATTAAAGAGGCCTTGATATTTTCTTTAAATCCAGGAGTACGAGCTGGATTAAGAGAGGGTAGATTATCACTAAATGAGAGTGAAATATTAGCCTTGGAACAGTACTGTGAAACTTTTATTGATAAATTGATTTCAGAGCTTTTGGATGGACAGTGGTCAGAGAGAATTAACAGTGAAATTCATAAGCAGGTGCTTCTTGATAGTAAGGTCTTAGTGGCTAAAAAACTCAGCAATCTTGATTTAGAAACACTGAAATTGAACTGTGATAGATTTGTTCGTAGTGTCATCACAGAGTCATTGCATGATGCTAGTTTTGCAATCCACACAAGGGACACTGAATCAACTGAAATTAATGGGGGAGAAAAAATGAGTTCACTCGATCAAAACACCATCCAAGAACTTCTTCCAATTTTCAAACAATCTACAGCCATCCAGGATTATATCGGATTTCTTTCAGCAGACATTGTTAAGTCAGCATTGGCAAAGTTGTCTACTTCAGAATCCATAGCAACCAACAACGATGAGAAAAATGGTCAGTTAACATTGAATAACAATAGCACATCACACATCAGAACAAGTGAACAGGAAGCAGGTGATTCTTCTGAATGTGAAGAAGCATTATTTGATGAAAAAGCAAAGACTGACTTGAGGAAATCTCAGGGGAAGTATACAAACAGTGGAGATCAAGGTGATAAAACAAGAACTGATATTGCACCAATAGGCATTGATGATGATTATGAGCTACACTATGAGGGAGAAAGAGAGGAGCTTTCAGACAATGAGCAGATTTTTTCTAGCAGTGTAGGTGGTGCTTTAGAGACATCACTGGAGTTTGATCCAGATGGTGGTATGTGGGACGAAGGGGAAATGTTCACAAACTTGAATTCATTGGATGCAGGTGTGTTCAATTTTTATTGAGTAAAAGCTATTTTTAAACAAGTTCATACAGCATGTTAGTTTATGCAGGATGCAAATTAAATAAATGTAAAACATTTGACTGGGTTTGTGTTTTCCATTAATCACAAATTGCAAAATGGACCCATGGGATTTTAATGAGCACTAAGTACCCAGAGGTGTAAGAAGGGTGAATTTGTTTAAAACTTATAGGAAAAATTATTGCTGCGGATTTTAAAGACTTTTTTAATTAACTGAGAATGGTCTTTATAATTTTGAAATAATATGCTACTTCTGCTCTGAGATATTTGAGTTTTTTTATTATGCAAATGAGGAAACTGATGGTATCATAAATAGATGTTGACTAGGGTAGTAAATTACAAAATCTGCTATGTTTACAAGCAATGGTCTCCCAACTTGGCATCACAACTTTACAATAGAAGATACACACCACAGAACCATTTGCACTCCTACTGAAAAACATGTCACTTCCTCACAACAAAGTTTAAGTAATAACAAATGGACAGGTATCAAACTAAGAGGCTGTGTTGTCTCCTGTTTAAAATTCTGTTTTAGAACCAATAGTATTACCATGATTATATCAGAACATGAACCATCTTGTATCTTTAATGGAGGTCACTCTTTGAGTAAAGTGTAAAAAAAAAAGTCATGTTAATTTTCAGAGAGAAAACAGAAAATAATGCTTAAAGAATTATCATTTGATGAGCATGCTGATGTTGCTGGAACAGAAGTGTTGGCACCTGTCTTCCTTGCAATTGCAGAGGAGAATGATGACGATAGTGAATTTCAAGGAATGAGAAAGAAAGCCCAGTCAATTGAGAACTTGTGCACTGTCATCAACGAAAATGGTAAATTAATTGTTTTTGTTCATTACTGTAAATGCCCCAATCAATAATGATATATTCATTTTTGACTCAGTAAAATGCTAGATCTCAAATTTTAATCACCAGTAGTCAGTATGTAATGATTATAATTATGAAATTATTTGAATATATATCCTTTATTAGTATCATTTTGTTGGACATTGTGGTGCACGTTTGGGGCTAAAATGGAGATTTTACATTTTAGCCACTTGCATGCTGGCATGATTGCTCATACTGTTTTGTTGTCATCTTTTTTCAGTTTTTATTTTCTAAATGCCCTCCATAGGGATAGTAATAGTAATAGAATTTATGTTCTTGGGCAGGAATATGTTTCAGGCCTTTCTCAAAGTCATTTCAACCCTCACCAAGTGTCCTAGGCTAAAATGACACTGAGTCTGGCCCAAGACATATGTCAGTTAACATAAGTTCTATTGTTTTATTGTTTTTAATTTATTGTGTGTCTGATAAACTACAGAAAAGGGCAATATATACAGAATTGTCACATAAAATTTTCACATTTTATTAAGAAGCATATATTGAAATGCAGTCAGTTATAAGAAGCTCTGATAAATTAATTTTTTATCATTATTAATTGTAGATAAACATTTTTCAGACAGTCAAAGGCAAAGAAGTTATTCAGCTCCAAAGAAAATCACCTATCTTTTCCAAACTGACATCAGAACTGAAGAGGAAAACAGTGATAATGCTGAAGACAGTGAAACTGAAGTTGAGGAACAAGAGTATGAGGGAGATGAAAGTGAGACTGAAAATGCTGATGAGCAAGATGATGATGAGACAAGGGTGGAAGAAGGTATTCCCTCAAAAGCTCAGCTAGAAGCTGACTCTTCAGATGAGAACAGGTTCCGTTGGCATACTGTTAGCATACATGGCAGGGACAAGGTACTTGATTTGAAGCTCCTGGAGCCATACATGAAAGTCATCTCTCATGGAGGTATTTTCATTTATCTAGTTGTATATTTATATTATTATATTTACAGATGTAACATAATAATTATGACTTAGATCTGTGCTCTTGATTGAAATGTGTGGTCAAATTGGCTGGGAGTAATTGTAGGAATATTTTTGAGCTGGTAAGAGAGGCCCAACTTTTCATCTTGGGTAGACGGCGATGTGAGACGAAAATATGATTGGACCTGTCTGTGTTTGTTGTTAATTATGTTGTGCTAATGGCTTGGTTTATAAGTGGTTATACTTAATGTCTAGACAGGTTACTTAAGTAGGTGCTGTTTACTTGAGTCTCAAGGCATCATTTCCACAATCTATTGGTTAGATCAAGTGTGTTTATGTTGCATGGCAGAGATGGCCAGAAAGGGACCATTGAAATTATAATTATATACTCTTCTGATTCATGATTATATTATGCTTTCCACACCTGGTTGGGGTTTTATGGAAACCATAAACTACAGGTTACCACAGATGTGCAGCTGAAGCACGGTCTTGAATTAATATTCTAGGCTTGAAAATCTTGATTTGGGAACCAGGGAACTAATTAAATTGGCTGTAAGTGCACACTGACCTAGTGCACTTACTGTCTAGCTTTACTGTTCTGATACTCTTCCTATGTGTACTAACTAAATTTTCATTTGCCTTACTAAATTAAAAAAATAATAAATTAAAAAAAAAGCAAATGGTTTTTTTTCTGAAATTTCAGGTTATTTCAGTGATACTAAGTCAACCATTGTTGTGATTGCTGCCTGTTATCTACCTGAGAAGACTATTAAGAACTATGATTTTCTAATGGAGCAGCTTTTCTTGTAAGTTCTCTGTCAAAAGACATTAAGAGGATGTTAACAGTCCTTCTTTCTTGCTTATTCCTCTTCCCGTGACTGACTGATAACTAGTAATTTTTTGCTTGGGGTTGTATTTTTTCCAGTACTGGTAATCCTTTTTCTCACTTCTGTAGTCTTTGCTTATTCCTCTTTCACCCACCATGAATAAAGGGGGTTAAGTATCTAAAGAAACTGTGGTGCTGCATCAGACATTTTGAGTGTAAGGCCTTTGTCAATTGCTCTGACAGAGGGCTAATGCTCCAAATGTCAGCTTTAGAAACTCTTGAAGGTGAGCGATGTACATCATGATCAACTCAGTTGCTAAAACTAAATTATCTTGTATCACCCACATGTTCTAGTGCTGTATCCAGCCTCTCCTCTTGGTGACAACACTCTCCATCGTCAGCCCTACGCTCTGGCTCTTTTTTTTTTAAATCATATTCCTTGTAGGCCTTATCATGTACTGCAGCTTCTCTCTTTCCTTAAGTCAACAATTTTGATTGTTTAAACTTTGATAAGTGGTGTAAGAGGAGAGATCAAAAGTTGACAGTTTTCAGAATTTCATTTGGGTCCTGACTCAGAATGTATTCAGAGACTGTTAAAACTGGTACTGACATTGAGGTTAAATAGGTAAAAGTAATGTAAGTCTCTGCTATAACACTTTCTTGTTTCTTTTTAATTTCTCTATTTTTTTCTTGTTTATTACTGTTATTTAGTTATGTCATTAGCACTTTGGAACTTCTGGCAATCCATGAGGATTACTATCTGGTGTACTTGAACGGTGGAACAAGACAGCAAAACATGCCATCTGTAACATGGATGAAAAGATTCTACCAATATATTGAAGGAGGGTAGGAAACTATAATTTTTTTCCTGGTAATTAGTGGGCAAAAATTGAGGATCAAAAGATATTATTACATCATCTTCATACTTCCAAAGGATGGAAGAAGGCATTACTCCAACAAACATGTCACAAACTTATTCATATCATTGATACAATTAGGCTCACTAATGGCCCTTGAAATGGTGATCTTAAAATATGACTCTTTTTTTTTTATTCTCAATTTAGCCTGAAAAAGATGAAAGAAATGTTCATTGTGCATCCCAGTTTTCGACTCAAAGCAGTTATTACACTTGCCAAACCACTCATCAAGTAAGATATGATTGAAATGGTGTGTAATGTATTTTTACTATTGGAGTACATTTATAGTGTAAAGAAGGCAGATACATGGCAGATACATCAAATCATGTGTCGAAAATGTTACTTACTGCTTCTGTAATTTAGAATGTCTGTGAATTGCCTCTTTTTCTTGCAACTTTTTTCAGTGCCAATTTTTGGAGGAAACTCAGTTTCATTAGCACACTTAGTACTCTTTCAAGCCTTGTTCCAGTAGATTACATTTACATCCCTGATGAAGTGATGAGGTATGTGGCTGCTTTGTCAAGTTCAGAGTAAACAATATGTTAACAGTGAAAACAAGCAATCCATAGTGCAACACCTTGCAACCAACAATCAATCTAGTTATAGAGGGAACTGTAACCTTTGACAATCCTCTTTAGGTAATTTCCGTCAATTTCTGCACATGCATTTGATAGCTTAGTGGTATCAAACCAGTGCAGGGTTGATTGTGCTGTGGTCTGAAAATCTTCATATTCAATTATTTTGTGAAAAAGATAATGACATAAAAAAGTACTCAGTGAAATTGCCCGATGAGTCAATCCTTACAGTAATAATATTGTTGTCATTATTCTCAATACTAGAATATAAAAACTCATGGACTTTTAATCATCTCTCGCTGCCAAACCTAAAGTAAGGTGCACCCTGAATCTCCTCTTTGGCTCCTTCCCTATACATACCCAGCTTACTATTAGAATGTTATTCAACTTAATAACTGTCATGATTTGATTTTCTCCTTACTCTAGAGTTGACCCAACTTACAGACAAGTGCACAATAAGTGAAAGCATTCAACTCTTGGGAAATTACTCTGGGATTTATTAAATGAAAGGATTTTTGAGACATAAATACATTTAGTTAGTGTACTAACCTTGTAATAAAATTATGACATACCTTCACTTAGCTTAACTAATTGTTGGTGAATCTGATATTAAGATTCTTATTTTGAAGCTTCTTGTTAGCTTACTGAGGCAGGTCAACCTACCATTGTTTAATTAACCCTTTAAATCCCAAGATCTGATTGTCAATTTTCCCCTTCAGCTCCCTCATGATAACTGAATTTGAACTTTTTTCATTACCTGTTTGTTGGATAATGTGTGGAAATTAAAACAAGAAATTACATCTTAATCACTTATGGGAGGTAAAGGGTTAAGTGACTGAATTTTGATATAAGAGGCAAATACAGATGGTTTTGTTTGTACTCCTTATCATTTGTTAGTATGAGCCTTGTTTGTATTTTTGTTTGCAAAAAAGGTCGATAGTGCAGTGCTGGCAACACAAGCCATACTAGAATAGTGGTTGTCATATTCTGTGTATCCCAGGGGCTAAAAGCTATTCTGGTACCTAATTTAGTTTTCAATTTTGCCAAATATTCCTTTAGCCATACTGGCAAAAATAATGATCAATCCATTGGAAATTACATTTAGTTATTAAAACCTTATTTATATTTTTAATATATTTTAAATCACCTTTACTGGTAGTTTTCTATGTTTATTTGCATGGAAAAATACAAGTTGGTTAAAGTAGGGTTTTTATGCTTGCCTACACAAAACCTAGGACTGTAAAAGGGAGTTTTTCTGATCCACTTCTATATAAAAGGTCCAATACAATCAAGATGAGAAATTGTGAATGGTTTTGAAAAAAAAATGAAAAAATTTTATCTGATTTGTACATCTTGGTTTCAGAAATTGGAGAAAATCTTTTTGATTACTTCACAGTAGAGGGTTTTCTTTACCACTGGGGCTTGTGTACATTTACAACTGTAAAATAAATCAGATAGTCTGAGAAATAATGCAGGAGTTAACGTAGTGCATTTTGAGGCAGATGTATTAGCACAGAAAGTGTTCTCAGTACAAATGTTCAATATTTCTGCCATGGAATCAGAGTAAAATAGATATGCTGTACAAGCAGTTTCTGTGTAACTGACAGTTACAGTTAATGTAGCAGTTATTAAGATCAGAAAAAATTTCTTTTCAGTTACATTTGAGAAAACATGTTTAACCCATTGTAAAATTTTTTTCTTGCTACAAGTGTGGGCTAGCTCATTGTTGAATCTGTACTTGATTTTTTATTACAACACAGGAAATAATTTTTGCAGTTAGGTATCAGCTACTGAAGGTGTTGTAGATCTTGTTGTGGTTGCTGTGCCAAACTTTATATTTGGGTTTGTTCTTTTGAGAAACATGAAATATTCAATCACAACTTTGATATATTATGGTGGAGTTTTTGTAACATATTTATCTCATTTTAGTTCGTAATTTGCACAAATATTAATGTTTGTCATTGAGAATAATTTACTCAGCACCTGGACATATACGTATAATTGTTCAATCCTGTGCGCCACTAACAGTAGTGTTATAACCCTTAAAAATACTTCAGCTGTAAGAATGCAGCAAAGTTTTTGTTGGTCGCTTTAAATTTATTGATTACTAGTACAAAGTCAAAAATCTGGACTGCTTCTTTATGTCTGAGGGTGGGGATTTTCCACAATCAATAAAGTTACCTAAACTAAGAAAATGTGTGGAAAATCTGTTTTTCTTGAAACTGAAATAAATTTACATTTCATTGTTAATTTCAATTACAATGATAAACAAAATGCCCTTTTCATTTAATTAGTACCTAAAATATTCCAGTTTTTTAAATTCATTTGATGCATGCATGCTCAGTTAAAAACAATAAATGAAAACAAGAAAGGCTTTGGAGAATACCACAGGTACACACGTGGGAAGATAGCTCAACTGTGATTGAAAGATACAAGACTCAGTCATCCTTTACAACTCTTACCTTTACTCAAACTGAGGTATGATTAGCTGAGCTGTTGAATTTTAACAAAATCATTCCATGACCTTTGTTTTTTTTTTTCTGAATTGTTTTTCTTCTGACACTTCTTTCACCCTACATGTCATCAGTAGTGACACCTCTTAATCGGGTGTTGTACAACCACATCCAAATAAAAATTATCATGGCAAAGTGGTGCCAAAGATAAGACTCACAAAATAACCCAGAAAAAAAAAAAGAAAGAACTGGCTCAAGTTCAGGAACATGCAAAGAAGGCATGATTCTTTTTTATTTTCATTGCAACTTGTTGGTTTGAAAGATGGCAGGAGTGTTCTGGATAAATCATGAGAACATAATCATGCAAAACCACTACAATCCTAGTTTACTTTTAACATTTGTTTAACAAAAAATGCTCTTATTGGACTTTTTCAGCTCTTTCTTTAGATACTATAGTACTGCTTATGCACACAGACTAGGCAACTTTAGTTTTAAGTGTTCCAATTTGAACAACCCTCCATTTATAGTGTACATTTGTGAATACCATTTTTATCATACATAATTTGCTGACTGCCCCCAGTATTAAATCAAGACTTGGCCTTGAAGACAGGCATTTACATCTAGCAGTTTAATTCAACAAAGATAGCATCACCAAGGTTTTTTCTTAAACAATTGTATTAGTTTCACACCATAAGTCAAAACGGAGAAGCCAGGCTGGCCAACCTATTTCACAAATCCAGTTGTAACTCTTAATTAACTCATCAAATCTGTCAGTCTAAAAATTGTGAACCCTATTCTTGGATAACTTTTTCTTGGAAATATGGAGAAACACTTGATTGGGAAAAAAAAAACAAAACAAAAAAAAGCTCACTAAAATTAAGCAGTCTGATAAGACAGTTCTGACCAATGGTGAGTGCCCATTGACAGCTATAAATCTTAAACACCAGGGTAGCAATCTTGACTTTAAATTGTTTTAATATAATGTTAGGGGACATCAATGTTTGCAAAAGTACTCCATCTTTGAGACCCAAGATTTGTCTAGGACCCCAGAAACACTCGCAGCATTACAGACCTAGGCCCAGTTGTTCGAAGGCTGATTAGTGCTAACCCATGGATAAAATATAAACTGAGTTTCTTTTTTTCCTATGTTCAAAAGCCTATGTGGGATAATTTTTTACTTAAGTGTTCTTTGTGGGGTATCCAATCACCAAATTGTAACCAAAAAAAATTCTACTGAATTTCATTTTAAAGCTTTCAGATCTGAAAACAAACTTCATAATAACCCTGGATTATATTAACCCAGCTTTGAACAACTCGGCCCTAGATTATAATTTCTCCTGTTACCAATACTACCCTATGTAACTCTAAGCTACCTACAACTGTAACAACCTGTACATGAAAATAAAATTATTTCATTCTATGTATCATTATCAACAACAGTTATGTCATTTTAATTAGAAAAATAGAACATTTGTTATTCTACTTGAAGGAGGGTAAGTTTATGTGTGGGAGTGATTTCATGGATGGTAGGTTTATATTAGGTTTGGGAAGATTATGTAGGTTTGGACTGATATTTCTAACAGCAGACATTGCTCTCTGAGGTGCAGCACTTATTCCAGCCTAGGAACAAGAAAACAATTTAACATCATTATGGTAAGAAGTATCAGCAGCCTTGGTAAAGAGTGAAAAGGGAATCAGTTTATCTTCTTAACTTAAGAATACAATCACTTAGTGATGGAAACACTACTGTTAGTGACAGTTAACTACCTGTGACCAACAAACACAGGTCACTGAATTGCTTCCTTGCAAATGACAGCAATCTCTGTAAGATAGACTTGGTGCCATTTTCTTTCCAATTTGAATAAGGATTATGGAAAGAGAGAAATCACAACTTAAATCAGGATCTCTTTTTAAATTACATTAGCAATCTGTGGGTGTACCTACAATTTCTTGTCAACCCAAACATTCAACCAGAATTGCCTGAAGACTGTATGCATGTGCACCATGAAATATGACACTTTCAAAAACAATTACTCATTCATAACTTTGAAGATGCATCTTACCTCTGATTTTTCTAATTTATTCTGTGCCTCAATGTGGGTTAAAATCTCAGACATGTTTGTTTCTAGTACCATACCACCCATTACAATCTCTTGTAAAATAAAGTGAACCTGTATGAAACACAGAAAAATGCAAATTAAACTAGAGGTTGCTTGAATTGTTTCGACCTAAGATAACTTCAAACTACACCATATACACGTCTGCTTAAAAATTTCAAATTGAGCACATAATACATGCTTCTGTTTGCATACCTTGTCCATATGAAATATAAGATCCAGCTCACAGACATTTTCAAAACACTTGTCTAAAGTTTCCACAAATACCTAGAAGAAACAAAAAAGGCCATTAATCATTGATCAAATAAAAATATAAAGGGACATAACCATCACTTTTTCATGGTGTTCACAATACAGTCCAACCTGTATTAAGTGGTCACCCTCCAGGAAAAGTGGGATGACTGCTTAATACAGGTTGACCGCTTATACAGGTGCTGCAGAAAAGGGATACAAAAAAAGAAAAATATGCCATTTCATGCTATAATTGACAGCTTAATGAACAAAAACTCACTCAAAAATGCTATTGACATTGATTTCAGGATGAAAGTTTACTTGAAAATTATTCTTAGTTTTATTAGTCTTCTGCCACAGGTGAACATTCATTACAGGTGGAAGACAATACAAACAGGCTGTTATGACTTGGTAAAGGGTGACCAGGACTGCTTGATAGAGGTGACTGCTTAATAAAGGAGAAAATTAGAGTACTTAAGAGAAAAAATTTCAGGACTTTGGAAACCCACTGCTTTTAAGTTCTCTCAAAATTTCAAAATGATTTTTAACTGTGGCAGTAAATAGGCTTACTCCAAAGTTCAATGTTGAAGCTGTGTTGATTTCATATTTCAACTTACCTGTATGAGATCAAGTATTCCTAGCTCACTCTCTGATGAATCCACACAGAACACAAAATAAAGCGTAGCGTAATGTCGGTAAATAATCTTGAAGTCAGAACCACCAATCAACCTAAAATCAACCATGACTGTAAGTTTCCAAGGCATTATTATGAAAATTGATCAAAAGCTTTGATCTATTACAAATATATTTCAAAGTAAAATGATACATAACAACTTGCATTTCATTATGCTGTCTAGGGGTCTTAGTGAGAGTGGTCCAGAGAAGAATTGTTGTAAGCATTAGCAAGTGAAGTTTTGATAACCTCAGCAGAATTCATCATCAACGACTCTCAGGTTGTTCAAACATCAATCACCACTACCAACAATAGCCCATCTTGGGTCTACTCTCACTAGTATGATCAGAACACATAATCAAATGTTATTTCTGAGTTCAAACCATTTACTGCAAATTGACTTCAAGAAACAAAAAACAAACTTAAGATAATACAAATATAGTTACTTACGTTCCCCCTTCTAAGAAATTACAAACATTGTCATCCCTTCTTGAGACTATGTGAAATGTTTCTCTTATTATTTGATGTTGCATGTCCTCAGACTGAAACAAAATTAACAAAAGGAGTTGGAATTTGATCATCTTTATGATTAGTAGTAGACCTTCTTTCAAGCAAGGTTCATGTTTGTAAGCATGAAATAAAAACTCAAGCATACAAATCAATCTCTGATTCTTAAACTCCAAAAACTGCTTTGAATGTGCAAGTTAATTTTGCACATTTGGTTCAGTCCTTACACACTGATATACACACAGGCTTTTTCTTGTTTCTGGAAATGCCCAAGAATTAGCTTCAATAATTTCAAGGTCAAAAAGTTTAATACTCTTTAGGCATGGATTCTCATACTGTTCAGTAGCCTTGAAACTCAGCCAGAGAAAAAAAATACTATGTATCTCTATATATTCTTGGGAACTTGGGCTTCTACTGTATAAGACAATGTGAGTAATCAAAACATGATTGCTCTAATAAGCTTTGAAAGTGATCAGTATAGGTGGTTCGATTTCTTTTTATTTCCTCAAAAGAAAAGAGACTATCCTGAGGACGAAAAAACGATTGTCGTCAAGGATCACTTTTAACACTCAAAGAAAAAATTTTTTTTTTAAATAGGCTACCCTTGATTCTGATTGCAATTATACAATAAGATATTGAACAACACAAATACGCACAAGCTCCTTGGTTTAAGAGATGTGAATTTGAATCATTTCTACGTTAATTTCTTCCTATTTCATCCAGTTTTCTCCCTTATCAACGGCATTCTAGTGTATTAATTGATGCATAGCTAGTAAAGAAGAAGACAAAGGCTACTAAAGAAGGCAGGCTACTCACATAATGCACAAAAAATTTCGTCATCCGAGGTTTCCCATGGTTGTTGAATACAAGTATCGCCTTAATCATCTCAAAAGAAGAAAAAGACGAATAAAGACTCGCTATACAGTTTTCGAGTTCGATCACCTGCGCTCAAGATGGCCGCCACAGTACTTCCCACAATCCCCTGGACACTTTGTACAGCTAATCCAGGTCCAGGACCCGACGGTTCAAGGGCTATGTAACCCTGCCGTATTCTTTCTCTGAAGTAACATTGATCACACTCCAGAGGCGTGGGCAAAATAAAAGCCGTATTAGGTTTTTTTTTGGGTTTATTTTGTGTTACAGTCTCATAAAAAAACATCTTTTACCCTTTAAACCTACTGTGAGTTAGGAGTACGGATTCTTTTATACTTTATTGCCAACGAGCCAGCCGAGCGAAGACGCGAGGCTGGCGAGGCGGCAGCATTATAGAGCCGTGCGAGAGTATTGTACAGGCGGAAAAAATCTCGAGTGATTGTAAGATGTCTGTAAGGTAAGATTCCTGAGATTCCAATGACGTAATGTGAATAGGCTTTGTTTTGCAACGGACCAATGGTAGCGCGCAAAGATCGTGACGTCAAGTCCACATGGTGCTTATCGTGGACGCTTAGCAGCTTTGTCATTTATCGAGCGGAGGAGCGAGCAAGTTTGAGGTAAGAAAATTGTATTTTTCACCTACCTTTGTAAGTTTTATTTCCAATTCTGCGTGAGTGCACTTAAGTTAAGTGCCTTTGTGGTATAATTATCGAGTTAGCAAGCTCAGTAACCGGCCAGTGTGCCAAAGTCGGCCAGTGTGCCAAGTTGACGAGTGTGTCAAAGTCGGCAAGCGTGCCAAATGTAGACAACGCCAGCAGGCATAGAGCAATCAAAGAAACTGAGAAACCACCGAATTAAACAAAACAAAGCTCAAACAAACGATAATCGTAGCAAACTAGCGGCCAGTAAGCCAACTTTGACACCATTAGCGAGCAGAAAGCAATCAAAGTTGTAGCAAACTAGCGGCGGCGAACGAGCCACACGTGAGAGTGCCAAAGTCGGCAAGGGTGCCAAATCTAGACAACGCCAGCAGGCATAAAGCAATCAAAGAAAGTGAGAAACCGCTTGAAACTGTATTCAAACAAAACAAACGATAGTTTTAGCAAACTAGTGGCCAGTGAGGCAACTTTGTCACCATTAATAGCGAGCAGTTAGACAACGCCAGCAGGCATAAAGCAATCAAAGAAACTGAGAAACCGCTTGAAACTGTATTCAAACAAAACAAACGATAGTTTTAGCAAACTAGTGGCCAGTGAGGCAACTTTGTCACCATTAATAGCGAGCAGAAAGCAATTAAAGTTGTAGCAAACTAGCGGCGAGCTAGCCACGAAAGAGTGCACTCGTCATTGGCCACTGAACCAACTTTGTCACCCCACAAACAAGCTGAAAACAATCGAAGCAACTGAGATTCAACTTAACTTAAGCTTGAGTTAAATTCAAAGGAAACCTAACGCGGCGGAAGTGCATTGGAGAGCGAGCAAGCTGCAATAATCAACTGTCAGCTCGATCAATTCTTTCGACTGTTATTAATATCAAGCGTATCACGAATTTTTGAAGCACAGACTTTTTGCCCACTAAAATACAAAAGGTACACCTAGAGCAATAAACCGCACAAAAGTTTGAAAATGATGTGGCTATTGTTTATGTTGCTACTCTTTTCCCAATCGTACTGCCCACAATAATCTGTTAGAATTGGGGAGTGTGTGCCCAAAATGCAGCATGATCTATTTCAGATTTAGGGGAGATACTTGTCAAGGCGAATAGCTTATCCTTCTAATGGTAGTTTTAATCCCTTCGTTATTTCAAACAAGGAGGCACACATTGTGAATGGGAACATAAATTCAGAAGTGTTGGAAGAAAAACGCAATGCAATATGTAATAGCACTGATAGTAATTCTACATACATGTGTGAAGGATCAAATGTAAGAGATCACTTTCGTAATTATTGTTTGACCAACGTAGGGAAGTTTTCTTGTGCAGTTGATTGCTTTCTTGAGCTATGTTATTTTGTTTTTTCGCAATCATCTTCAAAACATTACATGCAATGATTTTTTTTCAAGTTATCTCTGAGGCGTGCAATCAAAGGGCAATTGTTGGTGCTGTTGATGTTGTGCGAGAGCCTATATGGTCACTGATCAGAGGTCGTTGCCCATCATTTTCTTCAATGACTGCAAATGCTGTTTTTAGTGACATATTTACCATGCAAGCATTTGGGGATTTAACCAGTGATTTGAAATCATTATTTCTTATTCAACAATGTAATCAGACTTGCTGCACCCTGTGTAACAATCAAATATTGAAAACTACTAGCACTATTGTCTTGTATATTACTTGTCCAAATATTCTGCCCACTGAATTTGAAAACTGTGTTTCAGAAGCTGCTTTGCCTAATAGCAGCCCACTTTTTTTTGTGATGCATGTCAAAGGCATTCTGGTGATATTTCAGGTTTGCAACATTTTGTTACCATGCCAAAATTTTTACACATTGAATTATCATCAATTTCTTTTTGGTCAAACTGTTCTACCAGCAAGTATGGAACTCTTAGGTACATTTTACTTATTAAAAGCTGTTGTGCGGTGTGCAAGCCACCATTTCACTATTGCTATAAACAATGGTCGTTATTGGTTTTATTATGATGATCTCTGTAGTGCAGTTCAGCAATATGCTACATTTCAAGATATTTTGAATGTTTACGCCAATGGATGGTATTTTGCTGTTTATGAAAGCTCTGTTGATAACATTATTAATATACATCAAGGCATTGATTCCTGTACATTAATGCCAGACCATTCTTATTCAAAATTAGAGGATAAAGAACGCCAAGCCTGTGATGATTTTGGGAAAGAAGTTTGCACACCCAGAAAACGACAAAGACCAGAAACAAATACTGACAAATTGATAGATAGAAAAAGAAAGCTGAACTTAAATGTAGTAAATCCACATTTGAAGAATTACAAAATTGCTAAAAAAGCCAAAGAGACAGAGAGTGAAAAACTTTCTAGACAAAAAAAAAAGCAAAAAAAAGAATATATGAGGGCATACAGAAGGAAAATAAAGGATTATGAGACAGGGGAGGAGAAGCAAGCACGATTGATAAAACAAAATGTGCAAAAGTGGAACTCTAGACAGAAAAAGGAAGACAATACATTTGATGTAATTAAACCAGTAGGAAAATTTACAGCTAAAAAAAAGCCAAAGAGACAGAGAGTGAAAAACTTTCTAGACAAAAAAACCAAAAAAGAATATATGAGGGCATACAGAAGGAAAATAAAGGATTATGAGACAGGGGAGGAAAAGCAAGCACAATTGATAAAACAAACTGTGCAATTTAAGTGGAACTCTAGACAGAAAAAGGAAGACAATACATTTGATGTAATTAAACCAGTAGGAAAATTTACAGCATGGCAAAAAGTAGATAAACCACTGCATAATGTTGACAAAGAAGCATATTTATCTCAATTTGACAGTATAAACACTGGACCAATTCATGTACAGAAGTGGGCTATCAAAAACATGGAAGACTTTCATAATTCACTTAAATTCAAAATTTATATGTGTGAAGTTTGCCATGAGGCATGGCCATTATCATCAAAAGGCAAAAAGAGATCTCCTTATATGTGTTCAAGATGTTCACGTGACAAGAATGGGAGAAAAAATTTTCATCTCAGAATGGAATGATTCCTTCACAAGTCCCAAATGAATTGCAAGGTTTAACGCAATTAGAGGAAATGTTAATAGCTCGTGTTTTCCCAGTAATTTCTGTTTATACAAAACCAGGTGGACAAAAAGCATATAAAGGTCATTGTATTAACTTCTCTCAAGATATCCAAGAGTTAGCCAATTCATTGCCAAGAAACCTAAGTGAAATGCCAGTAATAGTTGTGTCAGTCAAAGGCAAAGATAATACTTATAAAGATCTCACTGTGAGACGTGAAAAGGTCAGCTGTGCTCTGCACTGGTTAGTTCAACATAACCCTGTATATAAGGATATCACTATTGATTATGAATTGTTGGCTTTCTTGCCTTCTGATGGCATTCCCACTGAGCTGCGAAAAATTTATTGTACTGAGAACAGTAAAGATGATGAAATTGATCCAGACAGAGGTCCTCTTGATGAAATACCTTTCAATGAAGACACAGAATTGAGTAGCACAATTCTTAACCCTGTACAACTAAAGCCACAGAAGCAGCTGATAAAAGATGAGTTATTACAAAACAGTAAAATCAATTGGCCTAATAGGAATTCAAGTCCTCTCAATGAGTTTAAAATTGAATATTTAGCTACTATGGCATTTCCTACTTTGTTCCCAGATGGTAAAGGAGATCCTACTAACAGTGCTACAATGCGTGATGTGACCCTTGGAGATAAAATAAAACATTTGATTAAATTTGCTGAATATAATAATGGTAAATGGGCTTATAGGTTTGCAAGTCACCCACGGTTTGCTTATTGGGCATTCAACATGATTCAGAGGCACAGACTCCTTAGTCAGGGAAATATTTTTTTTTAAAGCAAAACCCTGGTGAAGCTAAGTTAACTGTAGAACAACTTCAACAAATGCTTCAAACAAATACGTATTCTACTTTAATGTCAAAACTTATGCATTATGCTAAAAATGTTACTGGTAGCAATATCTATTGGCACAAAGCTAAAGAGGATTTGCGAGCAACCATTGCTCAAGTAGGACCGCCTACTATATTTTTTACTTTATCTTGTGCTGAGTACCATTGGCCTGAATTTCATGAACTCTTTTGTGACCCTCACTCTGAAACACTTCAACCAGCAATCAGGCAGCAAAATGTTCTTCAAAATCCACATATCTTGGATTGGTTTTTTACTGAGCGAACAGATCGTTTTGTCAAGTTTTGGTTAAAAGAGTCATTAGGGGCTTCTTGGCATTGGTACAGATACGAGTATGCAGTTCAGAGAGGTTCAATTCATTGTCATGGAGTTGCAAAATTGAAAAATGATCCAGGACTTTGCGAACTGACAGAAATTGCATTGCAAGGTTTTTTAGCATCAAAGCATATCAATGAGAACAAAGGAAATTTGTCAGAAGAAGAAATATTAGAACTGGAGACTAAGATAAATCAAGGTATACAAGCAGAGTCTGTTGTTTGTCAGTATGTTGACTTTATACTAACAACTTGGAATCCATGTTCCCCAGAAGAAGGGTGGTCCAAACCAGATTCTCATCCATGTCAAACCCAGTATCTGTCTTTGAATGGCAAACAAAAAGAGGAAGACTATGTGAATTTATTAAACTCTGTTGAGAGACATACAATGTGCAGTACTAAGTATTGTCTAAGGAAACTAGCAAAAATGAATTAGCCTGTAGATTCAAATTTCCTTTTGAAAATTGCCCAAAGACAAGAATAGATTTTGAACCAATAAACACTAAATCAGGCCAAACCAAGTATAGAGCAACCATTGTTACTAAGCGAAATGATTCAAGATTAAATCGTCACCAACCACTGCAGCTCCAAGGATGGAGGGCAAATTGTGATATTCAAATTATTATAGATTATGTGGCATGTTTGGAATATCTTGTGAAATACACATCAAAAGGAGAAAAAGCTTCTTCAGTTCTAAATAATGCATTCACCAATGTAATTAGTAAAGCATCGGACGAAAGTGACATTCATAACATTTTGAAGCAAATTATGATCAAAAGTGTCGGACAACGAGATTATTCAATCCAAGAAGTTATGCATCATTTACTCTCACTCAAATGTGTAAGTGCAACACATGAAGTAATAAATACATCTCTTGATGGTTCACGAAGAGTACAGGTGTCCAAAAATAAGGATTTTTGTACAATCCCATCCATGTTGGATATTTATGCTGAACGAGAGAAGTTTATTAAGACATTTCCAGACATACTGACATATAATTTTTTGCAATTTACCTCCACATTTGTAAGCAAAAACTCAAAACTGGAGAAAAGGAAGCAAGCTGTAATAGTTAAAACTTATCCCAAATTTTCTTCAAATCCTCAAAATCAGCAGTATGGGCTGTTCTGTAAATATCAACTGCTAAAATATAAACCTTGGCAACATGTAGCAGACAATGCATGGGACAATCTTGAACAGTGTGATGAAACTTATAAAGCATGTTGGATGAACTTTTTGTGTAGTGATTGTGGGAAGAACAGTGTTCCTGACTGGGAATTGCAATTGAGCAGCTTAAAAGCAGCCATTAATCTGGAAAATGAAAATGAAAACATGGAAATTATAGAGGAAGAAAAGGAAGAGTGGATGTTTATGTCAGAACTGAATTTACAGGAGTTGAGCACAGATACTGAATATAACTCGACGTTAGCTCCTGAAGGATATTGGCACAATGTTAGTGAACATTTTGACGATGTTGATCTACTTTCTGTTACTTCTTGGTTAAATACTCAGAAAAATAAAAATGAACCAAGTTGGCACATATCATCAAGAGTAATAGATATTTCAAGTTTTAGTAGCGATCAATTGTTGGCATACCATATCATTCTAAATCACTTCAACAGCAGTAATGAACTGCCTTTGCATCTACTTGTTAAAGGAATTGCAGGTTCAGGAAAAAGCTATGTTATTGATGCTGTAAGAAATGTTCTTAAGGAAAAATGTCAAGTACTAGCATATACTGGAAAGGCCTCTTTTAATGTCAAGGGTGTAACACTGCATTCTTTCCTCAAACTACCAATTGGTTCAAAAAGACTCTTCGAATTGAAAGGAATAGCTTTGCAACAACTTCAAACTAATTTACAAAACATTCAGTATTTGATTATAGGCGAATATTCATTTGTTGGCCAGAGCTTATTTGGGTGGATAGATTGTAGATGCAGGCAAGCTACAGGTTTAGCTGATCAAGCTTTTGGTGGTCTTTCTGTTATTCTGGTCGGTGATATAGCACAGTTATCCCCAGTTGGTGATAAACCACTTTTCCATTCTTTGCCAAAATCAGAAAAACAGATTCAGGGTCACCTCATATATAAAGAGTTCAAACAAGTCGTCACATTGTCAGTGAATCATAGAGTTGATGGCAAAACTAATGCCCACAGCTGCTTTAGAGATCTCCTCATTAGAGCACGAAATGGAGAATCCACTTTGGCAGATTGGCAGACATTGTTATCTAGAACTCCTGAAAATGTAACAAATATTGAAGAATTCCTAACATCATCTGTAAGGCTATCCTATCTGAAGGCAAAAGTTGCAGAAATGAACTTGATCAAATTAAAAAATCTAAACCAGCCAATAGCAACAATCAAAGCCCGTCATTCTGGTGGTGCTCAAACACTTAGCTCTGATGAAATGGGAGGATTAGAACCTGTCATATATTTAGCTAAAGGTGCTAGAGTTATGCTCACTATGAACATGTGGACAGAAGTTGGTCTTTGTAATGGTGCACTAGGAACTGTATTAGATTTTTGTATATGCTGATGGGCAAACTCCTCCAGCCCTGCCTATTTGTGTTCTTGTACAGTTTGATGAACAATATAATGGACCTTCTTTAACTGCAAGTGTTCCAAGATGCGTTCCAATTTGTCCAATAACCCAAATTTCACAAAACATAGGTCACACATGTGAAAGACAACAACTTCCTTTAAAGCTAGCATGGGCTATGACTATTCACAAAAGCCAAGGTCTGACTCTTAAAAAAGCATGGATAGATCTCGGCCCTTCAGAGAATTCACCTGGTATGACATATGTGGCTCTTAGTAGAGTAAAAAGACTCCAAGATCTCATAATTGAGCCAATGACATTTGAAAGGTTGCAAGCTTACAAAAAATCAAATTTTTTGAAATATAGGTTAATTGAAGAAAAGAGACTTGATTCTTTATCTCTAAATGCTTCTAAAAATGGTCATCATGAGTAACTTTGACTTAATACAGTAAGCATGTTCTCCAAAAGCTAAACAAGACATCCAAATACCAATTATTGTGTTCCCCTGTTTTTCTTTGTTTGACTTGATTTAATTATTGTCTTTGAAAAGCCTCTGGAGGAAAGTCAATAAAATATGTATCTATGTGTGATGTATTTTTAATTTGTAAAACATTTTTTGTTGCAGACGATGGCAAGCAAAAGGACTTATTGTAAGTACTGAATATAATTATTTTATCTTATAAATACAGAATTCATGCCCCTTTAAGTAGTCTAAGACTAAACAGGGACAACTGGTGTCCCTGTTATTTTGCAGCAACTCAGCCCCTAGCACCTGACTACTGTATCTGTGAAAGGTAGAGGCAATTTTGTTCTTGGTTATTGTTGTTCACTCTCATAATAATGAGTACATGCTGACTCCTTTATATTTCAAGCTTTACCTGCAATGTGTCATTTTCTTGAAATATCCAACCCCCCAAATTATTTGACATTACCATGCCAATCAAACATAATTCTCTTATGCATATTCTAACCATCTTAATTGTTTACTTGCAGCAAACGACCATGGGTTTATTCACAACCTCAGTCCAATTAAGAAGTCCCTTAAGTCAAAGCATCAGTGGTATGAATTTCAGCTTCAAACTTCACCCACTAAAGTGAAACGTTTGGTAGGATTTAATCTCTATGTCCATGATTCCTTAAAACATTTTGAGGAAACCAAGAGCCCAGTACAGCTCAAGAACATTATTGTAAAAGACGACAATGAATGTATTTTCAATCAACAATCTGCCGTACATAAAGCAGGCTTGTCAGATGTATCATTTTGTTACACCGAGCAGCCAAAGCTTGAAAGTGCAGGTGAATCAAGTGCTGCAAAAGTCAGTTACTGTGTCGAATGTAAAAGGTTTGCACCCAAACCAAAAAGTCAATGTCAGTGGTTCCCTCACTATGGGAAAAGAAGACCTCAAGGCTGTTGTTCTCAGATCCACTGGAGCAACAGCCCATGTGAAGGAAGATTGCGTGTTGGAGGACAACACTGGGTCATCAATGATTCACATTTGGGAACCCCTTGTCCATACCTTGACAACGGGTAAATCATACTGCTTCACCAACCTGACAGTAAAGAATTTCCAAGGGTCGACGTATCTAAGTACATCGCCAAACACAACAGCAAACCTTACAACACAAACAGTGCAAACCCTGACTGGACCAGATATGCTCAAAAGTCCAGAAAAGGAAGTAACTGCTTCAGAATTCAATTTGGTGTCAAAGCTAAACATCTTTTGTTCCTGCAAAGTGTGCAAAAAAACGCTTAAATGATGTTGAATCATTCACTTGCACCACACTGAAGTGTGAAAACTGTGGTACACGTCAAAGATCAAGAGATATCAAACTGCAGGCTTCAGCAAAAATTTCTATCACTGAATCAGAAGGTGACAACAGCAAAGAGATGTGGATCCAGGCTTTCACTGAGCAACTAGAAACCCTGCTGGCAGGATCAACCTTATCCCTAAAGGATAAAATCGATGACATTGAAGTTTATCTTATGTCTCTGGAAGACATTTGTTTGGTATACAATGTCCAAACAACAAACATTACAAAGATTCTCTCCTTTAAACGTCCAGAAGTACACTCTGATTAGCACATTGTCTGTGAACAGTCCAATACCCTTGTGTGATTGTCTCGGAGGACGTTGGAAAGTTAAAATTGTTGTTTAATACTGATGTAACATGTGTAGTCTCGGACTGGCCCATGCATCCCAAAGCTAAAAGATGTGCATCTGCTTTCCCAGGTGTTTGACTTTGAGGAACGTTATAGCAGTGAATGAAAAATATTTTGTTACAGTTTAGATTCATGTGTTAGAGATTTCGCTCTATACATCCCTTAATTAAGGATAAAATTAATGACGTTGAAGTTTATCTTATATTGTCTCGAAGAAAATATTTGTTTGGTCAACAATGTCCAAACAATGAACAATACAAAGTTCTTTCCTTTAAACGTCCAGAAGTAAACTCTGATTAGTTCATTCTGTGTGAACTGTCCAATAACATTGTGTGACTGTCTCGAACGATGTTGGAAAATTAAAATTATTGTTTAATACTGATGTAGCATGTGTTATCTCAGACTGGCCCATGCATCCCAAACTTAATAGTTGTGCTATCCCAGTTGAATGACTGTGAAGAAAAAAATTTATTTAGTGATTCAGAAATATTTTGTTACAGTTCATATACAATTAAGAGTTGTTATTGTGGGTTCATTTTTGTTCTGTATTACCTTATATTATTCAGTTTTACACATAATTTTTAGAAAGGGAAGAAAACACACTTGGCTATCATTGCAGCACAAACTTTTGTATTGCAATAATGTAAAATCAAGAAACTTATTTTCGTTTTCACCATATTCACCTCAAAATTTAAAACATTTCACGTTGGTTGGAATACTTCACTACTAAAATTTACACCCACAAAACATGACTCCATTTTTTAACATTACCAATGAGTATTTCTTTTCATTGGTTGCTCGTTGGCACTTAGCGATAGCTATATCTAGTTACTAATATTAATTGAGTCTGTTCTTAGATTTCCCTCTTCAAATGATCCAAGATGAGGTGAACCAATCATTGCTGCCCAGCAATTTGCCACCGAAAACAAACACAACAACAACAACAATCTATACTTGTCTGGTGCATAGTTAGCTGATGCTCATCTGGGCAGGCCAACTTCATAATTTTGACCAATTTCAAGTCAAATAAGAGAATCTAAATTACAGTACATTAATGATAATAAAAACAATGCAAAACAAGAGAATAGTTGTTTACAGATGACATCATCAGAATGGTTTGAAATATGTTTCACTGGGGTGCTGTGTCATGGTTGCATGCTCACATCCTTTTCAAAGAGAGAGAGAGAGAGAGGAGACAGCAGAAGAGGTGGATCAATGCAAGCTGTGTCATTTTGACATCTTTTGAGACCCTTCTACTCAACCAATAACAAGATTAACAAGTTTATTTTGCTTCTTACATTCAGGTGAAAAGAACATGCACTGAATTAAACAAGTATTACAACTGTTATGTTGTGATTTTTGATTCTTGACATGACAACAAAGGTTTCAAATTTGTGTTGTGCCCTTCATGTGATCAGAGCTCTCTTGGCAATCATTCTTAAATTAATGTAGGAGACTAATCTCAGACCAGGATCTCAGAGCTTAGTGAGCATCCTTCTGATATATAAACTTAAGCTGTACATCAACCTGAAATTTCCACACAAGGGAAAAAGGTAACCCAAACATCAGTATCTATATTCTCCACACTCCTCTTAATACTTTTCCTTCAGTATTGACAAGAAAAATTTGTTTAACAATCAAAGCTTCCTAGGTTAGCAATCATTTCCTCTATTCTATTGATCTTCATGAGTGATACGCCATCACTCTTAGAGTACATGGGGTTAAACATTAAACTGGCTCAACATATAAGGTGGCATCTAATAAGTCACCAGCACCAGTTAAGCTGCATTTATATCTTTGGAATGTAAGAGAACAGCATGAATACCTATTTTTTTTACCTGAATTTTGTTGGGGGTACTAACACTATGATATTACTATATCTGACTAACCATGAACTCAGCATTACACAGCAATTTTTACAGAGTTCCTAGACAGCTTCATTTTCTTAACTCTTCAACTCCCATGAGTGACCAAGACAGAATTTTTCCTTACAATATCAATGCAATATCAACCAGATAAGTGATGAGAATAAACAAAAATATCAATTTAGGGATAATTAGCTGATCTAATACTAAATTCTCTGAACTAACATTATAAGGATTGTATGGTTGACAGTAAGGAGAATGACAAATTTGATGAGAGTTAAAGGGCTAAGTGCCAATGAGGCTTCCTAGAAGCTTCTCAAAGTTACTTGGCTCAGGCTGTCTGCAAAATAAAGTACAAAAAATTGTCTTTGACTAAGATATTACCCGAAGAAACAGTGTGCACGGTCACTGTTCCAAGATACGAGGATCACATAACAGAGTGAAAGATCAAAGCTAGGACAACGGATCGTATGAATTCTGCTTTTCCCTTGATTCCGTCCAGGCCTTAGCTATGGTCCTTTTCATCTCATCATCTCCTTCGTCGTACATCTTCCTCATTAAGTCCATTATTCCTTCTCCAGGATCCTTTTTGTCGTCCACTTTCGGCTGCTCTTTCATATTCTTCAAGTTCTCTGTCACGGTCAAACAAGACCAACTTTCGTCTTTGTCCTTCTTCAAAAGGAGAGTCACACGTCCAGATTTAACTTTCACTGAACTGGATTCGGGAAGAATAGGATGCAACAGATTGATTATCTGAAAATGATAATTCTTTCCTTTCAAACCAAGTACTTTCAACTCCATTGACTTGGAGGTGAATTTCGAAGAGATATTCTCTTCAGGAAGAGTTTCCACTTCCGGCAAATTGATATAAATTTTCACGAATTTTGGTGATTGATCCCAAGCGTACGACGTGATTTTAGTCAAGGTGACATGCGGTTTCTTCACGGTGGGCTTCGCTGCCCTCTTTTCTTCAGTTTCGATTTCTCGTTCTACGCGTTCCAACTCGTCTTGTAGGATTTTTTTGACACGTGCACGAGTTGCAGTCGAGAGGATGTTCTGAATTTCATCTCTGGTTTCTTTAAGTTCTTGAACTTTCTCCATAATGGAACAAAAATCCTCCAAGAAGAGTAAAATTTGGCTATTTCGTGGCTCAACCTCGTGTGTCGAACTGCAAATTGTAGTTCAAGTTTTCAGGCGTGAGGGCCTTGACACTAGTGCCCAGACTAAACCTCTCCGCGTGACGGAGAAACAAGCGATCTTCTGGAAGTCATATCGTTGTTGTGGCTAGTGAAAAGGGTCTCGGGAGGATTTCGTGGACAATGAAAAAATGGATTGTCTTACTCGGCGGGGCTATGTTCTGTGTCTTTTTCATTTCTATGTATATGGTGGTGGATCAACTAGGAAGACTGCCAAGTTCACACGAAATTTTCAAAAATGAGGTAACTTAGCTTGAGGGTTTGTGCTGTAGCAAACATTCATTGACTTCACAAATTTAGGAAGCACCTGGCGTTATTTACCTTCAGAGTTACTTTATAACCGTTAACATCCTGTGTAAGGTATTTACTGATTCAACAATTTTCCGTCAGGAGAAACCCCCGAATTCCATCTGTTGCCTAGCATGTAGTAAGTGCTTTTGTTAGTCTTTCTCAATCGTCTCTGGGCGATGCGACAAGCTAAATTTTCATGCGGTTTTCAAACGTTTCTTGTTTTAATTTGATGAAGCCTTCAGAGGTGCTTATACCTTGCCGATCTGTGTATCCACGTGTGCAATTATCATCCTAAGGACCTATGCAAATTGAGCGGAAACTGCACTAGAGACTTTCTTGTTATTCCAAGCTTCTTACAGGTGTTTAAGATGCATTAACATAGTTTAGTTAATTAGCAAACCAGGACCTTTTTAAATGTCGACATGTGAACAGATGGCTTTTAAAAATTATAAATTCAAGCTTTGATAGGCTTTAGTGCCATATATTTTTCAACTTTCGAGAAATACTTGCTTTAAATTTGGTTTTATTTACCTCAAATTCATTTTCATGTGATGTAATTTTTTTTTCGTCATTGAGGATAGTTCATTTGTTCTGAAGAGAACTGATGTATTGTTTAATCCCACCTGAATTTTTTACTCCATCTTTTCCATCATTTTATGGCAAAAACTCTTGAATGTAAGTCCATAAGACTGTACCTGCTCTAATTAACATAAACACTTTTATTGAATTAGAGGAGGTGTTTTGCACAAATTGTTTTCAGTTGAGTTGATGTCAAAAGGATAAAGTGATAGAGGCAAACTTTGAAATTTAAATATTCCACTAAAATCAAGGGGTACTATAGACATCATTAATTAACATTATTGGAAATTTGAATTCTTAGACATTGTTATTGCAACTAAATTGACTGAATATGGTGGCAATAATATTTCCAACTCACAAGTGAAACAACTGGAGTGATTCTGAAATAAAGAGAAACATTTGTATTGGACAATTCTGCAAGCAAAGTCTCTCCTATTAATCCTTTAACTCCTAAGATCTGATTGTTTTTTCTCCCCTCTAGTTGTTACACATTTCTTGGTAAATTAGCGAGGAGAATTTGGCATTAGATCAAGATAACAACCTTAAAGTCATAAGTTTGAGTGTTCTCATTACTTTTTTGCTGGATAATGCTTATGATAATACATGTTTATCACTTCTGGGAGTTGATGGCCAGTTAAATAAGGGCTGGAAAATAAAATTTTTGGAGTTTTAGTAGAATAAGATTGAAATGTTTCAAAAATGAAATGATTTAAGTTCAAAATGACTGTATAAGCTCTATGAATCATTTAACACAGTCATTATCAATTGATATCATCCCATAGTTTAACTTTCTCAGACTTGTAAAGAACTTATGAGACAATCTCGATATGTTAGATACACATGAAATTGTCCTGAGTTTGTTTACAAGATTACTTCTGCTGCTATCAAAATGCCCCATTTTGTGAAATCAATATTTGGGGGAAATTTTTTTATAGCAAAGGAGAAGGAGAATCACTTAATGAGATCTTTAGAGTGATAGAGCTAAGTCATTCTTTCTGGGTTGTTTGAATGCAGGACCATGCTGCTGGAACAGTTCAGCAGTTTACCTGTATCCATTGCTCACAGTGGTCATACTTATAACTCAGTTCCCTGCAGTTTACGCCAAGTTGTTTTGGCTTGTGATTCATGTGCATGCCCAGATGTAGATTCAGTTATTCCAGCGAATTCAAGATTTACTAGTCTTTTTACATAAACAATTAAAATGAAAATATATGTTCTTCAGGTTACAAAGCAAATAAAAGAACCTTTGGATTTTCTGGAGAAAGATTTGAATAAACTGCAAGTAGACTTATTGAGATCTGGTAAAATAATTGATGGTTTGCAGAATGCTGTTGATCAATTGAGATTTAATGGTCAAGAACCACCTACTGACAAGACACAGGATTTGGCACCAGTAAGAAGACCTACAGCGCCTGCCAGTGACATGGATGACGGCTGTATATTCTCTGGTTCAGCATCAGGAAAATCAGCCAATGTGAAGGTGGTGTGAACAGAATTAGATGTACCTTTCATCATGTTTGTTGTAATAATAGTATTGTATTGTTTCCTATGCAAAGAGAAGTCAAATGATGTTCAAGTTAAATTTGTTTACCAATTGCAGAGCTGTTAGTAAGTCTCGTGCATTGTGCTCTAGACTCACACAAATGAATTCAATCTTATGCTCTCATGCTGAAACTATTATTTCTCACAGTCATTTGAGATTTCTGGTATAAATTGTTGATCTTGAGATAGTAGACCACTGCTTTAGTCAACTACCTTAGAATGATATGAATTAACTGTCTTAATGTAAAATTTACTCCTTGTTCCCTTTGTACTTGCTTCAAACACTTCAACAGTAGAAATTCTCATACAGAGCCACCTTAACACTTATTGCACATGTTCATATGCTGACTGCAGACATGTAGCATGGAATTTTTCCACACATGTTGAGAATAAAAGAACACATGTCCTAGCAATCTTCAGTTAGAATATTAAGTTGAAACATTTTGTTTTGATGCAGATGTTAGACATGTTTGATGTGATGCCATTTGATAACATTGATGGCGGTGCATGGAAGCAAGGTTGGAATGTGCAATATGATGACACGGCATTTGACAAGGAGCCTTTAAATGTGTTTGTTGTACCCCACTCACACAATGATCCAGGTACACTTTTTGAATGTTTTGGCATAGTTGTTGGTAACATTTTATGTTTATTTGTTACTTTTTTGTTGTATTTTTACACACTTAACTGCCTGGGGGGGGATGTTGAAGCTTCAAATTGACTGGCACATGACACATCACTTTGACTCCTACAAGTGCTCAAAACCTGATTGTCTCTGAGTAAATGTACTGGATAGTTTTAGAGAGATTATGTTGGGTTTTCCCTAATGCTTCAGACAAATTATCATGATTGTTAATTCTTAAAAAACAAAAATTACCAATCAAGCTTGTTTGAAATCATTGATAGTGTCATTACTATCATCAACTGAAGCCTATAAATCTTCATGACAAAATTAAAACCTGATACACCCTACAACTGAAAGCAATACTTTACCAAGGCTTCACCACTTCTTCTTCTGTTTGTAGTTTATTTACACCATACAATCATATAGCTACCTGGTTATGTGTTATGACTTTACCATCTTGATGAGTGTTTACTTCTTTTTAACAGGCTGGATCAAGACTTTAGATCAGTACTACACACAGCAAACCCGACATATTCTTGATAATGTTGTTGATGCACTTGCAGTAGATAAAAAGCGCAAGTTTATTTGGGCAGAGATGTCATATTTGTCAATGTGGTGGAAGGAAGCAGATGAGAAAAGGAAAAAACTTGCTTTAGAGTGAGAAGTATTTTGTATCAAATCATTTTGTGTTTGTAGTACTACATAATATGTATGTTCATGAAATATGTCAAATGTTAATTGATGCTGTATTTGAAGAAGTTTGCTCTAGGTCGGTTGTTTTCTTCTAATTGTATTTAGCGTAGCTAACCATGAAGTCTTGAATTTCTTGGTAAATTTTTTCCCTGAACTTTCTGGATCTTGGAAAACATCAGATATTTCCCAAATTCTGGCCTTGAAATTTAAGCCTTATCATTCTGTAACCTAATATCCTGTAACTGTTGCCCCAAGAACCTAATTGTGGACCCTTCTTAGTGAGTAGTGAATGCTGTTATTAATGAATGTACAAGTTACATGAAGGTAAACTGAAATTACTATTGGTTGGCTTATTTTGCAGACACTTAACTAACGGCCAGTTGGAGATTGTAACAGGAGGATGGGTGATGAATGATGAGGCAAACACTCATTATTATGCCATGCTGGATCAGATGATTGAGGGGCATCAGTGGATTGAAAAAAATCTTGGTTCAGGTGAAGAGATGAATATGAATTTGTTTTTAAGGATGCAATATGATCCCAAAAAAAGGATATGTTACAATCCCAAAATATAGAAAAAGAAACAGTATTTCAGTCAAAAATGCCTCTTTGTGTCTGTAGCTCTGTAGTTGTTCAAGCGTATTGTTGAGCAGTGCTCCTGGAAGTGCAACATATTTTCAAAGTCATGGTTTGGCAGCCAAAAATTCATGAAAATGGTCACCAGCTGACCAAAACTGTAGTTGTTTTTTTTTTTTTTTGGATGAAATGAGTTATTTTGAAGTTATTATTAATTTGTTACAAGGAATCAAGCCGATGTCTGGCTGGGCCATTGATCCCTTTGGACACACACCCACAATGGCTTATCTTTTGAGACGCATGGGTTTCCATTCTATGTTGATTCAGAGGACACATTATCAGGTGAAAAAGCATCTTGGCAAGGAGAAAAATCTTGAGTTTATGTGGCGACAGAACTGGGGTAAGTCATAGGTCCAAATAATCACTTATTATGACAAACCAAAAACATAGCAGACCAAAGAACAGTTAATAACCTTTATAGGGATCATCTTACTTAAGCACTTGCCCTAAAAGTGCTTAGTCCACCATTTTTTTGAAGACTGAATGGATTCAAACAGAAAACTGATGTTCCATTTGAGTTGCCAGAAACCTTCCCATGTCTTGACATTACATTTAGATGCTGTTGGCCTAATGTCTACATTTTATTGGTCCTTTAATCCCCAAGAGTGACTAGCAGCTAATTTCTCCATTGATACAGTATTACCACTGATTAACAGTAGAGGTCATGAGAATCAAAGATTGAAATGATCACCAACTAAAGGAGCTCTTGAATAATAAAAAATTATCCTTGTTGGTACCATAGGAAATGTGTAGCTTTAGAACAGTATAGAAAATATGTACACTAATGTTAGAGACTATTAAGAAATTCATTTTGAAAATATAATGCCAGTAATTATGAATTTCAGATCATGGATCATCAACTGACATGTTTTGCCACATGATGCCATTTTACAGTTATGATGTTCCTCACACTTGTGGTCCAGATCCAAAGGTATACATTATGACTAAGTAACTGATGTTGGTCTATGATGCCAGTTTCTTTAAAAGTAGGTTCTCTTTGTTACAGATTATACTTTTGCTTATTTTGATTCTAGATTTGCTGCCAGTTTGATTTCCGTCGTCTGCAAGGCGGTGGTATAAGCTGCCCATGGAGAGTTCCACCTGTGAGAATTGATGATTACAATGTTGCATCAAGGTAAATTGTTACTGGTGACTGTTTTATTTTATTTAGTGCTTTTCACTTGTCTGAGGGGTGTCAACTTTAAATAAGACTAAGAGCAATAGTTGGTCAGAACAAACTTTAAGGGAAGTAATTCAAGTCGCTAGTGAAAATATAAAATGACACAATTGTGAAAGTTAAAGATTGAGCTCTAAACGTGGAAAATGCAATTCATGACGTTGTAGTAAGAGTAGGTTAATCCTTTAACTCCCAAGATCTGACTGTTAATTCTCACCTCTATCTACTACACATCTCCTTGTACATGTAGATTAATGATGAGAATTTGTTGTGGGATCAAGATAACAACTCCTCCCTTGAGTATTCTTGTTAATTGTTTGCTGGATAATGTATGGATATTATTAATAGAAGAGAAGCAATATGTTAACCTTTTCTTGGAATTACAGAGTTAATGAAAACACAAGTTTTCAAGTAGCAGTAGTGAGTTTTTCTTATCATTACTTGACCACAATATTCATTCCAATTTCTGAGCAGTCACAGGCTGTTTTGCAATGCTATTTAAGTGTGTATTAGTGGAATTGTTTTTAAAACATGGTATCTGTCATAATATTCATGGCGAAAAGCATCCTAGATTACTAGTCAAGTGTCAATGTATAACTTGCCCTTTACGTATTTTGATATACTTGTCATTATTGATAAATTTTACCTCACAGAGCCAGATTATTGTTAGATCAGTACAAGAAGAAAGCTCAGCTGTACAGAAGTAATGTGTTGTTTGTACCTTTGGGAGATGATTTTCGATATGAGACAACATTTGAGACACACGAGCAGTATACCAACTATCAGGTACAGTGGACGTGCCTCTTCTTTGAGGTTTCACCTGTTTACACAAAGAAAAATCCATCTGTTTTCTACAGAAATCCCAAGCATTTGACTGTTGGTTAAATAAAGGCACATAAGTATGGACAATGCTCAAAAGTCATAATCCGGCTGAGTGTGTTAAAAAAAAGAATTAGCTCACAATACCCTTTCTATTTGAAACATGTTCTTTACCAGTACAACTTGCAAGCTATTCGGTGCTAACCTGTTTATCCTATTTTCAACTTCAAACAGAAACTTATGGACCATATCAATTCTCATCCAGAACTGAAGGCAACGGTATTTATTTGCATTTTAGTGGTTTAACTTATTTGATATCAATAATACAAAGTCAAAAATAAATACCGGTAATTGAAATAACAAACTTATGACAAATCTCCGGTTTGATAATAAAATATATGTATGCATTTTGTTAGTAGTTGTTTGAGCTTCATACTTGTCTTGTTTTTCCTGAAGATGTTTTCCTTAGCTTACTTGATGCAATTAGTCAAAACTGATTTAGCCTTAGGTTGATTTGTGTTTTTCATAGTCATTTCACTCTTGCTCTAATGTGTTGCTGTTGATCTCAGGTACAATTTGGGACTTTGAGTGACTATTTCAATGCACTATGGAAAACAACAGGTATGAAACCAGCAGACATTCTCATTACCTCGTGGTAATTGTGAATGTAAATGATTCTTGTATGTTCTTGAAGTCACGAGCAGCCAAGGTCAAAAGAAGATTTAACTCTTAACTCTTCCACCCACTATACTTTTTTTGTAATCTTCTATTCCTGTTTGAATTTTACATGTGGTGTTGCTAAGTCTGTCAGGTATGCCTTGCTCTAATGTAAAAGATGGAAATTATTTGTAGGTACTGAGCCTGGAGGCCAACCAAAGGGGTTCCCAGCTTTGAGTGGTGACTTCTACACTTATGCAGACAGGTAAAATTTACCAGAGTTGTGCTTGTGGATAGTTTTATTTTATATATTAAATATTTGTCATCTCTACCATAGCCTACGTGTAGCCGAACCTTCCCTCCCCTCCCCCCCAGGTGAAACGTTTCACCTTTGGGGGGGGGAAGGGAATGGCTACACGTAAACTATCTCTAACAGTGAGTCAAACGACATGAAATATTTGTAAAAATGTAATAATCTGAGTTATTTATGTTGCCAAAACCACTTTTTAAAGAGTGAAGCAGAGCCTGTGTTTTGTTGGTTGTTATTATGCACATCGGCTGCAATCAGTGTCTTTTCTCAACTTCGTTCTGTATATATTGGCAAATGGCACATTTGCATTTAAACGAGCTATTCGCTCATATGCGATATGTGGTTAAATAAAGTTACTTACTTACTTACTTATTTGTCTTTTGTGAGATTAACGTTGTTTTATTTCAGTTATGATCTGGTTTATTTCTTCAAAGTTTGTTCACTCTTTCACAGGGATGATCACTATTGGAGTGGATATTATACATCCAGACCATTCTACAAGAATATGGACAGGGCGCTGGAAACACAACACAGGTTTGTATCTTTAAATTGCATCCTAAGAAGTTCCCTAGGTTTGATAGTGCTCAGTTTTGCTGCAGCTGCAAAAAAAGGTTAAGTCTGTTCTCGAGCCTAGTGGACCATTGAGCCGGAGTTTATCCCAGTTTCCTTAGTGTGAAGCAACTAGAAGTATTACTACTCTCCCCTGGATGGCATGCTAGTCCATGGCAAGGTTACCCCCCCGCATTCCATCAAGCTTCCTTGATAATTGGGCGAGACCCATTATTTATACTTCTGAGTGGAGAGAGGCTCCATGAGTTTTAAGAGTCTTTCCAAGAACACAACGCTATTACTTAGCCAAGTTTCGAACCCAGATCTCTCGACCAGGAGACTGGCACACTTATGCCATAAGGCTTCTACATCTCCCACTTGCTACAGCGTTTGGCCAAATTATTTATCTCATTGTCATTGAGACACCTAAACATTTATCTCTCATGTTCCCTTTTTTCTTCTTTTCTAATTTTTTTCTCCAGGGCTGCTGAAATAATATTCTCAGTGGCAGAGTCCCATGCTCGCCACCATGGAAGTTCCAGCTTCGCTGTGGAGCAGCTCTATGGTCTTCTCACTAATGCACGTAGAAACCTGGGCGTATTTCAACATCATGATGGTATCACTGGAACAGCAAAGGACTTTGTAGTTGTTGATTATGCCACAAGGTGTGTGTATGTGCGTACGTGCGGGCGGCCCTCATTATTTAATAGCGCTGTATCACGCTCGTTTCTCCGCCCGCGAGAAGACTTGAGACGTGTCGGTTAGAAGTTGCAGGGCTCTGGCACCTATAAAATAAGTCCCAAGCCCCTTGCAGACCTCTCGCCGACTCGCTTTGCTCTAAAAAACCTCGCAATTTCCCGTGGGCAAAGATACGCTCGTTCCAAAGCACTGATAATGAGGTTCTGCTCGTAGTCTAGTAGTAGCGCCCAAATATTATCTGGGAGGCATGGGTTCGAATTCCGTCGAAACCTGAAATTTTTTAGCCCTCTTTTCTGCAATTGCTGAAATTGCAGTCCACCTGCTAGGATCTTTCTTTTCTTGAGGAAAGCTTAAGTTATTATGGTTGTTACGGATTTCTTTTTTTGTCAAGTTGTATGCTTATATTGTCTTAACATCGTTGTAATTTAGAGAGTTTTTAATATCCTTTAGGATGCTCCAATCTTTGAATGACATGCAGCGAGTGATACAGGACTCTGCCCACTTTCTGTTGACATCAGACAAATCACAGTACAGGACACCAGACAAAGTGTTACCGCCCCTTAAGTTTGTACGTATCGTTTTTTTGTTTTTGCAGTTGTTTTTAGCTTAGTTTACTTTAATTTCCAAGGCTGCGAGCCGACGAACCATCGAATGAGCAAGCGAATGGAAGAGCGAAGAAGACAGAACAAATATTGAGCAAAAATAAGAAGAAACCAATGATAAAAGCAAGCAGCCAGCCAATGGACAACCCGTAACTAAACCATCCTACAACCACCAGCCCTTTTATCTAATTTCGCTCAAATTGTAGTTAAACCGTTTCGTATTGCTTTGTTCAGGGTGAATCCAGACAAGCTCAAGATTCTATGCCAACTAAAGAGGTGCTAACTTTGTCCAATACACCAAGGTATGGTAACTGTTACGTATTATAAGAGCACTTTTAAATTCAATAGTATGAAAGCAAGTAAAAAAGGCGATTTTCGCGTGGAACAGTGCTCAATACTTTGGAGCAGAGCAGAATAAATATTATGAGAGGAAAAAAGGACGCAACTACATTTCCCGACAAGCCTGTTTCGTGAAACAGGCTTGTCGGGAAATGTAGTTGCGTCCTTTTTTCCTCTCATAATATTAATATTTATATATATATATATATATATATATATATATATATATATATATATATATATGTATATCACAAGGACGCAAGAACTACGAGCGTGGATACGAAGAGCTACTTATTTCTTCATAATAGGTTATTGTCACGTTTTTGGACCCGACCATGCGCAACACCCCTTATTATCCTTGTGATTTTGAACTGAAAACCCAAAGGAAACACCTCCACAACATATTCAGCGTCAATATATGAACACAAAAACATAAGTAAGGACATGTAAACTGCCTCGAGAGTAGGAAAACACGAGTGCATGATCGAATAGTGGCTTGTTTTCGATCGAGATCTGATTGGTTTAGATTATGGGACTTGAGTTCCATACTAATCTGAGAGCGAAGGAAAGCAAAGCATATGCAACCGAAAGATATAAAACCAGTCTATGGTTAGCACTCGTTGAAAGCCGCCTTGACTTTTATCACGAAAACAAGCAATCGAGGAATAACTGAAAATGAGATCTTCGCAGCAATGAACACTACTTGAGCAGTAGTGATAGAGAGGCCTGAAAAATATTCAGGCCTGTATGGGAGTTGAACTCATGACCTTTGCGATTTATTTTCAGGTCTTGTTTTCCTTGCTGCTTAAGCAGTTTCATTACTGTGAAGATCACTCTCGTATTCATTTATTAATCCGAAGTTTACATACATGATATTCATCTATTCACAGTTATTCGAGCAATAGTCAGGTCTTAAAGACATAACCTTGTTGTTATAGGGCTGTAGTATTTTACAATTCCCTGACTACAGAAAGAGAGCAGTTAGTCAGCCTTCACATCTCGGACCCAGCTGCCATGGTATGTTCACTGAAATCAGTTTTTATAAGAGTACACAGGCTCTCTACTTTTCAGGTTTTGACGGAATTATTCCATAACAGCTCGCGAACAGCCTCTTATTGACACCACTGAACGGGAAACTCACGGGCTTCTCGTGAAGTCTGCGAGAGTCGAGCTGGTAAGCAAACGACGGGTCTGTCACTAGAGCCCCTGCAGACCTCCCGCGAAGCTCTTGAAGCAGCGCCAATGATTTCATGTGTCCAATTCTTGATTGATGATGAAAAGTTATTCCTTTCTGAATTGATTGCCCCTATCCAGGTTAGTGACAGTCAAGGAAAGGAAGTTCCAAGTCAGGTGAACTTATGGTGGGATCACAGAGACAGAATTTCAGCTGCTAAATACGAAGTAAGATGTGCTATCATGAAGTCAGGTTGATTGCTTGTAATATTACCACCAGTTTGAGGAAAGCGCACGCGAAACCATCAGTGTCCTTAATAGTCGAGATAAAAAGCTGATGGTCAAAGTCACTTTTCACGGCCAATGTGATCCCTGAATTCAACAGGTGCCGTTCCAGTCAAATCCCTCCCCCGCCTTCCCCGCACCTTCCAAAAGGAACCAAAATATAGGTGAGTGACAAGGGAGGAGATTTAGGAGCGGATTAGAGATGGAGGGGGGAGAGGGGTTTACAAGTAGTCACTTTTCCATGTAGGGTTCCAAGCTCTCTTGAGTCAACTCTTCCATGCAGTGATAATTGTATTGATGGCTCAAAGCAAATACAGGTTGATTCATTTCACCCATTTTGTGTATTTCAGCTCGTGTTTGTCGCCAAAGTTGCCCCTCTGGGTGTGACCACGTACTTTGTGTCATCAGGCCTCGGAGCAAAACAGAGTGAATACTCCAGTATCACAGAATATAACATAAACAGAAATCCTGAAAAACCAAGGTGAGGGTTGAACAAAAGGGGTACGTTTCTAAATAAACTGTGGTGCGGCGTCGGTGGGGAGAAGTATAAGATGATTTGGTCTTATCAACTGACAGAGTTAATAGTGAGGCTAGCACGGCTGTTTCAAAACGCCCGCCAGTGGAAATTTAGTTCGCGCATGTCAGATTGACATTTTCAATTTGAAACCGCTGAAAATGTACGTTTAACGGCTCAACAAGAAAGAGCCCACTGATAACTAGGTCGCAAAAAGTATATGCGCAAAGCCCAAGGAAATAGCTAACTTATGCGCAGACATTGTATTTTGCTTCCCTGGTTAATGTCCTCCTAGGGAAGATTGCGTGTGCGGGATAGTTAACTATGCGACGGCTTAATGGCATCTTGTTTTGACGCGAGATGACTCATCGCCTTTCTGAGGTCTTCTTATTTTCAGGCAAGATTCTGATTGATTCGAATTTTTCTTTCAATAAAGGAACAACTCAGGCTTTACGTCTCTCCTTTGCCATCAGTTTCTTTACCATGACGTTTTAATCCGAATTGTTTTGAGCGGTGTAATCTGCGATTACACATCACCACCGAAATAGTAAATATGGCGTCCATCTCCCCTTTGACCTCGAACTAATGCCCCTAAACTACGCGAATTTATCCTCTGAATGATCTCATGCTTACCCATGGGCTAAACAAAGAATACACGATTTATGACAAACTGATAAAATGACGACGGCCTTCTGTTACGTGCAAGAAAGTCGAACTACGTGCGTGTGATTTCCTCCTCGAAAAGTGTATGTCATCGATCTGTCACGGGGAGCTACGTGAAATAGTGAAAGCACGGACAAGACGTTTCTTTCGGTCAACATTTCAATCATGATCACGGATAATAAACCTTACAATTATATGTTACCATTTGTGCTTTGATCTGATAGTTAAATCGTTTTTCTTGGCCGTGATTAACATGGTTTTTGGCGAATATTCCCTCTCCTTCAAATGGAATGAACTACACGCAATAACACAATGCAAATATTCCCGCACCCCTGAAGAACCGATCGAGAGAGATAAATAGACACCCCTTCCTGAAACAAGGTACAAACCCTAAGGGTGTACCCTTCTGAAGCAATAAAAGGCCGGAAAAAGGAACTTCGGAACATATCTTGAGTCAACTTAGAACTGCGTTGCTTAATCCAAGTTTAGTTCACAACTCGGTTCGATTAGTGCATTCAGATGGCTAACTTTGGTCTCACTGAACATCAACAAATATTGGAAAAAATTTGCCGAATTTGTGGAGAGCGATTGAAGAAGGCAAAAGATAAGTATGAGAACAGTTTTCTTTGCGCCGATAAGACGGAGATTATTTTCACAGCCTTTGGTGTCAAAGTTCGTAAAGATGACCTTGACATGTGCCCTCCTAAGTTCTGCCACAAGTGTTACAAGCTTGCTTTAAGAGGAGGCACACGCCTTGCAATCAATGTGTGGCCTCCACACAAACGCACTGGAAACTGTAAGATCTGCAGTTTCTTTAAGGATCAACAGAAACCTGGTAGGAAGAAGAAGACTAAACCTGGAATAAAACCCAGAGAGGACTCAGCTGAACCCAAGGAACAAGTGGAAATGGTGGAAGGAATGTCTGGCACTTTAAGCTTCCAACCTGACCCAGCCTCACTCTCATTCTATGAGGAGGTAAAGAATCTACAAAGCTTTAGAGGATCAGAACCTCTTTACCCAGAACAGTTTGTTGAAAACATCAAGCATGAGTATATGTGCCCAATTTGCAAAGAGGTACTTGATCAACCAGTCCAGACAAAATGTCGAACTCCACACATATTTTGTGCTAGTTGCTTATCATTTTCTGTTGCCTATTGCTGTGAATTATAGTCTAATTATAGTTGGTTATCATTTTAGGAATGGAAGGCTGACATGGAACAATGCAATCCCAGAAAATAAAGTGCACATAAAACTTGGAGGAGATGCTGGTGGTGGGTCATTTAAAATGGCCTTCCAGATTGCTAACCTGAGGCATCCAAATTCTAAAACCAACACAGTGGTCTTTGCCATGTTCCATGCAAAAGATAGTTGGGCTAATTTAAAGACAGCCTTAATGAAATATAAAGAACAAGTAAACACCTTGAAAGAAGCAACCTGGGCGTAAGTGAAAAAAAATTTACCACACTTTTAGTTAATCGGGAGAATAGAGACCTGAAATAGCATAATATTAATTAAATTTTTATTTTTGTTTTGCCCATTTCTAGAGGTAAAAAGAAAGTGGTTTTCCTGTTTGGTGACTATGAGTTCCTATGCAAGCTGTTTGGAATAGCTGGTGCCTCAGGTATGATCCAGACAATAATTCACATATACAAATAATAATGATTTAGCAATTCAATAAAATAATATAAATGTAGCCTCTACTCTACATAACTATTTCTGTGAAACAGGTTTCCACCATAAGAATTGTATTTGCAGGCAAATATCCATGTCTTTGGTGCAAGATAAATCATGAAGTAATGCAAGTCTCTTGCCATAAACATAGGCATGCTGAAAAACGAAGTCTTGAAAACATTCAAGAGGATTATGATAAGTTTGTAGCAGATGGCTCTGTTACAAGTCGACAGAAGTTTTATCACAATGTGATTCACGAGAAACTGCTGGACATTGAATTGGACAAAGTAAGATACAAGAGTTTATTTTATTGCTTTGAAGAGGGACTTACAGGCCACCTAACTAAATGGTTGTCTATTTCAGGTTTGTGTTCCTGGACTTCACATTAGCTTGGGTGTGTTTAAGAAACTGTTTGACGAACTAGAGAACCAGTGCTTTGAGCTGGACAAAAAAATTCAAATGGTTCTAGCAGGAGACAGTGAAGAGAATGATGAGAAAATCCAGGCATTCAGAGCTGCCCAACTACATACCAGACAAGCACAACAATTTAATGAAAAAACCAATTATTTACAGGAGTTGCTGAATTTACAAAGTCTGCATACTAATGTTGATATCATGCCTGCCTACTTTACACTACTACAGGAGGAGATAGCCAAAACTCCTTGGAAATGCAAAGGAGGAGGTAAAAATAATATATTGGTGCTTTCCAGTATCATAGCTGTACAATCCTCCAAATCCATTTTACATGTTTCAAACCCATCTTAATTTTTTAGTTAAAGAAGTTATGATTTTATTTTATAGATCATTTATTTGTAATAAGCAGTAAGTCAAATAACCCAGATTTAAATAGTATTATCTCAACATTATAGGAAAAGCTTGCAGATGAACAAATGGAATTGGCTGCCTTTGAGAAAGCCAATGGACCACTATCGGTTCATTTGGATGAGGTTCTCAAGAAAATGAATGTTGAGAGACAAGCTTATCATGGAAAATCATTCATTGGTAATCATGTACACACTTGCTGCAAGGTAACACAAATTCTACCCTTAGAGTAGGAATTTGTTGAGTCACAAAATTTCATTGAATTGTTGCATTTGTTTTTTGGTAGGAAGACAACATCATTAAACTTAATGCAGTGCTGTGCTGACAAAAACAGAGGAGTTGTGTCCTTCCCTCCTTTCTCAAGCAAGAGAAATTAGCGTGAAATTTGAACAAGTTTTTAAGTTATTTGCTGCTTGCCACTTTGTCTATGACAGTGCAGACTATCTCAATGATGGCAAGATTGATAAGCTAGGTAACTGAAAGAAAAAACCTGACTTTCATGGAAAAACATGAATACAGCAATAAGATCATGTCTTAAGTCCACCTTTTCTTGTTTTCTTGTTGCAGAGGAAGACATCACAAATTTTCTTCAGTTCCTTAGGGAAAAATTTCCAGACATGACAGTCACACCAAAGCTGCATATGCTAGAAGAACATGTTTGCCCTTTTCTTCGACAATGGCACATGGGCCTTGGATTCTACGGTGAACAAGGGATTGAAGGAATACACTCTGAATTCAATACCCAGTCCCAGCATTTTGACCATGTGAAGAAAAAGGACACGAGATTGCGTCAAATCCTTGTCAACCATCACATTGCCACGAGTCCGGAACTAGCAGGGAAAGCTCCCAAACCTAAAGAAAGAATTTTAAAACGAAAAGCGAACGAGTAAAACTCTTTCCTTTTCAATAGCAATGTATCGGTTCGATGACTAAGAACGAGTACTATGTGTGTAAATATAGTGTAATTTATTTGCTCAACTTCTAATTTAGACGAATAAAAGTGTTACTACAATCTTTGGAACCAAAACTAAACCTTTCCAGTCGTTTACAGACTGTTTCACTTGAAATTCAGTACCTCCGAGATTCAAAATGGAGTCGCATAACGGCCGATCTTAACATATTAAAAGCGCCTCGAATGGAGTCTTAAACAATTCGGATTAAAACACTTACCTCTGTCGGTTGTTCAGTAAGGTTTCAAGTCTTCTCTTTTGACTCTTGCTTTGCTGGAAAAAATTCGAGCCTTTTCCAAATTGAAATCAAAGTTTTCAGTTGATTTAATAGGGTGTGCTTGCTAGACTCCACCATAGCAACGTGTTTTCGTCGAACACAGGCAAAATTTGACCGATTTTACTCAAATTTTCGACGGCAAATGCCTCTTCCATGTGTAAGCATCCGCCATGCTAAATTTCACCCGCATACATTAGATACGCAGCAAGATTTCATTGGCTAAACTATATCTTAGCCCAAGAGGTTGCCATGGACGCTAGATTTATGCAAATGCATAATTTGGTATTAACCAGAGAAATAATAATTAACTCGATCTTTCCTGTACACCGCATGCGCGAACTAAATTTCCACCGCGAAACAGCCGTGAGGCTGACGTTTCGAGCGCTAGCCCTTCGTCAAAGCAAAAGGCGAGGGCTGTTGCACTTATTTAAAGATCAAGGCATGATTGCTTAAATTAAGTTTTTATATTTCATTTTACTTAACTTTGTATTGTGGAAAATTGGCTATGTCATAATTTGGCGACTATACCGTGGACAAGGAACCAAAATGACCCTGGGCTCGAGATTGTTTCCCCGCCGAAAGAAGACTTCAGAGTAGGCTACCAATTACATAGCCTTTTCCCGCCAAATAACACCGTAGACAGTGACCTCAACTTCCTTTTTTTTTTTTTTTTTTACCCAGTAAGTGCTTCTTCCACCGAAATTTGCACTTTAAATCACGTATTATTTACATTGTTGTTTTAGGAAGGAATTTGCGCATCAAGTGAAGGAACCTGGTTCAGAAAGCATCTTCTTGGAAAATGACAATCTTAAAGTTGAATTTGATAGTCTTCGAGGTTTGTTGAAGGTGAGGTAGTTTTCTCCAGTTGCTTGCTTGTGTCTTACGTTCAGTTCTGTTCATATTTTGTTTACATTTTTGTCAAAAACCAAGGTACATTTTAACCTTTGAATAATCACTTAATTCTTCGTGTTCCAAAGTTACATAGAAACTCAAATTAGACTTTTTCTAGCCATCTACTCCACTCTGTTTCGTCCACCGCTGTTTATGTAATTTAGTTTCGCGGCAATCTGAAAGTTGAATGTAAACACAGTAAATAAAAACTAAAGAAAAAGCTCTTCGGGACAGATAACGTTCAGTACTTTCAAGGAACGGGCCACTGGCTTCACATGCGAGTCGAGTTTGTTATTTTTTGTCGTACTAGTCCTCCGCCCTTTTGCCCTTTACAAAACCCAATGCTGGTCCAACTCGACTCATGAAACATTAGACTAGGAGCAGCTAAAAAGATGCGCCACTGCTAAAATCCAATCTTATTTACTTGTTGCGTTTAATTAAATTTCAGAGCATTACACATAAGCAAGACGGATCAGTAACCAATGTTGCCATTGATTTTGTGTCGTATGGCACCACAGCGAGCAGGGATAGGAGTGGAGCGTATCTGTTTCTCCCTGACGGGCCTGCTCAGGTCTGACTCGACATTATCTGCAAGTTTAGGAGCCCTACGTGTATGTTGCGCCAGGAAATAGGTCATCCTCATCGGTGAATTCTTCCCGAAAGGAAGGATTTTCTGGTGTCCTACTTAGATCAGAAATTATTGGATTTACTGATTGAAAAGATGGTTAAGTGACGTCATTTTAATTTCAAAGACTTGCTTTTTTGATTTTCTACTCTTATAAAATGGCGATTTTTGATTGACGAAATTGCAGTTTATTTTGAGCGAAAAGGCACTCATAGTTTTCCCAACGGAAGCGTGATTATCAAATTAAACTTGAAAGTTATGACATGGATTCATTGGGAAGAGTTTGAGTGCATATTGTTGTTTTTGGTTAAATAAGATACCGTTTTCAGGAGCATGGCCATGGAAGTGCAGAAATGATAAAAGCTATTTCAGAAATCAGCTTCGGATTCTGCTAGAATTCCCAAATTTTAAATATTTTTAAAGCTGTTACTGCTCAACCTCGGATGAATTTGTACTTGACTTATGTTCCCATGGTGTATCGTTTCTCTTGTGTATTTGTAGGCTCATGGCCTTGGAGAGCAGGTTACAGTGTATGTAAGCAAAGGCAAGTTGGTGAGTAATTGATATCATTAGGTTGCACGTTACCCAGCTGCCTTCTAGCCATCACAACATTCGTACATGCGCAGACGTTTGACCGCTTTGTAAACAGTACGTCACATTTTATGGTCTTCAGTCTATTTCGCGGCTGTTGTTTGGTCTCGTCACGAAATGGAGAACAAATTGCCCGACAAGACCAAACGACTGCGGTCAAGAGAACTACCCGACCCAATCTTACCTTTTTTTTTGACTCGACCCAATGTTCCTCCCTCTTTTGCTCCGCCGTTTCTATCGCGTTGTTTCGTATTGTGTCTCGTAAGCTTCATTTAACCTTACAGTTTTAAAAGTGGTGGGGCTTCCCCTTTCGTCAAACATTGTACACACCTTGAAGATGAGTAAATACAGGGTAATTTCAACTGAATTAAAAAATTGTGGTAGGAAAAAGAGATTTTACGTGATTCCAAGCATGCAGTGGGTGAAAATAAAGATAAAATAGGCAAGGCTTGGTATCTCAGTATGCGCGTTCTTCGACTACGTCCAATTTTTCAAAAGAAAGAAACAAAAATAAAAATATTTCATTTTTGCTTTTCATGGAAAGATGCAAGAAGTACGTGTTGCTCTTCCCAATGTGGTGCATGTAGTCAGACTGTACTCACTATCAGGTAAGTAAGCACTTGTTTGATCCTACTTACGGCGGTATGTTTCAATGTACATGAGATAGTTTGACATCCTTACGTGTTGCGAAAAGTTTTACTTGTAAAAGTGGGCGAAAGTTGCTCACGAGATGTGTATTCCCAGATGACTACAGTTGCAAAAAAGGATGTGAAATAAGTAGAACAAAGTTTTCAAACTGTGTTTAACAGAACCTTAACTCTATTTTCCACGTTTTGATTTGCCACAGGACCTGAAGGACTAACTCTGGATATCCAGAACAAAGTAGACATACGAAATCAAATGAACAAGGTATATTGCAAAGCATCGGGGTCCAAGCATCTTTTGCTTTTATGATAAGCTTTGTCGCTGAATAAAGAACAGAGGATGATGTTCATTTTCTTTTTATGCAGGAATTGGTGATGAGAATAAAAAGCGGTATTCGGAACGCTGGCCGAGAATATTACACTGATCTTAACGGATTTCAGGTGAGGAGTGGACATAAAGAGCCGATGTTTTCGGTGATGAAAACCTTATGCGGCGCATTTAGAAAATTGAAGGACGTCGAGATTTCTTTATAAATAGGTTGTTTGATGTACGTTTATGTCTTTCCAGTATAACCTTTCTTGACATCAGTTTGATCGTTCTTAACACTGTTCAATTATTTTTTTCACTAAAGATGCAAAAGCGCAAAACACTTGACAAGATTCCTATCCAAGCCAACTTTTACCCTCTCCCTTCCATGGCTTTCCTTCAAGATAAATCGACGCGTTTGACACTTCTGTCAGCTCAGTCCAATGGAGTAGCCGGTCTACACGAAGGTATTGCTGTTTTGCTTGAGGCAGTTTTTTCCACACTCGTTGCGAACTAAGAGAACATTCATTATTTATCGCCTGAGGGGGTTTGGAGGATTTTTTTAGGATTAGTTTTCAGAGGGGACGGAAGGGTCAGTCGTCGCCAACAGAGTATAAAGTGGAACTGTAAAAAAATGAATTGCTAATGAGCAGCCATTTAGGAGTAATCATAAGGATATTACACAGCCTTATGGGGGAACAGGTCAATTTTAACAAGTCCTTTGACCACCCCCGCGATAAAAAATGACTGGTCCTTAAGATTGGCTTTTTAAAAATGGTGATATGTGCTTCAGCCAATCACTGAATGAAAGTACTTAAATGTTCACCGGCAAGCCGGTAAATCATGGAATGAATATTGGGTTGATAAAACACTAAATTCTTGGTACATAGTACTTGGCCAAAAAGAAACGTACGCTCTACAGCAAGAGGAATCATCTTTAAGATCTCAGAAGTAAAAGAGCCATTACTTTTTTTTCTTTATTTATCTATGTAGTATATTATTTGCAACACAGGTGAACTTCAAGTGGTTCTTGATCGCCGTTTGTACCAGGATGATAACAGAGGCTTGGGTCAGGGCGTGACTGACAACAAAGTTACCCCCGCTAACTTCAGGCTGGTTCTACAGCGATTCAAAAGTCCACATGAACCTGTAAGTAAAACAGCATAAGGAAGCTTATTAAGATAGGCATGGTGGTTCACTGAAGCGTCCTTATCAAGCTTAGCAGTAACATCTTGTGTTTTGCAGGACGGTATTCCACTTGCCTACCCCTCCCTCCTTAGTCACAGATTGCTGCACCATCTTAATCACCCGCTGTTCACGTTAATAACTCCAGCTCAGTCCGCTGACTCCGAGAACCTGCTGTCGGTTTTCGAAAGTTTACAGTCCAGTCTACCCAGTGATGTCTTCATGGTCACCTTGCGCTCAATTGGAGATAAACAGCGGCCTCGACCCAGTGGCGAGGCTTTGTTGGTACTTCACCGTCTAGGATATGATTGTAATTTTGAATGCAAGTGCCTCACAACGACAAGTAAAGGACAGGTGAAAAAAGTCGAGCATTAAAAAAATGATCTAAATTAAGAGAAACTTAGATGAAGAGAGAGACAAGGTCCTTCGAGGGCTCTGCGGTTTCATTTTAAGCTGGGCAGTGGTAATCTGCAATAGAACCTGAATTCATGTTAGGGAAACGAGGAAAAACTCGAGTTTAGGACTGTATCGACGGAGCCAACTTCTGTTCCCTCTCTTAGATATTGAATTGGAAACGCTTTTTTCCACAACTGGTTGTAGGCAGACTCAACGAAATTTCGCGAAAGTCATCACCAATGATTGGAAGTGTGGCTGACATTCCTTTTTTTTGGTTAATTTCACAGGTGAAGTTAAACCATTTGTTCCAGAATTTGTCGATCGACAAACTCCAGTCGACTTCTCTGACGATGTTACATGACTACCAAGAATTGGATCCCAGCTCCCCTCTGAACGTAGAACCAATGGAACTTTATTCTTACAAGATGAGACTCAAATGATGACAGTTTATATCTTAGTGGTTGAATTTTACATATCTGTTGCGCCCTGCAAAAATAATATACACAGACACTTTCATAGAGAATTACCTGGTGAAAGTAAACAGATCCGCTGTGTTTGAATGAAAAAGAAATTTCATGACACTCCTAAGGTCTGTCTACTGATAAAACATTGACTGAAAAAAAGCTGGGCTGTTTTACTACATTACAGTGCTATATAGGAGAATGGTCCTATGTTTGTGTACGTGTAAACCAGTCTAGTTAGATTAACGGGCTTATGCTACAAAATTTGAGATCTACCATAAATGCTCAGGGCTGCTTGGTTCGAAAGCCGGCTAATCCAGGGAGAAAAGTTATACTTAGTTTAATTTCTCTTGTACAAAAGCGACTAGTATGCCAAAATTTTAGGGATTTTAACCTTGTGGCAAAACTTATCTCAACAAAATATAAACAGTGAAACTCTGCGAACTGAAGAAAAACTCGGTTACTCCTAACTAAGTCTTACCTAATCGTGTTCTGAACAGCTCGACTCAGAGTTGTAACCGTCAAAGCTATTTATACAAGGACCTTCACTGACTACAGTATATGGATAATAACGGTAAGGGCTCGATTCTTGTTTTGATTGGTTTAAAGCACGTGGAATGCCGCTAAGCAAAATGTGCAAAGTAATAAAATAAACGAATAATAGATAATTGTCCTGATGAGGAACTGCTCTCTTTGTAACAAACTTAATCGACCATTTTCATATTAGACCAAACACTAACAACAAGAAACAGTTTTGAATTAAGTAATGGTGTTCAACTCTAGCACCGTGAGGACGGAGAATGCATTCATAGAACAAGCGTATTAAGAGGAACGATCCTGTCTTTTCCATTCTAGCTGCTGTGGTCTCTGTCTATTTCACACCTTTCGACATAATACGAGAGAAGATAGTTTACAATCTCTAGCACAAAAGTAATCTGCATTTAACAAAGGTAGCAAAACATTGAACAAGTAGACAAATGTATACGGAGCTATATTGTAAAAAGGATAGAATCTTTAACTCTCAATGAATTTTAATCAATTGAATTAAAAATAAAAATCGACGTATTTTTCCTGGTGTTGGTTGATGAGATTTGATGAACAAAATTAAAACATGATATCTCTGAGATTATTCAATGCAGGAACAACCTCCTTCCTTTTTCTTGCGTGAAAACGAATGTCAACTCGATGCAGAATTCTTCGTGAAGTGCCTTTGCTGAGCAAGGCTCTTGTTAACGGCGCAATGCTTGTGTTTCATCTCCTAGTTTTCCACATCTCTATTTTTTTATACTTTAAAATTCAATGAGCTTTGAGCTTTTTTTTTAAAATTTATTTATTTCTTTTTATTATTTTTTTTTTTTCATTATTATTATTTTTTTACAACATGATACTTACATTAACTACATTAAGGTTCCTTTCACGAGACTCTCTACGTACATTGCGTTACACTACTTACAGTATTCTTAAGATACAATTGACATTTATGCTACTTACATTGTTCTACTTACACTACGTACAATGTGATAATGCACATATATTTAGAGGCACATCATTTACACACAAAAAAAGAGAAACTTATTCACAAAAAATGAAAAGTTACAAAAGTCAAAAAGGCTAAATTGTGGGTGGGATTGATAAGAGTAAGAGCTTGCGAAAAAAAAACCCAAAAGTACAACTTTTAGCAAAAATTGATTTTCAGATCAGCATAAGGAGAGTAATATAAAGCCTGCGAGCAGGCTCACATTTGGAGCCCGCCCGCAAACTATATAGCAATTATAGTGCATGAAGTATTTTGTCCCACTTCTGGTGAAATTTATTTGGTGAGTCAGTCACGATAGATATTTGTTTTTCAATTTCTAAATTATATTTCAGCTGTTGCGCATATTCTCGGATAGACGGAGATATGTTCTTAACTTTACAGCAATAAATATAATCCCTTGCGAGGAGCAAACAATGGCTTACTAAAATATCTTCTTTCTCTCCGGCTAAAACCTAAACATTCATAGATATCCAAAACGTGTGAGGCTTGTAACAAATGAATTGAAACGAACAAACGATGAACCCTTCCCCAAAAGGTTTTCGTTACCGAGTATTCCCAGAAAAGATGGATTAATGCTTCCTTGCCTGTTTTTCACAAATAACAGAGAGCAGTCTTCAAAATTCCTATTTTAGATAGAAAGGAATTCGTTGCTATACGTCTGTGGAGAAATTTGAACTGCAAGTTCCTTATCTTAGTACTGAGCGTACACAACCTTGGTAGTAAATAAATCGACCTCCAGCTCAAATCCTCCACCACTCAGTTCAAGGTCACAGTCCCTTACCCATTTTTCTTGACTCTTTTGGGGGCTAGTAGAATTTTTTGTATTTAAATTTTACATGCTAATTTAGTCGGCTTGGTTGTTGCAATCAGTTTTTGCACCGAAAACCCCTGATCCTTTCGATCTTGCGTTTTCAATTTCAAAGACTTCATAGCGCTCCTTATGGCCGAGGTCACTTCATAAAATTCAAGATAAGCAACATTTCTCTCTAAACTCTCCATAAGTTATGACCCTAAAATCATCGTTAACATGATCTTTGATATTTTGAACACCAGCTTCTGCCCAGTGCTTGTGAAAAAAAAGGCCTATCAGTAAGTCTGACTAATGAGTTATTCCATATTTATTCCACCACTACAAAAGTCGTGTTTGGAGAGGAAAGAGTCTCCAAAATTAAAGTCCACCCAGATTTCGATAGGTTCTCGGAGAGCTTTGAGCTTTCTGAGTGACCCTGCTCGCGTTATTCTAGTAAAGCAAAGCAGCTGTGGGTTGGCAGACAGTAAGGGGAGTTAATTAAAAATTGATCATACCGCAAGAGTTGTCAGAGCTATCTACACTGTGGTCGGGGTTCAAGGAAACGAGATACACTGTTAAGTTGTAATCCACTTACAGGAACACAAAACATGCTAAGCCCGGCCCACTCGTTTAGGCTTCAACCGCAGGATTTACCAGTCCTAAGTGTCGAAAACGAAACACCGGTTCTTAGAAACTTCGTTTTCGAGTTAGGGTGCTTTGTTTTTAAGTTTAGACAATGTTTTGGTATTCGTTTTCTCTGAGTTTCTTTTTTGTTACTACCGGGATCTACCCCGGATATGAATAGCAGACGAGGGTGAGAAAAGATAGATAAACAAGATTTTTTAATTATCGTCAAGATCAAAACACTCGGCGAGTTATGTGTACTTATGTGTGGTCGATTTCCATGAGAGGATCTTTGTGTTTTACAGATGAGAGCACATATTTCCGTTGTCTTTAATTAACTGATCCATTTTCAAGGAGAGTCGCCAATTGAGGCTTTTCTGGTTAGCATTTCATCACCAACTGGAAACAAGGAATCTCTGTTAATAATTATTGTTTTAATTGTTCGGTGTTCCGTTTGCAATTTGCTTAACCGACCTTACAACATGAAAATAACAAGTCTTTAAATTGATTCTTCGGATTTTGCCTTTCTCCATTACAGCGTACATCATGTTTTCAGAGATTGCCTAAGCAATGCGCCACCTTTGATTTATGACAAGAGGCCAACATTTTTTTCACCCATCCCCGTGATCTCTGAAAGTGTTCCAAACCGCAGTCAAGGATCCATTTGATGAAAACCTAAGAGAAGCCGCATTACTGTTTATGTGTCACGCCTAAAATTAACCTTTTTTACATTGAAAGGCATGTGTGGTATTTTTTTAACCGTCCTACGCACGTATTAATCAGACAATTCTTTTGTTTCATTTCAAACTGGCCATCTTAAAATTAGGAATCTTCTTGAGCACATGTGATTATTCCTACCTGGCAACTTGAAATAATTAATTGTTTGAAAATGCGCCAATCTGATTTGATATTTTGTGGTATGCACTTATCAAGGGGAGGGCAGGGCAAGGCTTTTAAAAACTGGCCGGGTTAAAACTTTTTGATTCACATGCCGGCAAATCAAAATCCAATGATGAGAACAGCATGCTGAGAGAGTAGTGGGGTTTGTGACAATTCCTAAAGGTTTTAGAAAAGCGGCAAATGGCTCTGATCTTCAAATCAGCTTGTTATTGTTGATTTTAGAGAGGTTTTTCTCTGTAATCCCGAGGGACTAAGCCTATAGTGGGCGTTCCTTTGTTGATGGACAAGCGCTAAGACAAGTGTCACGCCTCATTGCGATGCAATATGAGATGAATTTCCTTTTTCATCCGCGGGGTTTCCGGATCAGTCTCGTTGCATTCGGACCGTACTTCGGCGGTGTGTTGTTCTGCCCCGGTCACAAACATTTGGGGATTCCTCCACGTACACAAATAACATTATTTTGCTTCAAAAAACCATCTTCGGTCGGATTATAGCACATTCAACAAGTAAAGACAGCGATTTAAAGTGGAAGCGAGGCACAGACGAAGCATACTACAATACCGCAACTTGAGGTAAACCGGGGAATACAAATATTATGCTCGCTAAGGAAATCTGTTTCGATGAAAAAGTATTTCCTTGGGTTATAACCTCTTCAAAATTTTAGATTTTGACGAGGGACGCCTTAAGTCAATGTGTTTTAATGTGGGTGACTCTTAAGTTTGAATGGAGCATGCTTCTCTTTGATTCTTTGTTGTTGTTGAATGGATCATGTGTGACAACATAAAACGAGATGCAACTACCATTGACCCCAAAGATTTTAGTATATCGGGTTTTTTCAACGACTTTAAAGGATCTGCCGAGGCTTGTCTGTTTGATTTGATGAGTCGATCTTTACTGTAAAATCAGAAATCTCAGATGGAAACTCACAACTGTCTACAGTAACATGAACACGCGACATTTAGATGAATAATAAATTTCGTATTCCACAGGTGTCTGTTTTGTGAACTGACACGGTGAGAGTGGAAGCATCATGAAAGTCAGGTCGTTGTAATTTTTTTCGGGAAAAGAAACGCTTGAACAGAAGATCGGATCGCAAAAACTTCCATATCATAGAAACGGGCTCCATGGGTCTTGCGGTTGAGAGATGTTGATGGTTCTTTGTATTCACAACAAACACAAAAGCGGTTACAAGATTTCTTTCCCCGTTGCCTCATTTCGTAATATTTTGTTGAAGTTGGGTCAACGATCTGCAAGTGATCCGTGTATTTTCTGCTAGGAAAGCGAATTATCTTCTGTCTCTATTTCATCCAATGTATTGTCATTTAAATCGTGGAAATTGTGATCCACAAGTCGAACAATTTTGTTGATATTTGGTAAACATGAGTCATGTGCCTAGTGTCGGTTTGATCAAAGATCCTTGAATAATGTTTACAAAACGTCCTGTAGATTTTCGGTGGGTTTCTTCTGTAGTTTTTTTCGGATCAAAGTGCACTAAAAGGCTTTTGTAGTCTCGTTGTCAATATTACACCTTGAAGCTAAAAACATCATCGCAAGACTTTTCCTCTTTGTTAAACGCGCGAATTGTTTTCTCTTTGAGACGCACAAGTTCCAAGACTTCTTGATTAATTTTTGTTACCTATCAATGAGTTGAAAATGTAAAATTTTTCCTCTTTCTTTGGGATTCTTGATGCCGTGACTTTCATGTAGACACATTTTATTGCTGAGTAATTTTCCCGTCTGGTGTTTGTTATTGCTCGTTCCTGTTTGTTTTTCCAACATCCCTTGTTCTAGTGTATTTTTAATCCTTGTTGTTTAGGCTACAGCGATAACATGTATGCAGAACATTCACAGAACAATTATAAAACGAAACTTTTTTGTATTTTTTCCATGTACGCCTGAGGGTTGTCACGTCCAGTCCCTCGGCTTTGTAAACACGCCACAGCGGGATACAGGGCATGATGATTTCCAATACACAAAACACAACAGCCCAACAAATGTCTTTTGGCCTGCCACTACCGCACTTATCCTAAGCTGGTCTTTCCATTTGAAATTGCTAAGAACCAATTGTGATTTTAAAAGAATTATCTTTTGCGAGATTGCTATCGCGTTAATTTGTCGCTTTGATGCACGTATATCGTCAGAGGAAGAATTTTGTGACCTTTCGCAATGAGAGGTGAGCAAGCCCCCTGGCTCAAATTTAATCGCTGTGGTATTTTGATGAAAAACACAAATATACCAATAAGAAATGTTTACAATTTAAAAGTCAGCTCTGTCCTGGTGTAATGCCCTTTTCTATCGTCAACCGAGCGTGGTGAGTTTTCAATACATTTTTCCAGTTTCAGGAACGTGTGATGACAGTAAGTTTTCCTCACGTCGTCAAGCCATTTTGTTTCCAATTTGCGTCGCATGCGAGTTTATGTTACAATTTTGTTGCGTTCGATGTAACGGGCGGTTTAAAAGAATCTCTCAAACATTCTTTCCCCGTTCAAACGCATCAGAATTACAATATGGTTGATTTGCATCTCTCCAGCTGACAGTAATTGAGCTGGGTATAAACACAACGGAAATTGCCTTCGGTTTTTATCTGTCAAATATATTTCGTTGCCTTTCTATCTTATCTCTGTCATCACACTCTCTTTGTGTCAATACAGCGGTGGTCGGATGGTTGTGATTTTTCATCTATTCCAACCGTGTTTAAATTGAACTATGATTATGGTAAGCTGAGTTTTAAGATTTAGGTCAACCTGTTTATGTAAACTCTAGCTGGCTTCACTGTAACTATCCTGGTTTTCATCGTTTGTTTTAACTCTTTGTCCTGTCAAAGTGCTTTCTAACAAACCACTTGAAGATAACGAATTAACCAGTCCCTATCTGATGAGCTTACCAAGTAAGAACATGCCCTCCATACTTTCTAATGGAAATATCGCATAGACACAAACTTGCCGTTCAAGATTGTACGTTAGATGTCGCAGATTGATAATTTTTTACCATCTGTGAAGGAAAAAAAAGGCTATCAGATTTCATCTGACAGGCAACAGTTATATTGAAATTCAATGAATGTGACTAAATACAGTTTGGCTTAAAGTAATTAAATGTCTGCAGCATTTTGGCACTTGTATAGGAAATTAAGTTAGATTTACCTGGCAAGTGGGCATTTTGAATTACTAAAAGTTAAGCACTTTTTATGAATTTGCACTTTCACAGACTGAAACATTTTACTCTTATCTCTGAGCTCCACAACCACCATCTGTTCAGGCTAGGAGACCTTGGTCTTTCCCCATGGATACTGAACTGTATCTTCAAGGGTAGAAGATACAAAGTCCACATTTCTGACACATGTGCAAGTCTAGCCCACTTCTCCCCAACTAAGCTTTGCTGTTGTATAACTATCTCCTGTTCCTATGTGTGTGAAAAGATAAGTATTTTCAAAAAAACAATCTTGTAGAAGTGGCAATCACATGTATGAGAAATTCTTCAGATGTGTAGCATTACTTATTTACCAAAATTTTCACACTAAGACTATTTTGATGAGTGCTCTATCAAATAATGTTAAGGGTAAATTTTGAGGTGATTGAATTAGTTCTAAATTGCACTCAGCTTAGGGAAATTTAGAGTTAAAAGGATAATATTCCAGGGAATGAAATTTTTTCAGAGGTCAAGGTGCACCTTGCAGGGGTATGATTCCCTTGATCTCTTATAATGTTGTTTGTTTTTGCATTAAGATGATCAGCTTAAGAAAGTCAGACATGGCTTATCATCATGTTATTTCAGGAGCTAACTTCATATTCATGTGTTGTTTTAAGATTAAGATTACACTCAGCAATAGAGATTGAACAATTTGCACATCTTTCTCACTAAACCAGACTGACAGCTTTAAGTTGTTTACTGTCACAGGCCAACTAGAAGTGTGAACACAATCTCTTGACTCTTAGATCTGTTACAGGGGAGTGTCAAGTCTGAGTATTTTTTTGAGTGAGACTTTCTCAGGTCATGATAAAATGGTCCAGACTTGCCTCATTGACAAGTCTGCAGGTTGCATACCTCCTTAACTTGATCATAAGGAGTTGAAAACCACAGATCACAGAGAGAGTAGGGCTATATCCCAGCAAACTCACCAGCTTTTTGTACTACATATACTTTATTTTCCATTGATTTGGGAAGAGCTAAACAAGAGAGGTCAACCAAAAGTTGTGTGAAGAGTACAATTTATTCAGTTTATGATCACTGTTATACACTTGTATTACAACAATGTACTTTCATTTTAAAAACTTGGGGCTTTTTTCAGAGGAGGAATCAGGCTCCATGATTCAGTGTTTGATAACAATCTTCTTAATGGCATCATGACAAAATATTTTATACCTCTTACTAACTAAACAAACCAAGTGGTAGAAAGGGGGTAGGTTTCTAAAGAAACTGTGGTGCTGCGTCGGTGGGAGAGTATAGCAGGTAATTTAGTGTTAACAACTGGGTTGAAGACATAAATTGGTCACCCTTAAGAGTAAAAAAGCTGACATTTTGAGCATTAGCCCTTCGTCAGAGCTAACACTCGAAACATCAGCTTTTTTACTCTTTAGGGTAGCCAATTTACGCTTTCAACTCAGTTGTTAACTCTAAATTACCTAGCCAAGTTGAAGGTCTGTATTGTCAGTTATGGACTGAGTTTTTTTCTTCTCTGCTTTATGACCCAGGTGCTAGCTAAATTGACCAATCACAGTGCACATACTGAGAGACATGAAAATTTCATTTATTGCAGAATAATGGATGTGTTTACATGATTAAGAAATATTGAAATTTGGGTATTTTTTGGTCGGCCCAATTTCACATGTGCATATACTTGAATTACCATGATTCCTGTCAATCATAGGTTAACATCACATTATTAATTTGCTTTTTTTAATTTGTGATTTCAGATTTTGTCAATCGTTACAATCCTTGCCAAGGCTCTAAACATTAAATTGTATGATCCCACACATTTCTTATTGACAAGATGGCAGATTGCTACGTAATAGTTACAACAAGGAACATTTTATGGATGGTGTTGTCAGTTGTTGCAACGCTGGCTGTGATAGCTGGAATTATGACACCCAAGTGGTTGTATGGAAGATCAGTGCTTTTTGATGACAAGAACTATAATTTTACATCTCAGTACATCCCACCGGAGGCGATGTACAGGCCATCAATTGGCATCTACAACCGCTGTAAAAAAATTCATAAGAGTGTTGGAGGGGATCCAGAACTAAATTGTTACACTTACATCAAAAACTTTATGGAGATTCCTTCAGCTGCTTGGCAAGCTTGTCTGTTTTTTCTATGGTTTGGTACAGCACTTCTAGCTATTGTTGTACTCATGTCCATCGTGGGATTTTGTGCACAAAGTATAGGAAAGAAAAGTATTTTCTCACTTGGTGGAGTGATCCAGGCTATAGCAGGTAATTACTGGGAAACATAACTTTTATTGATAGTTGTTTGTATTCTTTCAAGTGATTAGTTTTTTTCCATACCTTGGAGCATTTGGTCCTTTTTCAGTTAAGCCTCTTCTTGTTTGACACACATTTTCAGTTAACCCTGTTCTTGTTTGACACCCATTTTCGTGAAAAATACCAAGGCACGGCCTGGAATACTGCTATAGGAAACCAACTTTCTTCTGTTAAACAATTACAGAAAAAAAAATAGTTTATAGTGTGATACTTTATGAAAGCATCACTCTGTACGAAAGATCATTAGTCAGCCTTGTAGTGAATTAATCATAGCTTTTCTTGCCTTGTAATAACTGTTATGCATTCTCAGTTCCAAAAACTGAAATTAAACATTGAAAAACTGCAACAAGCTATTGGTCCAAGCACATGCATATGCATAAGTGAATTGTTGTACCAGTGATCTTGTAAACCAAATTCAAAGGTTTCTTTACCTGGGAGCTAACATTTGTTATGTGGGGTTCTTTATAGCACTCTTTCTTGTGATTGGCCTTGTTCTCTACCCTGCTGGCTGGGGCAGTGAAACAGTTGGTGATCTTTGCACAAAGCCATCACAGAAACCTGGAGCTTTTGTACTTAACGAATGCTCAATGGGATGGGCATTTTATGCCGTGCTTGGAGGTACATTGTCATCATTTCTATGTTCCTTGTTATCTGGTCAAGCAGAGAAGTCTACATCAAGTGATGACGTGCAAGATGAAATTTCAGACGGAAAGACTTTGATTTGTCTTATTTAATTGGATTGCTGGAAGTTGGCAAGGGTATGTCGCAGTTTCCTATGTTGTGAGGACTGTTGTCATTATCAATGTGGCAACTTTTCTTGTGGACTTGTACATGGCTGTAATGTGCTGTAGCTGTTAAGGTTCACTGGCAAATTCTGCTATTAAGAGAACATTCAATCAAAGAACAGAAATCAAGGTGTTTGTTTATAGATATAGATTAACTTGTGGTTACAAATAACTTTAAAATAGTAATTGCATGATTTTAATCAAGAATGTAAAGTTAGTGGTAAACTGGCATAAATTGGAGTTTTGACAGTGATGGAATCAGGATCTTTTCCAGACCATTTATAGAGGGTGGTACAAATTTCAATTGATTTGAAAGATTTAATCTGTTAAAAGGGATGAATCACTGATGAGCAGGGTATCAAATTGTTTGTCTTGAGAATGGAAATGTTAACTGAAAAGTTTCCAAGTATCAACCATTTCTCTTGAGCAGTTACAGATGAGTTTAACCATGTCTAAAGAGAGGGCTGCTCTCCGTCACACATTTCAGAGTCACCTTGTGAGGTGTTCTATTTGAAAAAGAGTCTCAGTGTATGTTACATGATTAAAACTTGCTTTTGAGAAGACTGTCAACATAAGTTAGTAGTTGTATATAATATTAAAATAAGAAGAAAGAGTTCTTTTCACAATTTAAAATAAACAGTACAATAAACAGTATATTTGGTCAGGAATGTCAGCACTTGCATTTCTGAATTTGGTTTTAAGTGTGTTTTTTTTAAATAATATTGATTGACAGGACTTCTGACCTTAAAGGGCTTAAGAAAAAAATGTTGTAAGCTCACAATTTTCATGTAATAGTTATCGGTTACTATTTAACATGATAATTATGTCAAATTAATGGAAAGGATGTTTTGAACAAGTATTTTTTTTTTTACTCTTTATTGTTTTAACTAAAGAGATTTGCTGGTTTCAAAACTGTCTATTACAGTTTTTAATGAAATAAATTCTTATTTATATTTACAAGGTCACCCTCAGCCTTATTCCTACCAAAGGACTACATGACATTTCTAAGCACCAAAAAATCAACCATTTTCAATCAACCTTTTTGGAAGTTTTAATCAACTAAGTTAATTTCTTCATCAGGTTTTGCAATCAAACACTATGTTTTGTCCTTTCCACTAATAGTTTGTTCATCCATGTTCCCTGTTTCTATCAACATGATGTTTCTATGAATCCTCAATTCCTGCCAAAGTTATTGATCTGTGGAGTGTCAGTACAAGAATTTCAAGATAGTAATGATTGACCCTGCATTATATCGACAGACAATTGATTGACACTCTTATCATAGTCAATTACTTGCTGATAGTTGGTCAACAGTTGAACACCAGTTAAACCATTGACATCCTGGTTAACATCCTGTGAATAGGGGGTGAGTTTCTAAAGAAACTATGGTGCTGTGTCGGTGGGGGAGTTTAACAAGATAATTTGGTTTAACAACTGAGTTTGAGTTGATAATGTAAATCGGTCACCGTAGTGGGTTTCAAAACTGATGTTTTTGAGTGTCGACCCTTCATCAGAGTGAATGGAGTTGAGAGAGTTGAACGACCATAATCTACTGCCAACCAACATACTGATGTAGCTGTTAATCAAGAGTGCTCCGAATTAACTTGTTTTAATCTTGCATGATCAAGCTACCTTTGAAGTCCACTAGGTAAAGTCTGGCCAGAACTAACCAATTATCCTTTCTCTGTGTGGAGATTACTGCTTTACAAAATAGAAAAATTTCAGCATAATATGAAATCACAAAATCGTATCAAACAGTAATGATGATCAAGCCACCTGTCCACCAGGTAAAGTCTGGCCAGAATTAACCAATTATCCTTTCTCTGTGTGGAGATTACTGCCTTACAAAACTGAAAAATTTTAGCATAATATGAAATCACAAAATCGTATCAAACAGAAAAGATTCTCCCATCGTTCTGTGAGGCGTCATATTTGGAATGAGCAGATGCAGATTTAAACCCTTCAGGTAGACTGATCTGGGACAATAACTAACCTTTAGAGGTCATCTCGGGTTTTCGTTTTCAAATATCTCTCCATGAAAAATCAAAGCCTTCTGATCTTTCTGGGGGTAATTAGAAACCCAGAAAATGTGACATTAAAGCCGTCGTGAGGTCTTTTTAGTTACTTTTAACAACGACACGAAAAGAAAAAGGGCAGGCAATTTTCCAGGACTAAGGAGGCTAGCTTAATTCACCACCTTCACACACATCAAAAATAGTTGTACCTTAGGTAAATTTATTATCTGAAAAGAAAAAAGTGGCAAATTAAACCTCTTGCAATGGAAAGCCCAACAAGTTGCACTCTTCCCAGGTCTTCCCAAGTTTTCTCAGCTGCTCACACAGGGGTCTGAATCCAAGTTTACTTCTCGTGAAGCGCGAAGAGAGTTAACATGGAGGCATTTCTGAAGTTTACGAAGGTGGGATTTTATCTGTGTTGTTATTTTAGGACGACTTTAACCGATGCGGTGCTCTTTGTATGGTGTGATAAGTTGAAAACAGCCATATGTACGATTCGGTTACCTCCAAATCGATACAAATCGGAAAACTATGGAGATGCAGAGGTGAAGATATTGTCACCTGGAACATCATGCATGTATATCTTTACATGTAGAAAAAAAACTTTTAAGTTTCAAAGTAAAATGCGCTGTACCGACTGATTGGCTAAACTTCAGAATACCCCGCCACTTTGGTCCGCCTCACTTACATGTGTCGGGAGGCTTTGAAGATCGAGGCATAACACAATAGACGCTATTCTTATTTAATGACATGTAAATGAGTTGCGGGGTATTCTGAAGTTGCTCCGACTGATTTCTTATTCCTAACTCCTTCACTGATGGTTTTGTCTTTTCTTCATTTTTTATGTTCACAATAATTATCCAATGTAACCTTTATTAATTTATTTTGTGATTATATTTTGTTGTTTACACAGGTAATGTAAAACCTTATTTTTATTGAATATAGTGTTGGTATAACCGTTGTAAATGTATTTATTTGTCATCAGAGTAAACCTGATACACTTTAGTTTATAGCAACTTGATAGCTGACTATACTTTTTTAATAGGTTACCAATTATAAATAAAGATAACAACAAATTTTGAGAATTTAAACCTTCTGAAAGTCTGTACTTGCATTTAGGATTGTTTGGCAAATATTTCTCAGTTTTCTGAGGTGCATGTTGTGCTGGGCAATGAAGCATGTGATCTTGACTCTATGGTGTCATCTTTACTTTACGCTTTCTCAATTTACAAGGTGAGATTTACAGTAACTACAACCATGTTTTGAACTTATTCAAGAAGTTCCTCACTTTCCTCATATATGCAGCATGAAATTGTAAATCCACTTAGGAATTTTCCCTGCATTTCTGGAGTTCCATTCTATCAACCCTGTACTTGATCAATTAACTCCCACAAGTCAGTAAAATTTACTTTTCAATTCAATATCAGCTGTCATCAGGTAATGATAATACACATATAGTATTGTTTAGAGGTTGTTAACTTGATATAAAACATTTAACCCTCTTCACCCTAACATTAGCATGTCTTCTCTATGCTGTTCTTTATACATTTCCTATGGCACTGACAAGGAGAATTTAGCTAAAAATCAAGAACTTTTCAAGCTTTAATTCTTATGAGGCTAATGTTTGATTTGGCAGCAATACCTCAGTGAGAAATTAAATAATAGTTACCCTTAACTAATTCACAATGAAATGTATAGCTCCTGGAAAGGAGATTAGAAAAGTTTAAAAATCTTCATTTAATATGAAGATTTTACCAGAATAATTATGATTATTGACATGGATTAATTACAATAATAATGTTTAGCCAAGTACAATGTAAAGCTGCAAAATATAACTTGCTTTAAAACTTAACCAAACAGACATTTTTTAAAACTTGACACATGCATTACCTTAAAATTTTTGCCATCCCCATCCATGCTTATTCCCTTTTCATTCATTCCTCTATCTTTTGTATTTTTTTTAATTTAGTAATCATTAAAGACTGTTTTAAGGTTTCACTTTTAATTTTTTTCCTCATTGACAGACACTTATCAATGTTCCAGGGAAGCCAATAGCCGTTATTCCTGTATTCAACATACATAAGGAAGACTTTTGTTTGAGGACAGAGGCGGTTTTTCTATTCCAGAGATATCTACTTGACTCAAGTTCCTTCATATTTATAGAAGATGTTGACTTGGAAAACCTACTGGAAACAGGGAAACTGCAGCTTGTTTTAGTGGATCATAACATCTTAGCAAAAAGACAGAAACACTTGGATGTTGCTGTCTTTGAGATTCTTGTTAAGTGTGATTGCTACTGTTTTGCATCAATTTGTGCATAACTTCCTTAACATTTTCTTGCTTCAATTTTTACTTAGTCTGTCACTTCTCAGTAAATGTTCCCAGTCCTCTATTTCCTCAAATGATTGATGTTTGCTTCATATTTTTCTTGCAGACCATCGTAAGGATCAATGGCCAGCTAATTTGAAAGTAAGAAAAAAAATTGAACCTGTGGGATCATGCTGCACACTTGTGACAGAGAAATTATTGGCTTTAGATTTATTAGATGGGCAGATGGCGAGCCTGCTGTTAGGATCAATACTTCTGGACACTATTAACTTGGATCCCAGAGCTGGAAGAGCCACAGATAAAGACAGAAATATTGTCAAGCAATTGCAGGATAAATTTCCTCTAGCCCTAGATGAACTGTACAGATCTGTCAGTACAGGTTAGTTGAATCAGTGACACCCAGAACATTTAACATTGTCACTCCCAAAGGTACTCTTTTTGAGAAGAAAATGGTTGCCTAGTATTCTCTTAAGATAATGCTTAACAAATCCTATACATAGTCCTTTGAGATCTTTGTGATTCAAGATTTCCTCAACAAGATCCAGGAAGATCTCTTCATTTTTCATGAGACCCCAGAAGAGTCCTCAGTATAGTCATGCCAGGGTCACTACATGTTACTGAAAGTAACCAACAGCTCACTTAAATATGAAAAAAACTTGTGATTGTAATTATAAATCTTGGACCTTTTAAGTAAAAATCAAGAATGGTAAACTTCACCCTAAACAGCCCAGTGTTTAACACTGACATGGGAATTATTTATTACAATGGCCATCAAATATTGTCTCACCAACTGAAATCTTTTGCCAACAAATCAACCTCCAGGAGTGACTAGCATCTGATGTCTACTTACAGTATCACCCCTGAATAAATAATTTGGTTATTTGAATGAATAAAACTGATGATCACCAACCAAAGAAGTCTTTCAGTACAATGGGAAGTGTGTGGTGAATATGCATACTCAAGGTCTTTCAAGCCTAGTAGCCCCTTCAGCTCAAGTGTATCTCGTTTTCCATGAATGGGATGCTAAACTATAGCTGGACACCCCTCTCCCCCCCCCCCGTTCCCCCTTTCCCTCACCCTGTCAGTTATTAGTCAATATTTTTAAACAGTTTTGGTATCCATTTATAAATAAGGAGAAGTAATGTGAGATTAATGCATCTTGCTAACGATAACATATCTGTCAGACCTCAGGCATGCGTAAGGGGATCTGACCAAGCCTGAAAGCATGCCATCAGGTTCTTACAACGTTCGCGAACGTTTGACCGCTCCGTTGCCCATGATGAGGCAGCCAGTTCTCAAACCAGGATCATTTGATCCAGAATCTCGCACACAAATTTCTAGGCTTCCGCTTTTCCTTGGTGTTTGATAAAAGTTCCCGGAATTCATCAACTGCCCAATTCTCCCTCTGATCTGCCTTCTAATGTTTGTTAAGTCATTTTAATTTGCGACTTAGAGTCACATAGGGTTTTTCTCATTTTTCAACTTTTTTTCACTCTAAAACAAGACTTTTTTTTTTCTTAACAAACAGCCAAATTTGATGTGTCAGCTCTCTGCACATTGGATCTTCTTCGTAAAGACTACAAAGCTTTGCCAACCGTTGAAAACAAAGCTCTGAGTGTTGGCATCAGTTCTGTCAGTGGATTATCACTGAGTGATTTCTTCGCAAGAACTCAAGTCCATCAAAGCATTTCAGAATACTGCCTGGCCTCATCTCTGGATGTGTTAATTATCATGTTTCTCTATTTTGTTGAAAGCCTTGATGATCCTCCCAGTAGGCAGATTGCTGTTTGTGGGCCACACAGTGAAGCTAAGAGTAAAATCGCAGAAAATTTGTCCTGTTCAGGAGAACTTAATTTGAGGCTGTACAGCGAGCGTTTCCAAAACTGTTTCGTGTATGATCAGGAAAACATAACGGCTTCACGGAAAGTTGTGTTTCCTCTTGTACTGGATATCATCAAAAATAGATTTTGAAGTGCGTTACTTTTTTACTTGAACTGAGATGTTAATAATACCTTAGAGGGTGGCTGACTCCCTTTGTAATGGCCTTTATTCGGATGTTTCAGGTAAAATGCAAAAAGAAGCAAAAAGGTGTTCATTTCATGTGTTCTTCTATCAAAATTAAGGACATGGTCAAACAAGATTGTGAAGAACTTTTTCTACAAGCGGCTGCCGATGGTGTAATAAACGGCTGTTCTTGAAAAGTGGCTGTAAGGCGAAATCCAATGAAGAGAGCCTGCGCAGGCTAACAGACGGCGGTAACAGGTCTAATGGGCAGCGGTCAACCGCTTGGCGCCGGCTTTTGTTGGATTACCTGGTTCAAAGAAATGCATGCAAATACACATCCTTTGCGTTTCACGGAAAAGTTACTTTATTAATGGTGACGTCATCTATGCGTCTGAACCAATCAGAATGCGTGCGAAATTTAGCTCACTACATAAATAACATCCTGGTAAATAGGAATAGTTATGTTGTTAGACACAAAGTGCTCTTATCCAGATAGACAGTTCTACCAGTCACAATGCTACGGAAACCGGCAGGAGCTTTGTTAATTAAGGATCTCTTTATTCTCGTGCAGACTTTACCTCGGCTTTTATTCCCCATAGCTACAGACAATGAAGTTTCCTGTGGAGAGGATTATCGTTTTGTTGTTTATACTAAGCATGTAATAGACATTATTGAGGGTTAACTAAATAATGAGTACTAATGGAAATTACGGCAAGCTTTTCCTTACTATTTCTTTTCGATGCATTTTTGAAGTAGGCTTCTGAGGTTGGCACCCATGGCTCTGCGAAGACGACTGGAAAATATGTTCTTTTCATTTTTCAGATTAGTGCTCTCTCCATGCATTTGCTAATTGAAATATTCACTTTATAGAACTACAGATTCTTGCATAAAGCATTTTAAAAAAAAATTTAAAAATTTATCTTACTACACATTGTCGTTTATGTAAAAATCTATGGAATTCCAAAAATTGTGTCTTTGTCTTACTATTGTCCAGCTAAGAGAAATACAATTTCACCGCGCCTGTCTTTCTGTTTCCTCAGAAAGCTAACACCAGCCTAATCTTTATACCTTACTTTTAAGAACTGTTGCCATTTCCGTGCTCTCAACCCTTTCCTAAGAGCATTCCTATGGTCTTTATAACTTCCTCTTCGATTTTCGGTTACTCCAAACAATCAGAAGAATTATGAAGTGTCAATTCACTTTATGCAAATTGTGATCTTTATTGTTAGACCAAAGGACACTCCGCACCTCGTCAAATATAGAAGTCTATTGTTATCAGTGTAATGAAAATGCAAAATAGTCTGCTACGTGCGTTGGAAAAAAGTACTAAGGCATATTTGCCGCTTATGCCGTAGCCGTAGCGACTAAATTGCTTCGTGCCTCTACTAGAAGCGAAGAAATGAGCTCTACGCTCATAATAGTTGTCGGGATTTTGACAGCTGCGATCAATTTCTGTGAAGTGTGTAGTATCTCTATCAAATGCCAGGTAAGTAAGCCCGGATACTTCGACCAGGTAAAACTCTGTCACGTTCCTCTCGCATAGAGTCCGTTGTCCATCGTTGTTTTCGACGTGTTGATGTATCTCGTAGTTGTTGTTACCGATACCAGGTTTGTCGATTTTGGTGTACCAGCTGCTTTCACTGTTTTCTTTGATGTTGAGATTACTTCTGTTTACATTCAGACGACACCGAACGCGTGAAAAATAATGGTCTGTATTTAATCGGATAATTTGACTGGACACTTGAAAGAAAACAGCGTAACAAATCTGAGGGAAGGCGAATGGTAAAATTCGTGACTTTCGAAACGCCGAGACCACTGTTTGAAATTCCGGCACCAAGGCTAAGTCATTTTATCGGTACAACTCTTAACTATCATCTTCGCTTTACTCAGATTGTTTCAAGGCACTGCTAATGACAGGAAAATGTTGCGCAAGAATTTAGATACTCTCCTTAGCGTTCATTTTGGCTATCACAAATTTATTATGATCATAATGACAGCGATCATACACAGGCTTTTGTCGCTCAGGAATGTCACCCTAAGCCACAGTAACTACCTTTGAACCTTGGATCTCGATCTGCTTTGTCATTTATTGGGGACCTTGGGACCGAACATGAAATTCATTGTGAGTGAAACTGTGAGACTCGTCGCTAAAAGCCTGACGAGATAAAAAGTTTGCGGTACCCACGAATACGCCACCGCTGAATCTACAATTTCTCTTTTCATTCCGCGCTTTCTCCTGCGGTCTTAACAGCGCCGTTAAAACTTCCATATCTTTTACACATGCAGTTAGGAACATCTTTCTTCTATGACATCTTGCTTGTACAAAGATTTCGTGTCGAACTGTGTAAAAGTAGGCTTTAATTTCAATAATTTTTCCGAGTGGAAGTCGAAAAACTAGCATTCCCAGACGAGAAAACAACTCTATCAGGCAAGGCACTCTGTGCGCTGAGTTTTCTTGATCTTTCGAGCGCATTATGAGAGCCAAAACACAAGTATGAATATTATTTACTAAGAATCTTGGTGATCACAAAATTAACAAGTTGAAAAAAATATTTGTTAAGGGTTGGTCTGTGTATTTTATATAGATATTTTGCTATAGTAAGATTGTTTCCATTGGCCCCAGTTAAAAACGGCAGCTTTAAATTGAAGTGGGCCAGCCTGTTTGAATACTACCAATGACTAAACAAATAAACTAAGAAGTTTACAGCGAAAACGGAAGAGTCCAAAAGTTATTTAACATTTAAAGTAGTCATTGGCAGATAACTTCGGTTTCAATGTACATTAGTTGTTTAAAACATTCGTAAACAATTTCTTGCTTGGCATATACAAATTAAATTTCCTTCGATAGTAAACACTGCATTTATTACTCGAAAACGGTGCAGTAGCATAAAACAAAGCCATCTTTCACAATTCTTTATTCTTCGCATTTTCTTCTGTATCCTCTCATTTCCCATCCTTTCCTACCCTTTTCCATTAAACCAATCCTACCCATTTCCTCCTATTCTTTTCTTAGCTGCCTATATTAAATGTGTCATCCAATCAACAGGTCAAAGATGCAACTCGTGGCGTGGAGTGGGCTGCAGTACCCGGCGCAGAGTGCATGTTATTATCTAATGCTGGGATCTTTCTTAGAACAGCAAAAAGTCTCACTAACTCTTATGGTGTGGCTATAATTGAAGATGTTCAGCCAGGATACTATCAAGTATGTACAGAATATATATCCTACACGGGGACGTTGCCTGAGTAACTGCTTCCAGTCCTTCTTTTGTGAATTTCTCCGAAGGTAGTCCCCATAATGATTCTCATAAAGAATCTCGAAGAGAATACTCCATCCATTTTAAATTCAGATATGGAACTGACTTAAAATAAACCGGCAAACGAGAAAAGGGGCAAGTTTCTAAAGAAATTGTGGTGCTGAGTCGGTAGGGGAGTATAACAAAATAATTTGATTTTATATTTATCAGATGAGCTGATCAGTGTAACTTAGCCTCCGTAAAGAGTTGCTAGTTTTTAGAAACTTTTTACAATGGCCAACTTACATTATCGTCTCACTTTATGAAACCAAATTATGTATGAATGTAAGAGGGTTTTAACGGGTGATATGCGTGGGCGGGTTATTCGAGAGAAATGTGAGTGAACGCAGCTCAGTGTTTTACCAGATCGCTTGTCTTATGTCTCATGTTTTATGGAAGAATTATGAGGATCCTCAAGAATACGAATGAGGCTTATTCTTCTCTTTTTATCAAAAAGGGCTCGTGGTAAGGGTTTAGATCACGGATTATATCATAGCCATACAATCATATCTTGAGAGTTGCAAAATCATAAATTAAGAGTTATTTCTGGTAAATTCAGTCTTGTGTCCACTTAAGATGGTCTTCACCTCAATAGATAGGCAAAAACACCTCATCTTCCGCTTATAGAGGTGTTGTATCGTGAGGAGTTTGTTATGATCAAGGTTATTATCAGACGCGAACCATTTTGGAAAACAGACTCTTCGTGATTGAAGTGTCTGCTCTAAAGCGTTTTTATACTGTGCTAAAATGTGATAACTTGCCTTCCAGATTCGAACGTCTCGAATTGGTTACTATACGTTAAACGAAGACCTTACGATCGCATCCCACATTGAAAAACACGCCATGATTAACCAAGATATGGTGATATCTCCGCGTCTCTCCCTCCGGGGAAGCGATGACATGTACCGTATTGTCCTCACTTGGGGGCGTGTCCCCAAGGATTTAGATTCTTACGTCATTACCCCATGGCCTCGAGAATCGGAATGCAAATCTGGAATGGTGAGTAAAGGAAGAATATACAGTGGCAACTGAGGTACAGAGATCTCGTTAAGAGCACGGCCATGTATTAATTGCTTATGTGACCAGCACTCTCCCTCTTTTTAAGTGAATAGTGCTTCCTTCTAAGCAGTTTGTAGTGCTGACTGTTGATCAATTTGTTGAACCTAGCTCTGAAACACTACTCCATCAAGGCGAACTTGAACTAACACTCGACTGCTACTCATTCGTGGAAACTACTACAAACAAACTAATGGCGTAACCATGGGTACCAAAATGGGACCCAGCTACGCCAATCTTTTCATAGGTTTTATTGAACACAAATTTTTCCGAAAAATCAGAAAGAGACAATATGCCAGTTTTTCGATCAACGCGGCTATCCTGTTTCTGTCGTTCAAGCGGGCCACCACCGCGCCCAACAAATTGATCGACAGCACTACAAACGGTTCAGAAAATAACGATCACATTCCATTCACTCTCACATTTTACCCTCACAACCACGTTGTTAAACCTATCGTTCTTAGAAACTTTAAATTACTTCGAAACAATTCAGAGTCTAATACTATCTTTTCGCAACCTCCACCAATTTCATTCAAACGCGACAAAAAAAATAGGCAGCTTTTTAGTCAGAAGTTCATTTTAAACCTATGACCAACTGGAACTTTCAAATATGCTCGCTCAAGATGCGAAACTTGTCTTTTCATTCCAAACGTAGAGAAAATGTCGGGACCCAAGAAATCCATTAAGATCACTGACCACTTCACGTGCACCTCCGCTAACGTGCACTTATTGCAAAAGTTATATATTGGTGAAACAGGGTAACAACTAGGTGACCGATTTCGAGAACTCCTTCGTGATGTAGAAAGAAATGACAAGGACGCATTAAAACTACAAACCAGTTGTTAGACACTTTAATCTCCCTAATCATTCTAAGCTGAATATGGCCGTTTGTGGCCTTTCCCTACTTTTAGGCAGTTCAGAAAGCCTTAAAACTCTAGAAAAAAAATTATCTTTGAAATCGGCACTCTTAATCCCCACGGTATCAACAAGCGCATTTCATTTAACTAATTAATTCTTGTTTTCTCGTCACCATATTCCCACCAATAGCGTAGCTCCATTTTCTGCGCATAAACACACACACAACCCACAATTCTTCCAATCGCTTTGATGAAGGGCTAACAATCGAAATGTCAGCTTTGAAACTCTCTACGGTGGCCAATTTACATTATCAACTCAGTTGATAAGACTAAATTACCATGTTTAAATCAGCTCGTCACATAATTCTTGATAGATCGTAACCAAGAGTTTAGCTTATTGTGCATTATAGTTAGTCCTGTAACTAAAAAAACAGCTATAAAGCAATTTTCAATCGAGTAACGATATTAATTCGGAATTACTTTGTTATGATTTACCTCGCTCTTTCACGTGTTCACAAAACTTGAGCCATTCCCTCAACCAATGAGACGTAAAACGAATACCAATGGTGGCCTAGTTATCTGCGTTTCCGGTTTTTTATTATGAGTTCTCATCGGTTAGTGCTGTTTTCCTTTGTTATGATTGGCTAGTTGTTGTGATAACTTTGGTCTCAACTTTGGTGGACAAGTGTCTTTTGACAGTCCATTAAAAAAATTGCTTAAAAAAATGAAAGGGCTATATCGCCATCCTTTGTGAAAAAAGTACCTCTACTGAAATCCTTTTTTGTATGTAGGTTTTCTTTGATGGCCAAAGATGTCAACAAGGCTCCCAGACAATCGATCTTGACGTGGATGCTACAGACATGTATGGACCGGAGACCATAACAATGAGAGGGTTACAGTCTGAGACATTTGCTTACTATGTACATATTTATTCTGTGGGTGTCTGCTGGGATAAGATATCAGCCAATGTCAAGATATACCAGGCTTCCACAGGTGGTCTGTTGTACAATATTCAACAACCGGAATGCAGTGAAGGTATTAAAGCTGGGCGGGTGTAGCTTTAGTTTGTGATGAAGGTTGAGTCATTGTGGGTCATTTGTTTGCCCTTTGCCAAAAGTCTTGTTCGGTTATCGTCGAGTGGCAGTTCCACGGTGCCAAATCGCAGGAATAGGATGTATGATAATCATCTCTTGAACAAAGATCTCCCACAAACACTTAACTGACCTAATGGAGTAACGTAATATTTTGTGGATATCTAACTTAACTGTTTTGAAACATTGCAGATAGATTTGGATACGACAGCACCAACTGTTCCCGTTACTGGCATGTGTTTGATTTTGATGCCTCCACGGCTAAATTCAAAATTTACCAGAACAAGCTCATGACCAAAGCACCTGTGCTCTCCGGGAAGAATAATGCCGATCCCAATTGCACTTGCTTAGTGAAGAACGACATCTCAAGCGTAGACGTCATCAGTTCTGCGGAAAAGATTTCTGTTACAGCGGAGAATCTCATGGTTGATATGTTGTGTGTCAACGAGATGAAGAACATTTACGATAACTCAAGTGAGTGACCTTGTTTAGTATGAAAAGGGAGGAAATTTTATAATGATGCCAAGCCCATGACAAACCTCTCCCCGACTCGTCTCAAATCTCCCCGCTAGCGGAGAAACGTTTGTCCTGCAGCGCTTGAGAGCCTGCTCGCAGGCTACAGTACAGTTTACATTAACGTTACGGTAATATTTTTCGAGAAAAATCGAATGTACCAAATAAAGGGCAAAAAGCTCACAATAAATCGCTTATACCAGAAAAGATTTTCCCTTGAAAAGTTGTCTCAACAATTTTGTTTTTAAATCGATTACTCGTGTTTCTGATTTTCATATCTTTCCATTGATCCCTGGAGAGGAAGCAATCTCCTTGTTTGGTCAGGAAATTCCCCAATATGGCTCAAAGAAAGCAAAGAATTCTAGTCCATTTGCATTTCAAAGAGTTGAACTGAAGAATTTGGTTGATTAGCAAATGCCCTACGGGACTTGCCGGTATTAACCCAATACCCCCGTTTTTTTTTCCTTTTTCTAGTGAAGAAGAACATAAGGTTGAATCCTTCTGATTTGGTGGACAAGTTAGCGATGTTTATCAGTGGCCAGATTGAAATGAAGAGGCGTCTCGGAAACAAACTTAAGAATGTGATTGAAAAGGAATATGAAGAATACAAGAGCGCTAAAAGACCAAGGATAACCAATCTCAAAGAAATTGCTCCTAAACAGTGCTGCCGCTACGATGGAAATACGAAATACTCTACCAAGTTTCAGAGATGGGTTGACCATAACTCGGTAAATATTGGTTAATTTTTCAGATTTTAAGCAGTTGTCAATTGAATGTCGACAGTAATCCGAGATTGCATTGGTTTGCTTTACTTCGCTCTGTGATTGGTCCAGTAAAAACTCGCGCCATTCTCTCAACCAATCGGATGCAAAACTAGAACCAATCATTTTCCTTTCTTCTGATTGGCCGTTGTAATTCTTTGGCTTTGGTTTCACGACACTCAATCGAAAAGCACTCTAATGAGAGGACCCGTTTTTAAAGGATCTAGTCATCATATTCTGCCGATGTTGTTTTGGGGATTACGATTGGTACGAAAAGTACCCACATTCGTACATACGAGTTTGTAATAGTTTTCTCCAGATTCATAACTAAACCTAGGTAGAGCTGACAATGTACCATTTGGCTCTTACCGCCCTTCTACTTTACTAGTGAACTTTTTTTTTCCTTATTGCTGTCTCCTTTGTAAGATGTCGCTTATTGCATAAGGCTGTGCGTGAAATGCCGGTTTACAGAGGCAGTCTAGTCACAGTACTATTACTTTTAGCTAGCTATCTGTCTTGTTCTTCACAGAAAACCGAACCTTCTTCTTTTTGTTGTGATAATTTCTTCTTCCTTTTTCTTGTTTTGCAGAGCTGCTGGTCTTGGCCAAGCGAAATAAAAGAGGTATGGATTTCCTCATCTTTGAAGCTAGCATTTGTAACTATTGCTAACTAGTTTATCCTGTTTCAGATGCCTGATGAACTTGTTTCGGCTTACGACTGGACTATTCCGCTGGAGAAGGAAATGATGGAAAATGTACATTCCAAGTCGCAGAAGGTACTACAACTCTATTTTGAGCAAATTTACAGTGGAATACGCCGTTCAACCCGTCAAACAGTGATATTTGAAAGCGAGCACATTGTTTAAGTATTGCTTAAGAATGTCACGAGATGATCTCCAAGTAATTGTGATTTAAGAAATTGGAAATTTTGCCTAAATTTTTGACGGGGTTCTGTATCCCAAGAGACTTCCTAACAAATAATCGACGAAGCAAGTTAGAAGCGGGGCAAATTGTGGTAGTTCTTTGTTTTCATGAACTAGTTGCGCACATGTAAATGAATTTATTATCAAATCGATTTTATTGCTATGTTCTGGGTAGCGCCCCATTGGTAACTGGGAGAAAGGGATTTGAACCTGGTCGATGCCTCACTTTTTTGAGTGGATTGAATTCAGTTGCTTCACAAAGGGGTGGATCCGTCTCTTGGCATCTAGAGTCAAATTTGAACTCTCTTTAAGTTATCAGCCTGTTATTGCCTTTCAGAATTTTAATCCTCGCGGTCAACACAAGTGGCAATATTTCGCTGACGATGCAACGGGATTTTTCCGTAAATTTCCCGCTGCGTTAGTCAGCTCGTCCAAGTGTGGTAAGTTTAAATTTGTTATGTTATGTAAAGTAGAGTATTTAAGATGGAAGCATTACTGAAGGCGAAATTTCACTCTGCAAGACGATGTAAATTTAAAATTTCTCTCTGTAATGGTTAGGGACCAGAGACGAGCGGCTTCAACCATGGTACATTGCGGCTATTCTACGACCAAAGAATGTTGTCATACTGTTTGACATCAGCTATTCCATGAAAGAAGAAAACAAAATCATATTCGCCAGGACCGCCATTACGCCGATGCTAAAGGGGTTGCTGCCGACAGATTTTGTAAATGTAAGTTTTCGCACAACTTTTCTGCGCCTGCCTAGTAGAATATAGCGTTCTGAAATAAAACAGACTCTTAAACGAGATTTATGCAGTGGAAGAATACATAGGACCTTTTACGAAACTGAAAGGCAAATTCCAACTTCATCATCAGGTGATCGCCTTTGCGGAGTCGGCACTTCTCCCGGGTATGACGCACAGCGGAGATTCAGATAATACATACAACAGCTGTTTTAACACTCAGCTCGTGCAAGCCAATGGCCAAAATCTTCTGGACTTGAAAAGGTAATCAATGTGAACAGTATATTGATACTTATTGAAAATTCTTCATCACTTCTGTGACCTGAGCACGTTAACCTTTTCATTAGCTTTTCTTTTTATTGTCTACCATACTATTCGTATGATATTATTTTGTAGAATTTGGTATCGGATCACCCCTTAATTCCCTAATTGATATACGCTACAGAACATGTTAAGTCTATAAGTTTTCTTCCCTGAGTTCTCCTTCAGGGTTTCTATTTGTCCACACCTACAAAATCAAAACATTGAATTAAAATCCTACTTCAAAGGCTGGATGAAGAGCCATCCTTTGAATTAGCCTCTCCCAAAATCCAATTTATCTTTTATTTTTCCACATTTATCTCTTAAACTTTTAAAAACTTCGTGGCCTATGACATTTCAACCTCTATGCTTGCAGTAAAGTACTAGGTTCCAAGCTGAAGTCACTCATCTTTTATCTTCATTTCTTTTACATTTGTATTCTAGATTTGTTGAGGATGTTCCTCTTGCCTCCACCATGACGTCTAATTATTACAATGCGATTTCAATGGCCTTAAAACTGCTCACGAACATGAAGAACAACCGTAACACTCACGTAAGTAACGCAGAACTGGATCTCTTTTTACCAGGCACTTTCGAGCACTTCCCATTCCAAAATTAGCTGATTATCGAGTATGTCCACCTAGCGGAAACTTTTACCCATTTGTCCAAATAGTTAACTGTTGTTCTCCTTTCCTTTGATGCGAAATTTAATTCTCAATTTGAATTATTTCAACAGTTGATTTTTCTAGCCGGAAGTACAGATGTGTCTACAGAAGACATCAGTGCCCTTCTTTCTGAGAGTAACACGACAATTAGTGTTTACACTTACAGTTTACTAGGCGGGACATCAAATAACATCTCGGCGATGGACGAACATTCTGTGAACAGACTTAAGCAAATGGCCCGAACAACTAATGGAAAATATGAAGTAAGTTGTTTTGGGGTAGTTTTTAAAGCTTTAACGTAGGTATAACCAATTGTACTACCGTCAGCCAGAAGACGTGATCGTAAAAACCACCAAATATTACCAAAAACTGGAAATTTAAATAGCACCAAGTAGTCACTTAGTGGATCTTACAGAGTTTCATGCAGCTAAAAGTTTAAGCTCCCAGAAAATAAGTACTATAACAAAACAAAAACCAAGTTGTCATGTGTATCGTTAATGAATCAAAGCTTTAGCATCAAGTGGATGACTTTTTACTCAGGCCACCATATATTGTGCCTCTTTCTAGAGTATCACAGATTATCGAAAGCTGGCCTTCTCCATGGGTCGCTTTTACAGGAATATTCCCAGCAGTAAGAAAAGCGACGAAGGACCGAGAGTAAGTAAAGACAAATCAAAGGGTGTCATTTATTTTTTAGAAAATGCACAGATCTTCTAGCGTCAGAGTGTCAGTTTGCAGGTAGTTGTCTATGGTACAAAACAGCGAACAACATTGGGCATGCGTGAATGGATCAATTTTTGCCAGCCGCGCGCAGATTTCCCGCGCAAAAATGTAAAGGAAAACATGAGAAATAACCGGTGCCATCTAATATTGAACGCATGTATTTCGTTAAATAGTCATTTGCTTCTTAACGCTTTCGACGTCTTCATTTCATTGACAAGTAAAATGTTTCGTGAACATTTTTCTTCCAGCTGTCGTCTCCTCAGTTTGCTGAGAGATTAGGAATGTACGTGACACTTGGAGTTCCGTGTTACAGCAAGGACGAGGTATGTCTCATCGCTGTTTAAATTCGGCAGAAAACCTCTTAGCCAGTGAAGGGTTAAAACATGCCCAAGTCAGAGATATTCAGAAAACTGTGTTACAAAAGCAAGCATCTTGCAGAACAGAATCTTGAATAGGATGTGGGTGTTAAAAACAATGCCAACAGATTAACATGTGAGTTTGAATATTTGGTCTAAGAGAACAATGAATTTGCATTAATTTTTAGCACAAATGCTTAGTCAAAAGAATCATGTCGGCTTAGTAAAACAATATCAGAAAAGCTATAGCTAGTGACATGTTATCTTGTGGAATATGCTCTATTCTCGTTTCATGTTCGTTTTATTTATCCGTTCTCTTTCCAGTCTTTAATTGGTGTTGTGGGAATCGACATAGCTTTGAGTGAGCTCCTTCAAAACACTGTGGTGAGCAAGCACTATTTTCCTTCAGAATTTTATGCGCTACATTTTAATTATTCTTTCACAAAAGTTTCAGCTTCATTTAATCAAAACTTTTATTACAGTCGTTTGGTCCCGGTGAATTGTCGTACACCTTCGTTATCGAAACCGAGAATGGCCGAGCTCTGGTTCATCCCCAACTTCCCGAACCTGAGGAAATTCAGGAAGAGCCGGTGGTGATAATTATCAGTGACTTGGAAACTAGTCCTGGTAAGAGATGATTCTTAGTCATTTTTTATTGTTGTGTTTAGTCCTTACGAGTGTAATGAGAACCCTACTCAGTGGGGAGGCGGAAGGAAAGAGAGACTGGAGCGGGCAGAACGCGTGACGATTTCCATAGATTCTGATATCGTCAAACCTTGAGCAACTCGACTGTATTCATATTTTTCCCATCTACAACACTAAATTATTCTCACCCTTGAGTAAATGTTAACCATAGATGTGCAAGCTATATCAATACTTCAAACAGATGTTACTGGGATAGCGCGGGACTGACACTGAAATCTCGCTATGCTTCAACACGATTTCTCACTTGCATGGTTCGTCATCTTACGCTTTTGGCTTTCATATTTATCACTTGTGTTATAGGCTTTTCCGAAATCCTTGCTTCCATGATGAGGAGGGAAACCGGCAGCAAGACCTTAAGATCTGAGAGGGTGTTATCGCGGGGAGACCCGAATTTTAATGGTACGGCAATGGCATTGGTAATGACACCTGGAGTGAGTCCTCCAAAGCGACATCAAGATTATTTAGCAGAATCCTTACTACTGAGATTCATAAAAACTAGAGCTGAATAACAACAACGGCTAATGAGTGCGAAAAAAAATTGAGGGAAGAAAAGAAAAACTGGTTCAGTCCCAGGTTACTTCCAACATTCACTTGAAAATTGTCTGACTGTTAACTCTTTGACTCCTAAGAGTGACTAGCATCTAATTTCTCCCTACAATATCAGCCTTGAATCACATATTAAGGTAATGAGGATAACAGAAATGACCACCACCTAAAGAAGCTCTTGACTGTTAGACAGATTCTCCTCGTCAGCACCTTAGGAAATGTATAGAGAACAGTATGGAGAATATGAATACTGATACTTGGGGGTGGGAGGTTTGAAGCATTTGTCGAATTATCCTAGTAACACCGCTATCACTTACTCATGATAGCAGGCTCTTTTCTAGCGTCTAATGCAGATCTTTTTACCTTCTTCTTCACACCTTCTTTTCAGGTGTTATTTTCAAATGAACATTTTATATTTATTTCTTTTTCAGGTTATCGTGGTGTGACGGCTAATTTCACATATTCATGGAAACCTGTCAACAACACAAACTTTGCTGTGTGCATAGTTGTAGCGTCAAGCGAATTGGACACAAAGGTTACATTTGTATTTTTTTTTCAGCTTTGACGGGAAAGTTTACTTAAATTAACGTCTTGCAGTACACAGTTACATTGGGTTGAAGCCAAATTAATCAGTTCAGCTCTTCAAAACTGTCAATTCGCTCGGATTACATTACATGTGACAATGAATTAGGCCTTTGAGAAAAAGGTATACGTTTTTAGAGAACTTAGATAACTTGGATAAAAAATATGAAAATTGCTCATCTCCGTCGGAACTAATAACATGATAAGGAAAAACATACACACACCTTTCCTCAACCATAAGAAGGCCACACGTCTCAAAATAAAGGGACGGCATTTTCAATCGATCTATTGTGCTCATTAATGCTTACCCCTTCGTCCCTGAAATATTTCACCAGTTGTATTCCTTGAAAGAACATGCCGAGAGTTCAAGGTGAGGTGTTAGGTCTTAAGTGAGTAACAAGACCTCTCAGACGTTTTGTTCTCCATTTCAAGTCGGGAGAGTTGCGTTAGTCAGCTATTTGCATGTGTGAGCCGAATTTACCAGCAAAACATCTAATCAATTTCTTGATCTCTTTCCTTCTTTAGGAAATAGTCAGTCACAAACCGTACTCTCAGCCTGATCTTTATCACCGCTATGATTTGGTGAAATACTTGGATGTTGGCTCGATTATCGAGGACAAACCAATCGCTTTTCTGAGCAACACGTCTTTTCCTGCGACGCTTTCTCGCTCAAAGTAAGTGTGTTGCACGATATTTGTTCTTTACATTTGAAGATTCGAATTGGATCCTTTTGCATTAAAGCGAGGAGATTAATCTAATAATGTCCTGATTCACAAAAAAATTTTTAGAGAAGAATTCTGCGTACCAGCAATTATCTGACGACAAGGTGACGTCGTTAGTTCTTATAATGTTTTGAGATTGGATAAAGATCATCCAGTGGAATCGAATGTAGTTTAATAAGCTATCTTTCTTAACTGGTAAAGATACAGTTGCTTCCTCGTTAATAATCGGGAAGAGAAATTTTGCAGGGAATCCATGTGCAGGGGAGAATAATTTGGAATGAATAAGTTTTATTGCAGATCGTAGTGATTTTTGTGTGACATGATGTTCGAATTTTGTTTCTCTTTCTTTTCTCTTCTCTTTTAGTTATTTTCTCAGTTCCAGTTGTTTTAATGATCCATACATGTTTGAGAACATGCCGGTAAGCTCGTTTGATTCCTTAGTAAAAATATCTGGATGATTTAAATGTTGTTTTAAAAAACATTTGGAATGCCCAAGAAATTTAAATTCCTTCGAGACCGGATAATAAAATAGCGCGATGTTTTTTGCTAGAGTGGAAACTCTGGCGCTACGTCCAACTTTCCACTGAACTGAAGGTAAAACTAATTACTTTGAAGTCCAATTCTTGGTCAAGTACTATCGGCGATCTTGTGCTTTACACTTTCTTAATCTGTTTCCGCTCTCGTTTATAGTTTGATTTTATAGAAGTAAACGGCTGTTGAGGAGCTAATGAATTAGCCGTCTAAAACATGACAAATGGACGATTAAACTTAACATTATATTTTTCAAACCGCTTAGTGACCTTCACAGTCATTTGTTGGTTCAATCATTTTTGATTGTCGTGCAGTCTTTTGATAGGAAAAGTCAGGAAAGTTGACTTGAGTCACATAGCTAACAGCTGACTGGTCACAATCTCCCTTAGGGGTATACAAAATATTTCAGATTGTTGACAACCCTTTTCAATACCACAACGTTCGCAAAAAATTGCGACGGCGGATCCTGAAGAGAGGGGAGAAAGGAGGGCAAGACTTTGAGCAGTCACCGCTGACTGGTATTGTGGAGGCTCAAATTTTTTAATGCATATTGTATATATTACAGGAAACCCTTGAGTTTGTGAAGCACCTGTCTGATTACGTGGATGGAGTTGTTGATACATCTCCAATACCATCACTAAAGAAAGGTGTTTTAGTGGACATACGACTCACTAGAGAGATAGAGAAGTGGTATGGATATAAACTAAACCAAAATATTATTCGTAATGGTAAGAGGACCGAGTGGAGTCCACTTTGGTCTGTTATCGTGTGAGTGATTAACAAAATCGGACGACCGCTGAGCGGGAGTCCGATTTGTTCATCATGAGTATGATTAAAGACAGAATTGGAATACACGAAGTCCTGTTACCAATTCATCATATCCGTTACAATTTCCGAAGAAAAAACCGCGGAAATAAGTCAAAATTGACAATGGAAAAAGTATCTCCGGTATATCTAGAGACATGGTCTAAGCTAAAGAATTCCAATTAATTACCAATTAATCATATCCGTTACAATTTCCGAAGAAAAAAACCGCGGAAATAAGTCAAATTGACAATGGAAAAAGTATCTCCTCTATCTCTAGAGACATAGTCTAAGCTAAAGAATTCCTTCCTTTAGGAAATTCCCAAGTTTTGTAGGGAAGGGGTTGTTGCTATAGTTATTGTATTCAATTCTGTGGTTGGTGGGTTTTTATGAGTGGACTTAGTATGATTGGCTGCTTTAACTGTTCCATTACAGGCGTCGTATTACAACCAACTGTCTGATTACACTTTCCGATTAAAACTCTACAGAAAAATTAGTGAAAAATAAAGCAATTAATGCACCAATCACTTTTAAAGAGTTTGTAATGATTATGATAACGTCAATAATTAAAACTGTGAGTCATTAATGAGTTGGGCCAATTAATTCAACAAATATTCCTTGCGAAAGATCATTTTTTTTTGCGGCTCAAAACAAAAGATTCACAACATTTTTCCTATGCATGTCGTAACCTTTTAACTCCAAAGATCTGACTGTTACTGCTACATATATCCTCCTGAATTTGTTACGTCAATTTGGCGTTAGGTCAAGATAACAACTTCTACTTGATAAGTTCGAGTATTTTCATTACCTTGTACGGGATAATATTTGGATATTATAGGGAGAAGTTACACGTTAATGACTTCTGGAGTTATAGGGTTAAATGTAATTATGAAAGTAAAAAAATAAGACCTGAAATCCATCAGTCGTATGTAAAGTGCATTGCAAAGTAAATTGCAAAGATTATTTCAAATCAGTCTGTTAGGACAAACACAGCGAAAAAGATCCACGTTTCACGCTATGAGCGACTAGAAACCCATCCTAGAACGTAGGTTTTATCACCTTCACATCACTGTTCACCATAGACAGGCTTATCTCAGTTTGCGCACAGTTTCGTTGATTATCATAGAATTGCCTTCGGCCTTATGGTTTTTAATTGATCTCCTCTGTTCTATCAGCTGGAACCGTAACCCTATGCATGTCCTCGGTAGCAGCGCAGCATGGCGGTACATTGCCACCAATTCTGGGGCGATGAGGCAGTATCCGGGCAGGCAAACCTACAATAACAGGTCAGGGACGTTATCCTGACAATGTGAAAATACTGTCAATAGTAACCATGACGATGACGATCGCGATTACAATAACGATGACGTAGAGATGACGATGACGATAATGGTAACGATGACGATAGCGATGGCCACAAAGTTAACGATGACGTTAAGTTGGTAATGATAATAACGATAATGATTACATTGACACTGACGATAATTACGATGATGACAACAAATATAGAGGATAATGTTGACGATATGTTGAAAATGACAACGGTAACGATGGTGACTATGAGGTGTTCTTCTGACTAGTTTGTGAATAATTTTTTTGCTTGAGGCTTTTTTTTTACTCTGTTAAGATATGACCCTACCACACGTCCTTGGTACTACGCGGCCAAGTCGTACCCAGGAAAAGTGACTTTCTCAGTTCCTTATTTGGTAAGTAGTAAGCCATTATAAGCGAAGGCCATTGAAATGAAAGCTAGACAACGTAAAACTGTTCACACACCCTTTTCTGTTTTTCCTCGTTACTCTGTAGGACAATGGAGGGGCTGGAGTGGTGGTTACAACAAGTCAAACAATCAGCAGTGATTCAATGGTAAGAAAGTGGACTCTGATGCTTATCTCCTCTCAGCTTGTCCATCCGTTTCCCGTAGCTACCGACAGAAGTCCACTTTTTGACTTCTCTCATTTGTATTTTCAGACTACATAATTAACTGGCAATAGTTCGCATGGCACTACGCTGCAACTAATCATGGTTTTATTGGGGTACAAGAAAACTTCCCGACTATTCCAATGAGATCAATGACGTTAAAAACCACCTTTGTCGCAAATGTTAATTTTAGTTGATCGAACCATGTTATCGCTTGCGACTAAATTCCATTGATCATCGATTTATCGATTGTCATCCATTTATTGAATGGTCTTCTGATATCAATCTTCCCACCGCAGGAAACGAGAAAGGTTCACATTGCATTGTTTTGCTTTTAAAATATTTCCTTTTTTCATAACTTCAAGGTCAGGGCCGTAATGGGTATTGATTTTAAAATGATCAAGATTCATCAAATAGTCACCGATAGTGGACCTATATGCAAAAAGAATTCTGGTGAGTTTATGCTCCAAAAGTTTAATATTAAGAATAGTAGCAATGGCCAGGGACTGCAGTGGTGGCATATTTGTTCAGTTCATGTAACTGCTACGACTTTTTTGAGAAAAATGTCAATTCCAAACATTTTCGTGCCTGTCGGGTAAACACCAAAACAGGAGATAAATAATTAACCTTGCTAATATTTACTTTTACAGACCTTTCCACTTTCCACATAATGTCATTCCTCTGATGGGAATCTATTTGTTATTTTTCAGCTTCATGTATGCTAATTGATCCAAATGGCTATGTGGTTTACAGTAAACAGTTTATGTCCAGTCCCAGGTTTGTAGTTCTGGTTGGGTCTAAGGACATTCAATGTTTTCATGCTGGAGCACTCGAATTTTATCAGGCAACCATATTAGCTTGAAAGGAAATTTTAGTCTATGATGATGTATCCTTGCAACTTGATTCATTTTTAACTCTTTGCATGAATATGGCTTAATTTCGGAGCGAGTTGTGGTGTTGCCTCGACACCCACTCACCAACTCACCCACCCACCAACTCACCCACCCACCAACTCACCCACCCACCCACTCACCCACTTACCCACCCACCTACTCACCCACTCCTCCACCTACTCATCCACCCACTCACCCACCCACCACCCACCACTCACCCACCCACTCACCCACCCACTCACCCACTCACCCACTCACCCACCCACTCCACCCACCCACTCACCCACCCATTCACTCACTCCGTTGTGGACATTTACGTCACATTGAAATCCACATATCGGAGCTAGAGGGTCCGTCAGGTTAGAAAACGCGAGGATGTTATTTTCCGTCACAGAGATAAGGACAATCAACATTACTCATTTTAAGAAACGTTTTAAAGATAACTTCAATTTTTTGCTGGTGTGTTACTATGTTTTAACACTTTCTTGAATTTATAGAGCTGCTAAAGAACGCGTCCATCTCGCCTTCAAACATCCAGAACTGCTGTTAGACATAAAGAAGAAAGGAATAATATCCACAAGTTTAGCTTGTAATGACTTGGAGGTAAATATCATGATATCACAACCTTCACATTAATTTTTGTCCGAGAGTGTCATACATGTCAAAGTAAGGACAGACAGGGTGAACTAAAAAAATGATGGGAAGTCCTACAAACCTACAATGAACTAGTGTCTCATTTAGGAATAGAAGTAATCTCTTTCTATTCTAAACACATGAGGCAGTGTGTGTATCAGACGTGAGTAAATGAAGCTAGAGAGAAAACAGGGATTACATCTCTTAACTCATTTAGGCGAAAGGTCAGCAGTGAAATATCGTTTTTGATTGGTAAGGAATGAGTGTATAATGGAACCCGAGAAGTATGGAAAGATGCAAGGAATTTCATCCTAATAGCGATCGACAAGAGCGCAAAATTTTCCTAGACATTATGTTTAATGATAAGCTCTGTATTATATTTGTCTTTTCAGCTTGGCCAAACTTACACCAACTACAAGATAACTGACACACTTCCTGCGTGAGTATTTTGTTTACTATAAAAGGCTAATTTAATTGAAACATGGCGTGAACGAACACAGTGGTGGTGAGAGAGCTGCGGCACCCTCTGTGTAATGAAACCTCAGGGTACCCATTAGTATTTAAGGAAGAATCCGGGTACTACTACTCGGATACAAAAGTTTATGTAACCCGCCTGTCGTCACGTAGGACTCAAAGGAGTTCACCGCTAGTTTTAATCGTACATTCTAAGCATTGGTTTCTAGACAACAGGAATAAATAAGTTGTTATTTTTTTTATCGCAACAGAAGTAAAATCGTGATGAAGTAAAATAATAGTTACGTATTCCTGTTGGTCTGACGATGCACTCACTTCCGATGTCGATTTCCTCTAAAATTACTTCATGATTTTGGTCTTTCTTTGTTTTTGTAAGATCTCATTCTCTTGCATTTCAGTGGTATTGTCCGAGGAAACTTGACATGTGGTTATTACATCATGGTAGCCGTACCGAACACAAATGTGTACCTCGTTGTCCTTGATGGGGGAGACTGCCCGGACCCCGCTATTAAATGCACCTCGGTAAGTTTGCCCAACAATTGGGGATCCTGTTCCCTACTTCCTTCCCTCTCACTCGAAAGAAACGATAGAAAGGAGAAAACAAGAGCGTTACATTCTAAAGTAAACAAATTAATTGAGTTGATCTAAAGATCAGTTTCAAGTGCAAGAAATAATTTTTAAAATGCACCAACCAGTTGCAAAATTAGTTGAATCATTCTGCATTTTCATTGTCAGAGTTCTCTATGTCCGAAATCTCGAAAAAATAACCCCTTCCCTGCTTCTTCCCCGCTTATCAACAATGCTAGCCAACCGATATCATCGATAATCTTGGATTGGAGAAATGTTGTCATGAGAAGCCAACAGAAAAGCTGGTTTGAACATGTTGGTATCTGGTTGTATCAGGCGTGTGAAAGATAAACTAACCAATCCATCAGACAACCTACAATAAAAAACCTTTGGACTTATCAGTAATCTTTATTAAGTTGTTTATTTGACATTGAGGAAGGTGTGGTAATTTTTTTTCTGATATTTCGATGAGTGACTCTTCTCCTCTACCGTGAATCCATTCAATGCTTCCCTCCTCTTTGAATCGTTATAATGTCAGCCAAGTCCAGGTCAGGAGTTCACAGTTTGAAATAACTCAGACTTTTCTGTCTCTTGTTCCCAGTGTTCAAAGAAGTCGTGTGCGGATGGTATCACTAAAGATATTTCCCTGTCGGCGCCAATCTGCGTGCCTTGTCTGTGCAATGTACCTTACAGTCCATGTGCCCTGCACTATTATAAGGTATGGATTTACCTTGTGCTGATCATGTCTCTTCGCTCTCAAAGCTAACAATGATCATCAGATTTCAAGTCTGCCGTGACCCATGTCTTCTATAGATATGTTCAAATCTGCTGAAATGTATACTAAAACAAGTCTTATCTAACAGAAATTGGGGATGTCTGTGATGAAAAAAAAACTCGTTGGAACTTATTTTGCTCTGATGAAAGGCTTACAAAATGAGTATTGCCTTTTACATTCTTATATCTATCAACGAGGTGTGTTTCAAATGGTTTTCTTTACAGAGTCCAAATGCTGCAGTGGCTTGTCCTTCAATTCGTCGAAGCCTGGGGACGACAAAAAGCGCTTGCAAGAAGCCTGATACCGACTCCGTCTTCGTTCGCGTTCCAACACGTGACCCAAGCCTCCGTTCAACCCAGTCTCCGCACCCGAAGAACCCATCGGGGTCTGGTAACAAGTTGAACTTTTTGTCGGTGTATCTACGGCTTATGTCGTTTCTTTGGCCATTTTTCCTGCGTTGATTAGCCATCTTGCCCATCCCCGATTGTAGAATTTAGAAACGTAGAAACTGGGGAGAAGTCTTCTATTGCTAAATTGTAAATATTTAACACAGCATCAATGTGTTACAGCTTATTTAGACAAACGTTTTTAGTTACAACAGAACTTTGATGTGTCGTTGCAGAAATTGTTAGGATACAGTTTAAGGTCGCCTCGAACGCTGCTGAACATGCTTAGATTAAAATGCTGAGATTAAAGTGTGGATTCATTGGCCAACAATTGCTATCAAATTCTTGCGCAAATCCTTGGCAAAACGTGAGTGTCACAAAATACAGACGGCTTCGTAAGCCGTATTTTCTAGTTAAACGCTCATAGTGTCGAAGACAATTTTAGTTTGCTATGCCCAGTTGTATTTACTGATTTTAAAAAATACTTCTATGGTCGAGACTCGCTATCTTGTCGAAGATATATTAGGTGAATTTTTCTTTAGCTCATTTTGTCACGATCTTCAAAATTTGACGGTGTATTTTCTGTAAATAAAAGAGATGCTTTTATCTTGAATCATAGGGTCTCACTGATTTGTTTATTGTTATACAACTTGTTTTTTACAGCATCTTCGTTACGTACATCTTTCTTTTAACATGCAACAATCGCCTGGCAAATGAATCAATATGCGAACTCACCTCAATTTTTAAGGAGGATTATGCCCTCCCCCGCCCCTCTGTTTTAGAGCCGTATACGCTGAACACAGCGAAACACAAAAATCCATGCACTCTATGTCCTGCTATTTTATGTAGAAAGGGGATTTTGTTTGGATGGCTAAAATACACTCTCTTCAAACTACTCTTACACGTCGAAAAATATCGTTTTAAAGCTATAAACATCCCGGACAAAATCAGATCTATGTTTTTCTTGCAACGTTTTTTCACACAATTCCTTACTGCATGTTAGGATATCTCTCTTAAATTTTAATCTGCGAACTAAATTACACCTAAAATGTGTATAAGAATTAGGATACGTAAAAAATTTTTTCGAAATCTGCAGTCAGAATTGTTGTGGAACTAACTTTTTTCTAAGAAGAAAACAAAATACAAAATATGGCACTCTTCCTTAGCTTGACTGTCTTCGTTTTGCAAGTGGCATTAATGATTGAATTGCAGACGTATTTAGATATTACATCTGCAGTTACCTTTGACTTTTCGGATCAATATCAATATCTGGGCAACTGCCCACCTACCCTCCCCTAACTGTTGTTGGGTTAGGGGAGGGGTAAGTGGGCAGTTGCCCAGATACTGATATTGATCCGACTTTTCTCTTAATTGGAATCACTTTTGATTGTAAAAGATATTGAAGGATATATTTGGTGTGGAGATATGGCGATAATTAACGATATTTAACCGTATTCATGTTTAGAATTGAGAGGAGGAAAAACCTAAATTAGTATCTGCAACACCTGCTAATAGGTTTCACAGACAGATTCGTTATGTCTGTGATTTACCATAGTTTACATTTCTTCTTGGGATTCATTCTTCGACCAGCGGAACACTTGAATGCTTCGGAGAATTCCTCCATATTTGACAACGAGCCGATAATCCTGAAGAAAACGGCAACGAAAATATGAAAAGGTGAGCAACAAACTGAGAAGACGAATGCACTCATCAGGGCTCCTGAGTGAATTAGACTGGAACTAGTAAACTAGAGAAAAATGTCCACACAGAGGCAAGATTGTAACAAACCGTCAAAAAACCGACGCTTAACAAACCACATGGAAATCAGCTTGGATGTAACTGAAATCAACGCAGCTTGAATTAAATTTCGAGAACATATCGTGGTTCAACCCTATTCTTGGTTTGATTTTTATTTTCCTTTGGCTTTTTTAAAGACGTCGAAATATGGTGAAAATTGGACGTCAGCTTCTATACGTCATTTAAAATATCAGAAGAACCATTCGAGGCAAAAAGGGCTTATGATCTTAGATATATAAGAGGTGGATCCAGGGAGGAGAAGGGGTCCCCACTTCCATTCACAGAATTTCTTATACGTCTTACCTGTAGCGTGGTATTGAGTGCACGCTTGCTTTTGTGAAGCGGAAGGCCGCTGATGGAGTCATGGCAGCACAAAATGCCTAAACAATGCAAAACCCATTGTGAGTAACGGCAAAGCTTTAACCAAAATTCAGTTATATAAACCTTTCACTTCATTGTAATCCTCCCTTCTGTCTGCCACATAATTCCTATGATGTAAGCTCAGAGAATTTGACATTGGAATAACTAATTATGCCCTACTCGATAATTCTCTGTTCTCATCACCAGTCTATTTGATATTCTATTGATATTGTAAGGAGAAATTATGTCTTGGGAACTCAAGAGGGAGCAAGAGTTAGCTCTATTCATTGAAACTCCAGCCCTTAGGATAGTTACATTACATCGTCTGGAGGTCACTGACTAACTGACTTCCTAGGTGCTTCGTCATATGTCCTTCTACCCAAAAAGCAAAGTTGTCCGTAATAAAATGCAGGAGAATTCCTTGTTTTAACTATTTTAATCTCCTCTGCAAGGAGGAGAAAAATGAGATTAAAACAATTAGCTCAATTAAAAACGGAATTCAAGGTTCTGCCCTACCTACTCAGCTCCTCATCTGACTTAACTACAAGCCTCCCCCACCTCACCCACTCCTCACCTGACTAAAGCTCACAAATAAGAGCTGCTCGTGAGTCATCTGCAGGCCAGGCAACTGAGGTTCGGGAGCATTGTTCTTAAGCCAATCCTTATAGCCCTGTATATAAGATTCATAAACAAGTTAAAGTGTTATGAATGATAACTAGCATATAGATTGTTACCAAAAAAAAGAAATTACAAAATCACTTTACATAAATATAGATATTGAAAAAAATTAAATAGATACATCGTATTCAAAATGGTTTGATGCAAGTTGTTCTTCCGGGAGCTGATCTCTACCTTGCACCCCCAGCATCTTCTAACACCACTTGACTACTGCTAGTTCTCAGAACAATCAAGAGTGAGTGAGACAGTCATAGATGAAATAGCTTGATTTTATAGAGGTGAAATGTGGTGTGATGTGTTACAGTTAGACTTACCAAATAAGCCATACGAATGCCACCGTTGTCTGCAATGTTTTCACTCAAAGTCAGTTCACCATTCAACTGGATCAATTCAGATAAAAAAGTAAGAGCTTGAATAAAAATCTTACTCCAAGCAAGGAGGTTCTTGCCACAGTAAAATGGAATACCTTAGAGATTATGTATGAGAAACGATTACTAATCTTAGCGCATCAGGCTTATTATAATCTTTTGCCACGTCCTATGAGCCGTCACTTTGAAAAGTATGTAAGTAGCTACGACTTCAGGAGGAAAATGACATTTAAGTTACCTAGACCTAAGACCGATATGGTCAAGAAATCATGCTCATACAAGTCAATTACTCGGTGGAACGCTCTGGAAAATCAAATGAGATCAATTCAAGACGTTGACGCTTTTAAAAAGTCACTCAAGTCTATTTTTAAGCCACGTATGTTATAATGATGTACTATGTAGAATTTTTATTGTTGAAAATTATGTAGAAATCTTACATTAGTCTTCTTATAATTAGTTAGGAATTTAGTTTTATTGGATTTAGTTAGGAATTTAGTTTTATTGTCCGTACACGACCACATCAGCTTTTGCTGAATTTTTTATCGTGTTTAAATAAATGCTGTTGTTGTTGTTGTTATGGATGGAGGAATGCATGGATGGAGGGATGGATGGATGGATGGATGGATGGAAAGAAGGACGGATGGGTGGAGAGATCAATGATGAATTAATAGAAGAATAGATGGATGGGTTGATTGATGGATGGCTGGATAGAAGGATGGATGGGTGGAGAAATTTATGATGGATTTATGGATGGTTGGATGAATGGATATGTAGATGAATGGATGGATGAGTGAATAAATATATGTAGGATGGATGCATGCATGGTTGGATAGATGGATGGATGGATAATGAATAGATGGATGGATGGATAATGAATAGATGGATGGACGGACGAATTGATAGTGAAAGGTCTACATCTATCTAGCGCTTAGTCACCTGTTAAAGAATTCCAAGAAAATGTATTCGAAGTTCAAGTTAAAAAAGTTTTTCACTGATTAAACTTTAAAAAAGCGATTCGTCAAAGTTAAAAACTAAAGTTGTCATCTTGTATATCAGCTACCACATTGAATGCTTCTTAAGCCAATGAAAATAAATGAGCAATGGCGAAAAAGTTGCTCGAGTGATGCTTCGATTGTTGAGTTTTAAAAGCAAAAAAGAATATTTTCTGCCTATAAAATGCGTTTGAATGTTTTCTTTTTTTGTGAAGTAATTGAGCCATAAACTGACCAAGTCAGAGTGGACAAGAAAAAAAAATGGTCGAAACAACTTAGACTTTGAAGTCACCGCGACCCTTTGCTTAGTGGCAATCAATCACTTCTCACTTTCTCACTCCCCTCCCCCCACACCCAACTTTTGTCTTCAAATCTCTTAAGTTACATTAATGCTTAAAGATGTCACCTTCAGGCAAAAGTTACTCAACCGAAATATTCTTGCCAGAACTCGACACTTGCCGAGCACGATTTCAACCATCCGATGAAAAGGTCCCGGAGTATAACGGACAATAGCGCTTTTCTCCACATGAAATGGATGCATAAATGCAAGGATACATGAATGTATGGACGCATGGATGGATGTATAAATACATAGATAAATACGTACATACATACATACATATATATATATATATATATATATATATATATATATTGTGGGAGGAAAAAGACAAATAAACTACAAGTTCATCCCTACAAGCCTGTTGTAGGGATGAACTTGTAGTTTATTTATCTTTTTCCTCCCACAATATATACATCGCTGTACTCTTATGTATTGAGCACTGTTTTACGAGAGTCAAAATTTTTACACTATATATATATGTATATGTATAAACGCTTAATTAAACGATTAAATAAACGCTTTATATACAACATCCATGGTTGCATACATAGACACATACATACACCTCCCCCCTCCTCTCTCCCACGAAAAAAGAGAGATTCAAATCCAAACGCTTCATTGATGATTTCTTCCTTGTAACTTACGTTTTCTCTTTTTCCACCTCCAACATCTACTGAGAACTTGCTGTACTGGTCCACAATGCATTTGGATCTCTCTTTGAATCCTTGAGACGAAGAACTGCTCCACCAGTCTTCAACAACCTCTCCATTCTCGTTGAACTTTCTCCCTGGAAAGCGTAAGCGTTATGAAAAAGTCACTGAAGCTGTCTACTACTTATCCTATCGGTCTTTAGGTCCACAGTATGTGCGCGGCCTTGATGAATCCAGCAAAGAGTGGGATTAAAATGCTCTAACTGAGCGATACAGAATAAGCAAAATAAAAACGAAATAAATAGCGAAAACAAAACCTGTTCAAAACTACGTGATCAAGGATTAAGGTAAAGTGCTATATCTTTCAGGAATAAACTTTCAGTACAATCAAAACCGGCACTTTTTAACATTTTAGCTTTACTGACCAGCGGCGTCAAATCCGTGAGATAACTCGTGTGCTAGAATCACTCCAATCCCACCAAGGTTTATGGATCTGAAGATGAAAAGTGGACAAAACTAGCCTATAAATATGAAAGACCGTTTAAATCTACTTTACAGACAAAGATAACTCGTCATTTCATATTTCGAATCAGTTAAGAGAAAGAAAGAGTGGAAAGCTTTTTAACTTCAACAACAACTGTTCGCGAAAAGCAGCGCCGTGTGTATTGCTCTCAAAACAAGTCACTTCGACACACCGCAGCGAAAATTTGCCTCGTAGGACATGTTAGATTTTTGCGAAAATCTCTGCCTCCGCGACAGAATTTTGTGGCTACGATTAGTTGCACGGTTTCAAACCATTATACTAGATGCGTATATTTCTAGGGAGAAAGAGCTCGCAAAGTTCCTGAAGTTATCCAAAGTTTCCTAACTGCGTAGAACTTGAGTGATCCGTCTCTTCACATCAATTTCTCGACCATTAGCAGATGCCTGATATCAATATTATGTTTTGACTTCTATAATTTTCTCCTCTCGACACTTCCGAACTAAAATATCACTGATGATGATTTTTCAATTAGCGTTTTGATATTGCCCTTTCGTTTCGTTACTTATTTATTTTTAAATGAAAGGGAGCTCCTGCTCATACCTTGGAGCTTTTCGTCCGTAATAAAATGGAGGCTGAAGAATTCCTGCTAAAATACCTACCGAAGAGATCATCGTCATGTTAAACTTGAATGGAGACGTTCGAGCTACAGTTCACGTTCAGATTAAGAATTTCCTTTTCGAAATTTTAAAGCTCGTGGTAAGAGTAGGGATATGAGGAACGTGAAGCTTGATGGTTACAGTAGACGGTAAAAAAAAAAAAAAAAAAAAACTTAGTGCTGTTTCTTCAATTAAGATAAGTTAATGGTATTAAGTGTGTGCACTTAGATATTTCAACAATTTTTCTAGTCTTTATATGGAGATGATATAAGGATGATGTCGTTTCAAAAGGTTTGGTACAAATTAAAGTCAAATGATAGCTATAAGCTATCTTTGTTTAAGATGTGATTCCTACTTACTTATTTCGTTCCTGCTTCGTAAGTAAAATGCGTTAACTTTCTGAGGTCCAGTGAACCATCTGAGACGAGAGAAAAGAAAAAATGACTTAATCGATGCTATTTAGTCATTATGCTATATAATCCTTCCTTGAGCAAGGGTGGATCACATGAAAGCTGGCTGAATGGCATTCAGCCAGCTTTCAGACTCCGAAAGGAGTGCGCGTTAAACTGTCAAGCGAATATGCAATCAAACAAAATGATGAGCCCAAGAAAACAGATCGGATTAGGAAAACATTTCAAACTGTCTATTACCGATCGCAACTCTGGAAGCAGTCATCTCAATTTGATTATAACATGTATTGTTTTGGAAAAGTAAACCGGTATTGGATCAAAATCTAACTAAAATTGGGTACTAATATTAATGGAACTGGAGGATTCCTTAGAAACACGAATACAACGGTAAGAAGAGCATCTGATTGCAAAATATAATGGTGATGGTCAGCTTAGAATGTGCACACTCATAGTTAAGTATCAGGTCTTTTGTACTTACTGGTCTTTGTCCACCGCTGTCTTAAGTTTTGAAAAGGCCAATCTCCTTTTCCATATCATCACACTCAAGACGTTCTTAAGATAATCATTCTCATTGATGTTCAACTAAAAAGGAAATTTGACATTAGTTGATCCGAAAAGTGGGTCCACATTAGTTTTGAACCGCTTTGCGTTGTCAACGTAATTTGTATGATCATTACAGGGAATAGAAAATTGCGACTGTTTGTGAGATGGAATCTTGCCAAATTAAGGAGATTCAATGTAAGCGTAACGGTGTCGCCCTTTGCCGCTTGTCAAAAAGCATTTGGCTTTGCAATCGTCAATGCAAGCGATTTTCTGCTCATGCTTTATAAATACAAATATAGCTGCATTCTCTAGTTCCAGGAAATTTAAGCGAGGACTTTTGCAGATTGCTTTCAGTATTGTAGAGTAGACTTGGATATGCCGGGATGTAAGGATCAGAGATTTTTGCAATCACAAAATATCGCTTACCCGCCTCATATCACTTCACACTTCCATACTAGACGGTATGTGCACACTTACATCTTTGTAAAACTCGTTCAGCAATGTTTCGTTGGCACAGAGCTTGGGAAAGCCAATGTGGAATTTCATTGCATCTTCCTAAAATCGAATCGTAGACAACCTTAGATTACCTGTCATTAATAAAGTAAGTGACCAATGCATATTATCAAAAGTGTGCTATTCTGATTTTGGTTAAATTTTACTGCACCTTTTCGTCAATTTTTCGTCGAGTTTCGTCGTCAATCCAATCGAGTTGGGACGTTTCATTTCTAAATACACTCCTTATTCTTTTTGACATATCTTGAATCTGTCACAAAAACACATATTTAAGTTTTAAACATTTTGCGTGAGAAATTTCAGAGACAAAATCTAACAAAGCAAAGTTTAAGGGTAAAGGGGGGGGGAAGTGGCAAGGAGAGTCAGAGGGGAAGGGGTGAAGGAATTACGTGCGTGTATGTGATGAAGGAGTGTTTAGATAATTCTCTAACGGCCAAACACTAAGATTGTCTACAAAACCACTGCTTAGTTTGCTAACAAGGAATACTCAAATGGTACACTGTACTCACAAATGGTATAATTTCAACGTCGAACACTTTTGAAATCCATATATATCCCAAAGCAAATGTCAGTCCATGGTAATAGCCATTCTCGTCCTCGATGCACGAATACCATCGAGGAGGAGCAGATTTGGTTCCTATCGTCTCCTTCTGATATTCCAATAAAGCAGACCGGAATACATGCGACATGTAGGGAACAACAGATTGAACAAAATTCCAGATCACGTAACTCGCCATTGTCCTGAGGAAAGATGTTTCGATGGTATCAAATATCAAATTTCCGTCTGACTCCATGAACTTACTTTTTTACCGAATAAATATCTTTGTGTAGTTGATAGACTGATTAACAGATTGACTGACAGAGTGACTGGCCAGGTGAATAACTGACTTGCCGACTGACAGATCTACTATAAGCTGACTGACTGACCTGCTAGATGTCTAGCTGACTGAATAATGGACTGACTAATTGACTGACTGACTGATGGACTGCCTGATTGGCTGAATGATGGATCGACCAGCTGGTTGACTGACCTGCTGACTGTCTGACTGACTGAATGGTGGACTGACTAGCTGAATGACTGAATGTTGGACTGACTGGCTGACTGACTGAATGATGGACTTCCTGGCTGAAATGCTATCTGACTAGGATTGACTGCATCGATGGTTGATGCACTGATCACTGCAGGTTAGTGACAAGCTCAATAAATACCCAATACTGAACAAAAGATGAGCAGAGGTTTTGAACTTTGCTTAGCAACAGGTGAGACTTAATGGATGACTGACTTATTGAAAGGTTTTATTCACTACCTTTTTCGGGGCTTGATTCCTCCCTCGAATTCATTACATAAAGTAACTACAAGTCAAGCCTATTGAAAGATGTATCTTATCTCCTTACTCTTTGCTGGTGTTGTTCACAATGTAGGAGAGGTTCCGAAGATACTCTGGCGAAGGGACCATGACTATATCTGAAGCGTTCAGCGACACGTTGAAAGGTTTTAACAGTTCGTTGATAAATTCCAACCAGGTGAACTAAAAGGGAACCACAATCTGTCATTTAACATTATTCAAATATGTCCAGATAATAGAGCAATGTTATTCTCCCAGGAACACACCAAATAAACTTGGGAAGGAAGATGTGTTTTTTAATAAGCAGCATTTTTCGGGGCCTATCAAATCCGAATGGAAAGTGAGAGTAAACGGAAAATTAAAGTCCAATCATATGGGAAGACATGATGTGATTCTACGTTCAATCAAATTAACATTTTGTGAGGTATTCATCGTGGCGAATACACGAATCAAAAGCTGTCATTGTTTCTTCTATTATGACGTTTCTTCTGATGGGTATCGAGACTCATCGACTGCAGACTATACGAGTGTCCCTCAGGTGATGAAACCGACTTGGAATGTATCACCTTGTGAAGCATTATGCTCCTTAAAGATGTATCTCTTTGTCGCAAAATATGCTAAGAAAAGATTTAGAACATAAACTAGAGTGAGCACTGAATTGGCGTTGAAAACTCGATAAGCACTTGTGTCGCTGTATCAGATCTCAACACCAGCTGCTGAATCAACAAAGATCTCTTTCAGGCTCAGAATTAACATAAGAAATTTCCTACCTCGAAACCAGGTGCCAATTTCTCGAGCTCCGTCATATTCATGTTTCGCAGGAAATTCTTCCCCAATTCGCTCGCCGCAGGTATTATCTGTAATATCAACACAAAACAGCAGTATGTTATAATGCATGTATCGTATTCGTTCATTCTAAGGAGATAAACTTACCTGGGCCAGTTTTCCCTCCAGCTCTAAAACTTTTTCCATTTGTTCTTTTGTTTGATTACTATCAGGACTTCCAAGCAACTTTCCTATTTTGGTCATGTAATTCACGTATGCCACTCGTGTCTAAAATGGCCCCCAAAAAATAAAACATAAATTGTGAGGTTATGATTTTTTCATCTACGGCGCAACATCCTGACTAGCTCACATGGAAAATGTCCGAGAAATGTCCTTTTTAAAATTCCTCATAACGTGGCCGATGAATGGTTTAATCCAGCCAACTTAATGATATCAAAGTGCGCTCAACATTGATCATATTCAGTTGATAACAAGCCACAAAATTTTGATCATTAAATTTGTACATTCTTCTTGTGTCTGTGACTTCACAGCGTGAAGGTGGAATTGTTTCTTATATTGGCAGCTAACGTAACTTTGCAAGTTTTTTTAAATAATTTAAAATACAGGAAAGGAAGATCAAAATTAATTAAATTACCATTGTTAAACTCTTTTGTTTTCGTACAACTTCAATTTAACTCTGTATTCATACTTCAGCGCGAAAACTAGCTCTCGTACAAGGAACAAGCTTTAATAGAACACCAATTGATTCAGAACAGGATCCACTGAGTAAACATTTAGGAAATTATTTTTCTAGTTTCTGAAGTAAAACGTCGTGATTTTTATACCTTGCTATCCTCTGTCAAGTACTGTTCCCGAATGAGACTCAAAGATGGAGGATTGATCTATGACAAAAGAGAAAACCAAAAAGGCCCGGTTGAGACGCCGAATGAATTTAATTTAAATTCGGACTGACCCATATTCAAAAAAGTACACCTGTTGATTCATGTTTTCATTTTAACACCTTGTTTGATGCGACTGAAAATTGCGACGTTGTGAAATTGTGTTTGATAACCTTAACGCGTGATGAAGCAGTCGTGGTCAAACGCGGATAAGCATTTATCTTGTCCAACCTGGTTAAACATGTTTTACCCCGCGGATGCGCTTCAGGATCGCTCTCTTACTAGGAAAAATATGTTAGACAAACTTAAAGTTGCATAGTTGCTAGTTCAAAGATCTTTCGATGCATTTACACCTCTTGTTTCAAAATTATGCTCAGTCGCCAAAAGCCCTTCTCATCTTGTTGCTTGTCAATCATTTCCCTGTTCATTGTGAGCGAACTTCTTAATTGTTGAGAGTTTGGTGTAGTACAAATAAAAACTGAAGAAATCTGCCAGTTATTTTATTAAATGAGTTGGAACGGGATCATAAACTTTGTGGAACTGCAAAAATATTGCGGATACTTGATCATAAGGAGAATAAACTTCTAAATTGTTGTGTCCGGCGTGGTAAAAATAACAACACAAGTAATCTAGCGGAGATTAGATCACCTGATGTGGAATAGAATTATTCATAAACTGGCTGGAACTACAGAAAAAATTTGCGAGCAGTTGTTCATTCGGAGTTTTTACTGAATGCACTTTACCATCAAGTTATATAATCATAAAGAGACTACTCATATCCTAACATGATTACAATTACATGTTATGTCATACCTTTAGAATATATAGAGAAGAATCAAAAGGGTTCACATCCACAGTCATCGCAAACAAGGGTGTCGTAGCAGAATAATCACGATGGATTTCCAATAAAGCGTGATTGAGACTCCATGTTGAGACATTCCAAGTGGCCACATCTAGTGGCCAGGATCCGAAACGCCGGATAAGGCTTTTTAACTCAACAACTGTAGCAGTGTTGTTATCGTCGTCCTCGGTCATGCAAGATTTAAAATAGTTCTTCGCTTTTTTCACGGCATGTTCGCTCGGAAGCTCGTCGTCTTCTAACAGAAGTAGCAACAATCTTTCATCGTTCTTCTTAGCTGCTGTTATAAAAGTGGCCGTTGTTGTTTCTGATGGTGGAATTGGATTGTTCTCGATCCAACTGCCACAGGAATACTGATAAAAATCTTCACACGGATCCACGGATTCGTTCAGGCTCTTCTTAACAGCGGCTGCCACTTCTAAGCATGTGGACGAAGTACAATACTTCACCTCGTCTTTGGTCGCATCTTTTTCTTTCCTAAACGAGAGCAAGATCGCATACGTAGCGAGAGCAAGACAGGCAAGTAATAAGACTGCACAAATGATTGTCAACAGCCCGAGACGAAACCGCCTCTGTTTCTCTTTAAAGAAATTAGTAGTCCTACTTTCTGCAGACTCCATTCCAAAAGTCTGGGTACTGGTACTGCTGCCATAAGCCAAATTCATGTTCCCTTCGTTTTTCATTCGATATGATTATTGTATTGCAAATCCAATACGTTTTGAAGAGGTAAATGTCTAGAAGTTATATCTTTAAATAGTCTTGATTTCCGCCCCTCTTCGCTTGGGTGGTTTTCCCACGCAAGAACAATATCTTTAAAAAACATCCATTATCAGATAGATTGGAAAAATCTTTAACTGCCCCAAGCTTTAAGTTTAGGAAGTGGTTCTTACTCACAAAGGATATGACACTGAAGAACTAAAAAAATAAACTTTTAATCATTAACATCTGCACAAACTTAAACTTGTCACCACGAACAAGTTTCATAATCTCTCTATACACTTGAGTGACTATCAGCTTTTCTTACGAAACACTTTCAAATGAAGGACTTATCAAAATTCATTTAAGCTAACGTCTGGAAGTCACGCTGCATTAATTTAGCTAAACTTTTTGCCCTGTTTGTGGCCAGAAGTTGTTTACTTGATAACTTTGATCAACACTTACGCTGTCGAATACTTTGATATTGAATAGTTGACTATAGTTTTCGCAGCACTCTATACTGCGCCCTCTGTGAGAAATTCAAAAGACCGTCAAATGTATTCTCAGTCAAGCCTGACTTAAAACAGCAGCAGCTTGTTTTAATCCGACTCAAGTACTTTAAATACGTCATGGTACATGCCTTTGTGAAGCACTTTTCGCTGCCAGCATTCATGGATAAATCTCCTATCAGAGAGGTTTCCGTTGAGCTTTCAGCGTATTCTACCTCTTATCACGAACGACGAAGTCGTGGCGAATGAGGAATAAGTAATTGACACACGTAAATTCCCTTCTGTCACCTCTTCGCCTGAGTGTTAGCTTAGTAATGAATTATTTCTTGACCTTAAGGCGATCTCGCGAGGATGGAAACAAAAAACACACTCACAAACCAAAACCAGAAGAGTTAGCAGCGCCATCGAGGACAAAACTCGAAAAACTTTCTTACGGTTAATTGCATTTTTGTGTATAAAAAGTCCTCTTGGGATAAACTGTTTCATGGTCTGTTTTATTGCCTGTAGCTGATTTTCCGCTTTACTACACAACACTGCATGATTTCCTGTTTTAGCAAAAGTTATGCTTAAAATAATTACTTTTTAAGAAGGTGGTTCAGACTCGATAGACTCACAAAGAAATTCCGGAAATCATGGAAAGCCTTTTTTTGGACGAAGGGAAATAGATCACTTCCGTGAGAGTTAATTATTTCATCATGTGAAGCCCCCACAAAAATCTCTCTCGGATTATGCACTAAATACCCTCAAAATTCATCTCATGCCTCCTTCGGCTCTAAAATCCTTAGTCTCAAAATCCTTTGTATATCTCCTTCGTCCTTAATAGAGATTACCTTTTCTGAGCACGAACGTAGCTTTAGTGAGCTATTTCTTTTCTTCTGTCTGTGAGCAGAAATCTGAGATCTGTCTCAGAGAAAACATAATCATCTTGGAAGATAATGAAGACACCTGAGTCATATTTGTATCAAAATCAAGAAAAGATGCTATTTGTTTTGGCGAGTGAGGGTAAGAGAAAGAAAATAACAAAACGTGACAAGGCGAAAGATATCTTTCAATTACCATTCTCAGAATTTTCGATCCTCTTAATTATTTAGCGCTTTCGACATTGCTGATCCCAATGGTATGCAGGACGTAACTCAGTGGTATAGCACCGAGCAGCGAGATTCATTTGGGGCTGTTCGATTCCTCTGTTTACATTTGTACCACTTGGCACCAAAAGTACGATATTGCAATTTCATCGTAGTAGAGAAATTGCGTGTTATAATACTTTGATAGAGTTGACTCGAAAGCGATATTCGAAGCAAATGTATTTTAATTCCGTGGATGAGTTGGGAAGTGCCTCTCGTGACCTAACTCAGTAACTTTCGATAAGTGAAACAAGATCATACATAATTTGAAAAAGTGTACTCTGAAAGTAGCCAGTTCTTCGACTCTAAAATTGAAATAATACGTCTTGCTGTGATAACTGAACGAGGCATAAGATATTTAAGGAACTTATATGGCCGTGAGTAGGTAAATACTTCATCCTCGAATGTTGATAAGCAAAACGAGCGACGGTTGAAATTTCGTCAACACAAGAAAACAGTAACTGTATCCACAAGAATACTGATAACATAATTAAAACATAAACATACCTAACAGCACCCTAGGCTTTCGATTCATCAGAAATTCTGGTACTTGACCAATATCTCTTTTTAAGTAGATTAATATATAGTCTGTAAACTTTATGCAGAAACTCTGAAAATAACGTCTCTCGAGGTTTCCACAACAGTATTTCGCCCTTAAAGAAAACTGGACATAAACTTGGTAGGCCATGCTTAGTGAAATTAGTTGGTCGAAAAAAATTTCGTATGCGCAACATTTATAACACTTTTACGGTAGTGGAGGCAACTATGAACTTTAGCCTCGTTTGATTATCATTTTCCTCGTAGATTAGATTTGAAAAAACTCACCAGAAATTCTACCACGCAATAAAATAAATAATATAGATGTAGCCAGTGCTTCAACAGCGGAGCTTCATCTAGTTGATTTTCACTGCGCCTCACCGTGTAAGAATTTCCCTCAGGTCGTTGGTGAGTTTATTTGCAGCAACTTAGCAACTGATCTTCGATTACGTAGACGAAAGGGGGAGGGGGTGGGGTGGGAAGAAACAGGTCGGGGGGGGTTGTTATCATTAGTTTCATTGTTTAGTGAGAAAGTTGCAGTGGTAATTAGTTGATTTTCATCTTCTCATTCAATTTAAAAAAGAACCTTTTTTATTCACCATATTTTGTAAAGTCTCTTATTCACGTTTCTGAAGTTTGGCAGACCATCTTGGATTGATTCGTCACAAGGTTGTTGGGTAATTGTTGTTGCTTCTAGAAATCTCCAGACTGCTGAGTCATGCTGACTTGCATACCATAGAACTTTCAAGAACATTTCATCAAGTCACGCATTTATTAAGTAGTACTACTAAAATAGTTCATATGTAAGCTTCTGGAATGTTCCAGAACACTTTGTGAACATATATAAAGACTCACTAATGTGGTAGGAGTGGTATTTGTTGTTATCGGAGCGACGACTTTTTTGAAAGCTATACCGAGAGAGAGTTACTGCGGAAGATTGCTCATTTCAAGGAACTTTGGAGCCAGCAGTGAGATTGTGTCAGTAATTAATGAACTGGGATATAGACTGTGCCGGGCTAAATTAAGTTTATTAACAATAAGTGTTGTGCTGCTTTTTAGGAGTGGCTCCTTGTTAAGAGCATTACTCGCTGTGCTTTGAAAGCAGTTGAGTTTTTGGGAATGGAGTGTTTTTCTGTCGGTTGGATTATACCGTAACAAAGTACCGATGGTCATTTCTGTTTCCGTAGCACACTACCAGTAGCAAGCCGAAAACGAAAAGCAAGTGCTCGGTGAAGTAACGTGACATGTTCTGTTTCCTTACTTGTCGTTTCCTTATCTTTTCGTCAAACCCTCTGCTTTGAGCAACTACTTTTCACGTGATGAGAGTTTTCGTAGACACGTACTTTTAATCTTTTTGCCTTTATTCTTAAAATGGCTGTAAGTAAGTAGAGTTGTGAATAACAATTTTATAAGTTCCTTAAATGCCACATCCTGAGTGAATAAGATCAACATTGAGAAAAGCCGTTGCTCGCTGACATTCTTTCCCAAATCAGACTGGAAAAGACTAAAAATGAAGTAGGGACTGAACAAGAACAGAGCAAAAAGAACAAGGTGATACCAGTGATCAAGGCACCTTTAAGGTAATAGTCATTGTTCGTCGCAGACGTTTCTTCTCCTTCTTGAAACAGCAATGCTATGACAATGTTAATGGTTGTCACAAAAAGAGCGCTTTCAATGCCAGTCGTTACTTGTCTCCACGTTCGCGGAACGTTCGTTTCTCGTTTAAGAGTGGATTATGGGGAGAATTATTTTAAGCCTGTTTTCTCTTCGACTTGAAATCGCCCTCTTTCCCAGTTCTCCTTCTTCTATTCCCCAGCCCGGCGATCTTACGAAAACTGATAGCCTCAGAATATGTAGACGCTGCTATGCAGAAATGTAGCGCAATGACAAAGTATAAAATGGTAATGTTTATATTCAGTTTTGTAGAAACTAAGCCTAACAAGTTATAATCCACTCTGCTTAGACACAAGCTGTAGTAGTATTATTCACTCCCAAAGAATAAAAAGTAATTACTATTTCTTTAGGTCATCCCAAAACAAATCGTTCGCCGGCGAACGTTGACTTCGCATAAATGCCACGAAAGGACAAAACAAAAAACTCTAACCGGTCTGCTCTAAAGTAAAACTGCTAAAATAACTGTAATACTTCTAGTTATTAAGCATGTATTTAATACTCGAACTAGCTTCTTTTTTATGAAAAATAAGCAATCAAGCTAAGTCGCAAACCCTTATTTAAGTTGTGTTGGACAAAAAGTATGTTTCTTAGCAAGGAGTCTAATTGCAATTGCAATTATTCACGTAGCTCTGGGAGTAGAAGCCCGTACTTTCGTTTCTTGAAGCTACTTGAATATAGAAATGAAAATATACAATTGTTGTTTAACGATCATAACCAAAAGTGTCATTTGAGACAGTATTAAATTTCTGCATATTTTGTCCTTGTAGATCGCGTATAATTGATGAGTACTGAGAAAATTGTCAGCTTCAGGACAGAAAATCGACCTAACAACTTATTTTCTAAACTATAGCACAGCGAAATGAATGTATACTGAAATATTCCCATCCAACAGATTATAAACTGATATTCTCTTGTCGCATTAAATTGGTAAAAAAAACTTAAAAACTATGTTATTACTTAACATATTTCGTTTACCGCATTAGCAAGATTAAATCTCGAACAAAATTGGTCCGTCTAGGGACATTTCAAAAGAGTTGAGATCTCAGTTTGAAAAGGTCCCTTTAAGTGTTTTACCATATTTTGCATTTCTTCTCAGGATTCATCCTGCTATCAGAGGGGCACTTGAAGACGTCAGAGAACTCTTTCATATTTGAAAGAGAACCGATAACCCTAGAAACAAAAAAACAAATAAACAAACAAACAAAGGATCAAAGAATCATCGAATTTCATTTCCTTTACATACCTGTTCGGTCTACCCCCTCCCCCCTCCCCTTGTTACAGGCGAATTTCTTTCTATTTCCCTTCGTGTATATGTACCTGTAATTAGCCAGGGTATGAGTGTCTGTTGTTGCTAGTTCATAGGCAGCTGACGGAGTAAATGCACTGCACCACATCTGTCGAGAATGAAAGATTTCCCATGTTATTGTAATATACCCCAAAATGTTACCTCTCTATGATCTTATTGGTTAAAAAATGACGAGCTTGTTACGTTTTTAAGCAGGAAAAGGATGGAGTATGGACCCTTTCCGATTTGAGGGGGAGGGGGGGGAGGGGAGAGTGGCCGCTGAAACTGCTGCCCTGTAACAATTTATTTTACAATAATTTTCAAATTGCTGATAGAGGATGCTGTAAAAGTAAAGCGCGAACATCAATTTATTGTTCACGCTTGTTTTTGTTTGACTCGTGCGACGTACTTCACCGAAAAAAGAGGGACCTAGACCGCAGAGGGTGTCTCATCAAAGAATTTTGAACACTTCAAATACTTCAATCCAGATCTTTACCTGAGCGAAGCTAACGAACAAGAGCTGCTCATTTGTCATATTGAGGCCGGGCAGCCGAAGTTCAGGACCATTTTTGTTAACCCAGTCCTTGTATCCCTGTTGTTAAGAACAAAACCTATAAGATCACATTCATTCTCATTAACCAGAATTTTCAAACCGTAAAAAATTGCGCCAACCATATGATTCTCATCACTGATTACTTGCATTTAAAAAGCATCGGAAATTTTTTTGTCGCGGTTTGAGATTTCGAAGTTAAAACTAACCGTTTGAACATTTTCTTCTGATTTGCCAAAGAATCGATTAAAGACACTGCAATTTCCAAAACAGTTAAGAGGCCTGGCCGCACAGGAAAACAAAAAGACGCACCTCACAGACAGCTTTTGTTCTGGTCATTACAAAGGGTAATTTTTCGAGCCGAGGTTTCTTTTTTGTAGCTTTCTTTTGTTCAAACAAATCACCAAGAAACGGGGAAAAGAGGTGTGTTTACGTTTTTAAAATCGATCCTATTGAACAGAGGGGATAGGCTTGACTGTTGTATGGCTTGGTTCTTTCCACTTTTAGAATAACTTGCGATGCCTTTCTAAGAGAAACTCATTATCAAAGAATTGATTTGTTATCAATGTAACCAAAAAATTTACCCAGTAAGCCAGTCTGATTCCTCCATTGTCGGCGATGTTTTCACTCAGAGAGAGCTCTCCATTAATCTGTTTGAAAGGTAGATCATAAATACAATTGAAGAGCACTTTGGATCAGTTAAAAAGTTTGAAAGAGTATTACTTAAAAGAATTATCGATTGAAATTATACTGCATTTGAAATCTCTTTTACAACTTATTGGAAACCAGTCTCATGCGAAAATTCTTTCATATCATTTCTAGGAGACATTGTTTATTTAGACTTGATTAAAATGTGATGAGCAGTTTTCATATAAAATATTGCTTTTTTAAAATGTTAACAAACAGTATTCTAAAAAGTTCCACAAGCACCAAAACAACAAATATTATAAGTATGAATCCAAGAGACGAGTACCTTTCCGGGATTCGAACGCAAAGATCTTTCTCGAAGAACCTTAAAAGTCTCAAGAGCTGGCAAGCTACAGTGGCGCTGATATCCATTAAATTAACGACTTCTCTGCTTTTTTAGGTTATCATTCCATCAAAACTTACATGTATTGGACCATTTTCGCCGTCCACAGAGTATTTGTTGTATTGATCGACGAAACACTTTGACTTCTCTTCGAACTTTTTTGAAGTATCTGCAGTCCACCAATCGCCTGTTATCTCTCCATTTTCGTTGAAATATCTCCCTGGTATAAGAAACGTATGTTAGTTACCGTGAATGGCAACCTGCTTAATGTAGTCGTTCTTCACTGAAACCCACAATCTGTTGACGATTATTTTAATCAAATTACACCATATCATTTCTTGGATACAACTCTGGATGTCAACCGTAATATGTAAGTATCATTCGATTTCTGTTTCGCGAACTAATAGCTTCTTTCCCTGTTCTCATGAGTCAGAGATCTGGTGCTGAGATAAAGGCGCGAGAACGAGGCTTTTTGACTGAAAAATGAAAACTGCCTTAATCGCCATTTTTTAATCTAATTAAATGCTCGGCATCAAAATTTTGTAGTTCAGCGTCTGTGTGTAATCTGCCACTGACCTATTGCGTCAAACCCGTGTGAAAGCTCATGACCAAGAACCATTCCTATTGCTCCAAAGTTGACTGCCCTAAAAGTGTGAGATATGAAAGGTTAGAGCCTAGATAATTTAAAACGAAACCTTGCTCCTGAATAAATGATAGGGGTACTGTCTGCAAATGACATATACAACGATGATGTTTGGTTTGGAATTTTTTTATATCAGTGTTTACGGAAAGCTAAGCTTTGGTCAAATCAGATCTTTTTTTTTTTGAGCTCATCCTCTTGCGCGTGATTTGCCCTTCGTGCACGTTTCAAGTTTGTGTTGCGCTTTCCACGCGCTGCCTCTGCTTGACTAACACGCCCTTACATAAAACCTTCATACCTGGGTGCTTTTCGTCCGTAATAAAATGGAGGCTGCAGAATTCCTGCCAGGATGTCTAGTCGATCATGAATAAAAAGAAATGTTTGGTTAACTTCAATGAACAACTGGAGTTTGACACAGACTTTGAAACAAAATGATATTGGGATCGTTCTTACTTGGTCCCTAAATTGAATGATACGCAAGGGCTTCATCAGTTACTGTACTACCCGTTGAACACCCCAATACACCTCCTTCATTTGATATTTTTCTAGCACTGAAGTAGTTTCAAGGAAATTTTAAAAAAAGGAAAACAAAGAACACGCACACTGCTTTTTCCTACAACGATTCTTACTTATTTCGTTTCTATTAGGCAGGTAAAAAGCGTTGACCAGCTGTGGGCCGACAAACCATCTGTGAAAATCAAATGAAAAAAATTGGGTGAGACAAAGGAGAGGCAGAAGTTAAACATGGCATTACATTGGCTTCTGTATACAAGTAAAAAAAAAAGGAAAGGGAGTAAAGACAGGTACTCGAACCAAGTGGTCAATCAAGCCGGAGTTCATCTCGCTTTCCATATTATGAGGCGACTAGGAGTATCAGTACTCCCCTCTGAAAGGGATGCCATTCCATCACCCCCCAGGATTTCACCAGACATCCCTGTCAATTCGCCAGTACCCATGTACATTCCTGGGTGGAGAGAGAGGCATTGTGAGGGAAAAGTATTTTGCTCAAGAACACAATACAATTACAGAGCTTGGTCTCAAACCCGAAACTGTCGACTCGGAGTTCAGCATACTAACTAGGAAGCAACCGCGTCTCCCAACTAGAGGAAAAGAAATTCGATAGAAATCGTAAACTAAACAAAGATAGATAACAACGAACAACAGTAGCCAAGGCTACATGCTGGACCTTTTGACGCAGATATCACTGCGCTCTTTACCAAGCTCTCGCGTCTAACGCTCGCACGCCGTAACATGAGGACCTCATGGCAACGAAGTTTAGTGTCCCACTACTTAATTGGTAGCTACTTACTGTTCTTTGTCAACTGGAGTCTTGAGTCTCGAAAATTGAGAGTGTGTTCGCCATTTCCCCACATCTAAGGCATTTCTAAAATAATTACTGCGACTAACGTTAACCTTAAAACAAATAATGACAACGGAATGAAATCAATCTTTTTAATGTCAAGCCAAACAAGCTTCAGGAACTGAATGAAAAGGGACCACTCCTTAATTATTTGGAGAGAGGGGTGGGGGTAGAATGAGAGGAGATCATTAGAATATTACAGAGCCTAATCGGGAAGAGTACGTAAACTTTTTCATGACACAGGCAAAGTTCTTCGACACTCCCCCCCACCTCAGTGGGGGGACTGGGTCCTAAGGTGCGCGCAACTTATACACGTTCCAAAGTTGCGTCAACGGTACTTACATCTTTGTAATACTCGTTCAGTAAAGTTTCATTGGCACAGAGCTTCGGAAAGCCAACCTTGTTTTTCATTGCTTTTTCCTGCAATTAATTAAGAGCTCGTCAAAGAGTCATCTGAAGTTAGCCATTTAGAGTTGTATTTATTCTTTTGCCGAGTGAATACCTAAAGTTGTTCAGAAAGATTTCGAGGAGCGATTCCCTTGTATTTAGGTATCTCGCAGAATGAATCTTCATTTCACGAGGCTATATTCCATGTGCATACGACTATATAGTGATCTGTATTCGAAGCTTCCCTATAGTTTTAGTTTTCTCTAGTCCGCGATCTACCCCGTCACCGTCCTGCTTCATTTTTTGGATATTTTTTCTATCGTGATCTTCCTCTCGACTTGAAAAAAAAAAAGGACGGAGGGATACAATGTTACGAGGAGAAAGTTTGTACGGCCGTACTGCAGGTCTAAAAAAAAAGTCAATTTACTGAAGTTGTCATACTGAGGATTTGTGCGATTGAGGACAATGGATCAATAATTATAACAGAATAACGAAAAAAAGGAAGAATAGCTGAGTCCTAGGAGTTGAAGGGGTTGCTAAATCAAGCTACCAATCTAAGTGCTAACCTTTTCAATTATTTTTTGGCGTGTTTGTTCATCGATCCAATCGTCGCGAGATGTCTCGTCTCGAAAAGTTTGCCTTATAGTTGACATCATCTCTTGTACCTTCAAATAATCATATGATAAGCTGATTGATACACGCGCTTTGATTGGTTCTTACCTATGATCTATTGGAGGACAGACCCACAGATGACATCACCATCAACAATATTTCGCTTTTTTTACCATATAAAAAAGTAGATTCCATGTGGCGATGGGTCTATACAATAAATTATGACAGATGAAGTGAAATTGTGATGGGAACATCAGAGACACACTCGGCTGCGCTTCGTGTACCTCTTTTTTGTTCTTACCACATTTTGATTTCAGCTGTGCTCAGAAATAAGCGAAAAAAATCTTACAAAGCCGTAACTGCTACCTCGGGATTGCTCAGGTTGGGTAGGAACCGACATAAAATGGGTACTAATCGAACGAGTTCAAACCTTTCGTGGGTACGGAACGACTGGATATCATCTCAATTCTTATCACCAATAAACAGGAATTAGGGAAAGGTTTAGTTTCTCACTCACAAATGGTATGATTTCAGTGTCGAAGGCGTCGGTAACATACATATAACCCAATGCATAAGTAAGCCCATGGTAATAGCCATTCATTTCTTCCACACAGTACAACCATCGAGGCGTGGCCGATTTCTTTCCCTCTACTTCCTTTTGATATTCCAGTTTAGCTTCTCGGAAATCACGTGACAGATATGGAACAGAAGAGCGCACGAGCGTCCACATCATGTAATTCGACAGGATTCTGAAAAGAAAATTGTTCATGTTTGGCGAACTGACAACTTAAAGTATTTGAGTTTAAAGGAAAAGATCTACGTTGATCATCTTCGAACTGCTATCGGTGGAAATAATTTTTGGGGTAATTTAAGTCTGAAAAGAGATTATTATTAGAAATTAGAGTACACGTCTAACTGACATTGAGGTGAGAAGTTTCACCGATTCCAGCTTACCTCTTATCTGTCTCATAAACAATAGAGGACAAACTCTTCAGATACTCTGGCGATGGGACGAGAATGTTGTCAGTGATGTTCACCCATACGTTGAAAGGTTTTAATACATCGTTAATGTAGTTTAACCACGTGAACTAAAAGAAAATCAAGCATCGCTTTTAATTTTACACATGAGAAATTTAACTATCATAGCAAAAATAGCCTTTTTCATGTCGTATAACTCGCTGGTTGTGGCAAAAAATTCAGAGAGAGAAGAACAACTTCTGTTGCAAAGACATTTGCATTCGGAAAAAAAAATTTTTTTCTAAGCAATTCGCTTATTCTGGGAATTGTTTGCCAGAAAATTAAAATTTTCAGCGATCATAAGTTCCGACAGAGTCTCAATTACAGCTGTCATTGATTGTAGTTTGTTGTGATGCTCATAGAACCTTTAACTAAAAGGGCAATTTTCACTGTGTGAAAAGTGATCTGACATTGTTTTGGTTTTCTGCATAAATTCAGTCTGTGATTGATCTTAAAAACTCGCGTCATCCTCCCAATCAATCAGACGCAAAACGAAAACCAATCACAACTTGGTCGCCCGTGTTTTCCGACGTTACTGATGGTTTGACTGTTTTTAATTTAAGCCCTGCTTGGCTAATAATAGTGTAAACCTTTGTTACGACTGACATTATTTTGGTTTTGTTTTTTCGACAATCAATTGAAACCTTTTCTAACAACTTACTTTGAAACCAGGTGCTTGTCGTTCGAGTTCTGATATGTTCATGTTGCGATGGTAATTACGCATTAAAACGCTCCTCGGTGGAGTGATCTGAAATAACATTGGGGAAAAAGCTGCAGCTTTCATGAAAAATAGCCTTAAATAACTAAGAGTGAGGATATTTCGTTCTGCCAACATAGATGGTTGACCATCAGGTAACCAGACAGTTCGCTAGTATCTATCCATATTTCTGGGTTGAGAGAGGCTCTGTTTGGATAGAAGACAAGGAGATGAACCCTGCCTGATAAAACTGATGGGAAATTTCGATTCCACGATAACACTTCTCCGTCGCCTCTCCCTAGTCTCTCCCCACCCTCCCCTCCCCCCCCCTATCTTTCCCGCATAACTAAGTCAAATACTCCAGTGAGAACGTTTCATTTGCCTTGACGGACAAAGAACAAACTTTAATTTCCCGATATAAATGAAATCAAGTGGATTCACTAACTTTTCTTTAAAGCAAAATGGCAGATTATCGTTTACGTACGTTTGCCAGCCTTGTCTCTAGCTCCATAACCGCCGCCATTTGATCTCTTGTGTCGTTTCCTCCGCCAAGAAGCTTTCCCACTTTTGTCATGAATTTCAGATAAGCCAATCGTGTCTAAAATGGAATATAACGATTACTTTAATTCATTTTGAAAGGCAGAACTGGTCGGTACAGGTATTATCTCGGCCTTTTGGTCTTCAACGACATAGCGAACCATCGTGCGTGGGGGGAAGGAACAAATTTAATGAAATTCAAGATCTCATATAAGTTCTTCTTACTGTCTGCCTTAAATTTTTACGTACTTTTGGCCCTAAAGTTGGTGTCAATTCACACAATATCCTCTGGTTGATATTTTCCACGTCCTCTTATTACCTTTGTCTTTAGCAATGTATCGGGTGATTTGTGCGAGTGAAAGCTTTTACCCTAAAAGCTTTTATACTCTGGTATTTCTTAGCCGTCGTTTACAAAGTGACACTGATGAATTAACTCAGTTTGCACATTTTCAGAACGGAAACCCTTATGAAAAATTTCCTATTTTTCAATTTGTTAAACGATATCTTCCCACCTTGCTAAGAGACCTCTCTCGATGGAAGAATAGAAAACAATTTTTCTCAGTTTCCCCACGCTTTGCCTTCATAATGGCTTAAGCTCGCAGGTTTTTTCGGCTTTGCCGTTGTGACTGTTTAAGCTCTAAAATAATGGTCGGACCGCACCATCAGGAGACGTAATCTGCTTATCTTAGTAAGTACTGTCTCAGCGTTTTTCCGACAACTTGGTGTGACTGTATGATCGAGTAGAAAACTTTTAGTGATTAATAGAGAATACCTTGTTCTCCGGGGCTAGGTACTTCTCACGAATCAGACTTAAAGAAGGAGGCATTATCTGCAAAAAAGCATACAATTTTGATAAATTTAGCCAGTTGTAATCCAAGAAGCTTAAATGATTATCGCTGTAAAAGGCTACAGTGTTCCGTTCATGATACCTATTCTTGACTCTTTTGTCTTTCTTTGGTTTGGAGCATACCTCGCCATGTCACCAAACGTTCCAAATGCAAAAAAGCCACTATTTTGTAATTCCCTTCACCCCGGAAATATATTTATTACCTTACAGTAAACAAGCACATCGAAATGAGAAACTCTCAAAGCCCGAGAGAGAAAGCAATGTATGGAAACCTTTTTTTTTCTTTTTTCATTTTTTTTTTCCGCTTTGCACGGCTCGTTTACAGAGGTCTGTCAATATTTATGTCCAGCTTAACAACGGGAAACGTCCTCAATAAAGACTTAGGCGGTAAGACCTAAAAATACCAAAATTAGACTTCGAAAAAGCTTAAACAGCATAAACAAAATCCCTGGGGATAATGAACTTACTAAGAGGTGATCGACAGCCCAGTGATTCGTTGCATTAAATTGACCTGTTTCAGTCAACACAATACGATATGTTGTGAATCTTATTAGGCATCTTGGCCTTTTTCAATTGCAAGCTTTTGTCGTCGAAATGTAATCATTATAAATTATTCAATGGTCAATGTTAGCGCTACCATGACCCTTTGCCGTTTGTATAGCTGTTACCGATAACCCTTTCGGGGGGGTCGTATGATACCTGTACATTAACGATAGCCTTAAGTGTGCATCGAAATATGTCAGTGATGTATTACTTGATTTACCGACGCTCGGTATCCTTTGATTAACGCGTTGGAAAAAAAAACCACGAAAGGTTCTCTCTTAGGCACCTTACACAACTTGAGGGTCTGCCACCCGTTTGAGAAAACAAACAATAGTAAGCAAATGGTTTTATGATTACAATTTAAAGCGTGGCATTGAAATTGGTAATGGCCATAATCATTTGATGAGCTCTAAAAGACAATAATTGTCCTAGTAATGTAATACCTGTAATATGTGTTTCGAAGAGTTGAAAGGGTTTACATTCAAGCCTAGTACAAACATAGGTGACCCGGACGAAAAATCCCTTTGAAACTCCGCTAAAAGTTTGATAGGATTCCATGTTGACTCGTTCCAAGAAGCATCACTAAGAGGCCACGAACCGAGTCCGGTGATGAGGCTTTTTACTTCGTTTAAGGCAGTTTTTTCGATTTCTTCCTCAGCCATGCATGACTTGAAATAGTTTCTAGTTTTCCAAACAGCGTGTTCTTTGGGTAGCTCATCATTTTGTAGCAGAAGTAGCAACACTTTTTCGCTGTTAAGCTTGGCCAATTTTCCAAAAGTGGAGAACCAGTTGAGAGATGGCGGGATGGGGTTGTGCTTTATCCAACCGTCGCAGGAATAGTGGAAGAAGTCCTTACAAGGGTCGACAGACTCGTTCATGTTCCTCTTCAATGCAGATGCCACTGCCAAACATGCATCCGAAGCGCATTGCTTTTGCATTTTTCCATTCTTCCCATCTGCTTTACCCGCTATATCTTTCTCATGGTCACGAGAAGCAACCACAACAAGGTACACAGTGAGAGCAATGCAGATGAGAAGCAATGTTACACAAGCGAAAATCAAACCCATGATCACTTTCTTCCTCCCTTTAGAGTAAAAGAGAGAACGACTTGATTGAGAGTGGACACCCAAGCTCATGGTGCTTGAAGTAAAACCCGGCTCTGTATCAACTTTTGATCCATTTGAATCCATCTTAACTCCAGGTCCTTGTTACGTTGCCTCCTGTGGTAGCAACACTAGAGTGCTTACTTAACATCCAAACGTTTTGTATGTGTTTTATTTTATGACAGTATTGACATGGAATTCCGTAATGAGCTGACGTCAGATTGTGACATAAGATAAGCTTGTTTAAGTGCGATGTTTACACTAAACATTCTTTTGTTTCGAGATTTCCTTAGAAACCTTTCGGAACCTTTTATGAGGCGTACTGCCTGACAAAGGGTTAATTTTTCCTTTCACTCTTTCTTATGCTCGCAGTGACATACATTTTGTTATCTTTGACTTTTATCTCTTTTGGTCGCCACCCAGCGTTGCAAGAAGATCAATGCAAGGTGCACAGTTAGATATAGTGTACTAAACTACGCGATTTCCCAAACATAATCACGGCCTGAAGTTTAATGATAATCTGAAGTTTCGAACTACATCCGCTGTAAGATCAACCTCCAAACATCAATCCACGGAAATTTAAACATGTTCACAAATGAAGATAAAACACGAGAAAAAACAAACCAAACAAGGCAAAACAAAAAAGAATTAAAGAACAACGTAAGCCAAGATTGCATCATATGACTATTTGCCTAACGCAAAACTTGACTCCACCCACCTGAGCACTGTTATGATAAGTCAGTCAACATAATTGCATTAAGGGCACTCTAATTGTCAGATAAAAGGGCCGTCTAGACTCATTTCACCAGAATGATGAGTGATGAAAATGAGAAGATGAAATAAACAAAACAGCTGTGAGTCAGTTATAGCCGCAAAAACCAGTATATGAATTTTTAGCGGAGACAATAATTAGGTATGTTTAGACGGAGTAGAGATTTCTTTTTAATTACAGAGGTCTGCTTGTTAACAAAAGACGTGTAAAGAGGTTTCACATCAATCCGGGTTCTTTGAATTCAGAATTGATGTCTCTCTTCGGCATATCAGATTTGAGCAGGAAGCCATCGCAATCCGTCTGTAATTTAAACTAAATGTATGGGTTATACCGCTCCAAGTTCTATGCTGTAATGATCTACTACTAAATACATGCTTATATCAAAGCTAATAAAACTCCAGTTAACCTCGTTACCACTGACGTGTTGTCGTCCTTTTGAACGAAGTACCACTTGAGGAGACTTTTCAAGAATTTGAGTTCACAATTGACTGTCAGTCACCCTGAGAGAGGACCGGGTGTGAGCAAATTTCGTGACTTTCGGGCAGGGGTCATGACGAAAAAAAAAACAGTTCTTCTACTATCTATCCAACAGAAATTATACCACCACTGCATTACAAACTGACACTTTCCAACAGTCTATGATTTGCACGAGCATCACAGAAACTCTCCACTTTGCCGGATTACGTCTTTCTGATTGGACGCCGAAGTTTTGCACTATGTACCAAGCATGAGGCTCCGAGGGTATTCCTCATGAGTCAAGCATTACTCACCACACTCTGAGTGGCTATTTTCCGAGGCTCGGAAATAATTAAGTTGAAAATAAAAAATTGACCCTTTCATTTCTTCCGGCGGAAGACTTTTGACCGAAGTTATTGAGATGTCCATCCATCGGAAAAGAGGTTGCTTTGTTTAGACATGTGTTAAACTGTCATATGACAACTTTCAGAGTTGTTTCCAACATAGGGGGGCTTACACAACTTTGTGGGCCCTTCACGGGAAGCAAGCTGAAAGAAGATCAGTGGGAAGAAGAAAAAAATCGACGGTCCTATGATAGAATGGTTATTGACTAAGTAAGGTCGAGCCAGACAGAAAAATATCTGGCTTTCAGAAATAAGGCTTGGACCTCGCTGCGCTCGGTCCGTACGCGTCATGGCCTAGAAATTTTTTTCAGTACTGTTTTATAGGCCATGACGACCCTGTTGCATAGCAGGAGCTCCGCCTACTTGCCTTCTTTTCGTCTTTGGTACAGATGTCGCGGCGCCCCTGTAGGCCCAACTCCGCAAATGCTGCTTTTTTGAGTTCAAGTGTCAGTTCTCCACCCTCCGGGTGCGACGGACCTTTGAGGTTCAAGCTTCCGCTTTTACTTACTGTTAAACTTTCATTTACTGCCAGACTATTTAAATTCATTTACTTACCAATGCCTGATAAAATGTGTAATTATTCTTCAAAGATTCGTTCACTTACTTATTCATCTTTTAATCCATTACGTATCTTGCATACTTTTAGTTTTTAAATTTGTAATTTTTTTTTTTATACGAGCGTCTTGTTTTGTCGAGCATAATTATGCTTCAAAGCACTTCCTGGAGAGGTAAAAAATTGATTGCTTGATTGATTGATACCCGTCAACACTTATTTTAACTGGGATCTATCGGATGACGAGCACCAATTTGGGTTCGTGGAGTAACTTGTAATAATTAAGATTCAATATTTCAAAAGATGGTAAATTCAGGGCAGATATGGCTCATTTTATGTGTTGCCGGTTTTAATTAAACAAATGAGATGATAATTTGCTGAATCCTTTCGAGTCGATAGACCGAAATTTGCCTTTTACAGCTTCTCCTTTGTCCTTCCGCACTATTCCACCATAAAGCGTAGATCTATGAGGTAAAGCCGTTTCAAAGAGCCAGCTCTCAGAAGCCCTAAGATTGACGTGTTTCTGTAGATACAAAAAAATCACTCTGTACTAAACCGATCGAATGCAGTTTTTTGGTAAGTGGACGAGTGTTACACTTCTGTCACTTCTGAAAAAAAGGTTTATTTCCTGTCTACGAAATTGGGCCTAGATATATGCCAGACATGTTCTAAAGAAGAAAAAGAAACTGAGGGTTTTCCAAATTTTCCGATCATTCAGGTGTTTAACGAAAACCCCAGCCGGGTAGCGAGATTTTTTAAATACGTACAGTGTTATATTTGCTGTGTCATGTATTCTCCAAAAAATAGACAAAAAATTTCAAAGTAACAATCATTCGCCAGTTTAGTCGAGTAGATTCTAACGAATCATGCATCACCGAATCGAAGATCGAAGTACTTCACCCACTGCTCCCCTACATTTAATGGAAAGACAGTGATGAAGGAAAAAGGTGTTAGTTAATAATCACGTAAATGAAGGGGGCAAGTTTCCATAGAAACTGTGGCGCTGCGTCGCTGACGGGTATTTCGTAGCAAATGACAAAGGGCTGACGCTCCAAACGTCAGCTTTGAAACTCTTTACGGTGGTCAATTTTCGTTATCAACGCAGTTGAGAAAACGCAATAGTCACGTGGTCGACATGTGATCAACGAAATAGGTTACAGCACTACCATGTGCAAAGGGTGCTACACCGGATGTTGATTGATTTTTTTTTCTGACCTATTTCAGCGTAAGCGAAGTTAAGTCGGACTTTGCTCTTCTAACGAATCACCAATGAAAAGTTCATTTCAGTTCCCCCTTTAAAAGCTTTGCTGCTCGTCATCTCCTGAGATGCTATTGGGTGAGTGAATTTGGTCGATGCTTTAGTCCCTTAAAGATTGGATAAAATATTATTAATTGATTAACTTTGATATCTACGAAAGGAATAACAACAGAATGGTGCATGACGCACTTTTTGAGTACCAAATAAATCTGTTGCCCGGTTGAAATGATTTTACGTTTACTCTGGCACAAAGATGCTTCCTCTAGTGTCAAGATAAGAAATTTAATTTGTTTTCTGCTTATTAAAAGTTGAATGGGCTGTGCATTTGAAGGTTAAAAACATTGCCGGTGAATGATCTATATGCGCACGGATTTCGGTTTAACTCAAATTGACCTATAAATATCTTACACAATGATTTGACAATCTTAATGAAAGGAAAAGGCTTGACAAATTTCCAAAATCTGTAGTTTCTAGCTTTTTTTTTTTTTTATTTATCATAAACTAAAATGAAGATTAGTTAAAAAATGATAATGAATATTAGAACGAAGCGGAAGGCCATGTTTTTACCACAGAGTGACTCCGGGCAGCAAACCACATCCGTAGATAAGTGCATATGTTCTTCTTTGGCTTCTCGATCAAAACTGGGATTTAATTACCGATAAGTCCGAGAAATTACTCTCTCAAAGATAAGAACCAAGGCAAGGAAAACAGTCGATGAATACTGGGTACAGACGCAGTCATTTCGTTTAATCCATTACAGAAGAGGTTCGTCTCGATTTTTACAACAAAAATTACTGTTATATTTGCGTTTTAAGGGCTGAAATAAGTTTCTTGTATATAGCTATATTAATGGGTGGATACGATAAGCTGTTCAATAAATCAAACGTATAATCTAATTTAATAGTTGTTGGGTACAAAATTCTAACCTGGATTATGGATTATGGCTTATAACTTTAGGTAAATTCACAACTTCGATCTACTTGAATTCCAATTGAATTAATTCCTCTTCTTTCAAGCATTTACCGAGCTGGTTATTTCACTGACCTTTTAAGCCAAAATTTGATGAAAACACAACACGTTTTACAATCTAAATAGATACAAATAAACTCAAAAATCGTATTCGAGTAATTATTTCAGTGTTTTAAACTTTCACCCGCCAAGCTGTTACTCACCGGAAAAGGAATATTTTAGTTAAAGTTTTTGGCTTCTTTTCCTCAATCAAACACAGCCTTACACAATTTTTTTGATATTCATAAGATTTCGACGTCTTCAAGTTTTTGTAATTTCACATCTATAAGTCAAATTTCCCACAAGCAAAGCTTATAAATGCCTGGCAAAGCACAGCACGTAAATTGATAAACAAAACGTTCCGATGAAGTCGGAAGTTCTCTCTAATGATTTCAAATCATTGATTATATTTTAGAGATCCAAGCATAACATCTAACACGTATGGTTTGAAATGTTGCAAGGACTTGCTTTGTTATTAATCTGTGGAATTATGTATCTTTATTTCAATTGGTTACGTAAGTAACAGCAGCAGTAGTGCTAGAGACAGGAAAGAAAAGGAGAAAGAGAAACTGAAGCTGTAACAGCATTGAATAATAACTGACAATGATCACAACAGTACAAATGTCACCAGCAGCCAACATCACTCGCTTTGTAGAATTGATTCAGGGATGTTTCTTGACATTTTGAGTTTCAAACCAAGCTTTGCAACTGAAGCAGAAGTACAGCCCAACCTCGATTATCCGGACCTCGATTATCCGGATTTCTCAATTACCCGGAGTTTGTCTCGCTTTCAAAAAGCAAAAGCAGCGCTCGCACGCGTTGTAACTAATAAAGAACATTCGATTGAGGTCTAGTTGGCTTAGAGCTGCTTTGTTGCTAAGTGAAAATGAACTCTTAACATCGCAGCAGTTGTCAGATGAGCAAATTTTAGAGAGCGTTGTTAGACAGTCTTCTTTGGAAGATGAAAGCAGCGGCGATTAGGAAGATGAAGGCCAAGATGAGAAAATTGTTTCGAACTCTGAAGCTGTTGAATGCTTTAAAAAGTGTTTATTATGGATGGAAAGACAGAACAATGTTGACGCTATCCAGATTGTGTAGCTTCGAAAAATGATGGAACTCTCAATGCGCACGCGATGTTCTTCTTTAAGACAAACTGACTTACTTCGACATTTTAGGCCTATGTAAAAACATTTTTTTAATTGTTAATACACACTTGTGGAGGTATTCACAACAGTGTAGATGTAGACCACATTTTTTTCAGAACGATTTGTAAATGTTTCGTTTCACGATTAAATGTCACTTTCTTCATTTAATCAGTTTTTGTATCTCATTAATATTCATATTCTTGATTATCCTGACTATTTCGTCCAGTCTCAACGAGTACCGATAATCAAGGTTCAACTGTACTCCTTAAAATGTCGCTCAAATCTTTTTCGTTCAAATATGTTTGCTATTTTGCGCGGTCGTCTAGAGTCTCTTAGAAACAAGAGATTACTAAACTTTATCAGGAAAAGGTCACATTTTTTTATGTTTAGAGTAAACTGGTACCCTTAAGTTCTTACTTTAAGCCATTGTAAGCCTTTAAGGTTATCATAGGTTCTATCACTTTCTGTAATTGAAAAAAAAAAAACTCTAAAGAAGTAGTACAATATTTATCAGGCCAAGTTCAGATGTAATTTCTTTACTGTTATGAAAATCACTTACCAATATCATATGCTGAGAAGAATTTTGAGGATCGATGTCAATTTCTACGCTGAAGAGGGGTGTGTCTGTAAGATCTCTGATCATTGTTTGCAAAACCTTAGACCATTCCCACTGCGAGGCGTTCCACGTTTTCTTATCCAAGGGCCAAGAGCCATATTTGGATATGTGTGGTGCCAGACTGGTGTTTGTTGCCTGTTCCACTGCTTCCTCATCAACGCAGGAGTGAAAGTAACGTTTAGTCTTCTTAACAGCACTTTGTTCCGGAAGCTCATCCACTTCTTCCATAAATTCACGAAGCTTCCTCGCGTTCTCGTCATCAGCTTGAATGAAAGTATCATACAAAATTTTTGAAGGAGGAATCGGATTGAGTCTGATCCAAGAAGCACAAGAATGTTCATAAAAGTTTTCACAGGGATCAACAGACGAGTTCATGTTCCGTTTCAAGGAAGCAGCAACCTGCAAGCAGTCCGAGGTGTAACAATGTTGATCTAGACTCATAGAGCCTCCAGGCGCTTTAGTCGGCTCCATGTTCGACCGATGATTCTTTTTTACTTCTCTGACAAGAAAGATGACTAAGATAAGACAAGCGATGGCTGAAAGGACGGTAATCAACACAGCAGCCACGAGACAGGTGTTTTGCCGAGTTTTTCGGATGTAGAAGTCTTTTTTGAGTTGGTCAGCATCTTCACTATCTCGAAGATTCTTGTTTCTGTCAATTCCGAGCGCCTCTGTGCTTGATGTTCCGGCCGCGCCGTTCCATTCGTTTAAATTATGTGACATTATTATCATAGGAAGCTACAACTGACTCGTAATAGCCTCTATGGAAAATCAACGTTCTTGATTTCGAAGCTAAATACTTTCTGATTAATGTCGAGTCATCCATCAGAAACTGACAATTAAAATCTTGTTATTTCAAGCCATTTAAGTCCAAAAATCCTATTGGCCCAAAACAAGAACATTGGCTTTTGATGATGGATAACTTGACAAGTAATTGTAAGGTTAGCATTAAAAGATCATAAGGACTTTTGAAAAAAAAGTTTCCAATCACAATAGAAAGACGAAAACAGCAGGTGAGGTCTGATGAATTAATACAATTGCTAGAAAAATGATCAAGTTACGGAACATTCATAACGTAAAACTGGAAAATTCTAAGCACAAAGATTCAAAAATTTTATATAAGGGCAAAGCAGAGTCTCTGTTCGAAAAAATCAATATACTTGTCTGCATATGTTGTGTCACGTCTAAGTAATTTGAAGTAAATTGACCGTACACAATATTTTACCTAAAGAGTATTATAAAACTCTTTAAGTGCCGAGTTTAGAGGCTTTTCTTTGGCTTTTGGGGGTTGCTTTTGGTTATGATATAGCGGGGCTACCCATGAAGATTGTCATAACGGAGTTGCCCTCTTCAGTCACTCAACGAGAAGTGCAGACTCTGAGTTGAATCGAACTTAGGGCAAATCGCTTTCGTGGGCAATATAAACGATTCATAACTTCTTGTCTGATTAATTGCTTCCGTGACTGATTATGGTCGATTATTTTTCAACTTAGGTCGATTGATACTTTTACCGAAAACGTTATTTGAAACAAGTGGATAGAGATCGGCTTTTAAGGCCTTATAATTCCAAAATTATAGGGAAGAAGTTACGGAAACAGACAAAAAGCGGCAAAAGCCCCATGAATTTAAAGCTTTGATAACCATTTTTAACACGCTCTTAATAACATGTAATAGCGTAGACTTGTGAACACGCTTTTTCCGTGTATTAGTGATGGATTACAGCTAGACTAACAGAGGCTTTTGGGGTTAACAAATAAGATTTATCAATGGAAGGCTAGAAACATTTAATCATTGGGGCGGTCAGGAAATATTAACAATATTATTAAGAGGAACGTGCAGGAGAACACACAGTAAAATGTATGTTCATTTCGAAAATTCAAATAGCTACGGAATACTGAATGGATTATGTAATATTTACAACACAAATCCGCAAACTCCACTTTTTGTTTTCATGTGTTTTTTTTTTTTTTTTTTTGTTGTTTTTTGTTTTTTTTTTCCTCATTGGAAATGACTCTAGAGGTCAAAACTATCATAATTCTCTACAAGTTTCCGGTAAATTTATCGAAAAGATGAAATCAGTATACGCCGAAACGGGAAAAAGACCTAAAATCAACATCCGAAAAGACTGTTATCTTAAGCAAACATTTCGAGAGGTCGTAGGCCGATATGCAACCTTGTGGATACTTGAAATTCTTTGGCGGGTTCGGTCATGGCCGAGGAACAACCCACTGACTGGTTTCAAATATGATTTCAGATTTCATAAACAATGAGCAATTCCTGAAAATGTATGTTATAAATCTCAAAAGACCTTTCATCCTTTCCCACTTTGGTTCGTGTTCGTGTAAATCAGGATCAAGGATTCACCTCACGAAACTCTAATTACCTTCAACGGATTAACTTAAGTAGCGTTAAGTCTCCATAAGGAAAACGTTACCGACTTTGCAAAAAAAAAAAAAAGATTAACCGTGTTTCCTTCTCTCTTACTTAACCTAGTTAACACTCCCGATAACTTAAAAACCACATAGGGCCCTCAATCTCCTTACAACACTCATTACGTAATTTTTCAAATTTCATTAGAATCTTGTTACCTTGGTCAAGCGAAAAAGTGACCTCTGTTTGTAAATCGCATTGGAAAAATACTTTTGTCTCGTCATAAGAACATTAGGATTGTATTGCTTAAAAGTTGCACGCGACAAAAGAATTCTAAGATTTCTGGGACTGTGCTTTATTATGAGATGCTGATTTAATAAACTCAGCGCGGGGTAACACGCCCCCTCTCACATAAGTAATCAGCCCGTTTTGGATTTCCCTATGAGCGGGCTTTTTGTACCCACATGTTGTCAGCAGTTTCGGATTACCATATAGGAATAGTTCCTTTCCCAAAACTATTTCTGCGGTTTTTAATCTACATCAAAATGACCGACACCATTAACAACATTAAGAAGCTTACTTGACAACAAATGTCGCAGTCAGGGGAAATAGAAGTATATGCAAACAGCCGTTTAAGAAAAGAAAACATCTATTCGCCCTATTATCTTGAAATCTAACCCTAAATGAGCCTTCCTTTCACCACTGAGCAATTTTTGAATGGAATTAAACGAAACGTATTCTATCAGAGGTAGATTCAAGCAGAGGGGCGTCGTCCATTGTTTAATTTCAGTTTTTGTAGAAGTAGGAAAGGCGACGAGCCTTAAGGAATCCTTTAAAAGGGACGTGATCTAATGAAGAGTGCAATCCACGTTACACGTCCGCATGTGCTGAACTCTGGCCTTATATGGGAAGGGAATGCTCCTAATACTGCGCTATACCTCATCAGTTTGCTTGAAAGTGAACAGTTTGCCTGCTTATGTTTGGGTAAATCTGCACCTGGTTCACTAAAGCGCTTGGTGCATACAGCATGATGATCAAGGTTGTATAGATTTCCCTGCCCACACATAAGCTTTCGCATTCCGTCACTGATACCTGTTAGATTCGCAAGACTGAAGCACTTTAACACTCCAATGACCACCCGTCGGATTTACCCAATAAGCCCGTGCTTTCCAGTCACTAAACGAAATAAAATGGTACATACTTATGAAATTACCCAACTAAGGGGATAACTTTCAGCTGAGAATCGTCAGTTCGTGAATTATGAAAAGATCAAATGCTGGCACAATGAGAGATAAACCGACAAAACTTACGGCTGCCCGGGAGAAGCGTTAGGGGAACTTCAACGAGATAGGGAAAGTTGCGTTCTATTCATAACAAAACAGGATGTCTCATTATCTTCTTTAAAAAGCAAGTAGCTTTCTACAATCCAATCAGTTACACATATCCGGAAAGTCTTTCACAGATTTAAGATGTATGGGAACGTGACGATTCCACAATTGAAAGAAGAGATTTTGAATGGAGAGCGCACGAACGCAAGTCAAAGGTTAACAATTTCTGTCGAGGTCAGGCCGGAGAACGCTTAACGCAACCTCTCCATCAGGGGAGGGGGATGGGGAACGGTTTTCGCTTCGAGTTAGATTTTAACCCAATTATCTGAATAACCTTGCATTTCAACTTAGTCCAATTTTTCAAATAATCGGTCAGATATAATGCTCTGTCAAACAAGCGGTGAACCGATCATAAGGCTGCCTGCCACGCGTAAATAGCCGCAAAACACAAAACAAGAGAACGACGTTAATTTCAGTCAAATTTACCAATTTATTTACAATAAAAAATTTAGAACTCTTGAAATAAGTTAATATGATTGTAATATTTACAAGCCATAAAATTATTGTCTCGAAATTACAAGAAGGTTCCACCTATCCTTCTTTTACAGATACAAATCTTATTGCTTAGTGTTTTTTTTAACAGGAAAGGGGAGTTACTTAAATAAGATTAACTCATTCTGCAAGTTATCGGGCGTCTCTGTCGGCGATGCTTCATTCAAAGTCGTCTGTTTCGTACCTAAAAACAGCAAACAACACTGTGATGATCAAACTTACTAACCCTCTACACCATACTATCAGTATGCATACCCTCCAAACTATTTTCCAGGCATTTCCAAAGGTGCTGACAAGGAGAGTTTTATTCAAAATCTAAAGTTTTTCAGTTGGTGATCAGCTCCTTCATTCTTGTGACCCTAATGTTTCATTCAGGGGTGATATTGTAGAGAGACATTAGGTGCTAGTCACTTGAAAGGGTGAAAGTGTTAGAGACACATTTCCCTCGGACCAACTCGCAAAGAGAATTTGAAACAATAGCTTTGTGTAAGACAGAAAACCGGAGAACCTAGAGAAAAACCTCGGGGGGGAAAGGGCACGAGTGCTCTAACCTACTGCGTCACTCCTACGCTCCTATAGATTTCTATACTACAGGTTGCACACATAGATCTGGGGATTGAGTATCTCGCGCAAAAACTGAAAGAAACGCGACAAATAGAAGTTTGCGGCGCAAGTTTCCCCCCCTGCTACAGAGGGTGGACCCTAACTCAAACTCTATCCCGGCTGGAATCTCCATCTTAAGGATCACAGGGGCAGATTGGGGGCAGTCATTCGCGCAGAAAGCATGATGACCCACTGCAGGACAGGGTATGGTGTCTTTCCTCAACGGGAAGTGTAATTTTACGCGAGTCCGTCTAAATCATCAAGGCCAGAACTTGTTCTTTCATTTCACTTATAAAACACCAAAACTTCACTAGTGACTGTCTAGAAATAGTTTCTTCTAGTAAAAATCACCTCGCCCAAGGTGACTAGAGTATTATATGACACAAAACGTATTAGGGCGCGTGCATCTCTCTAATCTCATATGGGGACAATTAAACTAATATACTGTGAGCACATTACCATGGTCTGTCGTCCTGTTGATATCCATCAAACGAATAGGGTAACGTTTCACATCCAAGGTTTTCCTATTTCGAGAGTAAAAAAGGAATTGATCAGTTATTTTGACGCAAAAAAGACCTTGGTTTTGACAAAACTCATCAAGAAGATATGAACAACGACTTAACACGAGACACGACCGTGCAACTTCCACCGACAACAGACAAGAACATTTCTCCCTTCAAACACATGTTCCCTTTAAAGCATGTTTGAGAGAGTCCTAAAGTTTAAAACCACCTTCCTCAAACCTATCCAGTCTTTTAAACTAACAGCTTCTGAGTACGCTAGTAAAAGCTACTATGAAAGCTTATGTTGCCACGCTGGTTGAAAAAGTGAGAGTCGGCCTTAAAAATATGCGACGGTTTCCTCAGGCAGCAGCTACAAAATAAAATATAACGATACCAACAAAGAGGATTTAAAGCTCTCAAATGGTGCCATAACCTACCGGGACAGATTGGACAGGTTGTTGAATAACTACAGACGGAATAGAAATATGCTCCACACTTTTCATGACTCCGTTCCTAGACAAAGGACTTCGACTCACTCGACCATACCCACTCGTACCAGTACCACGCAAAGGAATCCTGCTTGTCCGCGCCGGCGGTTTAGGCGGTTCGCGGGATTTCTCATTAGACATGTCTGTCTTCATATTAGATACACTGAACTCATTCGGTGATTCATTCCACGAAACAGTTTTCGTCTCTGCGCTCCCAACCTCGGAGGATTGTCTATGCAAAATTTGCCTTGAATTCGTTAAATTCTTGCTGTGCTCTTTCGATCGACTCGACAGGGGGTACCCCCTTCGAGACCGTAGTCCGTTGTTACGCTCTCCATTACGTTCAGCATCACTGTCCGAGCTTGTAACTGTGCTCTCAGAACTAAACGAAGGAGATTTACGTCTATTAGGGAGTGATCGTAACCTTGAAGGTGTGCCCACTCTAACTGTTTCACTTGCAGATTTTTTCTCGTCTTGAACAGCTCTTATTTGTACGTCACTCTTTTCTTTCGCAGTATATGTGCCAGAGTTTGGTCGGCTTCCAGATGTCGAGTCTGTCCGAGCAGGAGAATGGGATCGAGATGACGACGGGGAATAATAATTGTCGGTTGGTAGGACTTGTAGACTAGAACCTTCGGAATGAATGATTTTTAAGGTTGAATGTAAAGTGTTTTACTCAAACTCGAACTTCAAACGAATGGACGACAACTAATTGCACATATGCCAGGGAAATAAAACGTGTTCAACACACCTTTACAAAGAACTGAGGAGGAATTAGTTAGGAAATTCAAAGGTGTGAAATTCATGTGTGAGCTATTGCTTGGCACATGGAAAATACCTTTTATGCTCGGCTGCTCCAAAGACAAGCCACCAACTCTGTCAGGTGTCAATTTGGTCACGATCAGCGATGATTCCTCCACCTTTTGAGCATGTTTCGACACAACAAGTCTGCGAGTGTTAGCCGCAATTTGTTTCCTACAATAAGAGATAATTATATACATATCTAAGGTAAAATGTGAATAAATAAATACATAAAAAACCATCTATCTCCCACCATGCATACCCCGCCGAAAGTTTAGACTACTTAGCAATATGGATGTTTAGTCAGGATTACCCATATAACGCCTGAGGAGCTTTTTGTAATTTGTCGTTGTTGCACATGTTGATGTGGTGTTGCTCGAAAACAAGTATCTTTCATCATTTTTCACACAAAAAAAAAAATAGCGCAGCTTTGTTGACGAGATTTGTTTGGTCTTAGAAGACTTCTAAGAGAGTTTGCAATGAAAAAAGTAGTATCGTTAAACCATAGGAAAAATCTTCGTTTTATATACTTGAGGTTTCGAAGATATCATCGAGCATATTTTGTTCATAGAGGAGTCTCGAACGAAACTAAAAGCTTTAATCTCCTGCAATCACTCCGCTCTCAAACCTACTCACGCTGGCTCAAGTTTTCTCTCTTCTAAAACACTTACGCCATTACATACTGCATGGCCGAGGTATCTGTCACTGCGGTCTCGGACCTAGACGTTGGTGAAGAGACACCCGAACCTCTGGAGTCTATGTTTCCCCTTGCACTCGTTTGTCTAAGATTTTTTAACTCTTCAAACTGACGAGCACTCTTCACTTTAGCCTCTTTGTTCATGACTGTCGCACCATCAGTATTACGCTTTTGCTGCTGATGCCATTGTTCAGGGCTTTGATCTGATCCGTTGACGTGATAGCGATATGCAGTTCTAAGTGGCACAAGAAAGAAACCGTATGAAATAAAGTTAAAAGCAGACAGTCTGTTATTCCCTTCTTAAAGCAATCTCTTTACTTAACTAAACAAAAGAACGGGGTAGGTTTCCAAAAATCTGTAGTGTTGCGGAAGTGAGGGGTATTTCAACTGAGTTAATACTGTAAATTGGTAACCGTAAAGAGTTCCTAAAGCTGCCGTTTCGAGCGTTAGTCCTTCTTCAGAGCGAACGAACGGTCCCCCCCCCACCCCACTCCCCCCAAGTCGACGAATACCTTTGCATCTGATCGGTTGAGAAGGTGGCGCAAGTTTTCTCGACGAATGGCAGAGCGAAGTGAATTATGTATTGAACCGAGTTGTGATCCCAGATTACTTTCAACACTCCTCTGAACACTGACAGTTACATCAAGACGAGATACCAGTTCATTACAGTCCACCGTCACCTGGTTCGAGAGGAGGTGACTTAAATGTACTGTCAGCTATTTGTGCGGCGGAGGGTTTTTCATCCTCGTTGGGTCTTGTTAGGTCTTCTTTTGTTCTAATTGACTGCAGTGATCCGTTTTGTTTTGGTTTGAGAGCACTCCAAGCTCCGCGTGGTGGCTTTGTCCCCGTCGATGCTTGTAAAGGAAATGTGTGAGCACTGGTTTCTACCGTTATTTCGGGTAGTATGAAGTCTATAAAAAAAAAAATCAAATGGATTGGGTACTATATTTGATTTGCTCACCTGTCATGCCCAAATCCCTTGGGACTTTCTCCATCTGGCGTACCATTGGTCCGACTTCTCTCACTGTGTGGGCTATCTTGTGATTTAGCAGCCATCTCATCGTCCATTGGTTTCGTAGCTCCAGTGCTACTTGTATCGCTCTGAAAGAAAAAAAAAACACAACAAGAAGAAATTAAAAGATAGGATTCATCTTAAGACTGAAACTCAAACTAGAACAGGGCTCATACAGGCGAGCGCAACCTTAAGAGAGTTAACCTAAACACACCCTTTACAGGCCGCATTAATTTTGTATTATTGGTGATAAAAGACGCACACCGTTGTAGGTTTCCTAACGTTGTTTTAAAAGCGTGGTATTTTAGAAATTCACAATGGGTTCTTTCCAGTAAATACCAAATAGAAACATGATTCTAGTAACACTCAGTCGCTACCTTTTGCCGAATCTCTTTCTGATGAGATACTCTTACCAGACTATACCGTAACGTATGCAATAAAAAATAAAATTGCCAGGTAGGCACTACAACAGAGAACATATTAAATGGGACGATATAGGGCTTATTTAGGGCCAATGCTATAATCAGTAAATAGCGTCGGCCCTGAAGAAGCTCTCTGATACAGTGCCAGCCTTTTAATTTACTTGGTTTAAATTATTTCTTTATGTGAGAAATTTTACCGAAAAAAATATTAATCGTACCTGATCTCCTCCTACAGCCTCTGGTCTGTCAGGCATACCAGATCTTGCACGACTTTCAAGAACCTGTTGGCATAACAACCGCACTGTTAAAACTCTCAACTTAAGAACATGAAACTCGACCATAATTTACCAAAAAGCGATGACTTACTTCCAGCCTCTTTTTGAGGTCTTTGTTCTCCTCTTTGCAATCTTTGAGTTCTTTGTGTAACTTCGCCACCCTTTGGGAAAGTAACCAACACGATTCTTCCATTACCAAGTAACGGGCACAACCGGTCTGACCGGCTGCGTAAGCGTAATCAGCAGGAGAGCGCCCATCTTTATCGGCAGTGGTGACATCAATATTGTGATCCACGAGGGTCTGGAGACAAGTCATGTGACCCTCCCTAGCAGCGACGTGGGCAAGCGTGACACCAGATGAATCAGCCACATCTGCAAGGAAAACGTGTTCAAGCTAAAAGGTCAGAAAAAATTATATTTCATCGTAAAAGATAATGTCAGAGAATAAAGGGAGAAAGCTGGTGGCATACAAGGGAACTGAAGGGGAGGGAGGGGTTCTTGGGCGAGTTCACCTGTTGTCCAGCACCTCACCTATCAACCACCCCCATAACTGAAATGTTTCCTCTCCCCAATCTTCCCCCGATTTGACAATCTAAGATGGCGGCCAGACACTTAGCAAAGGTCGGCAGAAATTTTGAGAGTTAGACTGGCGTGAATACGCCTTCAATGTAAGCTGAAGAGGTTAGAGTTGCATTCTATAGATTTTGGTTAATATAGATTGCAATACATGCAAACTCCCACAAGTCAGAGGACACTTTGAGAGGTGAGACTGAAATGCAAAAAAAAATACGCACTACTCATCTATCGCATATTGAAACAAAATGACAACATCTCCTTGATTTCCTTATTTGATTGCTATAGTCAAATTCCGAAGCATTTGAAATTTCTCTTAGAAAAAACATCCAAAGGCAAAGAGGATAGAAGATAGATGATAGAAAATTATACCCTCATTAATGAGGCTAAGAAAAGCCACCTGTTAAGTAAACATATTTATAGACAAATTCAATTATCAGATATTATCAGAAAAAAACGCCTTTTACCAAGCTCTAAATATTTGCCACTTATGTAAGACAACAGGTACTTCAGACACTCATCCTGTCCACTTTGAATCGTCAGTTGGATCAGTGCTAATCTGCCAGGATTACTAGACATTTCATCAGCAGAGGAAGTGTTTTCCAGCAACCACTGTGCACATTGAACACTTCCATGCTAAAAAAAAGGAGAGAAGAGTAATAAATAAGTAAATGGCTTAATAAAAAAAACAAAAATAAAAATATCTTTCAATTTCAAGGTAAAGTTGTTGAGCCTGCACAGGCAAGACTGAAGGGAATTCTTCCTTACAATGTCAGTTAAGCTTTTGACCCCCTACAAGTGACTAGCATCTAATTTCTCCCAACAATATCACCCTTGAATCAACCATTAAGGTCAAAGAATAAAGGAAATGATCCCCAACTGAAGCAAATCCTGATTGTTGAACAAATTCTCATTGTTGCAACCTTAAGAAACGTATGGAGAACAGTATGGAGAATATTCATATTGATGTTAGGATGCAAAGGGTTAAGAGTGAAGAGAAGAAAGAAAAATATCAAGTAAGGGATATTGTTGAATTAAGAGGCAAATTCTCAGAGCTTAAATTATGAGAACTGTGCGAGAGAGGGTGTGGAGAACTGACATTTGCATCTTGAACATTTTTAAGGGGTAAAGGTAATGTGTTCACTTGAGCAATAGTAAAATGAGTGTGAACAGGGCACAAGGCACACATGTAAGTGTCTCCGTTTGTGGAAATGTGAAAATGAAGTACAAAATTGTGTTTTACCCATCATTTCAGGCCACCTGACCATTAAACCCCTAGGAGTGAGAAATTTGTCTTCACAATGTCACCCCTGAATCAAACACTAAGGTCACAAGGATGTGTGACATTATCACTGACTAAAGACACTCATGACTGTGACAGTCAAGTTCTCCTCATAAGCACCTAGGGAAATATTTGCAGAACAGTATAGAGAATATGCATATTGATGTTAGGGTATTTATATTCTTGGGTGGAAAGGGGCACTTTGAGATTAAAACACCTTGCTGTAAAATATAACACAGTTACCACAAAGACAAAGATCATAGCTGCACCTTTGAGACAGAGATCCAGTGTACTAACAATAATACTTTGGTGTCTCCCTTTCCACACCTTATTGAGGGACAATTATTCTGGTGGTATAGAGCTGGGTTAAGCATGATGTTTACAGCAAATGATAAGGAGAATTCATTAAAAAATCAATAGTTTCTTTAGATGATGATCATTTCCTTTATTCTCATGACCTTCAAGTGTGTAAGGGGCTATAACTGTAAGGAGAAATTGGGTAGTCAAACTTAGAGGTCAAATAGTTAAGTTCACTAATTCTGAACTTAGCTGCTGCTTTTTTCATTCCATGTCAGAAACAGAACAAACATGTGTAATGTTAAGAGTGAAACTGTGATGTCAGTTATCATGACGATTTAAGTAACATAGAACTCAAACCTTCAATGCTATAGCCAGAGGTGTGTGGTAATCTTGGTTTGTAATGTTCCTCACACAGTCATTTGGGAGCTCTCCTACAAGCCACTGAAGGCAAGCAATATTACCAGCCTGCGCTGCTTTGTGTACAGCTGTGTTTGCACATGAATCTGTAACTCTGATTACTATTTCACTAGTTCCTCCAAGCTTGCTATAAGCCTCTTGCTGTTGGATAAAACAGTGGAAGACAGTCAAGTATATTATCACAGCTTCGTCCTTTATAAACAGAATATGATATAAAAAAAAAGTTCAACTTGACCTCCCTTGGTTTAAACTACTAGTACAACTATCACATTCTATCATTCAGTGGAAGTACCAATCAAACTAAGAGGTATTCAATTTAACCTTGCATTTGTTTTAATTTCCAAAAGTTCATAAAGTGATCAGCTATGTTGAATGCCATAAATCAGAAAAATCAAAACCAAAAGACAACAGGTTTATCTTACCATGCCTCTCAAATCCCCGGCTTGTGCGGCTTCAAGGAGATGTTCTTTCCATTCATCTGTGTTGAACACACCATATTTACCCCAATTATTCACCTTTGAAATAGATGCTTGCACTTTAGAAATTCTAGCAGATCTAAGTAACTGTTCTCTCAGCTGAGAAGGAGAACTACTGTTAACTACATCAGTGCCATTGACAACAGTATCTTTAGTTGCTGTTCCCCCAGGTTGAAATGCCTTGGATGCTGAACTCTGATTGGCTGAAAAAGCATGGGATGGCTGGTTATGATTCCTTGTGGTGGCATTGTTTTCCTCTCGAGCTAATTCAGCGTGAATGTTAAGTAGTGATGCTGTGCTGGCAACTGAATTGTAGTCATCAAAATCATATTCCTCCAAATCACATTCCTCCACCTACCAATAAAAATATAAGATGCTGATTAGTACAAGGACAATTAGAAAAAAAAAGGTGAGCTCTTTACTTGAGCCAAGCAGCCCGTCCAGCCATTTCCTTAGCATGAAGGGACTAAGAGTATTGTTACCTCCTCCCCCCAATCCATCACAAGGTTACCCCCTTGACAATTTGTCAGCACCCATTTATACTCTTAGGTGGAGAGAGGTAGTGTGATAGTAAAGTGTTTTGCCCAAAAACACAACACAACCAACTTGGTCAGGTCTCAACCTTGAACCCCTCAGCCCTGGACTTGCCAAAAATAGGCCAGCACTAAAGGGTGATTCACAAAGTAAATCATACAGATAGTTCACAACTCTGAGATTAATGCTTTTTGGTTTGGATTGTCCAAGGGATGTTTTTTCGTTTGCTGTGATCGTGTGTTGTTATCATCTCGCTTACCTGCAATTCTTCAGGACTGCCATTAAGTACTTTTAGACATTCATCTAAATACTGTTCATCTTTTTCAAAGCTTCGTGGTTCATCAACAGAACTTCCCTCCTCTAGGATATTTGTAAGGATCAGATCTCTTTGTTTTCCAGGTCTGGAGAGAAATCAGAGTTACTAATTTTAAAGGTTCTCTTAGAATTGTGAATCAATGCTGCTTTTTGATATATAGTCTTATTTACAGTTACCAGTACCATAAGTTTTGAAATTCACATTGGGAAAACTGTTTTTAACTTTTAAATTTACCATGTTTTCTAGCTTAGCTTTCAATGCAATTGTTAGAAATACAAATGCTAACAGTTTTCCATTTTAATTTCAGGTAAGGTGGTTAAAGGGACCGATAAGTATACAATTTTCTGATCGAAAATGAAAGACTCCTTATAACTCCAAAAACAACTGTACAGATCACAGTTGAGAGAATATGTATCTTGATATTGGCACTTGATACTATTCACAATTTATCAGTAATCATTATGAATAAATTTATCGATCAAAAGCTCTGAAAAACAGATTTGACGCAAACTTACCTGTGAATTGTTGCTTCAGTTGTGTGCAAGTCTGGTCCATTGCTGTGATTTTTCGGGCTAATGGCTTTTTTCACTTTGTTTAATTTGAACATCAGTCAGAGTAAGCATTCGCTGGTTCATTCATGCCAGACCAGCTCCTTAGATAAACCAGCTTGGCAACTAAAATGTTTTTAAAGTTTTCAACAACTTGATCATCTTGGGAACTTCACATGTTTGAGAAATTTCAACCTTGAAACAGAATAACAGGCAAACAGAATGATTTTAAGATTAATAAAAGTCTAGAAAGTTCATTGTTGAGCTAACATCTAACTAATGTAATTTGAATTTGCTGTTGCTCTAAATAGTCACCATTACCATCATTACCAAGTGCTTCAAGTACAGGATACAAATTCAATACTAGTCCAAGTATATTATACCAATAATATGTAATTTTCTTTCTGTACTTCCAATTTTATATTACTACAGTAATAAAATCTTGCCTTAAACTTCAAATTTCTAATAACATCCCAGCCCCTTTCCCATAAGCGCCATGCTTTTCCCTTTTCCCCTAGAAAAACCCCAATGTAGTTATTGTATACTGATATTTGTGCAGGGTAGCACCTAAGGACAGGTTATGCACGTATTTGGAAGCCTGTGCCAGTTTCCACTATAAATATCAAAGGTTTTCCAATGCAAGAAATGTACCCTACTCAGGGTATTCATAACATTTGGGTATCAGTGAAAGAGAAAAGTAGAAAATTTCAGTTTTGTCCTCAGAAGGTTTTTAACATGCCCTCACTCATCTTAATACACTGGAATTTAATAATTCCCATTTAACAAAGGCTTATTTGAGTACATGTATTTATAGTATTTACTTTCAATTGTCTGTGAGTGTGGGTTCTTATCAGCTTTTCATATCAACATGTTGGGTTGTGATTATCTTTTGTTTGTGATTATTTCACTATGATTTCTTTTTTGCTGTTATATTCTGGCAGTTTTGCTGGTGATTTATTAGAGAAAAGCTAGAAATTTTAGTAAGAGCTCTTGGGCAATACACTTTCCTCTCAGAATACCTCTCTCCAACCACTAGTGCTGCCTAAGTCTTCCCGAGACATTATGATAGAGAAGCGGGGAAAGAGTGTACTGGATTGAATAAGCTCCTTATCTAAAGGGATTGGCACATCCTCAGTAATCTTGTTATTCTATGGAAACCGGGATCAACGCCGGCCTTTCCGCATGCAACCAGCAGTTTACGTTCACAATCCACAACAGCATGTAAAATAATCGTAAACAATTAAACATTTTCGGTTTCAAAAATGAATCTTTGTGAAATGTCAGAGACAGCTAATTTGTATCGAAGATGACTACATAACTTTAAGAAAATGTCGAACAATGGCTGGCTTGCTTCAATTCATCATTGCTGACACGAAACGAAACGATAATTTACAATGTAAACAAAATCGACGGGGGTTGATCAAATAAGGCTGATGGCTGAGCATAAAGTGCTCGAAACATTTTAACATTTTGAGACAAACGCAAATAAAATAATCAAGAAAGCGATAGATTTATAACTTGATTTAGAATTATAGCTCGAATATGCGATAAAACCGATATACATGACCTTGGTTTAGATATCGAAAAGGGAAGTCGAATGTTTTTGTAATATAGATTTGATATTTGACTTTTCATGACAATTCGACCTCTACAGTCAGATACGATTTGCAGGCTCTTTACGATGATCTGTTAGCGAGAAAGAAACAAAATCGAATTGTTCAAGATATAAAGAATGAGTCGGTGAACAATTAGGTCCATTTAGTGGACTAAGCAGATTATAATTTGACGTTTGAAAATAGAAACGGATGTGGTTGAGGTAGACAGATTTGTCACTGGTCACGTCACAGCGGATTTCGATGTGTTCTGTTCGATGTCATATTGGTTCTCAAACTCACGCATTCACGTAGTTTTGCAATGCCAAAATGAAATTTTAAGTCAGTATTTAGTTCATACTCGTGACTAGTCTACCCTCTCAGGACACAACTGTCAAAATAAAATGTGGTTTCAATAAATATTTGCACAGCTAGAGCTCGTCACAGGATTGTGTACACTAAATATCAGCGATTTTCATCCGCGTTCAATATTTACAGAGTGGTTATCTCGACATCATTTCCACGTCTTTATCAAATATATTTAAAATGCACTTACCTTGAAGTACATAAATGGCGATATGAAGAGCTTCCACCTAGTCAAAACACGACGAAAAGTGTACTAAAATGGCCGCGGCGTGAAAAGATTCAATAAAGCGCTTAACGAGCGCACGCACTAAAGTAAAGAGAATTTCCTTATGCATCACAAATGCACACATTTAAGCCCCTTTTTAAGTCTATACTTCACATATGATTGAAAATCACCTTCAAATGAAGAACAAAATCAGTATTTTGTTGAACAAAAAACAATCTTCATCAGAATAAGATCGTTTTGAAAGAACTTTTACAGTTTTTTTTACACCTTGAAAGGATCTGTGTTAATTTCTCAATACCAATCAGTTAGATGCAAAACCGCAACCCTTAATGAATTGTTTCGAACGTAGTTGGCATGCGGTTTACAATTTGCGGTTTTAATTAACAGCAAAAAATTAGATGGTGGAAAAAGAAATAGAAAGATATATATACGTCCTTAGCGGGCCTGGCTAATTATCAAATTATATTGCGACGCAAAATATAGAGTTGTTGGTTCATAATGTCTGAGGTTGTACAAAAACCACACGATCCAAAGACTCTACAAATAAGATTTTTAAAATTCAAGAGCACTCCAGCCCTATGTGGGAAGGAACAAAGAATATTTGTTTCTCACTTACGAAATTTTCCTAATAGTTGAAAGTTTATGGATGGCGCAATTAACGTTTCTGACGCTTTTAACTAAGCGATTAGAGGTGATAACTTTCCATGCTGACAGTGTATTAGCAGGCACTCTTGAGGGCAACGTTATTGGTTCTTTGATGGTAAGAAAGAAAAGGAACCTTTTCCTTTTCATGTTGTGTTTGCTCCTTTCGATTTCATTGCAAAAGATCAAACATCATAAAATTTGCTTCAAAATGGGGCTTATGATAACGTGCGTGGCTTGCAGTTTCGTGTGCGCCCTTAGTGTTCTGCATATAAATCGCCGAAGCTGTGGTCCCCAACCCCTCGCGGCTCCGCCGCTCTTCCGTTTGGTTCAAAAGTAGACAATTAAATTAATTAATCAAGTAACTGCATGATGGCCGTACAAAATTCGAAATTTTTGTCGAGGGGAAGAAGAGCCCATTAGAAACTTGATGCTCAAGAATGAACCTTGTTAGGCAGGGGTTTGGGGCTAATTGGAGTGATCACAGGTATATCGCAAAAGACCTAAGAAACAAAACGCTCACTTAGTTCCTCGAGAAAAAGGCAAAGAGCACATATGTACGTAGCAGGTTTATGTTTTCATCAAAAAATGAAATTGGGATCGATCAACCAGGTGTTATTAAATGCTTTCTTGTGCTTGGTCAACTATGAAAAAAGCGAATGATTAAAGGGGTAAGTTTCTAAAGAAACTATGGTGCTGCGTCGGTGGGAGAGTAAAACAAGATAATTTAGTATTATCAACCGGTTTATATCGTAAATTGGCCACCGTAGAGAGTTAAAAAAGCTGACGTTTCGAGCGTTAGCCCTTCGTCACAGCGATATGAAAAAAGCAGCGGTCTATATTCTACATAAATTCCGTGTGCTTCCCCGTCGGTGCTTAAATATAACTTGAATGATGAGATGAAGATGACCAACTGGCCATGTATGGTTTATAAGATGGTTATAGACAGGGAAACTTCAGAGAAGTGAACCGTTGTAGCTTTCACACATTAGCTAAGAAGTTGGTTAGACGAACTGAACTGGACGGATTAAGCTGGCGATCGATCTTTATCGATCTTTGATAATTATACATTTCCTCTTCGTTCATGTTTTGCCTTTTCTTTCCCAACAACTTTAATTTCATCAACAGTGATCTACTCTGGGACATTCAGACACAGGTAAAATCTACTCATTTAATTATTGATCAATCTGAAGAAACCCTCATGAATCTTCTGTGGGACATAGCTCTGTGCCTGAATTCGTATCATGATACGACTATTTCAGTTTGCGCTCATTTCAGCTTCTCCTGATTATATAATAAAGTTACCTTTTATCGCGTGTGGTCCCCACTGCAAATTTATTGTAAAATGTACCCAATCATCTCGGTCGGTTCTACTTTAAAACTGCTCAATCTTTGGGTACAGCAATCCAACTTAAGAGACAATTCTTGTCTAACTGTTAACAAAATATGAAAACGCGTGTAGTGGATTCTTGCAATAAGCTTCTCAATTTCCTGTCTCAGCGCAACATAGATAAGGCAAGACATCTCTCATGGGTAGCTAATTAAATTTTTCAATTGGCTGTAATTAGAGAAGTCTCGAATTTAATGTAAAAATGATATCAAAATTATAAGGTGTTTGTTCCTAGGATGACAGTACATACGAACATAACATAAACGTGAAGAAGTTGCATCACTTTTGGGAGTTCAAAGCACGCATTTCTCAAAAAGTAAAGACTTCTTCACGGCAGGGGCCACACAAGGTTTCTCGATCGGCATTGGCCATTCTTGATACAGACTCAAAAGGAAACGCCAAATGAAAAGCAGATGGCACATTTCATACTGAATAGAGCCTGAACCTCACTTATTATGATTTGAATCTGTGTTTACTCACTCAACTTGTCGTGCTAAGTTGCACCATGACGAGGCTTTATCAAAGTGAGCTATGTTTGAGAAGTCAACGAATCATTGATGAATTGAAGACGTTCATGGGGTGGCTGTTATTTGATATTCTCTTGTTTAAATAATGTGGCGGGATGTCGCTCCGGTGAATACTTTTTTCAAAAATAAAGGACACAATTTGAAGTCTGCTAATATTCCATAGAATAATTCCGCACGCTTGACCTTCGCCGTGATGGGTGGCATTACCGATTATATGCCCAGTCAAAATTGCGTAATATCACGGGTGATATGCCTTAAGGGATATACCTAAATTTTCAAATCTTGCGTCCAATAAGATAAACAATTTATTGAAAGGTGATGTGTGATGTGAGAGCAATTTGCTATTATTACAGAAGAAGGAACGGGATGGCACGTTTATCAAGTTTTACCAGAGAACACACATCCCCTTCAGATAGAGGACGGTCTTCACAGAGGGCTGTTCGAAAATGCTCTGCCCTGCGCGCTGCAAAAATGTTTGAGGGATTGTTACACACAATTGCCTCTATTTGGCGCAAAAAAATTTGCATTATTTGATCCACGAGGCACATAGAATTCGTAACGTCCATGGAAACATATTTAAGCATATCCTCGCGCCAAATGGGAGCTATTGTTAGTCTATCTTTCACCCAGTCGCCATGCGCCACGCGCCACGAGGGTCTGGATGCGCTCGCGATCCTCTCCACAGCTGGACACCGAGCCCTATGAGACAATAATGCAACACATCCTTCAATGATAAATGTCCTCGTTTAATAAACTAATATAATCAACACAGACCTAATGTGGTAAAACTTAAACTGTTGTTCAAACGAATTTTGGTGCCCATATAAATCAAGCTACGTCCTATCTCGTAGAGAGGACAACTTCATGGCTGAGTAACCCTTAAAAATTCTTCTCTTATAATATATTATTTCAGCTTCGTCCTTCCACACAGTTTTACCGTGTTACTTAGGCTCGTTTCCGGCTCAAACATCGCTCACTCTTGAGTTATTTCACATCAGTTGTCCTTTTTGGAAGGTAACACCTCAACGCAAAGTGAAATCAAAATAACCGATGCGCTTGCTAAATCTGCAACTGCCACGGCAAGAGCAAAACCTCGTTCAAGATGATTGAAATAGTACATGAGTGAAACTACAGGTACTTTCCATGCTATGCGATAAAACACCGCTGCTATCGGACAGGCCTCGTTTCCGTCTCCTCCTCCCAAAACTTGCAGCCAGCCAATAACCACCATCTGCATGAAGAACAGGGATACCATGCCCCTTGAAAAGCCTTGAAACGCGTCCAGGCCCATCAAATCACGCGCTACATCGGGCCTTACCATAAAGGTAACTGATATCACCATTTCTAAATAGCTGATTATTTGCACGATGTTCGAAGACCAATTTTTTGCGGGACCAAGGAAGGGAATCATCAACTTTCCTATCTCCACAAGACACTTTTTTAGAGACGCTTCTGGAGTATTACGATACCAAATGATGTATGTTACAATTGCCAGCACAGAATCAAGTAACGAAAATGCCGCTGCAAAGGGTAAAGAGAGCAAGGATTGGTAACACAGCCATACCAAGACTGCCACAACGAAAAGCAACCTCTCGGGAACGGTTCCCAAAATTGCACCGTTTCCAGTTATTAGAGGACGAGATTTCGCCATAACAATGTAGAGAAAACCTATAACAGTGAGTAAAGCACAATTTATCCTCCAGTACGCTTTATCACGGCCAGTAAATTTCATGAAGAACAAGGCAGAGAGCAGCTCAGGGAAGACGACGCCAAGTAAACCACTGATAAAGTAGGCCAGGACCGCAGACCACATCGTGAAGACGCGTAGAGTGGCGGAAGTTTGACTTTCAGGGATAGCTGGGATAGACATCATCCTACAGAACCAATTTGCTTTCGTAAAGTTACGAGAATCAATTGTAGCCTGATGGAGGAAAATTCATATATGATATTTAGTGTAACACTGACGGTTGGTATCCTCATCAGCAGTTGAAAAGTTTGCAACCACATGAAACCCGCATGATAAACCCTTGTCTCTTTCGTTACCGTTCAGTCTGACCTACACGCCTCACGCGCAGACCTTTGGGGCTGATAAATAGTGTCGCTCACATGATCAATTTGGCTCAGCGCCAAAGTCCACCCAGTAGCAAAATCTTCATCTGATGTATCGTCACCAGACGCTCAACATGGGAGGCGAGCGATGGAAAAACGTGAGTAACCGCACGCGCGCTGTTTCAAACAAGTGGGAGTTATTAATCCTTTACACCCTAACATCAGTTTACATATTCTCCATACTGTTCTCTATACATTTCCCATGGTACTGACAAAGAGAATTTGGTTAACAATCAAGAGCTTCTTTAGTTGGTGATCATTTCCTTTATTCTCATGACCTCAATGTTTGTTTTAGGACTGATACTAATAGAGGAAAATGGTTACTAATCACTCTTCATTAGGGGTTATAGGGTTAAAGACACTCCAGCGGCTAAATTTTTCTCTTCTATTTTTGTTCCTTTTTGCGTTTAGTATCTTAAAAATTAGATCAAATGTCGACCCAGCTTAAAACTACAAACTACACAGCAAATAAAACTATTTTTCTTTAAAATCAATTTAACCGACCCAACGGAACGCAATAAACGTTTTTGAGAAGCGGACGGCAGCCGAAAGCTGGTGCTCACTACAACCTTTTATTCAGCGCAGTTTGTTCAATTAGAATGCTAAAATGGTGACCTAACTCAGGGTAACAGCTACTGTTGTGAAAGGCCGTTACGTGTCGTAGCACATAGGTCGCTGACTTATTAACGATGCTTTCCTTCTTGAGTCTGTTTTGATTTGGTTGTATTGTATCTATCTTTTTTCTCTTATTTTTGACACGGGAGGATAACAATTATCTCAAACCAGAAACCGGAGGCTTAACACTTCGGAAGGCGCCCCAAGGTATTAATAATTGTCATGACTGTTACTGACCCCTGAACAAGTCACCCGCACGTTGTCTCCTGATCTCAGTGTTTCGAACGTAATAAACAGTTACCAAACTTGACACCTTCTGATTCTATTACTTCTTGACTCTCAAATGATCTCAATCGTCAAGGGAATGTTATTTTTGGAAGATAAATATTGTCGTGCTGCCAAAATTAAATTATGGACTTGAGACTGAGTGATACCTGCGGAGTGCGGCAAATCCACGAATATCACGAGAGTCAGTAAAAGCTCTCAGGTTATCTCTAGACTTCATCGTGGTCTGATTCATTTCGTAAGAGACCCATGAAAATCCAGTTACTTTCAGCCACAAATTTAATCATCTTGCATATCATAATACACTAACTTTGAGCGAACTTCAAACTCAGTTACGCTATCATGACTGCCTCTGAGAATTCAAGCAGACCACACTCTCAGATGAGATTCAGATCAGTGTTTCAAGTGAAGGGCCTCTCTGGTGCGTACGAGCAGTAATTCATCGTAAAATCGCACGGCATATTTACTAGCTAATTATCGAACAAAGCATCGGTTAACACTCGTGCACTGCACCGCAATTACCAAAATTATTTTTGGAAACTTTAAAGAATTGAACGAGCTCAAATACTTACTGTATTCTCCCTTCGCCTTCGGCTTTGTCTTCGACGTTTGACGACCGTTTCTCCGGCGCGAAGCACTTCAGTCAAATCCTCCATGGCGTCGAGTCAAGTTTAGTAGATCTGGCTGTAAGTTATTCAGTAGTTAATGGCATTATCGATTATTCAACCGGTAACAAAGACGGTGGTTCTTCGCAAATAATGTCGTTATGCAAAAACTGGCACCCAAGGAAATGTTTGTTTACAGAGCATGTTATGTGATATGAACTTTCAACAATGTTGTTTCTTACATGGCTCTACATGTACAGCATAACGATATATTGTTATGTCCTTTGCCCCGGTATGTATCTAGTGTGGAATAAGTGATCGTCGCTGATCGAATTAAGATCGGTTCAGGTCGGAACAACTCGGATCTCTTCGGATCAACTTAGGTTGAACGAGATTGGATAACGATGTGATAAGCCACCTTTTCGCTCAATAAGTCCCTGTCAATGGTTTGTCAAACAGCCATATTTTCAGAGCCTGGTCCTCTTTAAAGATTTTATACGGTGTCCCTGCAAAATACTCGGAGAAGGACTGAGGCTGCATTGTGGACGACAACTCAGATAGTGCTCTGTTTTGAGAATATAACCCTCCTGTTTTAATCTTTCACCAGCCTGACTGACTCCTGTCTTATCTTTGGTATGATTAAGCCACTGACCCAATGAGGAACTCTCTATAGTCGGTTCTCAGTATTAGGCTGAACCACCTTTACCCAGATTGCAGTTTGCTATACACCGATCAATTCGCAGCTTCTACACCCCCCTCCCCCGGGCAACACACAGGAATTTGACCGTCGTCCGTGCCCTGAAGGGGGAGGGTATGGGAAGTACCAAGCCGTTCCAGCGGATTATAAGTGTTATATCTTTAACCATGGAGGAATATAATGTAAATAGTTCACTTTCAAGAGCGAATGGCTTGAACCTGATCAATGTGTAGAAAGTCACGGTCACCGATTTTGCGTCTTACAAAAAAATTGGGAGGGGCATTTGAACACAATTTGAAGAAACCAACCTTCAAAAGTTCCAATGCCCGAAGGGTTGCCCTACATGTTTAGGGTTTAAATAAAAACCCAGCACATGAGATTTTGAGGTGACAATTTATTTTTGTCTAAAACTATTCATCACCAAAGTGATCTACTTCATCAATTTTTTGTAAATCGTTTAATCCAGGACTAGTTTTTCTTCTAATCAAGTGTTCAATAACCCAATATGCTGTGGAGTACAAGCATATAACATTGAACTCAGTAGCTTCCAACTAGTACTCAAAACTCCAGTCTCATCAAACTTTCTGCTATTTGTTTCAAAATTCCTGCCTGATCGCAAGAATTGAGTGAACAGTATATTACTACTCTGATAATTTTTACTCTCATGATCTACATCAGTCTTGTAAGAGAAGGAGAACAGGATGAGTGTTGTTAAGTAAGGAAAGGAAACAAAGAAATTGGACATGCTTAACTGATAACTCTAGCAACTGAGTTTAATACAAAATAGTTCTTGGATACTATCAGCATTCAAATAATAAACCATTTTGGTTAAGAATTAAATGTAACAAGAAATATATGTCATCAAAATATTACAAAGCCCAATGATGCCTCTAACCCAAACTACCATCATTTCTCCTGGAGCACCTTATTAGCAGTTATATATTCCCTTGAGAATACATAAAGAGAACTTTCCCATGACAAATATGAACTTGGAGTAAAATACTTTTTAAGATTCTGTATAACTGATCCATAGGAGATTCATGGAACACATGTGCCTCCACCTTTAAAGTGGACCTTTTGCAAGCTCCGCAGGACTATGCAAAATATTTTGATGACTATATTGTTAAGAACTGTATAAGCAATTGAAAACTGACACATGTAAATAGTTGCACTACAGGCTTTGTCAAAGGAAATGATGTTTTTTTTTTATTTTTCTTTCTTTTTTTAAGGAAGATCAAAAGAATGATTTTTTTTAATCATTCAGCTCAACAAAGACAGAAAGATACCTATGCAAACTTGTGGTAACTACCTAGAGAGGCTGACAGATGGATGAATAGAAGTGATTTGAGAGATAAAACTTAACTCCATCCAAGTGAATCATTTAAAGAGGCTCTCCAAAGGTTTTGTGGATGCCTCTACATTGTAAAAAGCCTCGTACAAGCATAAAGCCAGATGATCTTGCTGCCTTAATGCTTGCACTAAAGTAAATGTCCATGCATCTCACAGTGCCTCTGTAAACGTTCAAATGGAATGGGAACAACATGCAATTTTCTCTTCTTGCACTTTTAGCAGCACTCAGTGGAACAAGGAAGTAAGAATGTGTACATACAAAATGGTATAATCATAAAAGGACAACAGGAAAAATTAATCAGGGTCACCCAAAGGAGCCTGCTAAGTTTGTATACATAAACAGTTATGGAAATACTTCCAGCTAACCATTAACATTGTGAGCAACTAAACTGCTGAGGTCCTACTAATGATCATTCATTACATATAAAGCACACCAGTATGAGGAACAACAAAGCCCCCTTGTAAAGGCTCAGGTCTGGTTCAACTTGTGTAGCATAAGAACAACATCAATGTCTTCATCTTCAGCTATCACAGTTTTTGTGTTCATGAGGCAACAGCTTTTCAAGATGATTTTTTTAATAAATTTGATGGAGTTAATATCTTTTCTGTACAGACTGAAAGAAGCATGATTTCTTCAAGCGGCAATGTTTCAAGAACTAGATGGTTGACCTCTTCTCAGCAAAAAATCGCCTTAAAATGACTACTTGACAGATTCCAACAGAAAGAATTAGGCAAGCTTCTCCAACAGACCACCACTGTATCCTTTCATTTAAATACTCAGCCATGTCCCGTCCTTGAGACTCACGTAAACGATGGTGGGTTTGGTAGTCTGTTGCAATCTGAATGAGAAATATTAAATAAAGGCTCATTACACCTGCTTTTGTTTATTCTAATTATCCTTTTATGTTTTTTATCAGTCATTTGATTGGTGTCCTTATTTAGTGGGTAACCACCATATTTATTGACGCAGTAATAAAGTTATCATCATTATTAGAGCAACTAGTTTACACCAGTAAATCAAGTTATTCACAGACAGAGCAGACATCATTTCAAATATATTGTTGGAAAATGTTTTGAATAGACAAATGAGAGTCTCCCACCAGAGGCCACATGAGAAATGACTAATCATTGCAAGTTAGTTGCAACTGATGAAAAGTAATTGCAGAATTAAAACCAGGAAAAATAAAAGGCCTGGGTATAAAATTTGTGCCTTCCAAATGTTAGTTGGTTTTTTTAATTACATACATCAATTGTCATATCCATTCTAAGAGTAAGTTATTTTTCAGCTCACTTCATCCATGAAAACCCATGTTTTAAAGTTAAGCTTCTTTTTGCTTGAAATCATGGACACTTCAGGTGATTCCTCAGAAAAAAAAAAGTTATCAAACAATTTTTCTTAAAACTTTCCCTAACTGTTCCCTACCAATGTCTGATTTGTAAAATATTATAAAAAGATATGTCAAGTTGTGCTTGTTTAAGAGATACAATGAGCCAAACTCACCCTATATAAGCCTGTACTGGCACTAGTAACACACGTTATACATGTACATGTATGTTAGCTGGAGGCAAGGGTTTTTAAAGTAACACTTGAAGAAACTTTATGAGCAGAAAGTATTGAGGGAATGGAACAATTTGAATGATAACTTGTGCCAAAATCACACAATTTTAACCCTTTGACCCTTAAGAGTGACTAACATCTAATTTCTCCTCACAATATCTCTCCTGAATCACACATGAAAAGGTCACAGGAATAAAGGAAATGATCATCAACTAAAAAAGCTCTTGATTGTTAAACAATTTCTCCTTGCCACTACCTTAGGAAATGTATAAAGAACAGTATAGAGAGTATGCATACTGATGAACATTAGGGTGTAAAGGGTTGAAAAACTTCAACTCCAAATGTTCCTCCAGTCATTACTTTCAAAGTCACTGTTTCCATCCTCAAGTAACAGGCTTCTAGTATGCTTTTCTCTATATCTTTTTTCTTCCAATTTTTTTAAAAAATTCTCCAATCTTCAGAGGATAACCCGTACACCAAAATTATGCAATAAAAAATATAGGTCACATTGCCTGTACAAGAACTAAAGACCATGGTACCTCTTTAACTGATCCATTGATTGAAAAAACAATGCCATGTTCTCTGAATGCCTGTGCACTTATTCCCCTGATTACATGATTTTTTATGCCCAGTAGAGGATGCACAGTGCACTACTGAGGAATCACCTTTAGGAAAGCTAAGTAACAAACAATTTGCCCCTGTCCTTCTTAATCTTTTACATCCTAACATTAATATTCACACTCTACACACTGTTCTCTTTACATTTCCTCTGATACCAACAAGGAGAATTTGTTTGACAATCAGCAGCTTCCTAAATGGGTGATCATTTCCCTATTCTTATGGCATTCACATAGGATTGGAGGGTAGTAATGTAGGGAGAAATTACATGCCAGTCACTCCGAGGTATTAAAGGGTTAAAGGCAAGGTGTACACAGTACATTTGGCTTAAAATTGTACAAATCGCATAGCATGGGCTGCATGTCAACAACTATGAAGATTCTGCTAAACAGGACCAACCTTAAGGTCTTCGTGTATGGTTACACATGCTGTCTCCATCTGTGTGAGTGCTGTTTGATGTGCTCCCATGTCTTTAGTTAAAGGCATTTCATCTCCAGCTTGGAAATCAAAGTAAACCACCTTGTGACTAAATGTAGAAAATTCATTGCTGAAGCAGAACTTGTAAATTCCATCAGTCTGAGCTGTGAAAGAATGGCTGTCATACTGTTTCTTTTGGACGTTGTAAACTTCATTACCATTTTCATCATAAAGAATTACATCTACATCATAGTTTCCACCACTTATGACCTGAAGAGAAAACCACATTATTTAGAAATTCTACTTCTGCTTTGGTTTCTGGACATTTTTGAAAGGAAAGCTTTTTAAATAAGGTAATACAGATACACCCATCAATGGAAAGATAAGACAAATATGTGCAACGAGGGATAAATACCACAGTGACACACTTGCAAGATCAACCTGATCAATGTTCTCCCTAAAACAAGAAAGGGTTAGCATTTTTTATGACAGATCTTTACTTATGGAAACCCAGGAGGGGCAGCCACAGTAGTTGTACTTAGTTAATTAACTTTAGCTTTCTCTAAATGACTGCATACCTTTGGTTTTAGACAAATTGTAAACTCTTGTAAGTCCATTAGCACACTAGATCCTTAGATAAATGTCCTCACAAGCTTTACAGCTTTAACAGTTATCATTTTGAAATATAGGATTTGATTAATGAAATAAAGGATTTAATTGATTGTACTGGGTATGATTTTTTTCTCATCTCCGTTAGCAGTGCTCAAAAATAGTGGTCATCTGGTCATCAGAAACAACTAAAAAAACAGTCCAGATGACCACTTTTCTGTAAAATTAAAGGCCTGGTTGTCTGAGGAAAATAACACCAGACAAATCAGGGGAAATTAAGATACTTTCCCTTACAGTGAAGTCTAACCCAATAACAAAATAAAGGTATGTGAAAGACTTTTATCTGGTGATATTGTTCGTTAGTTAGCAAACTGCCATGTTTACAAACCCAGGCCTCCCCAAAATATTATGGCAAGCAGGTAATCATTCTTTTCTGAGGCATTGTGGGAGAGCAGTTTGCAAGTTGTTGAATATACAATTGCAGGGAAAAAAATTATGTCAATTCATTCTGGCTGTCGGAGAATAGCAAGCCAGCTTTGACAAAAGCCATCAATGCTTAATTATAGGGTTTTTAACTAGGTTATTATTTAGGGGACATATAACTATGTTTCAGAAAACAGGGGACTATTTTGTCTGCTATTCCCTGCTGATTGTTTGTTGGTCGGTCTTTGTTGGATCCTTTTGGCTTTTTGCTGATGTAGCTGTATTTCTCTTTCGTGAATATGCATGTGCTATACTTTCTGTTTCAAGGAAGTTCATTTACCAAGTGTTAAGTTGCTAGCATGAAAGCATGGACATCCTGCTTGAACAATGTTTCCAGGATGCGATTTTGCACCACTTTGCAAAAATTATGTCAGGTAAAAGAAACCCTTTTGACCACAAAAGTTGTCAGCACTGTTGATTTATCTAGCTTTCAATGAAGTGTTATACATGCAATTGCCCCAGTAAAACAAGTCTTAAAATGTTTTGAAAAGAGCTGACTCATTAAACTGTGCTAAGTGCAGTCAAAAAGTATCTGAAAACTTGAAAGTTCAAAGTATTAAGAGGATTCATTACTGAACTGTGATTGCTGATCATTAAAACAGGATTTAATGGATAGTTACACTAACATAATGTGCAACAATTAGGTTTTTTTGATTTGTAAATTTATTATCTGAGCTAATGCATGACAGTTCAGAGACCTGTGGAAAGGTTGGGGTATCTAAATATTGTATATGTGGAAGCTTAGATATCCTAGATAACCCTCCCTCCAAGCCAAAAAGACTGTTAGCCATTTTTTACCAGTATCAGATCAGGCTAAAATTGGCCCAGGATGGTGAATTATTCCGCATATACATTTCAAGGCTAAGGAGGATGATGCAATGTGCCTAAAGCAACTTCCATTTTATTAAAGAGGATATTTTTACATCAGCAACATGGCCATATTTGACAAAAGATAACTGCATTTGCTTTTAACATTAATTCAACCATAGAGGTGCCCCTAATCACTTATTGCAATGGTGCCTTCAATAGGCTATTTGTAAACATATGTAGCATAAACTCTAAGTCAAAAGACCTCACAACAAGTGGTCTTTGTTGAAAATTGTTCCTGGTGACAGCACCTTGATATATGTAAGACAGTAATTGCAGATTTCAAATGTCTAATTTTGAAGGCTAAACTTAATAAAGAGGGTAAAGTTTCTTCTTAAAGTTCTTAAATACAATGAAATCTTGATTGTGCAAATAATAAATTCTAAGTGCTGAGTATAAAATTTTTAAATAGATCAGTTTTAAGTCCTCTTTATCATCTGCAGGTGTATAACAAAGAATAGTCAACAGTACCTCTTCTTTCATGAGACAAAATTGTAATCCCAAGACTTGTGGGAAAATCTCCTAATAACATGGGGGCATTGACAAACCAATACCTATCATTTTTTCCCTTACAATCAAAGAACGTTTAAACAGCGAAATATTTTGCTATCAGTAGTATATGGGTTGAATATACCAGTGGTCAGTTGTACGCAGTTAATAGTGATCAAATTACGAGGTTTTTTTTGTAAGTGTACACTCCGAAAATTACACAACAAAGAGTACCGAACAAATATTTATATTATGAATCTAATATAAAGTAAAAGCCATATACCTTTGACTGATCAAACATCAGCTGATTTACAGTAAGAGATTTTAAAGCTGATACAGTTATTTGTAGGCACATGTCTAATTATCTAAAGATGTTTCAAATTACGTCGCAAAAAAAAATTAGAAGCTCCTCAAGAATAGATGGATAATTACAAGAAATCTCAGTTCTCGTATCCTAGATAAATTGAACACTGACCTGAAACTCAAGCGTTCCTTTGGTATCTTTTTTGATGTCCTCATAGAAACATTGTCTAGCGTTGTCTTCCAACTCAAAAGTCAACTCAGTACATTCAACTGGGATCGATGCTAAAAACGTAAAAACTAATCCAACTAAAACAGTACTCAACCAATTCATGGTACGCTACTTTCACTATCAGCTCCTTGGCCAGATCAGCGGGGAAGCAAGTAATATAAATTGTTTTAACGCCGGTTTTATCCGACGCAGAATTTTTGTTTCGGTCAAAATGGCGCTGACTATACGTGGCATTAATGAAACGACCGTAGAGCCCTGTGGGAAGAAAAAGTTTCGGCGACACGTTCTACTCAGCGGCAGGCTCAGCGGCTATCTCCATAGAAAAAAAAAAACATTTCCTCTACCCCTCCCCTATAAGTCAGTTTTTGTAAATTTTACAATCCTCACGACTCCTCCCCTGTGGGACTTCTTTGTTATTAGTGTGTAGATACTGGCACTAGTAATAATTTTCGCGGGCAAATTCCCATGAGATATGAATTCATCTTCTGAGTTACAATCTATTCATTTCTTCGTTTTTTCTGGTTTATCATGAAGAAAATGCTTGGATCGAAGATTAAGCATCCTGATAGATAATTGAGGAATGAGTGTTGGGATCAGCCAGGTGAATTTCGATGCTCAGGTATGCATTTGCAGTTTGACAGGTTGAAGTCAGAGTTGTGCTTGAAATCAACTTTGGCTGAGTCAATTTATCTCGAGACACAATGCACCGAAATACTGCTTGCTTTCGCTCTGCACATACCGCTTTTAGAAGCTATGATTTGAATCACTCGTCATCTCAGCAAAATATTTCTGGTTTAGCCATCGATAATTTTGTTCCTTGCGGCTCTTCTACAATTCATTTGGATCAAATTTCACCTATAATTTTCGTGTTGTGTGTTTGAACCGACTCAATTTTTGTTGACCCTAATTATATTGACAATACACAAGATTCTTTCTTCGTTCACTTGTAAAAGTGATACCTTAGTCAATTATTTTGGGTAAGGCAAGGGGTCTAGATCTAGCAAACAATGACAAAGATCTGGATGTTTATTGCCATTTCACACAAGAAGTTACTTTAGCGAATCTTTAGTGGGATATAGGAGCGCGTTGATTCTTTGTGTTTTCGTGTGTCAATGTTTGCTGATCACATCTGCCATGCATGCCAATTTTCCCATTTCGTTGAGACTGTGTTTTCGTCAAAAAGGTCTATTAGCATCCAAAATGACCGTCGAAATACACGGAATCTAGCAAAATTAAAAATATCAAACAAACCTCAGTTAATTAAGAATAGGAAGCTTGCGGTTTAATTGAATATACATGAACTTATTAACATCTCTCAGATCCAGGTATTGTGTAAAGCTTATTAAAAGTGGAAATGTTGGCAAAAAATTTATCAAGACATCAAGAATGTTTTTTCTCCTGTATGAGCCTGAATCAGGCAAAATGGCAATTCTTTAAAATACCTTTACCCCCTGCCTTCATTTTAAAAAGGTAGTTGATGTCATATCCTAAATTTCCCATGGACATCCTGTCTTGATGAAGATTTTTTTTGTAATCACCACAATCAAACAGGAACACATAGATTTTTTGAAGTACCCTGCCAAATATACATTGATAGATATGTGACAATATGAATTAGATTAAATTTCTGAAAGAAAGTTTCTTGAACTCAGCCAAACCTGGCAATGTATATGTCTGCATGCATTTTTTTTTCCAGACAAACCATCTGGTCACTTTTTTTTGATGTTGTTGGTTTGTTTTTTTTTTCACACTGTGCAGTTTCCATTTGAAACTGTGAAATTAACACCCTTGAGTCTTGTCACTTTAGGGCATTTCTTGATATGAGTTTTAATCTTACTCAAAATGGAAATAACAAAGCAAAAGCACTCAAGGGTTTCCCATAAGTTCCTTGCTGTTAACAATATGACACATTAAAGTGGACATGCAAAAAAGCAATTTTAAAAAACCCTACTTTAAAATTCCATTTTCCATGACTCAGAGTTTTTTACATAATTATAAATTCATGTGTTTAAATTAAGCATAAAAAAATGAGTAGCCCTCTAAGGGTTAAAGCTGACAGGCAGTAAGATCAAAAAATTTCAGAGATATGTTTAGATATAGTTCATATCATCAGGCAAAAAAGGTTTCTTGACCATTTATTAACTTATCATCCACACCGATTTGTGATTAAGATGCAAAAAGAGAAAGATTAGGAACTCATTGTCGGTGCCTTTTTTTGTATGGCAGGTGTTGGAAGATGAGGAAGAAGCAGCATTGGAGAAAGAAGATCAAGAGAGAGAGCAAGAGGTACAATGAATTTAACCAACTTTATAAAAAGAGATCATGTTATTGATGTTGTTTTATAATTTTCATAGGATTTCATTTTTTTTGTACTTTCTTGGTGACAGAAAGAGTATGAGATTTATGCTAAAGGCAAAAAAAGATATGAAGATGATAATGATCTTGGCATTAATGAACACTGCTTAAGCAGAAGTGAAAATAAGGCATGGAAAAAAATTCAGACCTGTATAGGAGTTGAACCCATGACTTATGCAGTACCAATCACTCTCATCTTCATTTGTTTATCCACAGTTAAAGATATGATGTTTATAAATTCACAGCCTTTGTATTAAAATGTCAGTAATAGGATTACATGCAGTCTTATTTTGAAATAATTGAATGAAAAAATTCTGACAACAGCCAAAATTTCTTTTGGAATATAGTTAGAAAAAATAACTATTAAGCATGATTTTTTTTGTACTGAAAGATCATAAGGAAGGATAAATGCTTTTTTTGTATGGTCTAGTTCCTTATATAATTAAACATTCTGTACACTCTTAGATTTGGGTAAGTAAACATCCATACATTCCATACTTGGAACTGCTTAATTTAGTGTAAGTAGTTTTGTTTCTATTCATGTATTTTTGCATTTTATTATGTTATATTGCTAGCTTACTGTTCAATGCCAGGTTTTGTTTATCCTGTGTGGAAAGAGATTAGGTTATTAAGACCTACAGTAAAGTTCAAAAAGTAAACTTTGTCTTTATTCTACGTCAAAGTTTAGCTAGTGTCTGATACAGTATGCTGCGTTTATTTTTCTTCCTATAAAGATTCGAGAGTTGTTAGACCGTGAACTGGACGATGGACTTCTTGATGATGATAATGCATCGTTTTCATCACACGATCTTCGAAGTTCAGGATATAGTAGAGAAACTCCATTCTCAGATGATTTTTCTGAACAAGTACCTCCAGCTATCTTTAATGGACAAGATTCAAAGACAATAATACCATCTGAAAATGGGGCATTTGAAAGACCACCTCTGATGACACAGCGTGCATTTCATCTAATCAATGAATCAGGAAAAAGGAAGGAGTTAAATGCAAATGAAGCACAAGAACCTTATAATTATGACAATGGGTATCAATTTGAGAATCAGTATGAAAATCAAGCATTTTATTATAGAGAGCAGGAAAGTCCTGATGATGAAGGCCATGATCAGTACAACAGAAAATATAATGGACATGAAAATGGTGTGAATTACCATCAAACTTTGCCGAATGATGTTGATGTGGATGCTGATGAAGGCTTTGAACAGTATGGAAGCTACAGTCCTCATCAACATTTACAAGGACAAGCCTCTCCACAACATGGTATGTATGGCTATCACTCTACACAGCCAAAGTATCCTCACTCAACATTAACAGAAGACAACAGTAACCATGGTGGTTATAACTTGAATGAAGATTATGGAGGTTACAATGAGGAACAGGCATATTCACAAGCTCCTGTACAAAATATTTATGCCCATGATGCAGACAGTATACAGTATTCAAATGAACAAAATCATTACAGAATGGACACTCCTGGAAATTACAGAGTTCATTATCATGGACATCATGAGAGATATCCCCATGCAAGTGACAGGAGAACTATGAGAGAAGAACAAGGAAGAAGTGACAGTGAAAATGGATTTTCAGGAGATGGTGCTCAGGACACTACACAGCTTCAGATACTTTACAAAGCACGAGGCAGAAAAATTGAAGAGTTGACCCAGAAACTCCAAAACCAGGAAGAGGAGATGGCAAAAGAGATCCGTATTTTAAAACACCAGATTGCAATGATGAAAGGTTTGTAGAAGTAATGAAATTTATAGTAAAAACCAAAGCTTAATTAATCACCTCACCAATCAGAGAAAAGGTGCTTGTAAACATCTCGAAGAGAGAGAGGAAATTGAAAACAAAAGGGTTAATTGACCCTCATGAGAACTTTGTTCATACACTGCTTCATGCATTTTGCTGTTTTTTTCATAATTTATATCTCTCCAGATGAGCGTGACGGCATTTCAACAAGTCTTGAAAACTCACAGAAAATGGTGCAAGCATGTAATACAGAATTGAACAACCTGAAAGGCCAACTTGCTGCTGCTTATCAGCAGATTAATGCTCTGAAAGAAAGTAAAGAGGAGGTAATTGAAAAATAGATTGAATTGATTCATTGGAATTATAATTATAATAGACAGATGTCACTCAAACTTTCTCTTGTCACTCCAAGGAAAAAGTTTAATCCATGAGTTATATAAACTCTGAAGAAAATTGACATAAGAATTTTATTCCTATTCAATTTTTGTGTATTAGTGTAAGCAAAATAGGAGTATTATTTACCACCAAGATGGTGATCTCTCTTATTCTAGGTAACCCCTTTTTTTTATCATATTTCCTTTGAAGATTTAAATGTTGCAGCCAAGAACACATCACCATGACCCTGGCCAGAACTTGAACTCTGACCTCTGACCTTGTGTCATACCAGAGTTCATGGTTCTGACCAGTAGGTTACCACATTTTCTATTCCCTCTTGATTGATAGTTTTTTCAATATTTTCAGGTGGTCAGCAAACTTCATGTCAGTGAAACCACAATTGACAGCTTGAACCAGCAGTTGGTTGAATTAAGTCGTTCAGAATCCTTGACTAGAGCAAAAGAACAGCATGAAAGTGTCACAAATGCCATGAAGAAAAAACATGACGAGCAAACCCTGACACTAAAACAGAAACTGGATGAGGCTATTTTATCAAGGGACTGCAAGGTGAAAAAAGACAATAATGTATTACATTTTTTGTTGTTTATGGAGTTTGACAGACATTCCATTTAAGACACAAGTTGGTGGAAATAATGTTTAGTCCAGTTAACATTATAATTTGTTATGTTTTTAGCATGAAGAAGTTAATCAGTTGAGGGATGAACTTGTCCAGAAAGCAGAAATGATCAATTCATTAACAAGAAGTCTGGATTCCAGTCAAAAGCAGTGTCAAGAAATCCTTAAGTCAGGTAAAAAGATTGAAATGATTGCCAATGAACCATTTGTGTGAAGACGTGAGGATAGCCTCTAGCACTAACAATGCTGATGCTTGAATGTTGGAAACACTAGAAATCTCAGAGTAAAGGATATTTATCACTGACACCTTCTCATTATATATAAGTAAACCCTTTGCCTATCCTGCACCACTGATTTTTCTGTCTGGTTGCGCTTGATGATATCATAGGGACAATGTCAGAAATCAACCAATTGCGCCTGGCTCTTCAAGAGACCTCAACTGCCAGGAATGTTGCTGAAGGCCAGTGCATTTCTCTCAAGGTTTGTTTTGTTACGATTGATTTTATTTTTAATTTTATTTTATTTTATTTGTACGATGTTTAAAACTTTGGTATATAGTTATTGTATCAAACTGTGTACTGTTTTTTTTATGTATTAGCATGAGCTGTCAGAACTTCAAGAACAGATCAAGATGTATGAAAGTGCAAGCAGGCTTGGTATAGGATCAGGGTCTGGAGGCCATAATGAATCTTTGCCACATCTGACCACAAGAAACTTGAACAAAGAAAATTGGAGCACTCCCAAGTCTCAGTAAGGAGAGATTATCTGTAATTAACTGATAAATACTTGTCACTTACAATATTAACCCTGAACTGAACATTAAGGTCAGGAGAATAAAGAATAGGTTCACCAACAAAAGAAGCTCTTGATTGTTAAATAAATTCTCCTTGTCAGCAGCTTTGGAAATGTATAGAGAGGAGTCGGGAGAATATGCATACTGATGTTTGAGTGTAAGGGGTTATTGTGCTTTGCTGTGTTTGAGCTCCAGCTGTTATCTTAGATGCTAGTATTTTGAAGTCAGGTTTTGATTTTACTCTTCTAGAGCTTTTTTTTTTCTTTATTTTCTGTCAGTAAAATTCCATTGGAAGAAACAGTGAGCGAGCTAAGGAAAGAACTTGAGCACTGCTTGATCAGTTACAAGGCTAAACAAGAACAGGTGCGTGAACAAGAGACAAACCTTGGTGCCCTTAAAGTTCAGCTGAGAGATCAGGAAATGAAAGCTCAACGGATGGAACAGATTGCACAGGAACTTGAGGTGGAGTTCTATTTATTGGTTTAATCAGCAGTTTTTAATACATTACTTCAAATTTCAAGTGCTGCATCATATTTCACCCATAGCACCTGCTTTTTGCTTTAGTTTAGATCAAAGGCTAATAGAAATTGATTTATTTACAAGTGTTTCCCCTTTCATGACATCCACCAGAATAAATCGTTACAACTGGAGAAGAAAATTAGAGAAATGGAGGATGACAAGAAAGATCCTGGTAAAATGTTCTTTTTTTAATTTTTTCAAAATTATTCCCAGCTAGTGCCTGTTAAGTTATACAGTCAAACCTATTTTTGCTAGGACACAACCTTCTTTTGGTTGGACAAGTATCCATTACATCATATCTAAATAAACCCCACCCCCTTCCCCCCCCTTTCATTAAACAAGTACTTTTACCATGCTTCTTTTGTACGTACAGCCTTGAACTCAATACAGAAAAAGTGATACAGCCATATTTAAAACCTGAACTTAGCTCAAAGTTAAATTCTTCCTCACTCGAATTCCTTCAATCATTGATGCATCTTTGTATGTGCTGATCATTTCAGATGAGGAACAACAAAAAGTGCTCATGGATTTGGAAATAACAAGGAAAAATCTTCAGGTGTGTTACAGATTGTTGTGAACTTGTGAACTAGGAAAAAAATCCTCATCAGAGATATTGTTCATGTATAAATTTCCAATTTTCTTTGAATGAAGGAGTCTACTACAAACCTCAAAGAAGCTCTTCAGGAAAGAGATGATTTGACAGATGCATGCGCTGACCTTAAGCAGCAAATGGCTGAGGTACACTAGTCATGATCACAAACCTTTGCATCTAGGTTGTACATAACTTAAACTTTAAGTTTTTCCCAACTGTAGCATCAGTTCTCTAATTCGATCATTTTTCCTTTCTTTTTCAGATGGTCGCAGAATTTGATGAAGACAAAAGGAACAGTTTAGAAAAGTACTTTTGCACTTTGATTTTGAACTACGATTTGTTAGGGAACAAGTTATGTACAGAATCTGCACCAGAAGAGTGGGATTTGTTCTAGTGATGTTCCATTTTTGTAATTTCCCCTTTGATTTCTTATTGGACAGCCAGGACCAGGCTGTCGAAAGCTGGGCCAAGACAACTCAACTTAGTGTTAAATCTGATTTCAGATTTGAAAGCTGTAAAAGAAAATTTAGTAGCATTCGTTTTGATCGCAATTTGATGATTGGATGCCCTACTAAGAATAAAGGAAATTATTCGAAAAAGGCTATTGAACAAATGTTTAGAAACCCGGATTAAAATTCAACCTTAGGTTAGTGCCAATTGGACCTCGAACAACCAGGCCCAGGACCTCTAATTTGCATAATTCTGATTGATTTATTATTTTAAAGGAAGGCCTAAAACACAAATGTATGAATCTTAAACAGTTCACTTATAATAGAGTAGGTATTCACCGACCATCACACTGATTGACTCAATGACAGATGACTCACTGACATTGACGGATTGATTGACTGTCTCACTGACTGGTTTGCTGGTTGGCTGGCTGAGAGACAGACAACCGGATACAGTATGCTCAGACATATGTTAACTGCTCAGACGCATTTTATATGCTCAGACGCAAGGTAGTCAGACGCGCTTATACGATTTTCTGCGCGAACGGACCCAAAAAATGCGCGAATCATGTGCCTTTGTTATTCAGAGCTGTAAGGTTTCCCTTCTGTAGGCAGACTGACTGAATGAGTTACTGATTTATAAGTGAGTGATTGATAAGCTTCTCAACTTAATTTTAGATGCAGAGAAGCTTGCTTACAGCTTCATGAGGATGCTAAAAACTTGCTGAGAGATCAGTTGAGCCAAGAATATGAACAAAAAATCCACGAGTTGAAGTATGTTTATTTGGTTGCTTTCTATTGTATCTCTTTCACTTTAATTTACTAAATGTGCACGTGTTGCTGTCCCCTATGAGAATGTTTCTGCATTATTTATAACTGCACACTCTCCTAAACGTTGTTTAAAAGGTCAATTTTACATTTGAGGTATATAAATCATCGCTCAAAAGTAAGTTGATAGTCCCTCAATCCTTCATCCTCAATCCTCGAAAACTTCGAGGATCGAGGCTCTAGTCGAGTCTCGTTTTGAGACTTTCGAGACGGGAAAACTAAGGAATTTTCGCGCTATTAATTTTTCACAGGACTAGGTTCTTACATGTATCTTTGGTACCAAAATCAAAACCTTACTACATGCACAAAATTCCTCTCCGTTCTTAGCAGTCAAAGGCATTTTAATAATCTGGTGCTAAAAGCTATTAAATAAACAATCAAAGGAATCTTTTTTTTAGGAAAGAGTTGGAAGAAAACAGTGAGGAGTTAATCAGGATTAAGGAATGCTATGTGCAGCTGGGCGAGGAAAGCCGCGAATTGGAACGGAAAATGAAGGATGAATTTGAGAAGGAGAAACAGTTGTTATTTTCCGAGGTGAGAGGGAAGTCACGTGTTGGGTTTTAATGCAATTCAAGATGAAATATCTTAGAGTTTTACAGGTAATAGGACTCAGTGGAGTCCAATTTGGTCTGAAATGAAGTGATTGACTGACAATGGAAATTCGGAGGTCTGCGTAGTGGGAGTCTGATTTGCTTAACCCGAGTATTATTGGAGATAGAATTGGACGAAACGAAACACTTTTACCAATTTATCAAAACTATGACAGAATTTGAGAGAAAGAACATAGTTAACCCTTTAATCCGTGCGAGTGACCAGCATCTAATTTCCTTTTTTCAATATTAAGGTCATGAGAATAAAGGAAATGATCATCAACTGAAGAGCCTCTTGATTGTTAAACAAATTCTCCTTGCCAGGACATTAGGAAATGTTTAGATAACAGTATGGAGAATTTGCATACTAATGTTAGGGTGTAAAGGGTTAAGGGACATAAAAGTGAAGGTTTTCGGAACGAGAAATCGAACCCAATAGTGTATGTTACAGCGCGTGTACGTAACGCCTTATGTAATCTTCAAATTACTTAACTTGGAGGAACAACATAGCAACAAAATGCAGGAAAAGCAACTGCAGGAGTCTAGAATTCAAAATTTTATGGGAAGCCCGGAAATTCTCCGGGACAAAAGGCTTCCCCGGGCCTTTAGAACTACTTGCCTGCTATTCGTAATTGACTACCAATTTATGCTATATTTTAATTGAAAGCCCTGTCTTGTGACTCTTGCTTCAGAATGAAGCCAAGCTAGAGAATGAATTGCGAGCCTCTCTTGAAAAGCAGCACGTGGAGCATCTGGAAAAGGCCAAAGATCAGTGGAAGAGAGAAGAGATGAAGCGAATCAATGATGAAGTTATGAAACAGAAGGGACTGCTTCTAAAGGTTACCATTACTCTTCAGCTGTGTAAATAACACGTCCGAAAAATTGCATTACAAACAGAAATCGAACTCCTGTCATTCCTGATCTTGCGGTCGAATACTTCTTTAACTTAGTAGCTGAGAACTCTTCGGCGAGCTGCCGTAGGCTATTCTCATTGTGGTACAACTTGGGTTCATTTGTGATAAATGTGGTGAGGTTGAGTGTTGTTAAAAGCAGTTTCTCCGAATTTAAAGTAATAATAATTTTGTTAGTTTGGACGCTTGGCGGTTCTAGTCGTGTATGAGCTCGAACTACCCGAGTAGATTTTTTTCATGTGCTCGTTATTGTGAAGACGTTAGGACTTTAAATGAAAGGTTGAGTCGTGTTTCGATGTGTTTATTAGAATAAATACAGATCGTTTTAACATCTACGTGCCAAGAAAGCGTATCTTGTTTTGCTGATTTTAATTTACTACTTGCAACTATAACAGTTGAGAGCTATGCGTAGTTTTGGTCATTTTCTTGGAATTTTTTCTGAGATGTTCAGTGTTTTTCTCTCAATGTGCAGAACATGACGGAAGCACAGTCCAAAGCAGTTGAGGAAGCTCTGTCAAAAGCTCGTATGGAATGGAACAGTGAGCAATCTTCTATCATTGCTGATGAAATAGCTACGGCCAAGAGAGAATGGATGAAGGATCAGAACGATGAGTTAGAGAAACGTTTAGCTAATGCCATCGAAGAAGTGAGACGAATCTGGGACGAAGAACAAAAGCTGAAAACAAAGGAGGTATCAGTATCAATGGTGAATTCTGTTACGATACAGAAACACCTCGGTAAACTCCTGGTCGCATTTGTATTTTCATGTTAGTAAAGTTCAATTTCGTACACCAGCCCAGTGGCCCACACAGCCGGAACTTATTTCAGTCTTCATGGCGAGGGGATTTTGCTCCCCTTGAAATGGATGCTAGTCGAGCGAAGGCAACCAATCCCCCCTTTCGTTTCCGTGCTACGTCGGTTTCGCATATCAGTTTCGTGGGTGCTGGAAACCCTTGAGCGCTTTAAGATTTAATGCCTTACTCAACCTAACTAAAGGCCAGGCTGCTTAAACGAAGATTAGTGTAGGCCAGGTTTGAAATGAATTTTTGATGTGGTTTTGTAGCATTGCAGAGAGTGTTATTTCTTATGTTGTGTAGTTCGTTGGAAAAGAAACTTCACTCAACGTTTGCCTCAATATGCGATTTTATGCATGAAATTTAAACCTAGTTACAACTTTTGTACTGGATTAACGATATACTTCCATCGGAAATTGCTGTCAATTACTAACAACGTTAAGTGAGAAGTTTACGTTTCCCGTAGATATCAGAAACTGTCATGATTATTTCCTTCCTGCTGATCCAGTTTAGTTTTTTTCAGGAGATGGTCAAAGTACGTGCAGAATTGGAGAAAGCACACGGAGCATCATGTGACCAGCAACTTAACCAGGCAGTTGAACTAGCTCTGTCCCAAGCCCACGCGGACTGGCTGAAGAACGAGGAAGAAATGAGGCAGCGAGAGATTGATCAAGCTGTTGAGGTGGCCATAACTAACGCAGTCGCCGAAGCTAAGAAGGAATGGCAGAAGGAGTTTGTAGCTCAAGTGAGTACTTTCAGAGTAACTGTCAACTGAATGTCGCTTTCTGTAGACTGAAAAAGGCATTAATGGTACGATTTCTCTCGAGCGCCTTCAATTGACCCCACAACTTTTCTCGAATATGCGTTTGCCGGCGAGCTTTCACAAATGTACACGATCGTTTTGCAGGACAGCCTATTACAAACCTCTCTCGCTCAAGAAAGGCACCGGTGGAAGAAGGAAGAGGAATCGGTGAGAGCTAAAGCGGTAGAAGCTGCTGTGGCTATTGCTGAAGTGAAGTGGTTAGAGGATGAACAGAAGAAAATCTCTGAAGCAGTGGAACAAGCCGTGAAGATGGCGAGGGAAACGTGGCAAGAGGAGAAGAAACGGGATATAGGTATAACAATGTGTTGAAAAGTGATAGTACATACACAAGGGGAAAAAATTGACCGACGCCTTTGTGTCTTTATGACGCCGCTTTCGTGGTAATCGAAAGAAGGAAACTGCAGTCAGAGTCCCCATGATAAGAGCGCCGGGATGACAACGATACGTCGATTATATTTGCTACTACGCGTGTCACACACGACATAGTCATGGCCCACTCACCATAGAGTTCTCCGTAGCTCAGGGGTGGTGCATTAGAGCGCAGAGTCCGAAAGTTATTTCCAGATCAAAATATTTTGCGCAGCAATCATAAATTCCCTTAGATTTGCCTCATTTTGCAAACAGAACGTCGCAGGTATATCTAAGTGCTTGACTCATCTTTACTGTGTTCATCAAGTTTGTTGATCGTAGTACTGTTCACTGTATCTACAGCCATGGCAGTAGATTTGGCTAAACAAGGGTGGATGTCCAGGAAAGAAGATGAAGTGAACCAGGTCTTGGAGTCCGCCAGCTCCCAACTTGTCGAACAGTTTGAGCAGCAGAAGAAAGAGGCCGTGGAAAAAGCTGTTGGCGAGGCACGGGTAAAGAGCTTCTAAAATCATTCCACTACTCACGTTATCCCACCTGTTGTCGTAAAGCTTTACACAGTTTTTTCACAGTATTATTCAATGGTTGTTTCCTGCCAAGTTATATCGAATTCCTCAGGAAGTGTTCCCGCTGAACTTTTGGTTGTTTCCCGTGTAATTTCGCCGCGTGTGTTTGTTTGTTTTCAGTCGAGAAAGCTGCTTTGAAATTGAAAAAAAAAAGAAAGAAAAAACCATCATCATTTTTATTTTGCTTTCCTTGCTTTTGCTTGCCCTCATATACAGTTTTCACACACGGTTGCTTGATCCAGTCTCTTCGCACTCGGTTTGTCAAAAGCTTTTTTACTACATTATGGTAATGTTTCGTTTTTATTTCTATATTTACAGTTGTTATGGGAAAGGCGATTGTCCGAGGAGAGAGCCTCAGAAATTGCTTCCATAAGGGAAGAAATCTTCAGAGAATTTGAAGAACAAAAGAAAGCGGAAATTATGGAAACCTTGGAAGAAGCAAAGGAAGCATGGATGGAGGAATCTGAGGAACAGAAGCGTGAGGAAGTAAACGAAGCTATGGCTTACCTAGAGTCCGAATATAATAAGAATTTAGAAGAGTTCAAACATAAGACATTGAGAGATGCTCTCGAGCAAGCCAGGAAGCAGTGGACTACTGAAGAACTTTCACATCGAGAGGAGATTCTCAAGGTGAATATCGTAAGTTGTGTAAACCACATCAAGGGGGAAAAATTACGAGCTCGTGCTCTGAGGTTTTTAGATTATGGAGAAAACAAGATTTTTTCGATGAAGAGGGAGGTCCTTTTCTTGTCGAAGTATTTATTTTCCTCTCCGAACTGCTCCAAGCTCTCTGAGCATGCCCTTTAGCATGAGCCTTGTGGAACGCGAGCCGGAGAGAGGCCTGCTAGGGGTCTGGCACGGAAATTTACGCTTCGTTTTTAGTGCCAGACCCCGGCTAAACTGCCCCGCTCTTATCTCAAATCTTCTCGCGGGTGGAGAAACGCGCGACCTGCAGCACCTACTTGCCTGTGGGCTATCTCCGAAAATGAATAGTTCATGCACGTAACAAATTTAGCCTAAATTCTTCATTTACAATTTATTTTAACTCTTTTCTATCCTCAGCCATTTATGTTCCTTCTTGTACTTTTATTCTTTTTTTTTTTGATATTTCTTTCATTTTTTTGTTCTCTTCTAAGTTTAAAGTAGATCTTATTTTCTCACAACGTAAAAAAATACTTAGAAAAGAACTAATTGGTGAAGCTAAGAGGACGACATAAAATTTAGAGCGCTTTGAATCGGTTTAGAAGAGAGGAGTCTCGTTCATCTATGAAAAAGTCTAAGAGTTTGACTGGAAACTTTCCTTAGGCTCGTATATTAGCAGCTCAAGAAGACTGGCGCAAAGAAATTGCCAAGTCTACCCAGGAAGAGATTGACCGAGCCTTGTCCACTGCCAGGGAGGCCTGGGCCGTTAAAGCTGATGAAAAATTTGAGAATCGTGTCAGGGAAATAGAGGCAAATGTGCGACAACAACTGGAGGCTAAATTCCAAGAAGAAAACAAAAAAAATATAAATGAAGCACTTCGGGAAGCAGAGGAAAGGTTTAGCTGCGAAAAAAGGAAATTAGAAGAAAACTTTAAGCAAAAGGTGAGCTTACTGTTGTGCGCAGACGCGCCGGTGTTAGTTTGCTTCTACTTTTGTCAAAATTAATATTTTTATTTTGTGGTTAGACCTTTATCTTTCACGATTTTCCCCTGTCTAGAAATATTATTAGAGGCTCTCAAAAAGTCGTCAAATCCCTTGAATACAATTAGACGAACATAGCAGAGAAGACAACCTGCTCTTGTCCACAATTCACGCTGCTGCGCTAACTACTCTTGTTGCTTTTTAACTTTCCTTAGATCGAAGACTCTTCACGCGGTCAGTGGGAAGATGAGAAGGCTCGTTTGTTGAAAGAACAACAAAACCATCTTGAACGCATGCGCAGTGGGTACGAATCCAAGCTGGCTGATCAGCGTGCTAAGATTGAGAGGGATCTGGGCGTGAGAATGAGAGGCGAAGTAGAGAAGGCAAGAAGGGATTTGAATAAAGAACAGCATGATTTAAGGTTAGTTAATTTAACAATGGACCAGTGTTGTTTATTATTAATTCATTATAATTTGACAACGGAGCGGGTTGTTTAATATTAAGTCATTGTAATTTAACAATGGACCAGTCTTGTTTAATATTAAATCATTGTAATGTAACAATGGCCCAGTGTTGTTTATTATTAGTTTATTTAGCTCTAGGCTGCCTGTAAGTTGTGGGAGATGTGATGGCCTTGTGCTCAGCTCTCCGTACTCTTAATTGAAAAGTTCGAGTTTGAAAGCTGACCATGTCATTGTGTTGAGTTCTCACGATGTCTTTCTCTACCCATGAGTACAAATGGTTACCAGAAAACTGTCAGGCTATCTGCCATTGTCCAGCTTCGTGTTTAGTTACTCTGTGTTTTTGAAACCGAAGAAGCTTTGGGAGAAATGGGCCACTTTTCATTTGTTACACCAATGCTTTCAAAATTCTTACCATAAATCCTTTTTAGGGCCCAACTGGATAAACAGTATGAACAGAAAGCGAGAAAAGCGTTAGAAAACGCAAGAATTCAGTGGGAAAAACAACAGCAACAAGAGATCACCAAAAGTAACGAGGACGCTGTGAAGCGACAGCAGGAGTTGTGGGCGAACGAGAGACGGGAAAACCTGTCTACCATGGAGAACATGAAACACGAGCTAGCCGCAGTCAAGAAGGAATACGCCATGGCAATAGAGAAACTAAAGAAGGAGATAGCAGAGGAGAAAAAGAAAACGCAGTACAGCATGAAACGGCGAGACTCAAGGGATATTGCTGCTCAGGTAAGCTGAATTATGTGTTGTGAAAAAAAAAAGTGAACAGATGAGTTTAAAGACATTTTTTATACGACTCTCTTGAGCTTTTACACCCTAACATCAGTGTCCATTTTCTTTATACTGTTCTCCTTACATTTCTTAAGGTGCTGGTAAGGAGAATTTGTTCAACAATCAAAGTCTTCTAGAATTGATTATCATTTCCTTTATTATCGCAACCTTAATGTCTGAGTTTGGGAGTTATTGTTAGGAGAAATGAGGTGCCAGTCATTCTTAGGGGTTAAGGGCTAAACAAAAGTAGGAGTGTTTCTTAATAATTATTTGACATCTCAGGCTTAAAATATTTTTATAAAATTTATATGTGTTTATCTTGTTGTTGTTCTTTTGAGGTCTTTTCCTTTCTTAACTTTTCGTGCCTTAATGAAGTGCAATTAGTTTTGATATGATAAACTTTCTTTGCTCTTTGTAACTGACTTCCTGGTAGACTATCCAGCTGACTAATTGACTGAATGATTGACTGACTGATTGACTGACTGACTAAAGGACAGACAGACAAAGACAGAAAGAGTGATTGCTTGATCAATTGATTGATCCTCTCAGACCTTGCCACAAGCAGAAAGCGGTAGTGACACAAGTTTCAGCAGCGTGGATCATGAGTCAGCCACGCGTGGACTCCACGAACTACGTCAACACTACTTGGATACCATCGCTAAGATACGTGATGACGTGTTGGATCACGTGCACCAGACCAAGGCTAGCGCAGCCAAGAAGATCAGGTTAGCAAAAAGTAATTTTGCAAGTCGAATTCAAAAGCATGTAATGCAAATAAGCCTCCGCTCACACTCCTCCCAGGGGGAGGGGAGGAAGGGCGGTCTGCTTTCAGATACAGACACGGGCTTGAATCCTGTCGAGGGCAGAACTTTTTCAAAGCTTGTTTTCTCTAATTGCTAAATTTCAGCTCAACTGTTAGGATCATAACTTTACTTGACATTATTATTCCAACTACTACAATAACTTAAAGTTCCTGAGAATCAACCACCCATCAAACGATTACACTAGAGGTAACAGCGCTGCTGCTTTAAAGTCGCAATTTTTCGCTTTTCAAATAGGGGCGAAGTTTTAAAAGAACGTCACTCCACGGCCAAAAAGCTTCGTAAGTACTACCTTCAATGTCTTAAGCAACTTCTTGAGGAAGATCGTGTGGCTCTGGAGGGTAACAGGTCACCTATCAGTGCTGAGGATAAGTTGAACAGAATGGCTGAGGCTTTAAAAACGCTGAGTCCTGACAAGGAATCTACCGGTAAGCTTCCTTATTTAAAACGACGATCTTTGCAGGTTAAATTTGAACTCTTGACTGATCAGGATTAAGGAGGCCTGTTTCTCCCGCAAAAACTTGGTGTCGCTCTGCCAGCTTTAGTCACAACTTTTTTGGGAGACCTCTATTCAGCTGACATCTTTATCCACAGATCACAAACGTTTGTCCCGCCTGACAAAAAATTATGTTCTCATAACCTTTGTACCTGTTAGCTTTATTGAAGGGAAGCCGTATTTTCTTCATATTCTTGACAAATTCAATGACAAATTGCTAAAAGAGTTCATGTCTACTTTAGGACAGCATTTCCAACAACCTGAAGTGAATGAAAGCGCTCAAACGCCTCGTTCGGCATTATTCACTGTGTTACGAACTTCAAGTGAGCCTGACGTCCGGGACATGAAGCCACCACATACGCCGACTCCCGTTAGACCACGTGACGGCCTCCCTGATGGAGCAAGCGACACAGCTCAGCCAATCACAACAAAAGACAGAGCATTTACTCCCATATTAGGAAGGTTACCACCAATAGACGACTTGCTGGGAAAGAAACACTTGGCTCCGGAGAGGGAATATGAAAATTTTTCCTCTAACAAGACAGATATTCGAGCCATGAAGGCCGATAATGTGGCTATTCCAGCTCTTAAACGTGCTGCAGACATTAATTCAGAGGACGATGTTTCAGTACCTTCAGATGAGAAAGAAAGACAGATGGCAAATGCACTTCACGAGCGTGTACTCAAGCATAAACCCTCTCCAACGTACAGGAGGACTGCAGCTTCACCTGCGTTCTCTACGAAGTCTTACGAGTCAGATCAGTACAGTGAACTTCCTACAGTAATTCACATTTCAAGACGAGAATCCAGTGGCTCAAAAGACAGCAAAAGCAATCCAAGTCGTACCTCAGAGGCCAAGGATGACACAATCTCACCCATCAGGCCACCATCTGCGAAAAGTAGAATAACTCATGTTTTGCCTCGTGAAAAAAGGTTACAGGCCTCAACAGGTTTACCTTCTAAGCCACGGATTGATGTTCGAGCGAAACGTATGCAAAAATCTTAACAATAGAGTCTTTACTCAGGCGTGATCCACTTATGGAATGGAGCGTAGTCATTTCCGGATACAAATGTTGACAGAACCGGGCGTTTGCACTCAGCTCGTTAGTAGTGTTTCTCTTAGTCGAGTTATAGATTCGTAAATGTCACCAAATGGATGAGACTAATTAATCAAATACCTGTTAGTTGGCTAACAGCTTAAGTGACATTTCCTTCCTTCTTTGTACAAAGAAGTTTGCACTTCCACCCCGTGAGTGGAAATTAGGTGCCCACGCACGAGCGTGTACATGCACAAAAATTGTGTGATTCGCTTTGATACAGACGGTGGGTTAGCTTTTGCAAAAAAATGGCGATGTACACTCAAAGAGAAGAGAAAAAAGTAGAAAAGATCAATAGTTACATGTAGTCAAACATGTAATTGCTTATTTTTGTAAAACTAGTCAAAAGGTATCTTATTGTACATAGGAATGTTTCTATTCCGGTTGTATATTAGTATTCTTTTCTCTAGGAATCTCTAATTTATTGATCAAATGATTCCAACAAAATTGGAATTTTCAATAAACGTAAATTTCAATCTCTTCCGGATGTTCTTGAAGCAACACCGTTTTATAGTTCTAACGGCCCCAACCAAAGTTTTAAGACTTTGAAAAGGTTTAAACAATGGACGCTGCCTTTGCATGTTTAGCTATGTATTAAACGTTCTGTGTTTATCAGGCAGAGAATACATCTGGCGAAAAATTCTGTTTCGCTCTTGTCGTTGTCGTCTTGTTACAGAGGGACTTTTTTATAGTAAACAATGTGAAGGTATCGATGCACAACTACTCCGGTCGAAGTTCAACGCGATAAACTTCAAGTGATCTCGTAACTAACCAATCATGTAATTTTTTACATTTCAAACTCTGGGAATTAAGTTGGGGTGAACAGACCCTTAACGATGAATGTACAGGGTCTGATGATGTCGAGAATTCACGACAAAATTAACAAGATTATTTAAATGGTTTAAAACTGAGCGGAATAGTCGATCGTGTATTAAAATCGTCCAGGTGAGGTTGTCTGAATAACTGTTGTTAGTAACAGTGACTTGAGTTTCGACAACCTTCAGCAATAATCCTGGGTCATCAAAGTAAACTCAACCGTTATACTTGACTCTGATGATAATGGCTTCGAAACATCAATGTCACCCACATGAGTTCTTTGCTGAACTGACATAGTGCTATCTGACACAGTGTTAACTGATCGAGCGTGAATGAACTGAAAGAAACGCTTGGGAACTAGCTGGGGCTGTTGTATCATAGGTGGGTTCTGACCAATTTTGAATCGATGACGTCAATTTGGTGACAAATGGGTGAAACCTTAGTACAGCATGTCACAACGCATAAGACGTCTTGCGCATCGACGAGGAGAAATTTAAAGGTTATACAGAATGGAATCTATACTTTTTGTGGCTGTTTTAGCAGTGCTGCAGATTTCTACCCAAGGTATTCATTATTTGATAGTTTACTTTCAATATCGGAGTAAAGTGGCACGGTAGATATTGCGTATCGAGTAAAGAATACCAGCTAAATCAGTTTTCGTCTCCTTTGATGGCGTAGCTCACTAATGAGATCCTTGCAGCTCAGTCAGTTGACAGGGCATCCGCCTTCGAAATCTAAACTGGCTGAGGTTCAAAACGTCGCACGCTTGTAACGTGGTAAATTTCTTTCTTCGGTCGTATACTGGATTTTAGGGCGCAATAATTGGCCACAAGTAGCCAAGAGGCTGTCGTTAGTTCATGATGAGGTATTACAGACTGGTCGTCGTTTTTGCTGGCCGGCCGGTTCTGAGTATCGATTACAAACCGTGCATTTATAATTGAGTTGCAAGAGACAAACGGTAACCACTAGGCTGAAACTAAACTTGTTATGTTCGATAAAAAATGAACCTGATTTGAGCTATTTTCCTATAATCCACACATTAATCTCGTAGAAATATAGCATTGAATTTCCAAGCACTTTAACGGCAAATTTTTTCGCTTTTGAGCAAGAAATAAACTCTTTTTTTTCTCCCGTTTGTCATAAGCGTCAATCTTGACCAATGTTTTTTTAAGTTAAATTCAGCACGGCACGCATCAGCGATAATTCTGGATGTTTCTTTTTTTGATACATTTATGAAAACTCGCTAAAAGTTAAAGTAGTAGTTTTAGATAACTATTACGGTAATTTTGTTGTTATTTAGAAATAACGTGGATAACAAAAAGATAAGTAGTGAGAGCCACTCGACTACGCGGTACAATTAAGATTGAACTAATTTGCATGTTAAGTCAGAATACTCGAAAACAGTGCACTAGGGTGGCATTCAGTGAGACAAAAGAACATAGAACTTGTCATTAATCTTAAAAACTAATTACAGAGGCCAATAGTTGAGTAGCAAAACAAGTTCCAATTATTCCATTCGTGAAATAACAAACAGTAATGATAACTTTTTTTCGCAATATTTCAAATAAGATTCTGATTTATTCGACAGAAAATTGATAAGAGAGTGTGAAAGACTGTGCGCTCTGACATTTGCTGATAATTGATTTTATAATGATGGCACCAAAAGTGAACCACCCCTAAGGCACTTGAGTTTATTTCCACTTGAAAAAATGGAAGATAAATTCTGCTTTCTCTCATTACCAAATCTCAGCTGTCATTTTGACACCTGAGATTTTCAACCTTTTGTTGCCAGTCATTTCAAGCGAGACAGCCCTATAATCCATAAAAAGGAAAGTTCTGCTTCCAAGCTTAGTTGATACGCCTTCCTAACGTTTTGTTTTTTCATAACAACGCCTGCAAGCTATAAATCATCAAATTTTTTCTTAAAGAGTAAACCATTTTTTCTCAAAACCTTCTTCAGCCAAGTGTTAGAACGAATAAAAAGATATCTATTTTGCTTTGTAAGCAAAAATTAGAAATAAACGATAATCGATATCGTTGGAATAAGAAAACGGGAGAAGTAAATATTCAGTTCTCAACAAAAGCTTCCGTGACACTGTATTAAAGTAATAATTGTACATACGATCCGAAAAATTCAGAGGGTTCTCACACATGTTTCAGAACGGACACGTGTCTTGAGGTTCAAGCAGTCTCACGGAAATCCTTGTTTCTTTCCCATGAACTACATGGCCGATGTTATCAGTTCCGTAGGAGCTCTATTTTGTGTTAACGATTACTGTGATGTTGAGGACCGAGTATTTTCTGTATTTTTTTTCCTGGGGTGTGTGAGCTGCATTTGCGCCTTTTGGACGATTCTAAAGCTTTTGAAAATCAGAGCTCGCCAACCTTTTATTTTTTCTTTAGCACCAACAACAAAAGCGTCGCGTTGGGAAAAATTTGGAAGTTTCGTAACATCGCTCATAATTGAATACACTAATTAGAAGCCTACAATCCAAACTTCTTGATAAGTTTAATCATGTGCTGCAGTTGCATGCGATATTAACTTACCCTGTGTGCCGTAACAAAACCTTAGAATTTCACTACTTTCTCACGGTATAGATTTCGCATAGTCGAAGAGTCGAAGAGTCAACCACACTTTTTCAAGACCATCATCAATTAATGGCGACGAAAACCTAAACGAATTTTAAGATTTCGTAATACTACTTGAATCGTGCGGCTCACAGCCGCTTACAGTCTGCTGTGGCAAACATTTTTATCAATTTAGCCCAGAGTCGCTGGTGCATATCTTAGATAGCTTAGACTGTACACTAAAACAAGCTGGATAGAACGTTCCGACTTTCCTGTTTATGTCGATGCTTTAATACGTGCCAGCATCATCATCAACCCCTCTTCTTTATGCGGATCAAAGAGTTCGCCATCTTTTTTTTAACACCATCAACAATGGCGGTCAAACTTGGAAGAATTTGAACATTTTGCAAATCAAGCAGTTCGCCAACCTTTTCTTAACACGAATGACAAAGACGGTAGTAGTTCGAAGAATTTGGTCGAAGATTTCGTAACATCGCTGACATTACTGCAAAGGTATTACTTTTCGAGCACATAATGGAATCAACCTCAGCAGGACTTCAAAATTGATAGCTATCCATAACGTTCGAGAATCAATTTATATAAATGATGACTTGAACCTTCTAGTTAACGACACAAGCTGATCGTGGGAAAGTTTATACGCTCCATTTCATTCAAGCTGAACCTTAACCCCAAACTAGCTAAAACTAAGAGGCAATTTTCAAAGCCTTAGATATTTTTCATTTTCTCAAGCTCAGTGTTTTGATATGGATCTCATAATAAACTTAAATGAGTGTCCAGTATTGGCAAATGAAGCGTATTCATGAGACGTGTATTGTTGGCAGTTTCGTCAGACTAAACTCATTACGATCCCGAGGGAAGAATCGAGAACCTTTGGAAACAAAGGAGTGACGTCACATAGGTAATAAACAAATGCATTTGCAGGTTCAACGGATTTGACACCGAGCAACCGAACTTTTCATATACTGCTGAGATCGATAGAATTGAAATTGAACAGTACAAGATGGGATTATGCCCGGCAACTGTATCTTTTGCAACCGTTTTGGCAGTAGTTTGCATTTCTAGCGAAGGTAAGCGAACAAAGAATTGAATGTTTTGCATTTTGTAATCGAGACTGGAGTGGTTTACTCGTGATTAGCTGAAAGATACGAAGGGCTGCGGTTGAAATTCCAGTAATGAAACAATCCAACCGGCTTCAAGCCGTTATTAAGACACAGGTTATAATTTTTTTGCTGTGAAATACAAACACAGATGGTAGATTGTAACATCAATAACTGTGATGCATTATTTAGGAACGTCTTGTTGTTAGAGCTTAAATAAAACTGCTCGGAACCTCGTGCGACGGGGAACCGAACTTTCTAGTACAGATCGAATTAATATGGAATTCTTGCCAGGCTTGACTAAAGAGATCAACTTCTTGTTATATCAAGAACAGTGGCTTTTAAGTGACACATCTGTATTCCAGTTAGATGTTGTCATTCTGTCCGCTTGCAGTGCCGTTAAACCTCATTCCGAAGTCAGCCATCGTTTTGCGAGTACGAATGAGGTGTTTAATTAACGAGTAGGTGACTTTCGAGAATTGAGGAGACAAGTCGCAAATCGTTAGCAATGGCTTCGACCGGTAGCTTCTTCGACGTTCATTTAATCCGACACAATCACCAAAAAGCAAAAGAATGATAGTTATTGAAATTAGTCGGAGGGAATTATTTCTCTTGCTTTTAGTTCTCTACACTTTAATCATGTTTGAGAGCGCTATGCTTCAGACCTCTCTTTAGCACTGAGTTCTGAGGCACTCAATTTATATTTCAGTGGGTTTGTCACGCTTAAATCGGGAAAGAAATCTTGAAGTTTGTGAGAGAACACGGTGGTTGAAAGCGAGCTGTTGTGAAAGCTTATTTGCATTTTCCGCAACTGTTCGCTGCGAGACTTCTTTTCGAATTAGTTCAAAACAAAATTCTAAACTGATAAACACGATAGTTGTTGATTTATCAACACCGTTCAGCAAGGAGAGATAACAATTCGACCAACGTAACCTGTATTGTTACAATTAATCAATTTGTGAACGAAAAAAAACGTTTTTAAAAACTCCTCATCAAAATAAGAAAGGCGATCGCGTTGTCGAAAACATCACTTGATTTTATTAGAAATCAACTTTCCACTAAGCCTATTACTGATAACGGTTTTAGCGTTGATCGATTTGGTCAGATAGATTCTGGATCAATCCGGATAACAACGATGTATTTTCAGAACAGGCAGGGTTTCTAACTATTCTTTCACATTTAAAACCAATATCAGACAGTTGGAACCCCAAGAGATCTCCTACATTGATGAAACGTATGGAAATTTCACTCACATTGAACAATTGTTTCTTTGTGTCCTCATCCGTTGGAAACAAAGCTGTTTTTTAAGGCATTACGCCTTTCAAGTCATAGAGATTGCGAAAAGCGATTTTCCGAAGAAATCAGCGAGGTAATATGAAGAATTGCAAATGATTTAAAGTCAATGTAATTAAGCTTTATTGCGAGGCGTCGTTCGATTTTCTTTTGATAAAGGAAAAATAAAAATTGATCAAAATTCAACAAAATTGTTTTGACTGGCTGACCACATTATCTGTTGTTCCAGAGAAATGAGGCGGTATTGTCTGAGTAGAGGCAAGTGAAATGTTACTTGAAAACTTCAACGACTACCGTTCTTAGTATGCTTCTCTGGAAGGAACCTTTTTAACAACAGCATTTGCTGACCATTTGTAGTTTAAACGGGTTGAAAGGCCATTTTAAAACCAAGAAAATAAGAGTGTTTTTTGTAGATCGGAAATGGACTTTAATGACAATTCACCCGGAGGCGACAAAAGACGATTCATGTGTGATATCTTACTCTTAAGAAAACTAAATGATTTTCTGCATTCTTACATCTCACAACCTTAAGTTTCCGGGCTGTTTTAGCAGTAAGTATTATGAAATACAAGTGCGGAAAATGTCGGCTGAACTTCGTCATTGAAATTTATTAAAAGCACTCTTTTACTGGCTTGGTGTGGCTTAAACTCTACCAGAAAGTTTCAGTAACGTCCTTTTTTAAAAACCCTTCGTATTTTCAAAAGAAAGTTTCGCTGACATGCTTTTTTAAAAACCCTTCGTATTTTCAAAAGACGAGGCTTTTTTTAAATTAATTTGATTAGCACTCATGAGCGTTAAACCAATTAGTCAGCTGCTGATCTCAGGAAGGTTCTCCGCACTTTGTGTTTTTCTCATACTGACTGCTTAGTAAGAGAAATTTGAAGAGATGTCTTTCGTTCAGAAAGGACGCTTGATCATTTGTCAATAAAACGATACTAAATTGATTTTATTTGTGACATTTTAGTGTTCGCTGCGGACCCTTTGTACTGCTTCAGTTGCCATGGATATGATAAAGATAGTCTCACCAAGTGTAAAGACAGAAAGGATAATGAATTGTTCGTTAGAAAGTGCACCACAAACTCGTCGCTTCTGCCGGCCTGTCTCAAGTACACTGCCTATTACAAGATTCCACAGATGATGGGTAAACAACTCAAAATGGTCGAGTCCGCCGTGCACGGTTTACACTGTGGAACACTGGCAATGTGTGCAAGGAGTGAATGCCCGAATTTCTGGCCAAAGGATCTCTCTGCTAAAAAATGTGAAGTAAGTTGCTGTACAAACAAACCCTGTTCATTCCCGATGCCGAATAAATCGGAAATTAATAGATATGAGCAGCGAGAGGCTGTGAAGGGTAACGCGGCAGCTCTTGGGGTCCAGAGTGGAAAGAGAAGTAGTGGTGTAACCAGAATCTCGGTGTCCTTGTGGATACAAGGCGTGGTTCTCGCTTTTGCTACGTGGCTTAAGGCTTAAAGTTTTTAACGCGAAGTAATTTGTATGCCAAGTGCAAGCAATTAAGAGGCCGTTCATATCATGTTTTCATCAGTGGTAGTTATATTTAAATACTAAAGCTGGCACTTACTCTGGAAGATCTAACTCTTTATTTCCTCTCGAGAAAGAGGACATTATCATGAACAGAAGTAATACATAATTGACGTATACTGAACGCTTGACTATCATGAGACACTCCATATCTGAAGTAATTTTGGCTTCACCACAAACAGTCCAAACGAAAGCAGCTCGGGATGTGCTGCCCAAAGGAACTGGGTTTGATGCTTCAAACACGCTTCACAGATACGTTACCTGTTAATAATGTTCCTGAAGTTATCGATGGCCCGACCACTGGATGAAAAAAGCAGTCATGTTTATGTATAGTTCGTCTCAGTTTGCGAAACTTTATACCGAATCATTACAATCTTAGTTTAGTCACACCTTCTGTAGCTATATACTATTTATATATATGAGGGTCAGGATTTGACTTGGCACATTCTTTTGTAACACGTCTGTAAAGTATCATTTTATACCCATCAACAAATCGTTTCCTGTTTTATAAATACTCGACGCAAATTGGAGTGTCGCTGAACAATTCTCACCTCACTGACAGTCAAATTTTACCTCACTTTCTTATGTACAACAGAGACGTTTATTCAATTTTGTTTTAGGGTAAAGAGTAACTGATGGCATAAAGTGTCTCTAAACAAACACCTTTTTCGTGCAGATACAACATGTTCCCTTGGGAATACATGCCTGAGAATACTCGAACAGGAAATCATAAGATTTATTGGAATGTGTTACCAAACACAAAGTTATTTTCAACTCTTACATCAATTCCATTTCTTGTTCTTGATGAATGCAAACATGCCTACAATAATGTGTACTTTGGCTTGGTAAGATGTCTTTTATTTACATCAGGTCGGGAAGTGACCTATATATGTGTTTTCGTCAATTTCAAAATACTTGTTTATTGACCTAAACTTGTAAGTGAGTAGAATAAAACGGATGTTATTGCTTTTTTCGGAAAAGAAAACTCGAAAACATCTGCTCAACGAAGGAAGAGAATTTTAAGAATTCTTCAATAGCCGACCGGTTAATGCAAATCTAAGTAACAAACATTCGCTTTGAGGAAGGGCAAACGCCCGAAATATCAGCTTTGAAACTCTTTACAGTGGCCAATTTAAGTTATCAACTCATTTGATAATACTAAATTACCCTGTTATACTCTCCTACCGACCACGCAGCTCTACAGTTTCCTTAGAATCTTACCCCCTTTAGAGAAGATTATTTTCACTTCGTATAGCATCTGCTGGTTCTGCCGCTGTAAAGACTTGTGTTGTAATGGAAACGGAGTTTTTTAATATTGATTTATCTAAGAAACATTTCCTTTTAGTTGTATGAATGAGTATTAGCTGTAGTGCCTCTCTGATATGGCTTGCAAATGTTTTGATCAGAATGTATCTTGTTTTGCAGAAAAACGTTCATCATGTTAATCATTTCACATATGTGTATATGTAGATATTTTTTTTTAAAGACTTTGGCCGAGCATCGCCGTGAAGTAGAATAAAAAGAATCATTTTTTGTCTCAGTATCTGGTCGTTTCTGATGTAGATTGTGGTGTTTCGACTGCGTATCGATCTACATCACAGGTGATCAAGAGTGGGACGATCATTCACTACGTAGCCGATAAATTTCACAAGTATAATGTATTTTGACATCTAAGCTAGATTTGTGCAACACAAGCTGCAACTTGATTCTTTATTAAAATAAAATGTTTTGAGGAGAACTGTTGTAGCTGCTTGATATTAAAAGAAAAATTAAAGCCATTGTTCTTGGTTCCAGTTATTTTCGATTCAACAGCGGAATAAATACCGCTCAAGGGTTAGAGAGACCGTGAACATCCATCCTTAGGCCAAACACGCGACCTTGAAGTAACAGGGTCATTTTGTGTCCTCCCTCCTTCCTTTTTCTTCACAAATATCTCCCCTTCCCCTCTCCTCCCTGGGAATGCCAGAAGAACTCCGCACAATCTGATAACTTTACTGCATATCTTATTATTGTATACTTTATTATGTAAAAAACGTAAAAAAAAAGAAGATACATTGGTCAACTATTGGGTCAGCTATATGGTAAGTTTATCATCGCAGTTTAAGTGAAAAAGTACAAACATCTTATATTTATCAAAATGTTCAAATGCTAGTATATAAGTAGTCCCCAATGGTCTCAAAACCAAAGCACTGGCTGATGGGAGAAGTAGCTAACGAAAAAATTAATATCACGTCAAAGATTACCGGCTGCTATGGAGAGCAAAACCACAATTACCTTAACTGAGGATGAGACGTTTCTGCATTTTTCTCTATTTTATTTTACCACTGTGGAAAAAAACCGCCTCTTTTTCGAATGCAATCAGCAAATTTATTTTCCTTTTTCGCGCAGAAAAATTCGCCAAGTTAAAAAATTCCCGCGCTTTCGCCACGTTCCTTAGAAAGGGTGTGGTGTGGAAAAATTCGTTAAGAGGCGTAGTTTTGTTCGTCGTGTTAATTAACTATGATTAACGGCCGCTGAACTCAGGTTAACGAATGGAAAAATAGATCCCATCTTTAAAAATGCTTGACAAAATAGTCTCAGTGAGACACAAACATTTAACTGATAACATGAAGTATTTACTAACTCCAATTCTTATATCAAATTCTACCCATGTAGATAAAAAGTAAAGGGAACTTGGTAAGTCTTTTTCAATTCTAAGAAACTTTTAATAGGTTTGTAATTTTCCAGCACTAGAAACCTTTTTCTTTCTTAATTACTAGTCGAGTTATTGAAAAAGTAATCGAACATAAATTTAAAAACTGAAAATGTTGCCGCGTTAATTACATCAAAGCAGATTTTTCAATGCTTGATGTGGCGCTGATTCAGAGATAAAACTTTGCCTTATCATCTACTTTACGCTGAAAACTTAATCTTTACAACAAACGGGCCCTGACAAGGCTCAGTAGAGTACTTGTTACCGTGACAGGAACGCTCGCAAGAATTTCAAAACCTTTCCCGCCTCGCGCTCCTTTCACCGGACCTTCATTTCCCTCAGTGATGGTAATGTTTCCCTCGGGGCAGAAATCCCCCTCACAACAACTCATCTGACAAACGTTGTAAGCGAGTGACTTCTCGCCGTAGTGTTCCGCAAAATGGCCCGAACAAAGCTCGAACACACACTCATCTTGAGATGCGCAGCCCCTCTGGAAACCTGTCTGATTTTCTCCGAGCATTGTGACGAAAACTTGAACAGTCATGTTACGGCAGCGATCTGTTGGCTTTGGACATTCGGTCTTCTTCATGAATTGAAAACAATCCTCCATGGATACAAGAGAAGTACATTCATAGCACTCGGTGGACATGGCTGATGGAAAGAAAGACAATTTGATTGGTTATATCAACTGAGTGGCCACCGCTCTGACGAAGAAGTGACTTTTAAAGGTGGCCAATTTACTTTATCAACTCAGTTGATAAGACAAAATTTCTTCTAATACCCTCTAACGACTGAAACTTCTTATGAAACTTACCCTTCATTCATTTGATGGAAAAAGTCCGAAAATACTGAAAGAGCCAGAACTGATACAGTTTCAATTTATGTATTTAATATCGTCAAGTGAATTACGAGACAAAACAGGCCGGTCACTTTATAATTTCTCTTTTAAATATTTATAGCCTTGTCATAAGGACGTGTCAAACGATAGTGACAAAATCATATTCTGGGCGGAGTGGTGGCTTCCTTCCTATAAGAAACTATAAGTGGTTAACCGCGTGTGAGGGTTTCAAACTGCAAATTTTCGGGATTTCAATGAAATATAACGGAAAGTTCCTTGCTTTCAACACCACTAAACAGGGGTAGCATTAGCTTTTTCTGTGTAACTTTCTCATTGTGTGTTCAACGAAACGCAAAATCTTCAATTTCTTTATTTGTTCGGACGACTTTCGGTTTCTGCTTTGTTTTTCTGGGTCACATCAATTGTCTGACTTGTCTCTAGGGCTCAAAACCGCCATGAACGCGACAAAATATGCCTTAAGCAAACACGGTCGAACACCAAGTTTGACAAATTTTATAGTAGATTGGTTATCTTACAGAAAAAGTTAATCACATCACCGAGTATCCAAGTATTCAAGAAATTTTCTCTCGATTCTTAGGCCTATTCAGAAAAATTATTGTCTTTAGTGACCCAACACTTTAAAAACACTGCTAATTAATGCACTGTTTGCATGTGGATTTGAACCAAACGAATAAAAATGTAAATTGTCGTAAACTTCTTGTGTACGAAGAGATTTTTTTGCCAACTGATGTTTTAATTTCTTCTCAGCGAAAAAGAGTCAAAATTTTAATAAAGATTCCAAGAAAAAACGTAAGTACTTCTAGGTATACCATTTTCCTTTCAGGAAATTTTTCAAAGTGGTAAAATATCACACAACCTATATAGCGCTGCAATACTAGTTAATATTTCTTTTATTAAAATTCATGGTGACGAAGGCGCAACAATATCTCATTGCGGATAAAATTTTACACCAATTTTTTGTCAGAAATAGCGAAAATCAACCGCAGTGTGATGCCGAAAGATCCATCGTTTTACGGTCATGTTGTTTTTAACTCAAAGATGTTTTTAATTTCGAACAGTTGAAAAATAGGTTGTCACAAAGAGTTTCAACATTCAACGTAAACATCATCACCCGCAATACCAAATAATAATTCAAAATGGGCACTAAGTCACTTCGATTAAAACTTGTCATCGATCGAAATTTCGACAAGCGTTGTGAAATTTATCAACCAGGCTTAAAATCACCGAAGTTTACGAGGAAAATCGGACTAAATTTGAATGTCAAACGATTTACTCCTCAGTCATTGTTATAAATCATAACATCGCACTGTACAATTTATATTTCGCAACAATTTAGGACACAAAAACATTCAACCAGAAGAGAACACTCACCAAATGGAGTTGAATATAAAACAAAGAGTGCTCCCAAGGCTATCCTCAGCATTTTCGGCCAGACTCCACGACAAAGACTACGGAATAGTGACATCATTCGACCGGAGAAGCAAGAGAACGATAAGTGAGCCTGTCGACTATCTGTATTGCGGTATGCCATCAAGTCTGAAGTGCTTCATGCAAATGATACACTGATAAGGAGTTTTAATATTTTGAAAAGGGACAGAAGTGAGCTTTTATTTCGACGACAAGAAGGAATAACAAAGGAAAACTAACGGCTCTCGTCCAGCTGGTCAGTTTGAAGACAAGCTGGTTGATTGTTTGATTGATGATACAGTGAAAGCTCGGACGGAGTCAAGAATGAAGTAGCGGGTCTCGACGAGGTGATGGCTTTTACGGCTAACGGTTAAAATTTTGGCCATTTTACGGCTCACAGTTAACTTGTTTCGTTTTTGATTAAAAGAAATACGCTTGACAGTTAATTTTCTTTTTACGACTTACCGTCAAAATTTGTCAATTTTTACGCCTAACGGCTAAATCTTTTGGCCGTTTTACGGCTAGCGGTTAACTCTATATGCATTGAGACTCTAGGAGTATGGTATCTTCGAATTTCCTCGAGTGAATGATATATGTTTCGCAGTCTGAGTTTGATGTTATCATTTATGAAATTTGTTCTCAACTGCAATTTGTAGAGTTTTAATCTAACAGCGATTGTTTCGAGATACCTTCATCAGTACCAGGGGCTCCTTTACTAAAGGCTAACTTAGTTGGTTGTCCATGCACTAGCTCGTGATGCAGTTGAAAAAATGAGCGAGTGAACTAAAATTTTTTAGGGATCTTGGATGGAGTAACTGAGGCGTACAAAGTCAACTCTAACCTTCGCTAACATTAAGCTCTCACTAAGAGAAGAAGTCGATATTCTCCCACTTTCCAATCATTTGTATTACCGGTAGATTTAACCGTTCCCGCAGACATCGCAAAAGACACACTACAGTAAACTTCCTCGCACCCTGAATACCTGGTGAGGGTATAAAAGCTACAGCTATAAAAATCATCCTCACAATTTTTGTGGAAAGAAAGACGCTGATACTTGATCAAGTCACTCTGAACTCGTAGTTTTGCGATTCACTCAGTTTAAACTTATAAAACGAAAGAGGTCCATCCATCCACAGCGAGTTGTTAGCCGTGACAAACACAATTTCTAAGAAACGTGCGTGATTTTTGTAATTGCTGCGTGATGCTTTTTTCCTTAATGAAATAGAAACGCGTTCTATTAAAAGGTTTTTTTTCTTGTTCTTGTTTGAAAAGTGTTTGAAATTAAAAGTCGGGATGAAAAGCGAAAAATACAACGAATAAAGAAAATAACATAAAATAATGGTAATGAAAACTGAAAGCTGAAGACAAGATACTTTATTGCTACATCCTTAAATACAGGTTTCCTGAAGTCAAATGAAAACAATTAGCGAGCTGATTTACTTAAAGTTACTCAATAACTTGGTAGAAATGTTACCAGAAATTTTCGATGAAATTGTTTCGTTTTCGTCAATCTGTTCCCTTACAACCTACGTGAGAACAAGCCGAACAACCTGTTTTTTTTGACAATCAATGGCTGCCTGACTTTAAAAGGCTTATTGATAAATGCCTTTGGACAAATAATGGTTACATAAGTATGCCAATTCAGAGTTAAAGGGTTCTACTTAGAACATGCGATTAAACAGAGATATGGAAAAGCTGGCTCTTGCATAACATACATACATTTATTACAACAAACAAACTCCTATGAGGTGACTCTTAACTAGATCAAAAACAGTTTTTTCGGTGATGGATAAGAAATCACTGACTTCACATAGGAATCCAACCGCGCTCCTACATCATCATTTTGAAAACCAGCTGAATCACTGCAGCGAGGATAATGGTCATGCGTAGTGGTGTGTTAACGGAATCTGTGCCACAGCCCAGGGGAGTATTGGTAGTAGAATTTTGAGGCGGGGGAGTGGATGTAGTTGCGTTTATTGACGTGGAATTTCCAATAGGGGGTAGAGTGGTGGGGTTGATGGGTAAGTCATCGTTGTTACACATGTCAGTATTACAGCACCTTGAAGAGCAGTTGGCCATGACGTGTCCTTGACCGATAAAAGATAGATTCTTTGCGTTGCAAAAGTTGTTTGGGTCGGGGTTATTGCAGGCAAAAGAAATACCACATTGCTTATCTAAATAGGCGACTTCTTCCCCGCTGTTTTGTTTCACAAATATCTTCATAGTAAAGCAATGGTCAAATCCCACATCAGTTGCACACTGCTTGAGCACGTGATTTTTGATGCAGTCGTTATATTTGCTATCTGTGGTGCACGTGTAGCAGGAAAGAGCTGAAGCTAAAAGAGATAAAAAAATATGTTGTCAAACTTCTTCTTTACATTTAAGGGTGCCCTGTTCTCCAATCGCTCACTTTCATTTATGGTGATGATTTAAATTTTTGATGCTTATTTTTCTGGAATGATCTTTGTCTTCGTGTTTCATTTCATGAATTCTTTGTAAAAGGTAAAACCTCTAGTTTCATGCACGTTTCGATGATTTAATTCCCACGCACTAGCTTCGACAATATTGTATATACTGGTTACTTGGTTGCTCCTGATAAGATCTATAAACACGTTCTTACATGAGAAGGAGTCTGTTATGTTATTATTTTTTAAAAAATAAATGTTTCAATGCAGGAGGTGAAAATAATGGTAGCTGATTAATACAAAAAGGTGCTGATGAAATGTTGGTTGTATTTGATGTTTTTTAGTTCATTTCTGAAAGTGAAAAAGCACTAAATAACGACGTGCTTTTTTTCAGTATGTATACTATGCTAAAACCGATGTATTTAACCGAAAAAGGTTGCGTACCGGCTCGATTGCCAAATAAAAAAGACCAGCACAAATAGTCGAATAGAAAAAAATGACTTGTTTCATGGCAAAGATGTCCTTATATTGAAGCGACTTACCTGAACGATTGGTAAGGAAAAGCAAGATTGCAATAAGCAAATTTTTCATTTTGTAGGTCTTCACGGCTGAGAACTGAGTTGATTTTAGGGAACCTCAGTGAGAAGTTTACCAAGGTATCGCAGTCTCGGTTTTCTTGTGGGTAAACTGCAATTTAGTACATTTCACAACAGGCGAAGCGCTCATCTATTTCCCACTGTTCTCAAAATTAGTTTACCAGCTATTTTGTTTTAACAGGAAATTAATTTCTCACAGCTGAGAAAAGCCTAAAGATTTACACTGTAGGATGAAGAAAATCTCAGTGTTTAGAAATTGAATTGGTAATGCCCCACTTATTTTATTGTCAGCGGGTGCTGATTTAGCTTATGTCCTTAAAGACCCCTGTGAAATACTGGAAACACACAAACAAATTAATAACAACATGAGCTACCCACCGACGCGTTTCATCTTTAACTTGGAGAGTTAAATTAATTGCTTTTTTCCATAATAACTCGCAGCACTAAAAAGCTCTAAATTTCCGGATAACATTGAGTCAAATGAATTCTGTTTCAGAAGGTTATTTAAATTTAAAAAAAGCTCAAATTAAGCAGATTAATCAAAAAATGTTGAGTTGCAGTCAGAATGATCACTCATGTCACATACGAAAAAAATATTATTGAGGACTCCTTGTTCAAGAGCAATTGTCAACGAAAAGTTATTGAAGTGTAATTACACATTCAATCTGATTGGTTCCTATCTAAGATATATTGAAGACAGAGGCGTTGATGACGTCACCATTGAAAAATGTTTCCTCTTTGCTACATTCCATGTTGCTCTCCAGAATACTCCGAATGAAATATTCGTCGCATGTACAATGAGCCAATCATGAGAGACCAGGCCACTTTCAAAATTCCTTCTACATAATCAAACCTTGACTTTGCTCAACTTTTAGAGCTGGTCCATTCGATATATGACCTTCCAATAAAGACCAAGTTGGTTCTTATTTATAAGTAAATAGCAATATACTTGATATGCACAGACAGTGATCTTTCAATCTTTATTTCTGCTTAAAAAATTTTAAATTGCAATCTTGTGAAGCCATGTCACTTTCATGGAACTTACATCAAATGACCCCTGTTTAACGTACCTGAACAGTAAAAACCATTCATATATTATATATATATCAACGAGTAAATTTGATTTACTCTGCATCAAATAGTGTATACCTTCTTTAAAGAGTCGTCGAACAGTAAATATGTTTTGCAAGACTTCGATGACTTCAAATTGGAGGATGATCTCAGATTTATGTTCAGTTCCCAAATTTTTGTGAACACACGTTGTGTGGACAATTTGAAAAAAGTAAGTGTGTGCAAACATTGAAAATATGTATTCCGGCTTTGCACCGGCAGTTCATTTTTGAATACTGTTTTTAAAAAGGCAGTGAAGTTAGCAAGAGAAATATTGATAGCAATACGAAAATTTTATGTTTCCTCATTAGTCGACCACCATTAGTGCTTCCGATTTCTGGTTGTATATTAGTTTTTGGCTCGAATTCGAAGCACTTTTTTAAAGTTTTCTGTCCAGATGATGTCGTTATAATTTTACGGGTGCTTGATTTATTCAAATCTAGTGTTCCTACACGATGGTTGCAACGATCAGTGGCACAGCATTCCGGGCGGCAGCTGGGCTCTACAAGTAGCCCGGGCTTCTCTCTCCACAGGTGAATTTTGATATCTCTGCAGGGCTGGAGCGAGTAGCATTCTCTTTTCGACGAACATTGCCTAAAGATGGAAAACAATTACGCTGCATTATGTTTGGAGATGAAGGGTTTTGACAATGTTATGTACATGAGCTTATCCCAGTTTCTGAAGAATGAAGCGACTAAAAATATTGCCATGCTGGCCTCCGGAAGAAATGCCAATCAATGGTAGGCCATCCGGTTGTAACATATGATCAGGATTCCCCAAAATGTTTTCGATTACCCAGTGGTGAAGAGAGACAGTGTTAGGGTAAAGCGTCCTGCTCACGAACTGTTTCTTTCTACTCTGTCCAAGTAATGATTTTAGTTTTTAGAGCGGCAAGGGTACCAAAATAAGTGGCAAATTTACGGGGTTTCGTGGTTCCTTCCTCTTTGTTTTCATTAAGTGCCCAAAACACCGCCAGTTTCGCAGATAAGATCGAACCCGGATGTTTAATCTTGAGTTTTAGCGCGCTCAGTATTAGGTAACCACTCCACTCCCTCACTGATCACTTGTGGTTGGGAGATGAGAATCCTGGAGGTTCTTCTTCTACAGCAGTAAGGTCTAAATTGCTACTTGAAGGGAAAAGGTAGCAAATTAAGTTGCGAGTAGCTGGTTCTAGTGCATCATACCTTAAGAACAAATTTGACTTTTTTCCCTTTAAATCTGTCAGCGAGGCATCAATACTCATGCAAACTGACTCGCTACCTTGTGAGCAGCTCTCAATACTGGAATTTCTCAGACAATTGAATGCTAACAAGGTGGCATTACACTGATGGCATTCTAACGATCTTGTTCCCTTGATTGTGGCTTTAAATTAAAGAAAAGAAAATTTAAAAAGTGTGAGAAACAGCGAGGAAACAAAGAAACCGGCACTGTTCATTTTCAGACAGATTTCATCAAACTGACTGGTGCTGGCTTGCATTTCTATCTGATCTATACACTTCAGCTAAGCCTCAGTTGTAATTTGTTACGTACGAAATAACAGGCAACTTTGAGCTCTCCAGTTAAATGGCTTATGAAAATGACGTTTATTATTCGATATAAAGCGTCAGAACAGAATAATTCAATGAAATGTTGTAATAAAATCTTCTGTCGGCTTCCCACGGAGGACGAGGCTCAACATTTTGACGAGTACATCGTCCGTCCTCCCTTCCTCCGGAAGGAAACGCCGATTATAAACTAATGATAAAAGTATAAAATATGACTGCAAAATAAAAGACAGTATGAAATTCTGTGTACTATAGGAAAAAAATCAATACTTTTTAAATAGCATTTTGCTGTACCAGGTTACAAACCTGATGATGCAGCGTCGGAGATCATACATTTTTAATACAAAGCTGACAAAATTTAAGCGTAAATCAAATGTGGTTTTTTCTTGTCCCTTAATTTTAGCTTAAACCGAACACGTTTGCGCAAAAATTTTGCTAAGAAGATTAACCTAACGATAATTTGTAGATTTGGTGCGCAAATGACTATTTCCACGATGATTACACGCTCATGAAAACGATGATAGACTTCGCACAAGTAAGCTTAGTAACGTATTGAACTTGTTAATCACAATTATATTACGTTTAGAAAATTTCTATCAAAATCAAATCCTTACCTGTTGTTAGAATAACGAGTGTTAGAAAATGAGGATCCATCAGTTCCAATCCCTAAAACAAGAAGTGGTTACATCTTGAGAAACAATTTGTTTTTACGAAAACCAGGTCTCTAAAACGGATATCATTTCATAATTTTTCCATAAAGTGAACGGAATCCAACTGAAAGTTTTGAGGGTACAGTATTACAATTCTATCGACGAAATACTTCAAAGTCACCTCGTGAATTACTTGTTAGCTCGTGTTGTTTCACTTCGCTCTAATCAGCTGTGTCTCCTTGCGCCAAGAGCAGTATAGAATTTTTCTTAGGCAACTTAGTGTACGAGTAATTTTAAAAATTATAAAATACGCCTTCAGGTGTGTAAAGCTCTCTGCCAATGTTTACGCCCCCAAATATTCAACCAGACTAACAGAAGCGTACTTCAGTGTGAGAAAAAGACTGCTCTTGAGGCGTCACAAAAGATTATCCGGCTTATCTTAAAGCTTAAAACTACACTTCCTTCGCTGCATCTCAATGAAATTTTAATGAACTCAAGTAAGCTCAAACGTAGAGTCGGGTAAATCTTTCTGTCAACAAAAATCACATCTAAAATGTCTTTAGCTTTTACATTATTATAGCGATATTTTCCGTGCTATAACTAAGAATTTCAGGCATTATTTGTGTCTCACGAAGAATTTTCCACATGGAGACAAATAAATTTGACAAATTATTTTGATTTCATCATCATTTTTATTTGAAAACAATGTCTGTGGTTTCATTACGCTTATCCAATACATTTTTGCTTTTTATATGTCATTTATTTTGTGGTTGTACTGTGTTTTAGACTAATTAACTTAATCCCTGTACTACATTTTTCATCATTCTAATGCCTTTGTTGGTATGTTGTAAGTCCCCGAATTACCTAATTGATAAATTTCATTAAGAAAAATGTTGAAAACATCTTAGTGCCAGCTCAAAATTAAGAAGTTTGTTTACGAATGGCAGTAGAAGGCTTGTGAATATGAAAGCGACCTTCGCGGTAATGAAAACTACTTGAGCAGTTATGAAAATAAGGCCTGAAAAAAAAATTCAGACCTGTACGGGATTTGAATATATGACCACAGCGTTACTGGTGCAGTGCTCTACCAACTGAGCTGACCAGCCAACTGGGAGCTAGATATTATGTTGATTCTATATAAACCTGTAAAGAGGTGAATAAATGACTGAGCTAACAAGCCGACTGGGAGCTGGGAACATTATGTTGGTTCCAAATAAACCCGTGAAGTGATGAATAAATGACTGTAAATATATGAAATTCACAAATTTGAACTGCGGATAAATACGTGAATATGAAAGCGATCTTCGATGTAATGAACACTACTTGAGCAGTAAAGAAAATAAGGCCTGAAAAAAATTCAGGCCCTTTGTACGGTATTTGAACCCATGACCTGTGCGATACCGTTGCAGTGCTCTACCAACTGAGCTAACAAACCAACTGGGAGCTGGTCATTATGTTGATTCCAGATAAACCCGCAATGTGATGAATAAATGACTGCGAATATGCCATATACTACAATTGCGGAAAAAAATAGTATTTATATTTTCAATTTTGGGTGATGTATTTTGCTCTTCCTGTCCCCTTTTCCTCTTCATTTGTCAGTCCTGTGACATTTTTCCCCGGAAAACACACTTTGTTATATTTGGACGAAATAGACGAAACAATATGGAGAAGAGAAGGGTGTTTGTTTGTTGTTTGTTTATTTTTTTCTTAATGTGAGGAATTGATATTCTAGGAAGTAATGCCATCTTATGCCTATGAACAAATTGTCTCAACAGGGTTTTTCCGCAATTGTAAGGTCATGTATGATTTAACAAACCTACCCAACGTTCGCCACAAGACACCAGAAAAACCAGGAGGTAGAGAATTTTTTTTATCCATTTGAGGTTTATTCATATCGTAGTCCAGTTTTACTCTATGAGAAATGAAATTGAGGGCCAGGCAAGTTTCAAATTTCTCATTCGATTTTTGGTATCCATGATCAAGAAAATTATAAAGTTCACTTTTCTTTTAAGACCGCATCTGTTTTAAATATTCCGTAAAACGAACTATTTTGGAATATTTCAATATTCCCAGATTCATTCCCCTTCATCATATTTATATTGTTTAGGCCAAAACCTGTTTTATAGAAAAAACTGGCAAGCAATGCGTATAAAAAGGAAATGTTCGTGATTTTCGATAGACTCAGTAAACTTAAAGCAGACCATTAGATAACTGAAACGATAATAGTAAAATAAAACAATTAGAATATCGGTCATCTTGGAAAACAAAATTGAACAAGTCTAAACAAGAATTCCTTTAACAAAATTAATTTCTTTACCCGGGCCAGTTTCAATAATAAGCTGCTACGTATCACAATTGCTCTTTGTTCAAGCACAATATTGAATATTAGTCCTCAAAATCGTAGTTCGAGGGACTAAGCTGGGAAAGGGCGAATCTCCCCGTAATTCATATTTATTGTACAGCGCCTTAACATTCCTCGTGGCGCCTTAACATTCCTCGTAGCGCCTTTTATGCAGGTTAAGAGGACATCCTTTAACCAAATAAAACTGATACAGAAAGCAGGTATGCGGAGGGAGTGGTAATGATGCCATTCCCATCCGTTTTATTCCGCGCCCTCCTCTCCTGAAAAAGTTCCTGTTTACACCACAAATATACCGCAAGATAGTGGATGTCTGATATTCTTTATCGTCCGACCGCTGGCGCCGAAATTAAAATATTGAATACTCAATGTCAAATCAATGATTTCCTACTTGGTTGATTTACCTTTGCCGAGGTTAAGACTGTATTAGGCCAGAATTCATGATGATCAAGCAGGAAGTGAGAGGCATGGAGACAACAAAATATGGGTATGTATGAAGGGCTCACAATTCCACTAGAAATTCTTCTGAAATTATTCTCGTTCAACATCCGGACACATAATTACGTGCTAAGTGGTCAGTTATTGACAAATTGCTCAACAACCTGGGAGTTTTTGTTGCATTCATTCCGTTATTTTATTGTTAAAACTTAAATCAAGGCTGTTAAATTCAATTTTATCTTGCATGTTCCCTAAATATGTACATCTGAGAGAAAATTGGTTAGACTTAATACAAAAGACAAAACATCCTTTCGCTGAGGAAATGTATTCGCGTTTCTCTGGCCTTTCAAAAAGAACGTTAATAAGTTCGATTTAAAAAGACTATCAGAACTTGTTATAAACTAAGATTATAGATATTTTAAATACAACGTTGACGTGATTAAGACCATTCACTGACACACATGGCTAGATTACAGTAGCAATAATCCTCTTCGCCAAATTGAGAAAAATAATTGACTTGAATGTTATTGTCCAGATGGAAGTCAAGTGGAAATCGTTTCTTTTTAGTATTCGTTACGAAACGTTTTACATGCGAGACTTAGATTACAATTCATAGCAAACATATCTGGTGAATACACTTTTGACTTCCACTCCTTAATTAAGACAAAAAATGAAGGGAAAGTAATCATGACTGATGCAGCGAGGCGAAATAACTACTGATACACATTTTCAAAGAAACACTTCACAAAAAAAAATGCCAGCTTTATTTCCCAGTCAACCTTTTTTTAAACTTTTAAATACTGTAAGGATGATTTTATATACAAGTAAGTTATGTTCTGGTTACATATAGGTCCAACACCCTATAAACAGTATTCACATTCTCCAGTCTCTCATCTTTACAATCCTTATGGTACTAATATCGAGAATTCATTTTACAATCAAAGCTTCTTAGGTTAGTGATCATTTCCTTTATACTCATAATCTTAAAAAGTGAATAAGCCTTATTACGGAAAGGAGAAATTAGATGCTGGTCACCCCATGGGTTTAAAGTGTTAATAAATCCCTCTGTAACAGATACAATCAACATTCCATCAACATTCGGCTGAATCGTATTAAGTTAGCTGATGTAGCTTATCTCTAAAATGTTCCAAAGAGCTAAAGAGACTATCGTAATTCCCAAAGTGCTTAAGCCAAAAGTTGTGGATGGGCTTCCAGACCGGAGAGTAGGATATTGTGGAGAGGCTGTTGATTCTTGGTTATTCATGTCTTTAGTGGGAATCTTGTTATCAGCTGTTGTTGCGATTGTAACTGTTGTTGCAATTGTAGCTGGTGTTGTAGGTGGTGGACCATTGCAGTAATCCTTATCGCAAGAGGAAATTGAACAGTTATACACAGGTCTTGACTTGTTTACTGTTTCGCAGTATCCGTTGATAAAAAATGGTGGTAAGCAAGTTTTTGAGTAGGTATGTTCGTTGTTCGAGTGCGAATATATTGCTGTGGTACAAAGGTGGCTGGCAACTTTACACGAGGTTAGATTTTGGTTATTGTTACATTCATTCTCAGAACCTGCGGCACATTGATAGCAGAGAAGAGTATTTCCTGTGGAAGAAAAAAAGAGCTGTCATAAGATTTACAAGTCGAAGAGGAGACACGACACAGGTGCATGTCCATCAGAAATGTGTTAAGTTGGTACTTTTGTGATGCACACAAGCCTACTAAACGAGACTGCAAAATTTTCATAACAGTAGTATAACCGTGTGAACCAAAGCAAACTTTGACCCGAGAAAGGAGACAGTGTGACTATTGTATTTCGAGATATTCTTAAGATTCCCCACATCTTAATACCATTCAACACTTAATCAAAACCCTGTTCCCACCCCTACCCCTACTTTTTCTTCTTAGGTAAGACTTCGGCGCTTCCTCTACAGGTTTGGTCAGCCTATCCGAAAAAGGAAGAACGGATTAACCAGAAACGATGAAACTTCTTTTGCATGACAACCGAAACAGACGAGTTCTTCTCGAAAGAAATTCGAGAGAGGTGACCGAAACGTTTAATTTGTTTTCTTTATTTTTCAGAGCTTTTCAGCATATTTTATGACATATCTATCTATCCATCGATCTATCCTTCTTTCTCGACTAATCCCAAAATTTTAAAACAAACTTTAGATTTTTCATTGTTAAGGTTTTATGGTAAATTGTGTCTAAGCGAACTTTTTTGTTTACATTTTTGGGCTTTCTCCAATTGGCAGCTGGCAGAACAGATTTATATTTATTATTACAGCGTGATTAGCAACTAGACGGTTGCCTAATTTATTTTCATTTATAAAATAAAGGAGATACTACGAACCCCCTGATTGGTTTAAAAACCTATCGATTATTGCACCGGTAAACCTGTAGAAAATTGAAACATTTTTAGTTTATTTCATAAGAGTAATAGACCGCAAGAGTTTGTAAATCACAAGTCGGAGACGAGTGATTTGCAAACGTTTTGAGTGTTCTTCAAACATCCCGCTTGAGTTATTACTTCAGTAAACCAATAGAAAGTTCATTTCGTACACAAGTTACGCTACTTTACTCGTGGAATGTTGAGAAGCACGTGATCAAAGGATCAAGCACGTACTGGTCTGATATAACATTAAATCCGCTTTAAAAAGAGATCAAGCTTATCTACGTGGCAAGGTGAAGATAATTGAATCAGCTTTGCTCATTCCTTCTTCATTTTGTCAATTAAACCCCAAGGTTACCCATGTCAAGCTAAGTCGTTACTCATCTCTGTATTGTATGGCTTTCCCTTGGACCATTGTCTGAGATCGTGTTTCGTAAGCCTCGTGTTTTAGAATTCTTTCATTTTACCTAAATTTTCCGGCCTAAATTCATACTCATTACAAAATCAGCGCACGGAAATTTGCAACTTCTCATTCATTCTCTATGTTTCTCAAAATAAAGAGAAACCAAACACCTCAAATCACATGCCATTGTTGGGTGATGTCAAAGTCACGCTGAAATGAAATTGTTGATAGGTGAACCTAATCCTGACCTTTTGACTTACACTAACTACAATTCCTTATTTAGTTGCAATTTACTCAGTGAATAAATGGCTGACTCAAAGGTAAATTTTGTTGGCCTTTTGGGTGTAACAATCGTGGATATTTACCCTCAATAACTCAAGTTCCCTACAGTAAATAAACTCGTGCCTTCAGTCATCAATCTCTGGAAATATGAGTTATAGTCCTTTCTTCGAGTGTTTTTTAAATGAATATCGACCACAAATCGCCTTCATTTGACATGAATGAGACATTTTCTCAAAGGTCGAGGAGACCTTGCCTTCATACTTATACAAGCGTTCACAAAAAACGATTGCTACATTGAAATCAGCCGGTAATAGAAACAATAACGTCACAATTTGAATTACTTAAAATCCTGAATATATCGACTCACCACAACGACAGAATGATAACAACAGTGTACAACTCAAAAGCGCCACACATAAATTCAGCGTCATTCTCGTCTAGGTTATCGAAGATGTCTCACTTGCACGTCAAAGATAAACTGGCTGAATGTCCGAAAGCGACGTGGTTTTTATCCAAGGGAACGTGGAAATGTGTCAGCGATTCACCTCCGCTGTGTGTGTCAACAACCGCACCTCAGAATTATGACGTTTGCGAATATGAGATGTCTCACGTTTTGATGTCGGAATTTAGACCACGGATAACAATAAGTAGATTTCTGTTGTCGATCGGGTAAAGGTAAAATTTCATGTTTTAAAGTTGAGGTTGTGATGGAGGGGCTGTGTTTGATTATTAGCTTTCATCACGATTACCAGTGACTGGATTCCTTCGCTCAATGTTTACTTTGACATTCTTTGCTAAAATGTGTTACGTCGGTTTCGGAAGCAAAACAAAGAATTGGGATGATCAGATATCACAGATAATTAAGTGGAGGAGGTGATTGGAGGGCCAAGCTTATATTGAATTACTCTCGTTTGCCGAAGTTCTCTCAAGAAAGAATATTTTATTTGCTACTCCAGATGCTAATAACCTATGCTGGTGTTGTTAACTCGGAGTTCACGTGTCACGCACCGGATGGCGCACCCACTGGAGAACTGCACAGAAGTTTCCACCGGCAAAATTACATAGCAAAGTACTATAAAACAGTCTATTTATCAAGAAAACACCAATTCAGAGCAATATCGGCGCGGAAATGAAAATACATCAAGAAATTTCCGTGCAGATTACGTATGTATACATACTTTTAACGCCGTAAGAATCAGTGGTACGTCACTCCCACAGGAAACAGCAGCGGACAAATAGCATGGAACGAACTGTGGGAAGGTCCACGAGTTCGTTCCACATCCTTCCAGATTTATCTCGAAGCCAAAAATAAACTTGATCTTTCATAATTGTGATTCAAACTTTAAAATTTTTACTATGGCCCAAAAAAGAATGCAATCATATACTGTATGTAGATCACGCTGAAAAAGGACTGAAAAATCTAACAATTCTGAAGCGTATAATCGGTCTTTGGATTTTCCGTATTTCTGTCAATTACTGCCATTCGGTCCGCCATTTTGATTAATCATTACTGGAGATGGATTAGTGTTTATCTTATGACGTAACATGCAGAAGCAGGTCCGTTATCAGGCCTGGTCCGTGATAAAAAGCCACAAATTGTTCATACGTCATGATAAGTTGATGTACTATATAAGGCATTCTTGCATCCTGGCAAGTTGTCTCCATGATTTGAAATTTTATTACTCTTGACTTATCATCATTTTTATTGATCCGGAAATGAGTGATAAAGATTTTTACACGGTTACACAATGGTTTTCAATTTGCTTTAATCCAACATGTGTCACCTAAACGCCACAACACCATACTTAACAAAGAATTTTGATTTCATTTTATCGTTTATTAAGTTGTCCCAGACAATATAGTAAAGGATCGGGAGCAATAAGGAAGACAAATCATGGATACTGTTGTAAACCTAAGATTTAGCAACTGTTTGGCCGCGCTTAAAATATTTGGGACAAAAGGGGCTCTTTGGGGTGGGGAATTTTGCGGCCCCATCTCATGGCTCAGTACTCTTCCCAGATCCTCTCTTCAAAGGACCTTCAGACTTAAGAGTTCAACAATATTTTTTAAAACGACAAACAGTTTATCATAAACTGATAATGTCAATAATAATTTCACTCTTTGCAGCCTAGTTAGTTGGCATTAATTTAATTTTCTCTCGCCTGCCGAATGACTATCAGTGTTTCAAAATAAATCAATTGAATTGCGTGCTTCATTCCTTGGTAATCATTTCCGCAGCTGTCACCTAACGTAACTTGTCCAGCGGGTTTTTTTATACTCGTTAACTTTGTATGGGGTCCTCGCATCAAACTCTGGGCGGCAAACACGTTATCAATCTATGTCACGCATATTTCAATTTCGTTCCCTTTCGTTTTCGATGGAAAAATAACCTGGTTTGTTAGAGAAGGTCTCCTGGTCAAAAATTTCCAATTCCTGTAGAATATTCAGAAATTAAGTTTAATTAATTTAAAAACTATCCGAAGATCTTAACAGATCGCCGTTAGCACACGCTTCAAGTGTCTGATATGGAACTATAGTCAGAACATGTTTGTTTCGCTGATTGAATAACATATTTCCACTATTTTTCTTTCATTAATGGTTCTTTGTGGACTACGGATATTGTTTAAGTGGATTAAAAAAGCGACAGTTACGGTGCATTGGTTAAGAATAATGTGTACTTGACTAAAGAATCGAAAACATCCGCACATTTATTTGCATAAAGCAAGCGACATGTTTTAGAATCTGAAAGGCCAGTACAGACAAACTTGAACTGAACTGAAAGCCTTTGGTCGGCACTACTGAAAGAAATATTTGATATTGACGTGTTGTTTGTGTCTATTTAAAGCATTATTAGTTTAAGTTAAAAGAGAAGGGCCTTGTTTTTTTCTCGGTATCTCCGACGAATTCCTGTTGGTAAAAATTTCATTTTAACTTGAACCTTTGAATTTGATTTTATTTAGACTGCTTACCTTCTGGAAGAAGAACGAAGATCACATAAATTGTCGCTAATCGGAAAATGGACCCCTTCAGCTGCATTCTGGTAATGTTATTTAGCGACAACGCGAAACTTGTGCAACGTTGTGCTGCAATTAGCAGGAACTGTCGGCTTTCAATATCACTCTATGAGCTTCAATGCGGTGTGATGACATTTAAGAAGAAGCATGGAATTTTGATTGGTCAACTTTTTTGAGACGTAATGAGCCACTCAATTCATTAGCTCAATATTATGTGGATTCCTCGGAACAAAAGTCATTCTCGATTCCACATAATTTAAGAATTATGTGGAATCTCTCAGTTTCATTCAAAACTGATGGAGAGAACGACAACAAAACTTCGCAAATAAACAATGAATACTGTAAATAGTGACTTTTTTCTGGAGTACGGCTGACAGAATTACTGCAATACATTGCAGTTATTGACAACCGATTAGCATCTCCTGGCAATATCTTGATGAAAAAAAAAAAAAAAAAAAAAAAAAAAACTTTTACGTACGAAATTGGGGTTGGCTTATATCCAGACGGTTCATGGAGAGGACGTCCTCGAACCTTCCTGCCTGATCCCCATGTGATACTCTGATGATCTCCCCTCGTTAACAGTTACTTAGCAGTCATTTTTCTATAGCTCACTCCTTTATACTCTTCTAGCCACGACTGATCCCCCAAATGTTCTGCCCCACGCGAAAAATATTTACTGATCCTTAAGCTGCGATTAAGTGATTGCCGAAAAGGAAAGAGGCGTGAAAACATTAAGGCTTCGACTAGATTCGAACCCTTCTTTCAATGCAAATCGTAATCCTTCCAACGACTAATTTTGAAAAAAGAAACCAGCAATCATATTTATCTATTATGTACATATTAGAGAAATACCGGAATATTTCCCGTTTCAAAAATATAATACTTCATTCTCATGGTTGGCGGGTTAGCCGGGTTCTTTATTCTCAATTACCAACATCAATTGTTTTAAATTCATCTTATATTCATTCTAAGAATAATACATATTTTCATAGTGAGAACTTGTTTTATATTTCTGTCAGATGTTGCAGTAGCTCTTCTGCGGGATCAATTTACGTGCGACGGTAGATAACCATGGCCTTTAATTTTGATTTTTAGAAATAACATTCCTGTAACTCTTACAGGTGGAAATAAAGCGCTTATGCGAATGGAGACAGAACCCTAAACACAAATCCCCGTTAAAGGAGTCATTTGAGGGCTGTGAAATACTCTTTTATACAGTTACCCAAAGTTACGTTAAAAGAAACAAAATAGGAGCCGAAAGGGGAATGAATTATCATTTCACTGTTCAGTAAGTGTCTTATTCTGGATGAGGCGGTGGATACGGCAGCTGCATATTCTCTTTGTTGCAATCTTAGCCTCTTGGTAGAAGCTTGGAAAGGAAAAGGCACGCACTACACTGAATATTATGGTCTGCCCATAAATCAGCAACCGAGGAATAAAGAAGAAAATGATCCGGCTTCCAGGCCACAATTCAAAGTTTCCACCCGCGATCTCGGTAAGCCGCGCTGGACTGGTACAGATAAAAATGGTCGTAGCAAGTGTAAGGCAAATCCTGCGCAATTTCATCTTGGTTTGGCCATTGTGGTCATCTGGGTCTGGGGGTAGGAGTGTAAAATTATCTTTGGTTAGAATGCTGTTTTAAAAACTGTTATTGAAAAAAAAAATGCCAGAATAAGTGGAGCTGGGCTTAAAAGTTTTTGTTGTAGTCATTGCTTTCACTACTCTATCCATTAAATTGATTTACTGAGATGTCCCTGGTATATCCAGCCGGTTACACCCATTTTTACTTCTGGCTGAAGAAATGCATGGGTCTGGCCTGTACCTGAAACTTCCTTCTTTCGACCAAGACCTCACCGCGGTAACAACTAAGCTGGTGCGCACCTCAATCCCCGGAGCTTAATTTGTGTAAACATTGAGTAAGATCGCGTGAAGATCTTTCTCGAGTCAAAGTGATAAGCTACATTTATTCTTACCAGCTTTGTCAAGGGCTTCATAGTCTGGATGCACACCAAACTTATTGCAGTAAAAGCAAACCGTCACCAGAGGCAAGATGGCCACGTACAGGTATTCAGTCCACTGAAACACTGGCATTCGACCCAAGCTGTTGTTTATCAGTGTGCAGCGTGTGCACCTCCCAGGTATCCTTACTAGGGAGGTGAACAGCAAGGGGAACGCAAACACCAACGACATAACCCAGTTGGTTGTGCAGAAAGAGGGTTGCGTAGGAAACCCAAATGGGGTATAAGCATCGCGCGCCATATTCATGATGTGGGTTGCTATGGCAATGTAAATCGCACGTTCGACAAAAAAGTGCAAGCTGCAAATGAAATGCAAAGAAATTAAGTTTTAGTTATTTAGTAATTCACCGGAAGTCGACGTTTGGTTTTCCTCCGATTAAAGACGGTTTGAATCGCAATATTTCTACCAGAACATGAGAAGGTGTAAGTGAAACATGCCGCGGCTGTTCTGAGCAGAAGCATACGATTTTTCAACCAAATGTCTTACAGAAAAGGGAATCTTCGGCTCCCTCGCTACCTCAAATAATTAGGAATCTCTGCAGACAAGCCTCGTTGCTGAATACACCCCCCCCCCCACCCTTCCCAATGAAGGGAAGCTTAGTTGTTCACATAATTATTCAATCCGTTGAGGCACCAAAGTGTATATTTCCGTTTTTTACGAGGTCTCACTCGGTTCCTGTCTTCGAATGTGTTTTTTGAGGAAGCTACGTGGTAATTTTCTGAAGAGATTTCTCGCTACGACGTTAATTCACTTCATTTTTTTTTTGACCGATTTTCCAGCTAAATCGTAAACCCCTTTTACGAGTAAAACACAACAGTCGAGTCACAGAAGCGGAAACGATAATAAATATTTAGACAAGCTGTGTTCATTTTGTATCCTCCAAAAGCGAGACAAATTGCTATTCAGTCTTAATGTTTTCCAGCATTTTCTTTCATATCCATTCTACACGCAGAGAATCATTTACGCTTACTATAATTTGGCCTTTAATAAAAATGCAAATTTTCGAGCTCGCACGAAAATTGGATCGCTTCTTTCGTCATTTGCCAATCAGGAAGAAATATTGCTTCCACCTTGAAGATGCCTCAGTGTTCACAAAATTTGGTTCATAAAACTCGAGGAACAAAAACTGCTGTTTATTTTTGTACAAAAAAATATTTGTAAAAGTAAGGAAAAAGTAAAAAGAGAAAAATGCACACGCGAAGGAAGCTTATTATAAATCCTGGTCAGTGACTGAATAGCCGAGGTTGGTGAATTGTCTCAGTCACATTTACGGATACATATCTTAGAAGAGAAAAGTGAAATAAAAGCGAAACTTTCTAAAGTTGAATTTAAATGGGAGGCATTGAGAGGAATTCAGCATAACTGAACAAGAACACTTTTGGTCAAGTTACTTTGAAAGTAGATTGAAGTTATCAGATCGAGTGTGCGGAAAGTTAAGTGTTGCGTCTCCAAACTGATTAAAACTCTTTGACTTACCTGCAGGAATACTCCCCAAAAAACCAAGATCCATTTGTTGTGAAGCTGATGATATCAAAGGGCATTCTGACCAGAAGGATCAAGTTTGCAATGGAGCAGTGAAGCAGATAGTCATTGCAGTTCTTGCTGTGGGATTTGGAATTATTCCCTGTCTTACAACTCAGCAAAATGAACAAAATATTGCTTGCAAAACCTACTAAGAATATGACAAAAAATATCAGAAATTCCAAAAACAAGAATTGACCACACATCATGGTTGACTTGACGGGGGAATTGGGTGACGAAGATGAAGAAGCTGTTTCTGTTGACATCTTTCAGCAAATAAAAATGAAGCAGTCTTTGTGATCGCAAAACAATAAACAATTTTCCTTTAAATTTTAATCTGAAAAAGGCAAATCCGCAAATTATAAAGTCTGTATCAGATAATAGGTTTGCCGAGCCGAGTTAATTTTATTGATAAACGGCATTGGTAAGTTTGGGTGAACATCTGTTTGGTGACACATATTCATTGATTCGGCCTAAATTGATTCTTTCTCAGACAAACAGGTGCGAGCGCCTGGTGACGAGTGCAAAGCGCGAAAATCTATGAGGAAAAGAAGAAAAAGTGTTTTCTTAAATCCGTCAAATATTTTTGCTCGCCTACGATTGGTAGATGGGTTTTCACGGGTATAATCAAAGTGATATTCCCCAATTTCCTCTTAGTACCCAACGTTAAAAGTGTTCGTTTAAAATTCAATTCAAGGTGAGGGAACGCTTACATATTCTTACAGAACGTGTTTGTTTGTCCATACAGTCGTAACAGAGAACTCTGAAAAGTAAACATCCCACGCAGCAAACAATAAATCGTTCGTCGACATTTCAACTGCGCGCCGCAAAGATATTTGAAGGATAATAAACACAATAGCCTCCATTTGGCGCAAAAATATTCTCCTCTATAGTCCTTGGATATTCTTTAAGCTCTCATTTTCTCTTGAACCTCGTTCTCGGAAAACTGTTCGCATCTCAGAAAAGGTGAGGTCCGCAGAGAAATATCTGTGCATATTTTCGCACCAAATAGAAGCTATTGTCTTATATTTATCCCTGCTTCCTTCCGTACTTGAACAGCTCAAAAGAAACAGTCAACGAGAAGTTTGCTACCTTTAAAAGTAATTCAAAACCAAATTTTATGGTGAATAGCGCTGAGTGGTTCTATAAAAAAATTGTCTGTACTCGCTAGCGGCTTATGCCTGTACGGTTTAGGTTCTGATAAGCAAACAATTTATCAGACAATGCAAGACGCTTAATGATGAAGGTAATAAACTGGGAAAAATAGCAATTGTGTTAAATGATAAAATTACAATTATAGTTAATCTACAATATCGTAAGGGTTTCCTGCATTGGTGTCGGAAAGAAAAGGAATGGAAATATTATATTATTCTAAGTCATTTAATTCAAATTATAAAAAGGGCAGGTTGATTACTTCGTACTCCTTGGTGGTCTTATCTTAAAGGTTGAGTTTGGTCACGTTCTTCTTGTGAGTTTGGCCACGTTCTCCTAGTGAGTTTAATCACGTTTTCTTCGTTGTGATCGTGAGGTTGACATGGAACTCGTGATAAGCCATGTTCTTAAATAAGTTAATTTGTTAGTCCAGGAAGAATAAATCTCCCTGGTAATAGGTCGCGTTCGACACCTTCGTGTTCCCAGAGGTAATTTAAGGGTAAACAGGTGATACCCCTCATGTTTCGCAACCAAAAGCAATTTGGGGGCGGTACTTGTGAGCGCCTTTCTTCTTTGACTCTTGTGACCAAGATGTTGTTATGTAACAATCTTTAAAGGTGATTTTCTCTTAAGATACCCTTTCAGGTATAAATAATAATCGGAACCAAGGTTATTTGTAATTTTTATATTAACGATCTCGTTTCTGTTCTGGCCGATCTCAACCATAAAGATATGAAAATTAAGGTAGAAATTGATTTTGTAACTGCGTAAACAACTCGAAGGTGCATACTCAGTATGTGGGAACTGTAATACGTAATCGAGCGTGATTCGCTAGTTAAGATGGTCCGATGACGACACAAGAAGATTGAAGGCTTAGGAATGTCATCCGCAGTGTCACCTTTATAAGCGGAGACTCTAGTTTTCCCTGTCAGATAGGAGTTAGTCCCGTTGTAACAACTTGAGAAGAAATGAAATTAAAGAAGAATCAACCAAACCAACAACGAGTGTTAAAGAATTTACTTCTAACAATTGACACTCTACAAAACCGGAACTTTCGTTTATCAACTGTTTGTCACGGTGTTCGTGTGCGAAATGGTATCACAAAAATCAGAATTGATACCCGTCTTATTTATTATGTGCAAATTTATTGGTTGTTTATGGGACAGAGAAGTCTCTGAGGTTCTCTGGTTTCTTTCAATTTTGATTAAAACGGTCTCTGAAAATAAAGTATTGATGGAGAGCCGCGGAGCCCTATACAGTACCTGATGGTGGGAAAGTAAGTCTTCGCTCAAAACGAAACAGTATGGAATGAAATTCTCCGGCAGCATCTTTTCAGGGCGTGGGCAAAGACAACCAATAACTTTAAAGTGGGCTCGACAAATGCATATTTTTTTCTCAAAATATGAAAACTGGGGGTCGACCTTTGGCCGGTACCTGTTACTGACTCGATAAACGCTGAGTATTTTATGCGCCTTTTTCTTTTTTCAAGGGTTTTTTCGTCTGCTCATAAGTAGCAATAAATAATTGCGGTTAACGTATTGGTTATTATTGAAGTGCGTATTATGTCACAAAAAATACAATATTCATCGATCTTGCTTCCTTAGTAAATCATTATTAATACGACAAAATTGATAAAAAATGTAATTGCTTCGAGCATTACACTGACATCCTGAACATACTTAATGACGAATTTATGTCGATAATTACAATTCCAAACCCAACAACACCATTTGAATATATACTGTAATTGTGTTCAATCTAAGAGATCTAATAACCAAACAAGAAAAGAAGTCCAGCGAAGGCCATCATAACGTGAGTGCTAATCATGCGACCATTGGCGCAGTAATCACCAGAACAGCAGTCCACTTTACAAGCTACATTAGGAAGCCGCTGGGTGGGAACACAAGAAGCAGAACACGTGCGCGTGCAGCCTTTAGCGTAACTTTCTTTCCTGGAGATGTTGGAGCTGGATCTGAAGCAATGCGTCGAAGTTGAGCATTCGGCTTCTTTTCGATTGGCATCGCAGTCATTCCAAGAGGTGTTGCTGAGACACACAAAACATTTACGGGAAATCACTGGATTTAGAAGAAACATTTCAGGCAATGTCAGATGATGATATCTTACTCAAAAGTCTTTCATGTAAGACACCGTTTTATTATAAAGCTGTCATTTGTCTTCTCTCATACTACAGATATTTGGGGCGAAAGAGCAAAGATCGAAAGAAGATCATCCGCTCATCAGCCTACTTCAACCAAAGACTGGGTCAATTTTAGCGTGAAAATGACGGAAAATAATCTTTGAAACGTAGACTACAGCATAATCAGCTCTAAAAACCACTACTCCCAAAGAAATTGGGGTTTTCAAATTGAAAACAACTTTTCAATAAAACTCCTTAACTCCCTCGCTAGAACTACCTGAATGTGCATCCGTGCATGAAAACAACTCGAAACCCAGAAATAATTCAGTGAGACTTCGTGGCATAGTTTATCACTTCGGCTCACTCTATGAACTAATACCTCGATAAATATTGATGACAGTTGCATGCACATACTTATCACATATTTTACGAAACGTTACCGCAGTGCAAAGCTACGCTTCTTTGTAAACCTCTTTATATCCTCGGTATTCGAAAACTAAGCTAAACAAGGTTCTGCTCACCTTTCGGCATAGTTGCACAAATAGGAAGCTGAATAAACAAATGTTCTGTAAGCGTATTTGAGCATTACATATGCGGGAGAACCGCTTTGATTCGCGACTCGACATTTTAAGACACTTTAACGGCTGCGAGAGAAAGCCAGAGAAAGAAGCTGTAAAACTTCACTTGATAAAGCTCCAAGAATGTTAATATTGTTGCAAAGTAGTAGCTTTACGATGAGCGAGCCCTTGACGAGCATCATGCAGGTTAGTGCAGCCACGTAGCAGTGACGCGGAAATAGAAATAAGATGTAACTAGCGATGAAATATATTTGTCATTGCCTCAGAGTTGATTAACATGAATTCTATACTTACCCACTGGTAAGAAAATGATCAGCATCACAACTATCAAGTTCGTTGCATTCGACATGTTGCATACTAAAATATGACACGCTCAAAAACGAGTTTAACTTGATCTTTCACAATGCTTGTCACAAAACCGCAGATTTGTGCTGCACGTTACCGATCATTCGCTTTCTGATCGTCTGTGGCGTCATTTCTAACAATCATGATAGCACCCCTTTTGTGTATGATTCATTTCGTCACAGCTGTCTAACTTTTCATTTTTTGGAATTAAATATACGCTTTTCCTAACTCATCTCCGCCAGCAATAGGATTTCCTTGAAAGTAGGATTCTAGCAGAAGTTTACGCGATGTCAAGGTTTTCAATAATTCTCGCCGTGGTTTAGGTATTCTTTCGGAAAGTTCCACTCGCCAATTTTAATTGGTATTGATGAAATACAAACAATGTCTTACGTCAATGGCATAAGAAGGAAGTAATAAGGCTCTCAAAAAAAAAGACAGTAACAACAAATAAGCTTTGAAAATAGCAAATCGAGACGACTGATTTATAACGATAGGAGTCTTTGCACCCTATTCCAGAGGTAAGATTTTTATCACTATTTATTTTGATTTATTTTGATATACACTTAAATTACCTAAAATACGATATGGATATTACTCACAAGAAAAAAGTAAATATTTCTAAAATTTTAACCGTTAGCCGTAAAAGCCATCACACCATTGTGACCCTCTTCATACACTCGATTACACAAACGTTGGTACCTAAAAAGTGTTAGCAATGAGCGTTGAGACGGCAACGGGTTTATAGGTACATATGTAAATGTCTGTAAATATACAAAAAATCGTATATGTGAACTGCGGTTGAAGAAACGAAAATGGGACCGATCCTCGCGGTTATAAACACTACTTAAGTAGTAGTGAAATTTTGTTTCACTGATAAGCAAATACATGGGCTACAATTGCTACCACGAATTTGGATAAGACTTCTTTAGTCAATTGGGACTGACTCGAGTTGCAAAGGTCAGCGGTAGCAATGCGCATGACAAACAGTTTCCTTTCGCAAGGGAGGATACCGCTGGCATAACATCTATCAGCGCATTAGACACGTATTTTTTTTTTGTTCTAAATATTTTGTACGGAAATATTCAGCACCTATTTTTTTTACATGTTTCTTTTTGAAGAATCTCGTCACATCTTCGCTAAGAGGTCGCAATGGTAGAATTTTAGACTATCAATTGAGAGAATAATTTGCTATATCAGTCTCTCCCTACAAATGAAAATATTTAGTCTCAAGAGATCGTTTTCATTGCAAACTGTAGTCGTCATGATAATTAAATCTTATTACCGCTAAAATTTATTATAATGGTGCTTAGAAGTAAAATGACTAATGAAAACACTTTGATTCTGTTCCTCCACGACGTGATAATAGCGGAGGTCGCAGAGCGTAGCTCCATAGTATACAAAATAGTAGTAACCGATCAAGTCGAAAAAATTTGGACTTACGACCGTACGACCATACGACCGACCAAGATGCTACTTTTAACATGCGTGGTCAACTGTACCGCGGGCACACCAACGCCACGGCTTTGTTCAGTAGTCTAGCCACGTAGTTTAGTAGTCAGTGCACTGAGCTCCGAGTCGGACAACCCGGGTTCTAGTCCTGGCCGGGGCAAGGCGTTGTGCCCTTAAGAAAAAAAAATTTTTTTAAAAAATGCGAGCTCGGCTTTTAGGCTTGGCCAAATATATATTTTAGAGGTTTGGCTTCGGTTTTCGAAGAGCGTATTGAAATTTTGACCTTGTATCAGAAGAAATATTTTTCCAAATTTGCAGCTTATTTATACCTTATAAGGCTTCATCCCACTCTATCCCCATGGTTGTCATTAAAATCCATTGTGAGTTAGAAAACCAAGCTGTGCAAGTAAAAATTGTATTGACTTTATTTTGGAAATGGTTTATTTGAAGAGTGTTCTCGAAACTCGGTGGAAAGTCACCTGTTTTTTCTTTCCTTCATACAATGAATGTAAATCTTTGTACCGTTCATCATTGATTATTCTTCATGTTCTTCTCGGTGCTAGTAGAAGTGGTAGATATTTTTACTGTTGCGCTTCAGAGCGCAGCGAACGTCTACCGCCATTTGCCTCTACTTTGGTAAACAATAGTTGAAAAAAATAATACAGAGATGTATATCCAGTTTGTGCGATGTCGTAAATGTCCTTTCATGATTGAAAAATCTTCTCTTATTCAGTAATTATAAAAGTTAATCATACTTGGAAATATTCGTACTAATTTAACAAAAAGGAAAATCACAACCCAGGATTGAAGCTAGGTCTTCCTAATAAAAGCAATTGATAAGAATAGTTTTATTCTTAGCGAGTGTATATCAAGGTATGGATACACGCAGGAAGAGCACGAGAGGAGCATAAACCGGTTGCTCCAAGCGCAGCCTTGGCCAACTTTAGCTTCTTAAGTGGTATCCAAACTCCGCAAGGGCTTTCATAACTCGTTCTACCCGCAGTGTCAATATTGCTAATAAGGGTGCATTTGTTGAAGAACAATTCCCCTCTTATAAGTTCAAATTTTTTCGTTATTTTGACCGACAGTTATCCTAGTAAAAGAAGACTGAGGTGTGCTAATGGCACTTAACTAGTTCCACAATTGACTGTAGCAAAATAAGTTGATAAACGGGATCTCGCGGGAACTTTGCGTAAAATGAATCACAAGCGTCAAATTTTGTGCACGCAGCGGTGCGTACATAGCGATAAAAGCCATGTTGGTTCAGTAAGAATTGGTCACGCCTACAACGACTGTTGTCGAATCAAATTCATTCAAAGTTTATTGTTGATCGTGTTTAAAAAATCAATTATCCAGTTGAAAAACTTGAGTACTTTAAGTATTCCGTCAAACGGCTTACTACGCAATGATGTAAAATGGTTTTCTGCAACGACTGAGTTCGCATGAAATGTCGCAGTCAGAAAGTCAATGATAACGACACCTTCTGGTGCTTGTATGTAGATATTATTAGTCACCATCGAAACGGTGTCGAGACTTCTTGCAGGTGTCATGAATACAATAATAAACTAAAATATTAATGACTCGCTGAAGAACTTTTTCGTAGAATTTGTGCATGCCGAGTAACTCCGTGAAAACTTCTGGTCGCAGTTCAAACAACCTGCCGACTTGGTCCGACGCACGAATGGCGAATTTTACCTGTTCAAATCGGGGCCGAGGCAAAATTATTATTTTGTTTCCGTTACTCTTAATGTTTTTTCTACCTAAAGGTAAGTTTAATCGAATGCTTAAACCGAAACATACGCGTCGTTCTGATTTATATTCGACAAAACTTTATATTACGCGTCAGAAAAATTAGTAAAAATCTAAAAGACAACAAATACAATTACAAACGTTGGCGAGGTTTGTGTGTTCACCGGACACAGGAACTAATGTGCAAGCCTGATGATTTGAAAAAAACTCAATGAATTCCAATTCTTTTTACAATCAATCGACGACAGGATATAAGCCTTAGAAGAGAAAAAATTAGTTTCACTCATTCCAGTTTAAATGTTTTAACTGACATATGTAATTAGAGACGATGAGACAACCGCGCTCAAAGAAATCAGTATCTTTTAAATGCATATTAAATCTCTCTTGTCATTTCTTTTTCAAGTATTCATTCTCAATAATTCCAATTTTACTTTGAACTGGTTCAAAAATATTAATTTACTTATCTCAACACTATTCCGATCACTCGGAGACTTAACTCGTTGAACCACGGCAGCCGTCTCTGTTCTTAAATTAAAGCGTACAAATTTTATAACAAAAGTTTCAGAGACCCTCGAGCAAGACATGGTAAGAAATAAGTAAATACCTCACGAAATTGACGGATGACCGCCAGAAACCTGCGGTGTCGCTCTATGAAGCTATCATGAATGTCTACCTTGCTAAGTCAGCTTTTTGTGAGGGCTTTGAGGTTTCAGAGCATCAAAACAAGTATAGTGACGCCGCAAGAGGATTATGTGTGAAGAGAAAATTGAGTTTTCCCCGTTTCGTGGTTGGTGCGACTTAAATTCTTCTCCCAAAAACCCGGCAGCTTTGTAAAGTATTACACGTAAAATGAAAATGAGTAGATAACTAACATGATATACTCGTTTACTGGAAAAATAAAACCGTACGTTTCCTATTCATCTCATCTTATCACCAAAGCTTCTTTAGAAATCTACGGACTTAATTCCTTTACTTTACTTCTTCTTCTGTCCTTCTCTGTTTCTAAAAATTTGATTTGACTCCGAAAATCCAAGCAGAAATTGAAAACGACAAAGTTTTCCATCACGATGGATTATCTGACTTCAGTTTTGTGGTGCATAGGTGCAACGTAAAGATTTTAATCAGTCTTACAACTGGTATTACTAACACTTTAATTCTCGGATGATAATCTGCAAAATCAATACTATTATCGTTATTCGCTTCGAGCTAAAATAACCATGTGATAAAACACAAAATTTAATTTTTCCTTTCTTAGAATCACGTCTATAATGAGGCGAAGGACTGTTTCTCATACTAGCAAAATTAAAAAGAAGCGAGTTTTTATTTTCGTTTTCATATGCCTTCTAGACATATCAAAGCAAAAACAAAGTTACAGGGGGCTTATTCAATCTCTCTTCTCAAAAAGCCAGATGGTAAAAGGGATTTATTCAAAGTGATTTTAGCGAAAGCAAGAAAAACACACACCCCTCCAATGATTTTCAGGCTATTTTCGCTATTGTGTGGCGCGTTCTCCATTAATATTCCTTTCAAATTTAACGCCGGTAAGTCTTAATAAGTCCCGATGTGTCACGACATGTTAATCCATTTATAAAACCTTTCACGCGCAGCGTACGAGTTTCGCAATAAGGTAGAACCATCAGAAAGTTAAGAAGCAACCATGTTTGGCAATAATATTGCCTGTAAACTCCATCATCATTATCATCTTTGTCATCATTATTATCAGCAGTGGTAGTAGTAAGAGTGCATATTTCAACGTAACGCTCAGACATCGAGTTAGCTAAGCCAAGCAAAAAACAGCTTTCGTATAGTTAACAGCCTCCTCAGACTCATATTAATATCGTTATCATCATAATTTATATCTTTTTTAGCATTTAGCCTACGATGTAACGTCTGCGAAAGCGGAGAGTCATGGGAAAACTGCGACAGAAACATGACGATAAAAGAGTGTACCGCACAAGAAGGGAGATGCGTCAAATATGACTATCACGTGACATACGATAACACTACCATGCCACAATCAAAGCGTTTTCGACGTGATTGTTTGCCTCCAGCCCAGTGCTCTAGCAGTACACTTCAAGCTTGTAGAGACCTCGAGGAGCCTGGTATCCCGATGAAAGTAACGTGTCACGTGTCATGTTGTGCCGAAGACTCTTGCAATTCTCAAGTAAAGACAAGTGCCTCTGTTCTAGTAATGATTATCATTCTTCTAACTGGGGCCACCTTTCAAATTTAAGAGACAGTAAGAACATTGTTGTCTCTTTATTCAACACATTGAACTGATCCCTGGAAAAACTGCCTCTTTTATGATCAATCGTCATCAACTTGACCAAATGTTATGTCGTTAAGTTTATTGACTGTTTTTTTCAATGTCAAGAAAGATTTTATTTCACAGTGGAGAACATTTAGAAGTAATTATAATTTGCTTGAATAATAGGCCCAACAAACTGATTGGGGTCCAATTTTAATCAACTTTAAGCCACATTTCCTTCCTTTCCGATTTCGAATCACATGTGATATTAAAGCACAAAATGTATATAGTTGTGGAAAAATCCAGTTCGGGTTTAATACAAATGATCATTCAATGGCAGATTAGCATTCAGACACACACTCAAGAAATTCACACAAGCACTTTAAAATAAGCACTAACACTACTTATGCAAGTTTGCAAGATTGAGTAGCTCTGCTTGTGGGCGCAGGAGGAAGACCATGCGCATACGTGCATTTTGGGCGCTGCTGTAAAAGCCCCTCAATTTCTTAATAAACATGTTCTTAAAGGTTCTGAATAAGTAAAGTTTTTTGTGATAAAGTTTACTTTAATCGAGTTAACCCTTGTTTAACTGGCCGTTGTGTCCGAATAAAGCAATCCCAAGAAATACATTCCCGGTAGCCGTGAACCTCTTTTTTAGTTCAAAATGCTATTCTTTATCAAGGCATTTCATTTCAAATGAAATTGTCAGTCTCTACTTAAAATATGTTTGGCATCTCCGGAACCTGCCACCCTTGTCAAGTGTTTTTTTTTTGTTTTTTCCACGCCCCTCCCCTCCCCACTTAAATATCAATTTTGAGTCTTTTTCGAGCGGCAAATGTTCTCGCTATCGACATCGACGAAAGGGGAAATGTTTCTGCACTCAGAAATGTTACAAGAACTGTAAGCCTGGTCTTTATCATTATTAATATTAACATTGTTGTCACCATTATCATCACTACCATTGCCGTTAACTTGGTTAACTTCTTACAAATAGGAGTGGCGCAAAAATTGATAGTTGAACTTCGTTGTCATCTAGCTCTCTTGAAATCAAGCCATGAAACTGTCTAATTCAATCCACCTGTTATGGTAATTCCAAAAAATAAATCTGTCAATAAGACAGACTTGTCATTGTATAATAATTTCGCGGAATCTATACGGACTCCGCAGCCGCTGGTTAACTCGATATCAATCGGAGAGGACTGTATTCTATCTTCTTTTCCAAGTTTTATTCTCGACGAACTCCGCCGACGTTCTATCAATTAATTCTATCAATTCTCTCGTTGTAACAGTTCAAACATTCTCCCAAATCCAACTTATGCTATATCTATTACAGTCTCTCATAGTTCGCCTTGCGTAACTACCAGCAAGTGTTTTCCCTACAATCACGAGTGCAGTAAATTCTCAAGTCAACCTATTGTAATATGCCTATACGTAATTCTTATTATCCAAAAGCACGTTTCGCCTTCCTTACTAGGCGGACTAAACGCGAGCAATTACTGCATCTCTCTTACAGTAAATCAACTGCGGACTTTGTTTACAATATTATGAAATCTGTCAACTCTCTAGTGCAATCATTTACAATTCCGTGATAATTGATATTTACTTGGACATTTAATCAATGCCTAATTCGTAACTAATATTCCCCGACAAATAATATTTTAGCGGAGATGTGGACCGCACTCCGTTCTTCACTGGTTAATGAAAGGTTTATGATAGGAAAAGATTTTTCCTTCAATGATCCCCAATTCACATTCAATTCACCCAACGATTTGTTTTTAAGACAGCTTAGTAAACAAAGCAACCCAAAACTTATCAAATATCATTTCGCGGCGGTTCGTTGCTAGGTTTCTTTTTCCTCCCAGAAGCGCGGGCGCGCATATGTCTGCGGTAATTGCCATGACTATTCCAACGTAAATCAAGATGGCAGCGAATTTGGATAAAGTCGTGTTCGATCTAAGTGGCCAAACACATTTTTCAGAGAGGGGAAAGACATTTTTAACACAAGTGAACTGGAGCTGAAGTCTTCTTTTGAGCGGGAGTAGATAGAGGTGGTCAGGTGGGCTAAAAGACGACCAAACTATGGTATGGGGAGAATGAATAGCGGACTGGAAGAGGTTTGCGGCAACAAACTTTGCTTTGTGGTCCACCGGTGGATGGCTACCTTTTAGAAATTGGAGAGCAGATTGCATCTAAACTAAGTCGCTCAAAAGCAGCATCAATTGTAAGCCCAGTTGTCATCTTCATTCCGTGGCAGATATTTCGTCACATAACAGTTTTGTTTAAGGGCCATAGCGGAAAAGTGAAATTTAATGAAAGAAAATAAAAAATCACCTCGACACTATCTTGTATACAAGCAGTGGAGAATATATTTTCACCGGCTAGATTCGAAGGCCAGGATGTTCTTAGAAAAAGATATTTCAGTCAACAACCGAAATCAAAGGCAAAGCCATCGTCCGTTTACAAAGGCAGGTCAGCCATTGTTGTATCTGAAGACACTCCTTTTGTTGTTGAATACAACCTCAAAAATCAGAGGGCTATGGTGACATTTTATATTCAACGGTACACGGCTGAGGATTTTGTATTCGTTAAAAGCTTACAAAGTCTCATGAATAAATAAGTTGATATTAATAAATATTGTTAAGTGTTGATCAAAGAGACACGAGTTTGTAGCTTTTTTTCAAATATATGTTAGTTACACTTCTGTATCAACATGTTCTCATGTTGAAATTTTCTAGAAGACAATAAATGATCTTAAATGACAGTACAGTTTAAATTTACCTGGTTAACAAATAAACTTATGTAAACTTCATACATGGTTATCAAATATGACTATGGAGCTTTCTGGTGATACATTGACAGTGAACAGTCCTATTTTACAGTCTCACTAGCTAATGCACCCTCAAGGCGTCTAATAAGAACATATTTGTTTCCACTAGTGCTTAATTGCCTACTTTGCAGCTCCATTTTTAGGTCACTTTCATATTTCTAGGGTTTAGATTACAGCTATTTGTAACTGGACCACCAGGCTGCTTTCTGCATTTAAGTGAACACTTTTATAAGCCTTGTATGTTACAGTATCAGGAAATCTCTCATCACATACAGAGCATAATACTGGTTTTAATGATGAAAGTACTTCAGGTATTAGTTTCTATCCCTCTGCACACTGGACAGTCACCCTGGCATCGACTCATACCTCACATATACAATCATTAATTTCCTTTTCTCTTCTACAATTGCAAAAGTTGCTTGAATGTAAGTGAGAAGGAAGCCTTAAATGAGACTTAAAATGAGAAGTAGAAAAACTTGGCATTGGTTGATGTTCTGGCAAATAAAATGCTCTTACAAAATTAGCTCACATTACTTGCCACCATTTCCCCTTTCAGTCGTTGTATTGGATCTGTTTTTCAATCCAAGTCATCTTAACCACCAAGTGTTTCACCTTTTTTGCCTGTAATGATATTATACCATAACCCACTTTTTAGCTTTCATACAATTTAGTTGCATGATATGGTGTGGCATACCCCACTGTCCACACAGTTACATTAACATCCGATGAAAAAAATAATGCATATAAATTAAAATAAAGTGTACAAAATTCTCTAAGCTCACTAAGGCAGGATGGGCTAAATTCAATTTTGTTAAAAAGAGCCTCAGCACTCCTATGGAACTGTGCAATTTTTCCTAAGGCTAACCTTTCTGGTTTCTGGGCTGGAGATTTATCCAAGACTTAAAGGGCACCAATGAGCCTAAACAAAAAGTTTGCCAAAGCAATGGCCTGGTCTCCTATCAACTGTACTGGAAGCTTCTTGTGCATCTAAGCCTCATCATTATAGTGATCCTTAATCACAGAAGCTAAATATCCCAACCCATAACCAAGTTCACCAAAATCCTCCTTATGTTAACTTGACAGTGCATTGCCCAGGTCACTTACAAACTTTAGGTTAGAGGCATTCACAAAATCAACTCTAGTAGATTGTTCTCCAGCACCATCATTATGTGGAACATAAATTTGTGATTTTATATTCCCATTCCCATTCCCTAGATCAGTTCTCTTCTCTACAGCTGAGGAACTCAATATATCAATAAATTTGGTAAAAATACCCCTTTGTACTGCTACCTGTACATGATATTCAACACATGTTACCATGCATTAATTTCACAGTGGATGGGTTCAGGGCACTGCTGCTTTGCAAAAATTCAAATTTGGGGGGGGGGGGAAACATAGCTGGTGAATCCCATTCTCTGCTATGAACTGTAGTTTCCTGGAATGGCAATCTTTTCACTCAGAGAAGATGGAAGGGAAATCATAAACTCATTTACATTCTTAACATGGGAACTTCTGACCTCCAGAGTATAGGAGCCATAGTACACATATTTCCTTCACTTACACTGGCATAAAGAGATAGGTAAGTGGCAGCTTGATTTAAATCACTGTTAGCCCAGCTTTGCCAGCACATATCAGCACTGGGCTGAAACTCTACAGTACACTGCTTGTTAGAAACAATAAATATATTACCCTCTAACATTTCCATTTCATCAATGTGTTGCTTCCAGATGCTTTGCAGTACTTCATATTTCTCCCCCAGACTGACACAATGTAAAATGTACTGGAAATCCCTGCTTCTCACCCTGTCTCCAAAATTCCATGTCATTAGGCTGCCATTTTATTGACATGATTAGCTGACTTGACTCAGGGGCCCCACCATCAGAAAATTGCAAAATGAAATGATTTCTTTTGTCATTAAACCAAATAAGCTTACGGGGAAAATAGGGAAGTCTAAGGTGCAGATCAATTATCATGAAAACAACTCAGGTATTGTTCTGGAGACACCCGGTGCATTGGGGATTTGATGAACATGACCAATGTCAAGACTTCTCTCAAAATTCTCCACCTGTTTGTCAGATATTGCTATATTTGGCACCCTTATTTCTAAACAAACTAGTTTGTCCATGGTTTGATTGTCAGCAGCAGATGAAATATCATCCCAAGCCCCATATATTGACCCTTCTTTTCCCCTGTGAATGAATTCTAAAACATTTTTCGTCTCCTGTCTTCGTCTGAACTTGGTGCTGGAACTGACATTTGTAATCACATCATAAGTTGTACTGGCATTTTTTCTCCTAGCTACTGAAAAGCCTTTTCGTTCAAGCAAAGATTTAAATTTGTGATACTGCTCATTTAATTGTGTAACTTTTTCCTCTTGCTGCTTTACTTGATCTTCCTTTTCTTCCACACTCATTTGAAGGCTTTGTAGTTCTTCTTCTACTGCATCTTTCTGAGCAACAGAAGTTTGTATTTGTCCCTTTTAAAAAACAAACAAACAAATCGAGAAATTAGATCTCAACATTTTTTGCAATTACAAGTAAATACTAAAGGAACAGCATGTTGTACATATAACTTATCTCCGTTCGAACTTCAGAGTAGCATGGTGATAAAAATGAAATTGTTGGCTCGTTTCGAAAACACTCAAAGTTATAATATTACCATATTCATCCAGCCAAGCCTTTTTAGCTTCAATGTCCAGTGATAACAATTTGTTTTGCTCTTGTTAAACTCTCCTTTTCTTTTCAAAGCTATATGTGAAGATGAACTCTTCCAGAATGCGTGAAAAGTTCTACTTGAATCTACTTGGTGAGAATTCGGCTTCCTGCATTTTCTGCTTTTTCTGTACAGAGGTCTTCGACTGCAAAGTGAGCAATAAATTTAAGTTATTCAACATGGCCACACAAACGCGAATTTGACGTTCAGAATTGCTTCGCTTACCTGTCGTCCCATTAATCCCCTGAAAAATTGCTGGCTATACTAATATTATTCCTCGAATGGTCTTTACACGACCGTAATGACACACAATGATCGGCGATCTGTAGAGAATCCAATATGGCTACCAGCAAGAGGCTTCGAGCGTTTGATAAAATTTGGAATTAAAATGAAAAAATTTACGGTTTCCACGATTGAAAATAATAATAACAATAATAATTAATAATAACTACATTTACATTTTATAAACAAATGGAGTCTATATATAATGTTTAAGAGAATATAATAGAAAATTACCCAGGATGGATTTCCCCCTCACTTCAACGCGCCAAATTCACATTCATTAACGATTTCACCTCGAAAACACAATCCTAAGCGGGGGTCACGAGATTAAAAACATACTTTAGTATGGGAAGAACATACCTACCCCTGAAAGTAAAGATTTTGCCCTTTCTTAGAACCGTTTAAACCAGGAATTTGTCTCAGAAAGGGACTGAGAAAAACCCTCTTTTCGTCACCAGACGGAAGCGTATGCAAGATTTATTGTTAGAAAGCCATAACTGGAAGGTTGGGCAACTGTGTAACATGCAAATATATTCATTGTATTGCCGAACAGCGAATTTCAATATCTCCACTACTACCGAGCTACCAGACACGAAAACAACAAAGGCCTATTGGATCACGTGACGAGAGGACCGAGTTTACATAATTTGTAATTCAAACACTTTGCTTGGAGAAAAGCCAAACAAAAGCCTTATTAAGTTTTTCAAGACGCGTCGGAAAAAGAAAATGAAACTGCTATTAACAGCATGGGTTGTAGCTTCAGTCTTTGTGAAAGGTACGTGTCTCAGATGCCACTGTCTTTTTTTTATTTTGTTTGTTTGCGCTACGTACTTTAAGACGAAATAAAAACGTGACTTTCCGGAATAGCTCCCAAGGATAAATGTTTCGGATGGACTCATTTAAGGTCGTGCATGCATTTCTTTGTGGCGAACATCTACGAGCTTAGAGTTCATTTTGCTCGTTAAAATGACGACTTAGGCCTAGTTCAAACGTCGATCTTTACATGTACCGAACCTAACGTTTCTATTAAGTACATGTAAAGATCGACGTTTGAATCAATTAGGATCGGCAGATTTGTATTCGGATCGACAGTGCCGTTCTATCCGACTCGGCTAGTCGGATAGAACGGTAAAAGATCGGCATTGATTCATACGTCGTACTTTACATGTACCGAACTTAATGCATACATTATACATACGTTAAAATAATTATGTTTTACCCACAATTCAAGAAAGTTCGCTTACGTGCCATGCGCGAAAGCCTTCGAACCATTCAAACAATATGGCGGGAAAGGAGGAAGGCTCGTGCTCCTCTTGTTTTAAAACCACAAAATATACCTGTCTTACGTGTAAGGAGTACTTTTGTATGCCATGTTCGGTGTTTGAATAATAGAAGGCAAGCCAAATTCAAAACTCGTCTTCTCCTGGCAGCAAGGTTGTTTAATGCTAACTGCATTTTGAGTCGCCTTTTTCTACCCTCCTTGATCGCATTTGCAAGAAAAACAAGCTCTTCATTTCCACAAGTTGTGCTTCCCGCATTTTTTTCCGCCATTTTGGTAGGCATTAACCGCTGACTACAATGGAGTTATGTTCAGTTTTGCAACATGAGGGGACGCAAATCGTCTGCACTGTAAGTACATATCAAGCTCCGTAGGTGATTTAATCCCATTAAATATGAGATATTTATGTCAGCGTTTGCATGGTTAGTATCGTTAGCGCCTCTTCCGGTTGGATCTGGACAATGTTTGGTTTTTTTTCCCAGATTGCTTTTCACTGCATGTAGTTTCCGATGTGCATGAAGATTTTCCAGATATTCCCCTCAAAATGGCGCCGAGGAAAGGGTTTTCGACCTTCTCTCGCGTGGTCAGTGAGGGATTAAGCGATCAGAGTTACTGGTACGTGCTCACAACTGAAATTTGTGGAATAATTCCCTTACAATATTTAAAGCGATCGCCGATCGTGAAAACTTTTCCTGAAGATTTCTGCAGAGTTGAAAGCGGCAAACTTCGGCTTCTTGATGGGCGCCCTTTCGTCAACAAGAAAAGTTCAAGTGCATTCGAAGTTGTTTGCTCGTCTTTTGGGCTTGTATCGGCTATTCTGAGGAAGAAAACAAGTTCTGAAGAACGAGGATCCGCCGCGATTTATAAAGTGAAAGAATTTCTGAATGGCTTGGATTTTAGTTCCCTTAAAGGAGACGGCGATGAAGTGAATTGCGAGCGACCACGTGCAGCTCGGCGCCTTTCAATGCCTCCTCAATTCAACACTCCTAAGACGAAAGAAACGCCTGTCCCGGTTCATTTCACTCCTCCAAGCAGTGGCAGTCTTAGTTCCCCAAATCTTAAGGAGATTTGTGAAAGAAATGATTTGGAGACCCCAGAAAAGACTTTCCTTATTAAAAAGAGGGGGAGCCGCGTTCTCCAAGATGTACAAGGCATCTGTGAAAGGAGCCGGGAAAATTTGTCAACGGTGCTTTCCAGCATGTGCGCTTTTGGTGATCCTGAGGCGAAAGCTATCGTAAATGAGATTGTGGAGGATGTGGCCCTGAAGAAAGGAGTTAAAAGGACGGTGGAAGAGCTTGTTGGTGATGAAACGTTTTCTTTATACGTGGAAAGCCTGCGAGTTCCAGATTGGGTGTTACTGTATTTCAAGACCAAGGCAAGGATATCTGGTAATACTTGGCAAGCCGTAATCAATATCACCAAACTTGGAAGGACAGGGGTAAGGTTTATTCTTAGTAATCAATGTTACAAGGCTAAATGTTTTGCCTACTTTATGGCGACCGCTATCACAAATCAATAACCAGCCTCAAGGGAAGTTCCTAACAGTCACATTCGCTCTTTTCAAAAGCCTTTTTTTTTTTGGCAAATTGTCATTATTTGCTTGAAGTTTAGTCGCTCATGAAAATTTCCGTTTTTAAGATACAGTAGGATCGGTGGTAAAAGGCTTTAAAAGTTTTAGAATTTTGGCTTCTCTGCCTCTAAGATGTAGAAAGACCATTGACACCGAAAACTGCCCTGAAGAGTTTTTGAGACTGAGAAATTGTTGCCAGCTTAGCATGGCGTCTATCATTAATTTCAAGGGTGGAGGGGCAGCATTGCATAGTGTTGATCTCTCAGAAGGGCTCCTTCTTTTGTAAAGGACATGTCTGCACTCAGATTTATCCCAACTTGGAAGCAGTGCTATAGTAACAAATTAAATGCTTGAAAGTGATTCAAGAAGTGAAAGTCTTATTATTATTTATTTATTACAATGATAACGGCTGATTTTTTAACCCTCAGTTATCAATGTGTTTTCCATGTTAATTTTGTTGTTTTTAATTTTTGTTTTGCTTTCTTTCTTTGGTATCCATTTTAGAAATCCTCTGACACACCAATATTGTTAAATCTTAATCAAATGAAGGCTGCCAAAAAAGTGATCTTTGGAGTTTGTAAAGAATATATGGATATGAAAAAGGTGCCAACTCCTTTACAAGGTTATCAGGTGGATTTGTATCCTGTTTTGGAGCTGATTGTTCGTGAGCAAAGGCTGCATAAGGTGTGCTCACCAACTCTCAAACTTCTGATCAAGATAGATGGAAGACCCTTTTGTGGTAAATACAGACTGTCAGGTTTAAGTATGCTGTTATAAACTATAGAACAATACCTTATCTCAGAGTAAATGTGTAGCTGTGTATAATTTTGGTCCCATGAATGTGAATGAAATAATAACTGTTTCTATTATTATTTTTTTATGATCAGGTAGAAATCAGGTGTTGGTAGGTCTGGTTGCCCGTCTTAATCCTGTATACAGCATACAGAGTGCAAAGTCTGTTTACCCGCTGGCCATTGCCAATTGCAAAGAAAACAGGTTCATCATCAATTTCTATTCTATGTTACCAAAATACTTTTTCTCCTTTGCTTGGCATGGTTATGAACTGTTTACCACCCACAGTATAGACACTTTTCCATTTAAGCTTTCCTTACTGAAAGCCTGTAGTTTTGTAGACTATATATGACAGTTTTCATTGTTGTAATGTTGGCTTTCCAGTGGCTCCAAGATCTGACAAATGTAACAACCACACACACAACAAAAAAATACCCACACATAATTAGACAGAAAGAAAAAAAAAACTACAAACCCTTTTGCAATATAAGAACCTTACCCCAACACAAGCTCAATAAATAATAAGTTTCATTGACTGTCTTTATGCCTAATGTTATTTTGATAGGGAAAGCCTGAAGGTACTTTTAAAGGATGTAAATGAGCAAAAGAGAATTATCAAGAACCAAGGAATTTTTGTTGATGGCATCAAGTTCAATGTAGAATTTGATGGTAAGATGTTTCTGCCAGTTTATCGCATAAAGGTTGTTTGCAAGAACAACCCTGATCTTTTAATGGAGGGGGGGATGCTGACTTTCTTTTTTTGAAACGTGAGGGTTTTTTTTCCATTATCAGTGTAGCTGACCAATATTTTAAACAATAAGTTATTTTTCTACATGTATGTCATCATAATTCTTTATTATTGTTGTTTTTTGTCATATCTTAGTTTCATTGGACTACAAAACACTGATCCTTCTTTTGGTAAAGAAAGGGGATCTTGATTTTCAACTTGGTGGTCGAGGGGTAAATGTGGAATTTTGCTTTATATGCAATGCAATCAGGGTAAGTATTTGTGTTGGTGTACATGTGGATGTATAAGCATTTTTTTAGTTGTTGAAGTTCATCAGTTGCAATACACAAGCAGCAGTCTTCACTAACAATGCAACCACAAAATTTTGTAAGATAATATTAATTTAATTTGAGATAATTCCATTCCCCATTAGGGTTGCAAATGTCATGATGTAGCCCCAGATGAAACCTGCCTGGAATGCCTACGAAGCAAGTGTAACATAGGCAGGTATATTTTTAGTTTAGCCTTTCATGATCATTACTTAATGAACAGGCTTACTTAGGAAGTGCTTGTGGCCTTTTGGGTATCAGAGTTGATGCATTGGTGAGAGCAGCCACCTTCCACCAATCTGGATCTGTTCCTAAACAAAGCACAGTATGATTTGTTGGCTCTCTAATCTCCTCTGAGAGATTTTTTATCCAGGCACTCTAGTTTTTCCCTTTAATGGAAAACCAACATTTGACTTCATTGATTTTGGGTTGTCTCTTTTAGTTTAATTATTAGTCAAGAACACTTGTGCTTGGCTAAATACCCTTGAGACTTAAATAAAATCATCATTGTCATTTTTATTTAACATTGTTTCTTGAGTTTTAAGATTCATTGAGTTATTCCCATTTATTTATTGCCATGGTCTTCATGAGGCTATTAATTTTTTATTTATAAATACATTGTAAATGCATCATTGTTATTCATATATTTGCAGATCAACTGGAATTCGGGATGATCTCCTTTTTCTCCTTGATGAAGAGCTTACTAGCATTCAGTTGTGTGCTCTCCATATGGAGATGCGCAATACAGAGCAGTTGCTTGCGTCCATTGGTCTGATTGCCTACAAGATTGGTTCACTTCCAGAAGCCAATCAAGCCCTGAAGTGCTTTGGCCCAGAGTCTTTTCATGGTGATAGAATTTCTGTTAAGAAGAAGAGTGGTCAGGAGTCTGCCATTTCAAAGCAGAACATTCATGTGAGCTCTATGTCAGGTGCGTGAGTGGTTGAATTACTGGCTTTGTGTGTATTTTAAAATTGATTTGCTTTGTGGGTATCTATTATTTTTCTCATTGTGATAAACACATTTCAGGTCCAACAGAATTTGAAATTCTTCAAAACCTTGAAGAGATTGTGGGACTCTCCCTTCCACTGGACAAGTTAAAGCTCTCCTACATGGATGTAAACACTGCCAAGAATTTCATTCTTAACCGTGTTACATTTTGTCAGTCCCGTATTGATGTAAGTCTTTGATAGCAGATGTGGCATTGGCAAGTACCTTCACTTGTGGTTCAACAGTTCAAGTTTATTGTTCTTTAAGTTTAGAGGTGTGGTTTATGTTGTGCAGCGCCCAGATGTTTCGTCGGAGAGCGCTATCAAAATGGGCACCATTTGTAAGTACTTGCTTCCTTTTCAATTTCACACTATGCACTAGTTACCTTTCCTAGGAGATCCATGAACTTAGAGTTTCTTTCTTGCAAAAGTTCTTTCAAAGATCTTATTTAGTAGGCTGTACTTTAAGTTGGCACACCCAAAAGTGCAGTATAACCCAGCATTTTTGTATTTTTACATTCTTTCAATGATCTTATCTAGTAGGCTGTACTTTAAGGTGGCACACCCAAAAGTGCAGTATAACCCAGCATTTTTGTATTTTTACACTCTTTCAATGATCTTATTTAGTAGGCTGGACTTTAAGGTGGTACACTCAAAAGTACAGTATAAACCAAGCATTTTTGTATTTTTACACTCTTTCAATGATCTTATTTAGTAGGCTGGACTTTAAGGTGGCACACCCAAAAGTGCAGTATAACCTAGAGATTCTTCTTTTAGTTGCTTGTGTTTATATAAGAATTATTGTGCTGTAACGGGTTGTTTTGACACCCTTTTATCCTGTGTACAATTTCGTATGGATGTTGGCACATGCTCATAACAGCAATATACAGTTGTTGTACAGTTAAAAAAGTGGTTGCTTGTTCTGTTTTTTGTATGTAGTATTTTGTTGATGCCTTGAGGAAGCACAAGTTTCTTCGAGACTTTGGAACTCACACTGAGATGATTGATTTAGAAGGCTCAGGTTTGTTTTTTAAACTTGTTTCCTGTGGCTCTATTTTGTATAGAATTTGGCTCTTTTGCTGGGGAGAAAATCAATAGCTGTTAATGACAATTATTAAATGTTCACTGAATGTATTGTAAATGTACTAGTTAAACACCTAACACCTTTATGCCACAGTCTTTATGATTGTTTGTTTATTTTTTCTTTTATAGCTGTGAAAATCAATATGGAAGATCGCCTTGGAGCATGGCAAAAAGAGTTAGCTGAGTTATCTGACAATTTTAAAATGCTGTGCCGCTCACAACAAAATACTGTTGGTATAGAAAGTAGTGAGGTTGTAGAGTATGTTGCAAAGAAGCATCTGGAAATGTTGACAAGGGTAAATTAGTGGTGATTTAAAAATTCTCCAACTGCTTTGTTAATTAGCATGCTTTTAAGGAATAATTATTGTGTTTCTGACACCAGGTCTTTTACCAAGTTATTCATTTCATGTATTTAGGTTTGTAGAGAATGGAAGGAAATCGCACAGGTGACGAGATCAAGAATATTTGATGATACAGAGCAAGGAGAAATAGATCTTTTTGATGTCAAGGTCTAATATTTCCTCATTTTTATTGCCAAAGTGTTAGTTATGTACATGTTCATGCATACCCCTAAGATTAAGAGAGCATGTTGCTGATGAAAAGGGATTATTTAACCTTTTTACAACTGTGTTTGTGATTGAATGTAAAATACACTTAAATGTTATATAAAATGCAAAACACATGGCTTTCTTTTTGTGTTTATTGTTGCAAGCTTCATTATTAACTGTACATACTTATTTAATCAGTCCTGATAAAATAGGTTTGTCAATCACCATCCCCACAATGTGAATCAGTGGTAAATGCCAAATAGAATCCTTGTCCATGATAACTTGTGAGTATCTAGTGCACTGGTTTTTGAGTTTGCTTTGTTCTTTTTCCCTTCTTAATTGTAGTGTAAGGAATGGGGTTTCCTTTTGAAAGATATTTTTGGAAGCAGCCTTGGAACTGGGGATTACGGGCACTTGCTAATTGACCATGCCCCCATGCTTATGAGACGCTTTTTGTCAATGACTGAGTTTAGTCAGCAGGGATTTGAAGCATCCCATAAGGACCAGCGTCAGCTTTGGCTTAAAGCCACAAGCCATGATCAGCATGGGGAAGCCTCATCAAGTAAGTGTAAATAGTAACCAATACTGATAATGAATTGGCAGTTGTTGAAAGGGTGTGTGTTTCTGTTTGACTGTGAAAAAAAGACAGTGCAAGGAAGGTAATGTATTTAATGAGAATATGGACCCTGATTGTGTAGGAAACCAATTAAAGTGGCCATTTATTTCTAAGTTAGATATTGATTTCCATTGAATTACAGTTGAACAAATGCTGGTGCACTTTTATGCAGAACGGATGTTGTTTTTTCGTCTATCTCTCCGAGAAGCCTTAAAGTCAATTCATGGTAAGCATTAATTTATTGTGCATTCTTGCCCTCACTGACACTACTCCTGCTTTTCTTGAAATAGAAGCTAATTGGCTTTGAATAAACTCGTGAATTCTCCAAAAAATGCTTTGGTTCTTGCCCAATGCCCTATCATAATCTCAAAAACTTCATAACTTAGAAACTGTAGAAGTTGCCAAAATAAGATTAATCTATACTCTGTTTGGATGGAACTGTTAAAAAAAAAAAAAAAAAAAGGAACAAGAATAGAAAGTATAATCCAAAAAAGTACCATCAACTTGATTGAAAGGTAGGGTTATCTTTATTAATTACTTGTTATCTTTATTGATGTGTGATGTGTGGCTTGGAGTATAGCAGTTATTTTCATAAAGTAGCTTCATTCTTGGTCTGCTCGGGATTCACAATACATTCAGAATTCTCTCATGCACTTTGCAAAAGTTTAACTGGCTCCTCTGTTCTCCTTTTTTTTTTTTTACTTTTTCATTGAACAGTTATTAATTTAAACAATTCATTGGTTTGCACTTCACCAAACTTTTGTAAATATAGAGAGTTTTCTCTCATTACAGGAAAGACATTGGAAAATCAGAACACTTTTCAATTCTACTTTTCTGGCTGTGGTTGGAAAGCAAAGTCCATTTCCTGGGACTCAGGTGATATCCTCTGGATCAAACTTTTGGACAAACTCATGTTCATGATGTTTGGGGAGGATTTCTTCGAGTATGTATTTGATGAGAAAAGAACATGCCATGTGCATGATGGTTTCAAGCCACAGTTTGTTTACAACAGACATGAATGGAATTGTGAATATGAAAATATGATTTCCAATTCCTTTGGCTTTACCAGCAAAATGCAAGGTAAGTCAGACATCATATGGTGGGGTAGGTTTATTTATTGAGCCAATAATACCCAGCTCTATTCTATTCCTATCTGTTCATTGGCCTATTTTGCTTAAGGTTGAAATGTAGCTTTTTATGTCCATCACAGGTGACCTGAAAGTGTTCCAGCAGCAGAAAATGCCCAGCAAATTTTCAAAGGCAATTCAAAATCAACCAGAGATTGCAAAAGGTAAAACCAAAATACTCTGAACACAGATACAGTATGTTTGCACTGCTGATCTTTAGTCACTGGTTTAAAACTGTAATATACTTTTATGAGCTATGGGGAAATTCTTTTTGCACTAATGGACATGTAGTAACGCAAAGGCATTAGACCCATCACTCTCATAGTGCCACTGTAGCTCTAAAGGGATCAAGGTTCAAGCAAATTTTGAAAAAAAATGTCTTAGTGGTATATTTCCAGGAAAAATCAAGAGAGTGTATTGATAGCATTGTTTTGGCTCTTCTGGTTTAAAGGTCACTGATGTATGAGTCTGTAGAATGTGTTTGTGTTTGATAAACACATCTGCACGTGTGTTTACTAAAATGATACAAAACCAACAAAATTTTAATACTTTTACAGTACACTAGTGTGATCATAAACATGGCTGTCACTTATGTCATAGATAGAATAAGTTTGGTGCTACTCCTATTTCTCACTTACTAAGAGAAAACTATCTCAGGTTTTTTTCGTTATTTAACTATTTTTCCAAGCTCCTGCAAAACCTCACACTCAACTACATCACCTTCCCTCCACTTAGCTTAGTTGGCACTTTGAAACTCCAATGCGCTCTTGCTCTGTCTTGAAAGCAATTTACATATACACTTTGATATGTAATACTGTAGGTGCAAGCCACAAAAATGATGTCCTACTTGTAGATGAACATCTCCATCAAACACCATCCAATGTTGCTGGCAAAGAAAATACTTCGACTGATCAAGACAGGTATCTTTTTAAAAATGGTCTGTTTTGAAATCAAGTTACACCAACAATGGTCAATACGCTGTTGTTTTCATGGTCTAATGTACTTTTATCATGGGGTATTAACTTCCTTTTTTTCAGTTTTAAAGTTTTCTTGCTTTTGTTTGAGACTATGCTATTTATAAATATTATTTAATTTTCATTTGTTTTCATGATTCCAGGGTAATAGCTGTGTTTCCACTACCACCAGCAGTAGCAAAAATCCAGGTCTTACAGATGGACCTTGCCACATTGAAGGATGGGATGGAAGTCAATGATTCCATTGTTGACTTTTTTCTTATGTAAGTAATATATCAATGTAAGAATATCACTGTACTTGATTTAGTGAGAACCTGCAAATGTAGCTGTTTTTTTTTCTTTTTAATGTGTCCTCAGGTAAATGTAAAACATCACAAATAATTTATTATTATTCTTTTCCTTCAATTTTTTGGCTAAAATTTTGCCCTATATTAAAGGGGTTGCTGATGCAAAGAGCTCATACTTCATCCTCTTTAAAATCCACCATTGTGCTAATCAATTGATTAATGGCAGTGAAAAATTGCTCTCCAAATTTAATCATCTTTCTGTTTTTAATAGGTACATATCCCAATCATTGGACCAGGATTTGCATGACAGCATTCATGTGTTTAGCTCCTTTTTTTACACTAAGCTGTCAACTAGAGTTCAGATTGGAGAAATCTTTGTCTTGCCTAGGTAATTAATTGTTTTCTTTGCACTTAGATTTAAACACTTAAAGCAGTGTCATCTCTGGTCCTGCAAAAAATAGCTCTTGTATTAATTGTTGGTAAGCTGAACCATCCTAATGATATACATGTACCCAATATGGTTGGTTTTCTTCGAAGTACATTAATAAAGACAATATTATTTTTTATAATTATTATACATGTTTCTCCTACGTGCTGATGGTCTTTAATAATTATTTGCCTCTCTATGCATCTTTCAGTCCTGATGAAAGATATGTCGAAGCATCTAAGTTTACAAGGAGAGTGGACATTTTCAAAAAGAAGTTTATTTTCATTCCAGTATGTAGAAGGTATTAAAAAGTTCATGATAATTATTATTATTGCTTATTTTATATCTATCTCTCTCTATGTTATTTTGGTATTATGCTGCAATAATGATTTTATTAACTATTTTTCTCTGCAAACACCATTGTCATAATATAAACAGTGCCACTGTTTGTTTTATTTTTAGTGGGCATTGGTTCCTATCTCTGATATATAATCTACCAACACTCACAAGCAGAAGAAGAAAGGATGATGGCTGTGCTGTGTAAGCTTTAGCAGAAACATTGTCTTTAAGCCTTTCTAAAAATAGAAAAAAGTATGCTCAAGTCATCTAATGATGTTTGATCTAAAATGCATTGAGGGCTTCGTGTTGTAGCAATAACTTTGTTGAATGGTGAAGTTGAGGATTTTGACTAATTCTTGTTGGGAAAAGACACCAACTGAAGAGAAAATTAATATTGCAGTGGAATCTTCTTTTTAGAGTTCCAATTCTGATGATTGACTCCATTGTTTATGGCTCAGATAGAAAGAACTTCACTTGTTCTCCCTCCTCACGAGAACAAGAAGCAAACATTATCAGAAGGTATGCACTATACTATTTTCATTTTTTTTTAAACACCAGACACCTCCTGCAGTACAGCAACTGTATCATTTGTTTGTTTTTAGTTTTATAGAATGTGAGTGGAAGGCTAAAATGAATGAATGTCCAAGTCCACACTTTACTTCCAAGACTATGCCTGTCCTCTATCCCAAGGTATTAAAATCTTTAGTCTTCTTCTTAAGGGTTGTCATTTCAAGTTGCATTTTTCAGGGGAAAATTAATGCTAAAGTATCTAAATGTAGATAGGAAACACTATCTTGTACTGAGGCTGACTGAAGTACTGAAAAAATTGGATAGTATTACGATGGTGGTGAATGTTTGGTTATACAGCTTGTCTTTTTGTCATTTACTGCGAATTAGCAGAATAAAATCCAAACATAGATATCTGGTGCATTAAATATAAACTTATTGGTAATTCTATAAAGAATAATTCATGTCTACTGAAATCAGTTAAAGCAACCCAATAACCATTGTCAGACTGTAATTCCAGAGGTGTGAGAAACATTTAGAGACCACTGTAGTTGTGATAGTAATATTTAAAAAGACAGATGGATAGATAACGGCATTCTTGAACCCTTAGGTACCTCAGCAAGAAAACGGGTATGATTGCGGAGTATTTGTTATGCTGTTCTTCGAAGAATTCTCAAGGCGAAAGGTTAGGATAAGGTTATAAACATTTTAAAACATAATTTCCATCTCAGCTGAGCAAGACAATGATTCTCTGTTTGTTTTCTCCCTTTTAGTTTCCAGTAAGCGAGCTTCTTTCAGACAAAATTCTCCAGTGGTATAACCAAGCTTCAGCATTTCATTTGAGAGAGAGAGTCACAGACATCCTTTTGGCTACGGGAGCTAGAATATGAGACTTTACAATTACTCTTATCGTCATCTTATGTTCAGTTGCCATGACGCATGTAAAGAATGATTAGTTGAAATCTATTATTTTCCATTCATACAAAAACGGTGGTGAACGCATTGAACAAAAGGCTTTATTTGTCGTAAGGTTCCCATGTGAACAATGAGTTGGTAACGGTAAGGGTGATAACCCCTTCGTAACATATCCCTGGCCCAAGTCTGACAAAAAGTTTTCTGCTGCTATGGTTTTTGTCTCTATATTACACCCAAAAGTTGCGCTTAACAACGAGGCTGGACTTTCAAATTATAATTCTCATTCTACGTAACCTGATTATCGACATATCGTGGGTTTTGTTTTGAAAGCAGGTGCTGTTGGGGCATGATAGTCTGCGCAGGTATCGGAATAAACGCGCGCTAAAGTTTTTCCAGCGAAGCCGCGAGAAAAATGTTTAGGGTTCGCCGATCGTATGAATTCCACGTGCGTATTACATCCGGCCAGCTACGTAAGCTAAATGCTTGATTGTATGTATGTCCCTCCGTCATTGTTTAATGCCATTTGAGTTGAGATTCCAAAAAGAAATAAAGAAAAAAAAAAAAAAAAATGAAATCATTCTTTGTGTTTCTTTTTACTGAATAGTTGGGGTCGATTTACACGAAAGATCACAAAAGTGAAACCACTTTTATTAAGTCCTATCTTATTCATCCGGAAATACTTAACATAATTAATTATAAGTAGTTTCTTGTGGACCTAATTGTAAATGATGTATTTATAGTTCTTTAAAGTGTAAAAGTTTAAGCGTTAACAGGAACAAAAAATGAAATTGTTGAACTTCTAAATTGAAGTTTTTTTGACATAGAAACGCAGAGTCAGTTTCCCATAAAGCGATCTCGAGTATAAGCTTGGCCACCAAATTAACTCAACTTCTCGAGTGGAACGGCCCTCCCCCGTGCTAATTTCCATTGACGATCGACTCGTTGGTCGTGGTACTGGTTTTTTTGCCCTTGCTTTGGCAAATTCAAGAGCCTCCTCTGCTTCCATATTTGAAATATCAGGAACTTCGTCCTGGTTACTGAACAATGCATGGGACTTAAACAGCAAAGAGTCCTGCTCTTCTAGAATCCTTTTGAACGTTTGCTCCTCAAATATTTTGTACGACAATCGTCTTGCCGTTCTTTTGAAAATAGGCTGGCGGCGGTGTGAAACATCGCGAACGCTATCAAGCCTCGGACTTTCCAACCGATGCAAAATGTGACGAAAATACCGCTCGGGTACTTGAAAACAGTCGATATGACACCACTTTCCTATCAAGAAATGAACCGAACCGTGTTAACAACAGCTTCCAAAACAGAGAAATATTTAAACCATAGTATTCACCTGGATGATCAGGTACCAATGACATGTTTATTCTCTCCACCAAAGCGGATAGCCATTTCAGATATTCTTGAAGTTCTGCGTTGTTTCCAAGCGCAGTTGCTTTTGGCTCATCGCAGCGATTGCCAAATTCATCCACAAATATGTTTGTTGTCTCAAAAAGGCGGTCTTCATGATGCTTCAGTTCGTAGTGTTTTCTTAGAGAAACACCTGTTTTGAATTGTTTCCCACAAAAGCGACAGAAAACTGCAAACGGCATGACTAACTCTCGTGAGTTTGAGTCGAAATTGTGCACTTGGCCAATAACGGAAACTGAAGAAAATGTCTCAAAGTCTCACTATCATGTTATAATTGAAACAAAGAAAATTAAGAACGTCCTGAAAATAGTGTTAGATATGGGCCGGAAGTATCGCTTGATTAATGCTTGTGAGCTACAAAAGAATGCAAACTGCTACAGACTTAAAATATTGCACTTTGTAAAAAAAGAGAGAGATTCGAGAAGAGGCTTTTTTTTTCAAAACTTCAATGCATCAGTTGAGGCTATGCAATTCTTTTTGAAAAGACAAAAGAAACTCTTTGGATACAAATGTGTGATAATTACGCGTGTCAGTCACGGATTAGAGCCTTAAGCGAACTGAAGGATTTTTCTTTGGAGCGACCAAGTAATTTTGTGTGATGTCGAGAACTTCAAATTGCAAACGGCAGTTACTTACTCTCTTGAGTTTTAGTCGAAATTGCGCACTTGGCCAATGACTGAAACTGAAGAATAAGTCTCACTTTAATGTTATAATTGAAACAAAGAAAATTAGTAACGTCCTCAGTAAAACAAAGGAAATAATACAGCGTTAGATCTGGGAGAAGTATCACTTCATCCGAATGTATGTGAGCCAGCAACTTCAATTTTCAAGATAATCAACTGAGTTTCGAAAGAATGCAAACTGCTACAGACTTTAAATGTTACACTTTGTGAACAAATAGAAAAGGAGATTCGAGAAGAGGCTTTTCAAAAGTTGAACGCATCAGTAGTTTAGGCTATGCTAATTCTACTTCAAAAGACAAAAGGAAGTCTTTGCATACAAACGTGCGATAATTACGCGTGTCAGTGATTACGGATTAAACTTCTTAAGCGAAGAACGATCTCTCAGGGCTGGAGCAAGCAAGTAATTTTGCATGATGCCGAGGTTTAGAAAACATTCAATTGAAGAAAAGCGCAGAAGAACAAAGGTACGAAAACAAAGGAAGAAGTTCAACAGAAAATTCCAGAAGACTGTTGCGGGAAAGCGGAAAACTGAAATCAGTGACCGTGAGGAAACAACGAGACCTGATCAAAACGAAAGTCAAGAGGAGGTTACCGTAAGGAAACCGCAAGTGCAAGCAGAATGTCCTTCTTCGTCTTTTGATGAAACCCAGGTTGGACATTTAGACTAATTGTTACATTTAGGCTAGAAGGGAAGGTGCTCATTAAGTGGCCAAGTAACTTTTAAAGTGTACAGAGAACTGCTGACCAGCAGCAATATTATTGAGTGCTTGGCAGAAGAAGGAATCTTGAGGTACAACTTAACTAATAAAGAAACAAATTTTATCAAACACTCGACCAAAAAATAAACTTGTTTCTTTAGGATTCAGAGAACGCGTTGTGCTAGTAACACTTTGGTATTCTTGTTTTTGTTGTTTACTCCACAGGAGGCTTTGCCATCCTCACATTGTCACGTTTTACGGTGCTGTTTTCAGAAAGGTTCCTAGAGCTTTAGAAGCTGCATTTATATCTGAGTGCCCAGGAGTTCATTTAAAGAAATATCTGATCGATCATCCCGGAAATTATCCTGCAAAGAATTCCATGGCTACGATGGATGCGATTCGCTGGGCAGACCAAGTCGTCGAAGCACTGATTATTGGTTGTCGGTCAAAAATATAATTCTTACTGTAAAGTATATTTAAAATTATGATTTTGTTAACCAACGAAACGCGAATTTCAATGTATCGTGGAAACACCACAGTGAAAACAGTTCAGCAAACAACTCGACTTACTCAACTGCTTTGTTTATAAAAAGAAACATTCACTTGCCATTCTACTGCCTCTTAAAAGCTAAATAGAACATTAATTTAAATTTAGAAAGAAAGAAACCAAGGATTTCAGTTTATTTTGCTACAGTTTCTGTGGTGGCTTTCTGTCGAAAAAATTCGAGCGTTTCCGCATCACTTATCATGAATATGTTGTTCCGAACACATGGCATGGGAAAAAGAACTAGCGAAATACCTATGGTATAATTGTAGAGATTTGTTGCAAAAATTCTTCAACAGTAGGCCTATCACCCGGGTTTTGGTCAGTGGCTTTTTTCACAAGCACCCGCACCTTCTCATAAAAACCTATTAAACACGAGACAGCCTTCAGCATTCTTCCTAAAGAGTAAATGTCACTAGAAATGCTGTAATGTCTTTCTTTTTGGACTTCTGGGGCTAAATAGATCTTTCTTGAAGAGCAGGACGAACTTCGTTTTGAGGATGGCAACCCCAGCTTGGTGCTTTTACCGAAATCAATAAGAATCGGGTCGTATTTCGCAGGGTCGGACTTTCTTTCCAATACTACATTGTTAGCTTTTATGTCATTATGAAGGTAGCCTTTTGAATGAACATAGCTCAAGGTAGAAGCTATCTCTATAAACAGTGAAATACAATCTGTTGAATTAAGCAGGTTTTTCCTTGCTGCCTGATGAAGAGTAGTGCTTTCTTGGTTGATGCCATGGAACTGTAGAACAAGGCATAGGGGCAAGCTCTTTGTAACTACTCCAAACAACATTGGGAGGTTGGCATGATCCCCCAATGCAGTTATAACCCCTGCTTCATGAAGAAGGTTTTTCTTTGCCCTGTCCTGTTCTCCGGCGTTGTCATTGTGTGTCATTTGCTTCACAATAACGGCGATCCCGCGGTAACTTGCTTTGAAGCATTGGCCAAAACTTCCACTACCAACGGAATGTTGGGTTAGATACTCCAAATGTTCCGGAATCAATTCTTTAAAGTTGCATTTGAATTCTTCATCTGACATACTCTTAAAATGGATATTTTTCTGACTAACAATGCGTTGAAACGTTGTCTGTGCCAAAAATGACCTTGAATGTTGAGTCGGCTTGCGTCTTGCGTCGTCTCCAAGCGCCATCCGAAGCATTGTTGCAGATCTTGAACAATGTACATCCAAGAGGGTTGTTAATCGTGGTCTCTTCGCATTACTTACCATTTCTTCTTTAGAATTAGCCTCAAGCATGATAAGTCCGCTTTCGTTGCCTACCTGTTCTGTATCCAGATTTGGAGAAAACGATTTCTTATCTACCAAGCTCGTCTCAGCCACATTTGGTCCATTATTGATTCTCAGCAGAACTTCAGTATTAGCGAGCAGAGCCAGATTACTCGCATTCTTCTGCTGTCGCTTTCGCTTTCTCCATTCTCTATTTTGTTTTCGTTTCTCCTCGGGAGTATTTTTTCGCGATTTCACTTCCCGTTTATTTGGTATTTCCAGCTTATTGGAGGCTTCAAGGTCCGCCGGCATTTTACTAATGCATTCCCAAGCAAGAAGAGGGAAATGGCTGAACACGTGCTCTTGCATCCGATCTCACAATTTACAAAAACTTCATTATTCTTGTGAAAAATGATAGCCGTCTTATTGAAACTTGATGATAAGTATAAGCCGGCAAAGAAAACAGTGCAAAAGCAATTATCTGTCACATCGATGTCAGCAGCAACAGGATTATGACACCTTACAGGAAAGCTGCCTGGAGCGTTCAAAAAGTCCCATACATTTTCTTAGACTAAAAGTCTAAGAAAATGTATGGGACTCTCCGGGATACTTACAGTACAGACGATTTGCGTCCCCTCATGTAGGATCGACTAAATTCGGATCGACGTTTGAATTAACTGGCGCTCTTAATTATTCGAGTCGACCCAAATTGTAATTAGGTTCGGTACATGAAAAGATCGACGTTTGAACTAGGCCTTATATTACTACGTGTCTATGCGTAGTTGGCATGTTAAGGGTTAACACAGCTTAGCAAACAAAACGACCTAAAACTTAACAAACATTATTAACATAATAAGTACTTCCCAATACAAACGGATCTAAGATACGTTGCTTGAATTAAAGCCAAAAAGACATTAAGTTTTTTCGAGACGCACCGGAAAACGATCTCAGATCAAAATGAAACTGCTATTAATAGCATGGGTTGTAGCTTCAGTCTTTGTGCTAGGTACGTATCTCTTCTTCCTAGGTGTTGATGAAAATAATCAGAACGTTTTAGACAATTGTTATGGCGCGCGTAGAACGCGATGCCGCCATCTTAAGCTTTTGGGTGCCTGTATCGGTCGAAAGCTGATCAGTGACAGACCTTATCATTTAGCGCTGGTGACGTCTTGGGTTTCGCGCTCTTTAGCATTTCCTACGTTAGCAAGTAGTACAATGATTATAAGAATATCACATGCAGTAAAAGCTGTTAAGATAAGGTAGATTGCAGTGTCTATGCATGAAGGTCAGTTGTACCAATTCTTGGCTTATATCGCTATTTTCCCAGGGATCGACTTCAAAATAACATCTATTTATTTTTCTCCGAAAAAGGCGTTTGTTTGCAAAAATTACTTAGTTTTAAAAGCCGCCTTATACGTTAAGTAATTTTTCAGTGATAAGAAAGTTTAAGAAAATGCAAGAATTAAGATTTAAAACTTTCCTCTCATTATGAAGGTACCGAACACATTATGGCAGTTTTTTATTTCAAGTTTTTTGTCCTGTGAGCCTTAATTAAAAACTCCAGCTAATTAAACATGACTTCATGTATGAAATATTAGTTAGCCAAGAGAGGTTCATTAGCTATTCTATTTTCTTGAGGAGATGCCATTATTTTTTGCGCCACGTAATTTAACACTAAGCAAGAACGTGACTTTCCAGGATAGCTCTCAAGGACAAGCGTTTCGGATGGACTCATTTCTTTGTGGCAAACATCTACGAGAAAGTTGCTTTTCTTCTCAGAATTCATTTTCCTCTTAAACTTATTTATCCCAAAGGAGAAAAATGAATACAGAGTTTTGTGTGTTAAAATCAATCCGGTGGATGATGAGGTTCGAATGTATGAAATTCGAAACCACACTCTACCACTAAGCGACGGGGAACTCGTCAGTGGAATGGATCACGTGTCAAAATCGTGATCATAATCACGTCCTTATCATAAGTGCTACCGTACGAGCGCCTGTTCTTCGCCCGCGGGAACGTCAGAGGCCTTAACCCTTTAACTCCCAAGATCCGATTGTTAATTCTCCCCTCTAGATTCAACTCATTCCCTTGAGAATTAGTTACGAGAATTTAGTAATAGATCAAGATAACAACTTCTAGCTGTCTAAGTTTGAGTATTCTCATTACCTGCTTGCTCGCTAATGTATGGATATTTTAAGGAGAAGTTACATGTTAATCACTTCTGGGAGCTAAAGGATTAAAAAAATCATGAACCAGCGAGAAATCTGCAAGGGATCTACCACTGATAAATAGTGCCAGACCCCCGGCAAACTTCTGTCGTACTCATCTCAAAACTCCCCGAGGGCGGAGAAACGCGTGTCCTGCAGCACTGGTAATGAAGGCCTGCTATAATCATAATTAGTACTAGGTCAAAAGCCATTTTCATTCTTAAATGTTTTGTCTTTAGGATGGTCGATCACGTGCTATCGTTGTGGTGGAGCTGCACCAAGTTGTGAGGGGTCTGGTAAAGCGACAGTAAAATGTGATGATTCATCCATGCCTGGTTCTGTGTTCGCCTGTCAAGTGTACACAGTCAATTTTACTTCATACAACACGATCAAGGAGTTTAAAAGTAAGAAACTTCAAAGTGAGAGACGTGCTAAGAGGGTTTCAATTGGGTGATGGCTTTTTCGGCTAACGGTCAAAATTTTGGCCAATTTACGGCTTGCGGTTAATATCTTTCCATTGTTTTCACCAGAAACTTTTTTTACTGTGAACTTCTTTAGCGACTAACGGTTAAAATTTGTCAGTTTTTACGCCTAATGGCTAAATTCTTTGGCCGTTTTACAGCTAACGGTTAACCCCATTGAGACCCTCTGTTGAGGATAGAAAAGATGTCTAAAACGAGAGGCGATGAGGTGATATGTGAATGCAGTTTCGGGAAGTGATTTGATGCAATTAACATGACATAATGAGAGTTGGGATGTGCGATGTGATGAAATGAAAAATAAAACAAGACATGATGGAATAAGATAGTGCGTCGAGACATTTAGAACAAACACCATATAAAATCACACGATAAACGTATGATAACACGTCATGATTTCACGTGACAGATATGACAGGCATGGGATGACATGAATGAAAATAACTTGGAAAAAAATGACACAACAAATGTGGTAATTAAAAATGAAATGACCTCGCGTGACCGATATGACATCCCTTTACGTAAAATTGCATCGCATGACGTGACAAAGATGAGATCAAATATTACAGATGTGGGGTGATACAACACGACATAGCATGACACGTCAGGACCGACCTGACATTACATGAGGAGATGACATAACATTATATTCGATGCCATGCGATTAGAGAGTATCACATCACGAGGAGGTTCCATCACATTCGATGCGATGATATGAGGTGAAATAAAATAAAAGAGTTTGAATAAGACACATTTATTTCGTTTACCCAATTAGCATTTCTTAACTTCTTTTAAAGTCGTATGAACTACTAAGGCTCGTGATAATAATAAGGATTTGATTTTCCTTTTGATGACAGGTTGCTGCTTGCACGAGGACTGCAACAAAGATCCTTGTAAGCTGTTTGGGGAAAAAACAGTCTGCTCTAAGATGGCCAGTTGTCAAGAAGACAAATGCAACTTCGACTACGACTCTGCCAAGGCTTCCCAGCCTCCAACGCTTCCCTCCGAGGCTAATAGCGTTGCTTTACAGCCTCCAACGCTCCCCTCTGAGGCTAACAGCGTTACTACGGGAAAACTCCTGAGAGCGACCCTTGTATTAGCAATTAGTTTTTCATTGTTCATTTAAGTATTCAAAACTTCTCTTTGGCAGGTATCACTTAGAGATAAGCTTGCAGCGTTTGATTTATTGCACGGTGTTTTAAAAAACTGCATGAAGTATGCACAAACTTTAATTAGTTGAATCTTTTGAGAACTTATTGTAAAGCCAAAGAGATTGAAAGTGCATTCATATATTTGCACTGCGGTGGAGAGATGAACTTAAGAGATCCTCGCAGCTAAGAACACTACTGAAACGAGTAGTTGTAAATAGGACCTGAAAAAAATTCAGGCCCGTACGGCCTGACCTCTGCGATACCGGTGCGGCGCTCTACCAATTGAGCTAACAAGCCAACTGGGAGCTGGTCATTGAATTGGATGTTTATTTGGACCCAATTGGCTTGTTAGCTCAATTGGTAGAGCGCTGCACCAGTAGCGCAGAGGTCATGGGTTCAAATCCCGTACGGGCCTGAATTTTTTTCAGGTCCTATTTACAACTACTCGTTTCAGTAGTGTTCTTAGCTGCAAGGATCTCTTAATTTCAGATTGAAAGTGATTAAAATTACATGTCAAGTGATATTTTATATAGGGAGTCCTTCTGAGTTTTTATTGCCACCAATAGCAATCAAAAAAGGCCATTATAACAAGGCAACCATCAATAAACAAAACAGTAAGAAAGAAGACTACTAGAAAGTACGGATTAAAATAATCTTAAAATTCTTACAAGTCCATATCCCCATGTGGCGACGGTTTGCGCCCAAAAATGGTGAGAGGATTCCTCAAAAGGTTTCGAACAATCGATAGTTTGTACCTTGCTGGCTACTTTACATATTCTTGGAGCGGAAAATAACAGTTGGCAGCCCTGCTTTTCTTTTTCGCCAGTCCTCCGCCCTTATTTATTTCACTATTCATTCATTCTTCCCCTGAAGTCTTTTTTCACTTATTCCCTTCCTTGAAGGTTTATCATCATCATCATCATCATCATCATAAGATCGAGCTTGCTCGATATTCCATGACACGCTCCTTCCACCTTTCTCTGTCTTCCATTGCAATTGGTAGTTCTTCAAGTCTGCATCCTGAAGGTTTATTCAATGGTATATTTATCAATTTAATTATTTTTTATTGCATTCCATGGGGCTTTCTCAGTTATTGAGCTTTTACTGGTTTCATGTCTTGCTTTCTTGGGTTTTCCCTGGGAAATCAAAATTTCCCCAAACCTTGTTGCTGTTCACTGTTGTTTCTATCAGCATTTGGCTCTAACACAACACCACACCGGCGTTACATACACTAATTGTTTATTCATCGCTGAATGTTTATCACGTTTATATTTGGTATGTCTGACTTAATTCACTGATGGATCTAAACCATAAGTACCGGAATAGGTAATTCTACAGTCTTGAATCATTGTCCTACACCCAATTAGCCAATGAAGATTAAGAATCTGTAGATTGTAGCCGTAGATTGTCCTCTTCCATGGCCTCCAGCGATCCTCAAGACTTGATCCTCCATCTTACATGTCTGAAGCCTCAGCCGGACGAGCATCACCTTCTAGACCAGATGCGTCACTCTCAAGACTGAAGCCCTCGTCGGCACCGACACTTGCATCTTGAAAACTAGAGCTCTCATCCGCCGTGATACCAGAAGCGTCTTCAAGGAAATACACGTTCAGTTCACTTTCCTCTAATTTCTTTGGCAAAGCTACTGCAACGCTGCATACGCCGTATGCAGCGTTGCAACATTGCATACGATGGCTATAACAAAATAGACGTACAGATGTTTCTGTTTCTTGATGCAGTAAAACAAAATTAAAACACTTATGGAGATTAGCGGCTTGGGGCTAAAGGAAAACAGTGATTATTGTTACGAACTGCTAGCACTCATCAAAATTGATGCCAAGTCATTCTGGTAACACAGAAAATTGACCTATGAGCTCATGCATCGGGTGAGCTTCAGCGTTTCTGTGAGGATTTGTTTCTCTATTGTGAACAGCATGACCAACAAATAAAACATTTCTCTTTATTATATTGACTTGTTAGCGAAAGGAAAACTTAGAAGGTTCGGTCAAAGCATTCTGAATAGACTAAGTCGACAAGAGCTTCTTATTCTTGAATTCTTCTCACAATATATGGCTGCGTTTCTTCCACAATATATTATTTCTCAATAGACGGTAATTTACCGCATCCTATCCGCATCTAACAGTCCCGTAGTGATTTGATTTGGTGCTCTCCTAGCAATAAGCGCCCCATCTCTAATAAACACTCCTCTCTAATTTCGTTTCGTTAATAAGCGCGCCTATTCTGTTTTAGTAATCTTGTGATAGCACTGTTACAGTACATGTGCACTGAGATCAACCTTGGTTTATCTCGCTTTAGTTGTTCACTTAAATTCTCATAACAAAAACAAGGGTCTTTATCTCAGTCTCTCAACTATTACTTCGTTGTCAATGCCGCAGTTCCTTCAAACGAATGATCTCGTCTTAAAATTTTGCGACGATTGCTTGGCTGGTCGTTCTAGCCAGGAAGGATCCAGGGACAACAAGTCCATTTTCCAATCTTCTTGATCCTTTTCAAATAAATATCAACGCTCTATTTTGCACTTAATTCTGTCCCTCAAAAAAAGGAAGAAGCGCCCTGTCCTCAATAAGAGCCCTGTTTTGAAAGGAGTAATTTCCTCTTGACACAATTGAATACAGCAAACAAGTAATTGCTCTCTTACCCAACAAAACAAGCGAAAAACAGTTCTTCATTTTGCTTCAGTTTGGCTTGGACTTTTCACGGCGGCACAGATTTGTCAAGTTAGTGCAGCAAATCAGACCTATAAGTCAGCTACAATGATTACCCGACTTTCGCTGTTCCCTTTATTATCCGCTATTAATGTAAACAACAGACGCCCTATGTCAACATTCATTTGAGGGCCGCACAAAAAATTGATTTTTACTTTGATGTGATGTTTGATGAGTTACGAAGAAAAACAATTAAACAAGTGTTCATTGATGGTACGGTGTATAATATTTTGCATGAGGGGTCCTTGATAACCCTTAAATCCCACACACCTGAAAGATACGTCACGATGTAAAGAAAAAGTTTCACTTAGTATGAACCGTGCCATTAACAACGAAAAATATCTCATGTGGCAACTCTCACAGTTTTTCTTCTAAATATAGATGTCACGTTATGCTTTCACCCTCGACCTATTTGACTTAATGTTAGGAGCAACACAAAACGCCTGTCAGAGGGTCTCAGTGGGGTTAACCGTGAGCTGTAAAATGGACAAAATTTTAACCTATGGCCGTAAAAGCCATCACCCCATTGAGAGCCCCCTATTATAAACACTTATGGCACTATTTTAAGTGAGCCATCATCCTCACTGACAGCTGTTTCTAGAGTTGGAATATAAACAAAGATACGAAGAGAAAAATTAACAGTAAAAGAAAAACTTGGGGAAAAAATATCTGTCCTAAAAGAAAATATTGTCGGGTAGATGACAAAATTGCAACTTTGAGGCAAGATCAACATGAAGTTGATTTTTACATGATGATGATGATGATGACATGAATTTTTCCACCTACCCCTCCTCATCTTGTTTTAAACATTACCCTATAATAATTATTCCATTTTTAAAATTAAAGTTCCACTTCTGTATTCAGGAACCCCTCAACCAAAAATTGTTACTCGAATCCAGCGTAATTATATTTATCACGACAATTATCACACTCTAAAACATAACTAAGGCTGTTAATTTTTACAATAAATATTACACATATTGTTCAGAGGAACCAGCTGACAAAACACACTTTGTGGAAATAAGACATTTTTAAAGCTAATTAAAATTGCTTTTCTCCAGTTTGTTTATTTGTTTTTGCTCAAACTTTTCCAGTTTGACTTGTTCCGATCTTTTCCTCTTCCCTCGTCGTCGGGAGAGAAAGAAATTCTCCGTTTCGGCAAAAACATAACGAGTAAATTAAAATTCTATGATTTAATCGCATATCGCTAGAAACTCATAGCGTCTCTGACTCAAAGCTGCTTTGAAAGATCTGTAATTTTTTAAAAGCATACCTGATATTATTTTTAATTTTCGGGATTATATTTTTAAATAAAAAATCCAATGGATTTTGCAATTAAGCAGTGAAAAGAAGGTCTCAATCGGGTGGTCATTTTACTGCTAACGGTTAATTTCTTTTCATATTGTGATCATGCAGATGAATAAATTTTTACAGTTAACTTTGTTTATGCGGACTAACAGTTAAAATTTCTCAATTTTTACGCCTCACTGCTAAATTTTTTCTGTCGTTTTACGGCTAACGATAAACGCCATTGAGCTCCTTTAAGAAGGCAATAAAATTACTATTTTTTCAATCAGAAAGACAGTGCTTCGAAGCTGCGTGCCAGTTATTCAATTCACTTAAAATCCCACCACAAAAACGAACGATATAAATTGTTATTTACGAGATACATTTTCGAATTAGTTCCAACAAAGAGGTATTGTCTAAAATTTAGTCAAAAGATCAAGTGGAAAAAACATCTCCTGAGATGCAAACAAAATATGTCCGCAACTTAAGCGGGTCGATCGTTCGAGTCAAGGATCTTTAAAAGCGGTTGAATGAAAACGAAATATCACAAATTTGACTGATATGAGTGTGAGGTATGAATTTATCTTCGGGGGAAAACTTTATCTAAACTAACTGCGGTGAAACAGAAGTCTAATATGGAGAATTACATCTCTGTCATGTCTTCAATCAATACTTCCCAGATACCGGTCGGGGTGCTTCTACCATCTGTCTACGCCACTATATATTAGAGGTGAGACAAATTTACAGTTCTTTCTTAAGGGGTGTATCACACACAATATTTCACACACGATAAAATACATTTTCTCAAGAGAACTGCTAATAACCTTTCGCGGGAAGAAGTGCATGGGTAGTCAGCCAACGTACAACAGCAAATGAATGCTGTAACTACATAACTACACATCTTGAGTCCATGAAGGACAGAGGAGGAAAGTAAGCTATACAAAGTATCCATAGAGGAACACTGTCTATCGGTTCTTTTCGGAAATGACCGAGAATGAGAATTCAGATTTAAGTAACAAAGCAGATACTGTAATCGGCGTTTTATTTTGTAGCAGCATAGGTGAAACTTAGCGGAGCCTGCTAGAACGTTCAGCTTGGTTGGGTTTTGAATTTCATTCAAATAATTTTTTCTTCTTTAAGTCATGCGACAAGAGAGGAAAACCTTATTTGGATCTGAAGCAGTACAATTTCTTGCGTCCTCTATTATAGGTTTGCAGCCGGTCAAACACGAAAACGAGAACCACTGAAACTAAAACTAAACAGAGTGACGACCTGGTAATTCGCTATTTTTACAACAATTATTTATTTCCAGTTGTATCATGAAAGACGATGCTCAGAGAAAACGTTTATCTAAAGACCGGAATTCGTTGAAAAGGTGGGTTTACTCTTCGCATATGAAGCGATAACAATCTCAGTCAATTTTACCCTCTAAACCGGCTGGCAAACTTTTCAGAGTTTCTATTAACAGCATGGGTTGTAGCTTCAGTCTTTGTGCAAGGTACGTATCTCAGATGCCATTGTCTTTGATTTTCTTCTGTTGCGCTAAGTACTTTAATACGAAACAAAAACGTGACTTTCCGGGATAGCTCTCAAGGACAAACATTTCGGATGAACTCATTTGAGGTCGTGCATGCATTTCTTTGTGGCGAACATCTACGAGAAAGTTGCTTTTCTTCTTAGAATTCATTTTGCTCGTTAAAAGGACGACTTATATTTCTACGCATCTACGCGTAGTTGGTATGTTAAGGGTTAACACAGCTTAGCAAACAAAGCGACCGTGTAGTGATGTTTTGTAACAAAACAAATGCAGACGGAGTCAGCCTTCACCAGTTTCCAGCTGATGAAAGTGTGCGGCGACAATGGATTGCATTTGTGCGAACAAAAAGAAAACCAAATAGTTGGACACCAGGTTCGGGTCCGGGTCAGTAGCTGGATTTAGCTCTAAGCTAGTATTAAAGAAGTCCGCAGTTCCTTCTATTCAAGCGTCTCCTACTCCTGAGCAAATAAATGAAGCTCGAAGAATAAAAAGAAAACTCTCACTGTCTAACGAAAAATTGAGGGTAGAAGACTCGAGCTCCGTGGTCACACAGGAGACTTACACTACACCAAAACGACAAAGCCGGGCCTTATCAAAACAGACAGCAAACAGGGTATGAGAAAGATATTTCTCGCTTTTGCTTATCTTTGCTTTTGTAGACCTAGTGTCAGTTTATGTATGTAAATTAGTTGCTTTGGTCACTAAAGTAGTAATGTATTTTTGAAAAAAACAGTCGGTGGTCGAGTTTAATCGCATCAGTGAAGATAATGTATCAGTTGCTACATCGTCGACAAGCACTTGTGAAGCAGTCCTGGATGAACTACCAGACACAAGAAATGCTGAAAATGAAGCTTCTCGTTCAGTTAAGAAACAAGTCGTAACGGCAAACAAGGGCACTCAGAAAGGCAACCGGCGTCCTCCTTGTCGAAGTAAAGGTATTTACCATTAACGTACCCTTTAGAATTAAATCAATGTTCAGGGGTAAATCGTAGAGTAACGTTTCCTATTTTTTGCTTTTTTTTGTCTTTTTTTTTTAACCCAACAGGTATACAAGCTACTGCAAGGAAAGCAATTCTCATTGAAAATGGTATCCAGCGTAACATTGCCAACCTACCCCCACTATCTCTTCTACCAACTGAATGCGTTAGAGATACCAAAGGAAAAATTAACCCCGTAATTATTGAGAGTGCTGAGATGGAGCCATTTGAGGATGAAAAAGTTGATGACGAGGATTATACTCCTTCTATGGACCCGGAGGAAGATGAGGACGAGACCGACGAAGTAAAACCTCAACAGTGAGTAATAATCTCTACCTCGTTCCTGGCGTGTCAAGGTCGTTTAATACTGTCAAATGTGTTGTTCTTTAGAGAATTTGTTTCCTGACATTACGTTGTGACTTTTTTAATCATAAAACTCAGGTCTTCGACGAGTACAAAGGAAAATGTGAAACCTTATAAGGAGAGGAAATTCATTGTGTTCGGGAAGAACTTGTTGGGCTTGTTTGCTTCCTGTCCAATATGTGCTGGTCCTGCAGAAGCGCGTATCATCAAAGTTATCGGCACTATGGTTAAAATCAACCTGTGATGCGCTGACGAGAAGTCGTGTCAGTTCTCTCAAGTGTGGTTCAGCCAGCCATTTGTTAAAGGTCAAATGCCTTATGGTAACTTACTGTTGAGTCTCTATTTTGATTTCAGGTTAGTTCCTTAATTCATAGGAAATGTTGTTTCGCTTAAATTGAGAGTCAAGAATTCAAGGCCCTGCACCAGAGCGAAATGATTTGTCGGTACAGTAAGACTATGTCTGCTCAATTTGTGTACTTAATTTCAGTTATTAAAACGCATTTGATTGCTTTCCAGGATCTAGTACTGCTGAAAGCTTAAGGATGCTGAAGTTAATGAATGTAGCAACCATTTCTGAACGTACCTTCTATCGCCTCACCAGCTCTTATCTTAATGCAGTTGTTATACAGCAGTGGAAAGAGCATCAACAAGATCTGATTAGTGAATTCCTTGAGAAAAACGATGAGTTAATACTGGCAGGTGATGGGCGCTGCGACTCCCCTGGGTACTCTGCCAACAGAGGGTCAACAGAGTTGTAGATTTTCAGCTGGTTCAGGTTTGAAACTTTCCCATGTAATGGTTGAAAGCTTTAAAGCTATGGGTTAGCATTCCTAATTGCAAAGATGTTTATCACCATTTCTGCAATATTAGTAACAGTGAAAATTATCTTCTTCTGCAGAGTAATGAGGTTAGAAATAGTGCCTGGATGGAGCATGAAGAGTTGGTGAGGGCAGTAAAAGTACTTACGGATTCAGGACTGAGTATCGCTGAATCAATCACAGACAGGCACAAACAGAACACCGCCTGGATTAAACTAAATCTGCCGAGTACTACCCATTACTTTGACATATGGCATGTGTCTAAAGGTACATGTACTATGTGTTCTCATTAATTATGCATCTCAACAAAAACAGGTTGTGGTCCCTTGCCAATAAGTTTTTGAAAGAGCTTGCAGTTAATTTATGGACTTTTAGAATATATTTCTTTGGCCTACCCAGGCTTGTGCAAAAAGATCGACAAGCTTGCCAAGAAAAAGGACTATGACGAAGTTGGTGAGTGGTGCCAGTCCATTTCCAATCACATGTATTGGTGTGCAGCTTCGACACCTGATGGAAATGGTGAAGTCATACAAGAAAAATGGAAAATACTACCATTACACATTCAAAACATTCATGTCAATGCAGAGAGTGACCTATACCCTGAATGTGGGCGTGGCAACCTGCAAGGAGACGCAGCTGATCGGCTTTGGCTGCGACCAGGTGCAGACACCAATGCAGACAGGATGCAGGCAGTGACAGATGAAGGCAGGCCACGCTACTCAGTTGTATTTCCAAAAGCTAAAAAAGGAGATCATGCTATCAGAAAAATCAAAACACAAGCTTCTTATGGTGGGTATGATGTAGATGGGGCACAGGAATTTAGAGATTGTACTTTTTAGCTTATGGATTAACACAAGCAAAGAATTAACCTTTGAAAATTACCTCAATTTGGGAGTCATGAAAAATAACAAATTCAAGGTCCACCTCATAAAGAACAAAGAAGGAAATTAATAATGCATTTCAATTTTCAGATTACTGCTACAGCATTATAAAGGACTCATTTGCAAAATATGAGGAAAATCCAAGGAATCTCAAGGAGTATGTGACAAACTTGGCCATCAACACCCCACCACACCTTACTGCAAATGCACAGAGACCTGACAAAGAAGAGGCTGTTCAGAATTGTCAGCTGTTTCAACTGCACTAATCTGGTGAACTAGTTGACCTAAGTATATAACAACCAATACTTAAATTCTTGTGATTTTGAAACCTAAAATATCATTGTAAATTGGATAAGGGTTATTTTGTGTGAAATAAAAGCATGTATCAGAAAAAATATTGTAACTAGCATGAGCCAGTTTCAGCTAATTTGAGCTCCTAAGGGAGCCTTTGAAAACAAAAGTTATCTCCTAGTGACATAAGTAAAGGTTTCTTCAAGAAGAAGATTCAACCACAAGAATACATATAGATGTATGATAAAAACTTATTTTTCGGAGAAAATGTTAATGGCATAACAAAAGGAAAGAAAAGATAAATTTAACCCTTGCACTAAAGTTTACTCATCTGCATAAGTAAAACCAGTAAAAACCATATCCTCCTCCAGCTGGTTGGGCTCTGGGAAGTGGGCACGTATGCAATTCACAGCACAAGAAGGCAAAAAGATGCGGATATTTTTGCCCAGAGTACCCCAACACTACCTGACTAGTTGCCTGTAAGCAATATGGAGGTTTTTCTTATGCTCAGGCCCCTCATAAGCAGAAGAGCCATACTGCTGCTTGTATTGTAGCCAAGCTGTCTACAGAAACCAGACACTGAGGCACACTGCCTCAAACCCTGGATGCTGCACAATACATCTGGGTTCTGCCTGCAACTATTCCTCCATGACATCCTCCAAAATTTTATTCCTAACTGCATCTACTTCTTGGCAACAGATGCTCTCTTCCTCCCTTTCCATCGCTTGGCAGTTTCCACACTAACACCTTGTAATAAATAAACGAATTTTTTCACTATGTTGAATAGGAGAAATAGAGAACACAACTTGTTTGATTGTTTTCACCAAAAGGGACAGTTGTAAGCCCTGTTACTATCACAAACGTGAAAGACAACTCAAACTTTAGGCTATAAACAAGGTGCAAAGACCACAAATCAACAATAAGTTATTATGAAGACTTTGTTCAATTCTACATGTGCAAATGCTATTTTTCGCTGCATCGTGTTTTAAAGTAAAAGCCTAGAAATCTATAATCGTTCGCCAAATTCAACACAGGAAAACTTAAAACCGATTCAATCGCGAGGAAACGTGAATAATCCATCCAATTCACCTCCACAAGCGTGTTATTTTCAGTCTGTGAAACCTAAGCTTCGGAAGGTGCCTGCGTGTAGCATAAACCACTTCGCTTCCAAGCTACTCAAGAGTCTGCACATTTGGTTTTGATTTACCTGATCGCTTCTATATTTAATAAGCGACTGATTTTCAGACACTATATTTAAAAACGTATCGTACTCACCATTCGTCACTTTCCTGATTGAGGCGGCCGCGGCGCACGGGCTCTTGATTCTCTTCCAACTCTCGCCCTGTATTCTCGGTTCGTCCTGGCGGTTCAAATCGCCAGGGCCTAATTTCACTAATAGGTTCATAAATTCTTTCATTATCTTCACCCTCTATAAAGGGCTCAAAATCGGAATAATCGGACCCAGAAGTAGAACTGCTTTCAGTTGAGCTGCTGTCCGCCATATTTACGTTGCTTAGTTTACACACGTGTGACGTATCAGGTCTCATGATCAAAATTGAAGTGTTTATGGTGGATGACTCACGAAGCTGCATTTAGGACAGTTTTCCCGGCGAAAAAAGGCACAAAGAGGCATTCGAAGCACCTTATTTCTGTTTCAATTTGTTACCTGAGGTATTTAGACGGTATTCCGAAAAAGTGACCTTCTAGCCGTCAATGTACCCTTTAAGTTTTACGAGACGCACCGGAAAACGATCTCAGATCAAAATGAAACTGCTATTAATAGCATGGGTTGTAGCTTCAGTCTTTGTGCAAGGTACGTATCTCTTCTTCCTAGATGTTGACGAAAATTTTTCTCGTTAAAAGGACGACTTATATTTCTACGCATGTATGCGTAGTTGGTATGTTAAGGGTTAACACAGCTTAGCAAACAAAGCAACCTAAACCTTGCAAATGTTATTTACATAATATGTAATTCTCAAATAGAAACGGATCCAAAATACTTTGCTTGGATTAAAGCCAAACCAAACATTACGTTTTTCGAGACGCACCGGAAAACCATCTCAGATCAAAATGAAACTGCTATTAATAGCATCGGTTGTTGCTTCAGTCTTTGTGCAAGGTATGTATCTCTTCTTCCTAGATGTCGACGAAAATCAATCGGAACGTTGTAGACAATTGTTATGGCGCGAAGAACACGATGGTGTCTTTCTTACCTAAACATAGTAGACGTGGACATAATTGCCGCCATTTTAAGCTTTTGGGTGCCTGTATCGGTGGAAAACTAATGAATGACAGACCTCGTCATTTAGCGCTGATGACTTCTTGGGTTTCGCGCTCTTTAGCGTTTGCTACGTTCGCAAGTAGTACAATGATTATAAGAATTTCTCATGCAGTAAAAGCTGTTAAGATAACGTAGATTGGATCACGTGTCGAGATCGTGATCGTAATCACCTCCTTATCATAAGTGCCATCGTACGAGCGCCTGTTCTTCGCCCGCGGGAACGTCAGAGGCCTTAACCCTTCAACTCCCAAGATCCGATTGTTAATTCTCCCTTCTAGCTTCAATTTATTCCCTTGAGAATTAGAATTTAGTTATAGATCAAGATAGCAACTTCTATCTGTCTAAGTTTGAGTATTCTCATTACCTGCTTGCTCGCTAATGTATGGATATTATAGGGAGAAGTTACATGTTAATCACTTCTGAGAGTTAAAGGGTTAAAAAAACGTGAACCGGCGAGAAATCTGCAAGGGATCTACCACTGATTAATAGTGCCAGACCCCCGGCAAACTTCTATCGTACTCGTCTCAAAACTCCCCGAAGGCGGAGAAATGCGTGTCCTGCAGCACTGGTAATGAAGGCCTGCCATAATCCTAATTAGTCCTAGTTTAAAACCGATTTTCATTCTGAAATGTTTTGTCTTTAGGATGGTCGATCACGTGCTATCGTTGTGGTGGAGCTGCACCAAGCTGTGAGGGGTCTGGTAACGCGACAGTAAAATGTGATGATTCATCCATGCCTGGTTCTGTGTTCGCTAATCAAGTGTACACAGTCAATTACACTTCATATGACACGATCAAAGTGTTTAAAAGTAAGAAACTTCAAAGTGAGAGACGTGTTAGGAGGGTTTCAATTGGGTGATGGCTTTTTCGGCTAACGGTCAAAATTTTGGCCAGTTTACGGCTTGCGGTTAATATCTTTCCATTGTTTTCACCAGAAACTTTTTTTTACAGTGAACTTTTTTCACGACTAACGGTTAAAATTTGTCAGTTTTTACGCCTAATGGCTAAATTCTTTGGCCGTCTTACAGCTAACGGTTAACCCCATTGAGGCGCTTTGTTGAGGATAGAAATGATGTCTAAAACGAGAGGCGATGAGGTGACGTGTGAATACAGTTTCGGGAAGTGATTTGAGATGCAATTAACATAACATTATGAGAGCTGAGATGTGCGATGTGATGAAATAAAAAATCAAGACAAGATGGAATAAGATAGCGCGTCGAGACACTTGAAACAGACACCACATAAAATCACACGATAAACGTATAACAGGTCATGATTTTGCGTAACAGATATGACAGGCTGGGATGACTTGAATGAAAATAACTTGGAAAAAAATGACACAACAAATGGGGTGATAAAAATGAAATGACCTCGCGAGACCGATATGACATCGCCTTACGTAAAATTGCATCGCGTGACGTGACAAAAATAAGATCAAATGTTACAGATGTGGGGTGATACAACACGACATAGCATGACACGTCAGGACCGACCTGACATTACATGAGGAGATGACATAACATTAAACTCGATGCCATGGAATTAGAGAGCATTGCATCACGAGGAGGTTCCATCACATTCGATGCTATGATATGAGGTGAAATAAAATAAGAGTTTGAATAAAGACATTTATTTCGTTTACCCAATTAGCATTTATTTCTCAACTTCTTTTAAAGTCTTATGAACTACTTAGGCTCATGATAATAATAGGGATTTGATTTTCCTTTCGATGACAGGTTGCTGCTTGTACGAGGACTGCAACAAAGATCCTTGTAAGGAGTTTGGGGAAAAAACAGTCTGCTCTAAGATGGCCAGTTGTCAAGAAGACAAATGCAACTTCGACTACGACTCTGCCAAGGCTTCCCAGCCTCCAACGCTTCCCTCCGAGGCTAATAGCGTTGCTTCACAGCTTCCAACGCTCCCCTCTGAGGCTAACAGCGTTGCTATGGGAAACGTCCTGAGAGCGACCCTTGTATTAGCGATTAGTTTTTCATTGTTCATTTAAGTATTCAAAACTTTTCTTTGGCAGGTATCACTTAGAGATAAGCTTGCAGCGTTTGATTTATTGCACGTTGTTTTAAAAAACTGCATGAAGTATGCACAAACTTTAATTAGTTGAATCTTTTGAGAACTTATTGTAAAGCCAAAGAGATTATTGAAAGTGCATTCATATATTTGCACTGCGGTGGAGAGATGAACTTAAGAGATCCTCGCAGCTAAGAACACTACTGAAACGAGTAGTTGTAAATAGGACCTGAAAAAAATTCAGGCCCGTAAGGCCTGACCTCTGCTATACCGGTGCAGCGCTCTACCAATTGAGCTGACAAGCCAACTGGGAGCTGGTCATTGAATTGGATGTTTATTTGGACCCAATTCATTTACCAGCTCCCAATTGGCTTGTTAGCTCAATTGGTAGAGCGCTGCACCGGTATCGCAGAGGTCATGGGTTCAAATCCCGTACGGGTCTGAATTTTTTTCAGGTCCTATTTAAAACTACTCGTTTCAGTAGTGTTCTTAGCTGCGAGGATCTCTTAATTTCAGATTGAAAGTGATTAAAATTACATGTCAAGTGATATTTTATATAGGGAGTCCTTCTGAGTTTTCATTGTCACCACTAGCAATCAAAAAAGGCCATTATAACAAGGCAACCATCAATAAAAAAACAGTAAGAAAGAAGACTACTAGAAAGTACGGATTAAAATTATCTTAAATTTCTTACAAGTCCATATCCCCATGTGGCGACGGTTTGCACCCAAAAATGGTGAGAGGATTCCTCAAAAGGTTTCGAACAATCGATAATTTGTACCTTGCTGGCTAATTTACATATTCTTGGAGCGGAAAAGAACAGTTGGCAGCCCTGCTTTTCTTTTCCGCCAGTCCTCCGCCCTTATTTATTTCACTATTCATTCATTCTTCCTCTGAAGTCTTTTTTCACTTATTCCCTTCCTTGAAGGTTTATCATCATCATCATCATCATCATAAGATCGAGCTTGCTCGATATTCCATGACACGCTCCTTCCACCTTTCTCTGTCTTCCATTGCAATTGGTAGTTCTTCAAGTCTGCATCCTGAAGGTTTATTCAATGGTATATTTATCAATTTAATTATTTTTTATTGCATTCCATGGGGCTTTCTCAGTTATTGAGCTTGTACTGGTTTCGTGTCTTGCTTTCTTGGGTTTTCCCCTGTTGCTGTTCACTGTTGTTTCTATCAGCATTTGGCTCTAACACAACACCACACTGGCGTTACATAAAATAATTGTTTATTCATTGCTGTATGTTTAGCACGTTTATATTTGGTATGTCTGACTTAATTCACTGATGGATCTAAACCATAAGTACCGGAATAGGTAATTCTACAGTCTTGAATCATTGTCCTACACCCAATTAGCCAATGAAGATTAAGAATCTGTAGATTGTAGCCGTAGATTGTCCTCTTCCATGGCCTCCAGCGATCCTCAAGACTTGATCCTCCGTCTTACATGTCTGAAGCCTCAGCCGGACGAGCATCAGCTGCTAGACCAGATGCGTCACTCTCAAGATTGAGGCCTTCGTCGGCACCAACACTTGTATCTTGAAAACTGGAGCTCTCATCCGCCGTGATACCAGAAGCGTCTTCAAGGAAATACACGTTCAGTTCACTTTCCTCTAATTTCTTTGGGAAAGCTACTGCAACACTGCATACGATGGCTATAAAAAAATAGATGTACAGATGTTTCTGTTTCTTGATGCAGTAAAACAAAATTAAAACACTTAAGGAGATTAGCGGCTTGGGGCTAAAGGAAAACATTGATTATTATTACGAACTGCTAGCAATCATCAAAATTGATGCCAAGTCATTCTGGTGGGACAGAAAATTGATCTATGAGCTCATGCATCGGGTGAGCTTCAGCGTTTCTGTGAGGATTTTTTTCTCTATTGTGAACAGCATGACCAACAAATAAAACATTTTCTTCATTACATTGAGTAAAGGAAAACTTATAAGGTTCGGTCAAAGCATTCTGAATAGACTAAGTCGACAAGAGCTTCTTATTCTTGAGTTCTTCTCACAATATATGGTTGCGTTTCTTCCACAATACATTATTTCCCAATAGACGGTAATTTACCGCATCCTATCCGCATCTAACCGTCCCGTAGTGATTTGATTTGGTGCTTTCCTAGCAATAAGCGCCCCATCTCTAATAAACACTCCTCTCTAATTTCGTTTCGTTAATAAGCGCGCCTATTCTGTTTTAGTAATCTTGTGATAGCACTGTTACAGTACATGTACACTGAGATCAACCTTGGTTTATCTCGCTTTAGTTGTTCACTTAAAGTCTCATTACAAAAACAAGTCTCTCAACCATCACTTCGTTGTCAAAGCCGCAGTTCCTTCAAACGAATGATCTCGTCTTAAAATTTTGCGACGATTGCTTGGCTGGTCGTTCTAGCCAGGAAGGATCTAGGGACAACAAGGTCATTTTCCAATCTTCTTGATCCTTTTCAAATAAATATCAACGCTCTATTTTGCACTTAATTTTGTCCCTCAAAAAAAGGAAGAAGCGCCCGTGAGCTGTAAAATGGACAAAATTTTAACCTATGGCCGTAAAAGCCATCACCCCATTGAGAGCTCCCTATTATAAACACTTATGGCACTATTTTAGGTGAGGCATCATCCCCACTGACAGCTATGTTTCTAGAGTTAAAAGATACGAAGAGAAAAATTAACAGTAAAACAAAAACTTGGAAAAAAAAATATCTGTCCTAAAAGAAATTATTGTCGGGTAGATGACAAAATTGCAACTTTGAGGCAAGATCAACATGAAGTTGATTTTTACATGATGATGATGATGATGACATGAATTTTTCCACCTACCCCTCCTCATCTTGTTTTAAACATTACCCAATAAAAATTATTCCATTTTTAAAATTAAAACTAACTTACAGCTAACGGTTAATTTCTTTCCATATTTTGATCATGCAAATGAATAAACTTTTCCGGTTAACTTCTTTTACGCGGACTAACACTTAAAATTTGTCAGCTTTTACGCCTCGCTGCTAAATTTTTTTTCTGTCGTTTTACGTCTAACGATAAACGCCATTGAGATCCTTTAAGAAGGCATTAAAATTGTTATTTTTTCAATCAGACAGACAGTGCTTCGAAGCTGCGTGCCAGTTATTCAATTCCCTTAAAATCCCACCACAAAAACGAGCAATATATATACAATTTCTTATTTACGAGATAGTTCCAACAAAGCGGTATTGTCTAAAATTTAGCCAAAAGACCAAGTGGAAAGAAACATCTTCTGAGATGCAAACAAAATATGTCCGCAACTTAAGCGGGTCAATCGTTCGAGTCAAGGATCTTCAAAAGCGGTTGAATGAAAATGAAATATCATAAATTTGACTGATACGAGTTTAAGGTACGAATTTATCTTCGGGGACAAACTGTATCTAAACTATGTCTAATATGGAGAATTTCATTTTTGTCATGTCTTCAACCAATGCTTCCCAGATACCGGTCGGGGTGCTTCTACCATCTGTCTATGCCACTATATATTACAGGTGAGACAAATTTTCAGTTCTTTTTTAAGGGGTATCACACACAATATTTCACACATGATGAAATACATTTTCTCAAGAGAACTGCTAATAACCTTTTGCGAGAATGAGTGAATGGGTAGGCAGCCAAACGTACAACAGCAAATGAATGCTGTAACTACCTAACTACACATCTTGAGTCCATAACTTTTCTTTTCGGAAATGACCGAGAATGAGAATTCAGATTTAAGTAACAAAGCAGATACTGTAATCGGCGTTTTATTTTGTAGCGGCATAGGTGAAACTTAGCGGAGCCTCCTAGAACGTTCAGCTCGGTTGGGTTTTGAATTTCATTCAAATAATTTTTTCTTCTTTAAGTCATGCGACAAGAGAGGAAAACCTTATTTGGATCTGAAGCAGTAAAATTTCTTGCGTCCTCTGTTATAGGTTTGCAGCCGGTCAAACACGAAAACGAGAACCACTGAAACTAAAACTAAACAGAGTGACGACCTGGTAATTCGCTTTGTTTTACAACAATTATTTATTTCCAGTTGTATCATGAAAGACGATGCTCGGAGAAAACGTATATCATAAGACCGGAATTCGTTGAAAAGGTGGGTTTACTCTTCGCATATGAAGCGATAACAATCTCAGTCAATTTTACCCTCTAAACCGGCTGGCAAACTTTTTCAGAGTTTCTATTAACAGCATGGGTTGTAGCTTCAGTCTTTGTGCAAGGTACGTATCTCAGATGCCATTGTCTTTGATTTTCTTCTGTTGCGCTAAGTACTTTAATACGAAACAAAAACGTGACTTTCCGGGATAGCTCTCATGGACAAACGTTTCGGATGAACTCATTTAAGGTCGTGCATGCATTTCTTTGTGGCGAACATCTACGAGAAAGTTGCTTTTCTTCTTAGAGTTCATTTTGCTCGTTAAAAGGACGACTTATATTTCTACGCATGTATGCGTAGTTGGTATGTTAAGGGTTAACACAGCTTAGCAAACAAAGCGACCTTAAACCTAGCAAATATTATTTACATAATATGTAATTCTCAAATAGAAACGGATCCAAAATACTTTGCTTGGATTAAAGCCAAACCAAACATTAAGTTTTTCGAGACGCACCGGAAAACCATCTCAGATCAAAATGAAACTGCTATTAATAGCATCGGTTGTTGCTTCAGTCTTTGGGCAAGGTATGTATCTCTTCTTCCTAGATGTCGACGAAAATCAATCGGAACGTTGTAGACAATTGTTATGGCGCGAAGAACACGATGGTGTCTTTCTTACCTAAACATAGTAGACGTGGACATAATTGCCGCCATTTTAAGCTTTTGGGTGCCTGTATCGGTGGAAAACTAATGAATGACAGACCTCGTCATTTAGCGCTGATGACCTCTTGGGTTTCGCGCTCTTTAGCGTTTGCTACGTTCGCAAGTAGTACAATGATAATAAGAATCTCTCATGCAGTAAAAGCCGTTCAGATAACGTAGATTGCAGTGTCTTTGAAAGAAGGTTAGTTGTACCAATTCTTAGCTTGTATCGCTATTTTACCAGGGATTGACTTCAAAATATGACCTATTTATTTTTCTCCGAAAAAAGGCGTCTGTTTGCAAAAATTGCTTTGTTCTAAAATCAGCCTTGTACGTTACGTAATTTTTCAGTGATAAGAAAGCCTAAGAAATTCAAGAATTAAGATTTAAAACTTTCTGCTCATTATGAAGCTACAGAATGCATTATTGCAGTTTTTGCTCTCAAGCTTTTTGTCTGTGAGCCTTTGTTAAAAACTCCAGCTAATTAGACATGACTTCATGTAGGAAATATTAGTTAGCCAAGAGAGGTTCATTAGCTATTCTATTTTCTTGAGCAGATGCCATTGTTTTTTGCGCCACGTAATTTAACACTAAGCTGGAACGTGACTTTCCGGGATAGCTCTCAAGGACAAGCGTTTCGGATGGACTCATTTCAGGTCGTGCGTGCATTTCTTTATGGCGAACATCTACGACAAAGTTGCTTTTCTTCTCAGAATTCATTTTCCTCTTAAACTTATTTATCCCAAAGGAGAAAAATGAATAGTAGGGCGTTTAAATTAATCCGGTGGAATGCGGGTGTAAAGGTGGTAAATTGATAAGAAAGGAGGCTCCAATCACACACCCCCCCCCCCCCCAAGAGGTTTCAAAATTCGAAATCACATTCTACCACTAAGCGATGGGGAACTCGTCAGTGGAATGGATCACGTGTCGAGATCGTGATCGTAATCACGTCCTTATCATAAGTGCTACCGTACGAGCGCCTGTTCTTCCCTCGCGGGAACGTCAGAGGCCTTAATCCTTTAACTCCCAAGATCCGATTGCACTTCTAGCTTCAACTCATTCCCTTGAGAATTAGAATTTAGTTATAGATCAAGATAGCAACTTCTATCTGTCTAAGTTTGAGTATTCTCATTACCTGCTTGCTCGCTAATGTATGGATATTTTAAGGAGAAGTTACATGTTAATCACTTCTGGGAGTTAAAGGGTTAAAAAAACGTGAACCGGCGAGAAATCTGCTAGGGATCTACCGCTGATTAATAGTGCCAGACCCCCGGCAAACTTCTATCGTACTCGTCTCAAAACTCCCCGAGGGCGGAGAAACGCGTGTCCTGCAGCACTCGTAATGAAGGGTGCCATAATCCTAATCAGTCCTAGTTCAATACCGATTTTCATTCTTAAATGTTTTGTCTTTAGGATGGTCGATCACGTGCTATCGTTGTGGTGGAGCTGCACCAAGTTGTGAGGGGTCTGGTAACGCGACAGTAAAATGTGATGATTCATCCATGCCTGGTTCTGTGTTCGCTTGTCAAGTGTACACAGTCAATTACACTTCATATGGCACGATCAAAGTGTTTAAAAGTAAGAAACTTCAAAGTGAGAGACGTGTTAGGAGGGTTTCAATTGGGTGCTGGCTTTTTCGGCTAACGGTCAAAATTTTGGCCAATTTACTGCTTGCGGTTAATATCTTTCCATTGTTTTCACCAGAAACTTTTTTTACAGTGAACTTTTTTCACGACTAACGGTTAAAATATGTCAGTTTTTACACTTAATGGCTAAATTCTTTGGCTGTTTTACAGCTAACAGTTGACCCCATTGAGGCCCTTTGTTGAGGATAGAAATGATGTCTAAAACGAGAGGGGATGAGGTGAATACAGTTTCGGGAAGTGATTTGAGATGCAATTAACATAACATTATGAGAGCTGAGATGTACGATGTGATGAAATGAAAAATCAAGACAAGATGGAATAAGATAGCGCGTCGAGACATTTAGAACAGACACCACATAAAATCACACGATAAACGTATGATAACAGGTCATGATTTTGCGTAACAGATATGACAGCATGGGATGACATGCATGAAAATAACTTGGAAAAAAAATGACATAACAAAGGTGGTGATGAAAATGAAATGACCTCGCGAGACCGATATGACATCGCCTTACGTAAAATTGCATCGCGTGACGTGACAAAAATAAGATCAAATGTTACAGATGTGGGGTGATACAACATGACATAGCATGACACGTCAGGACCGACCTGACATTACATGAGGAGATGACATAACATTAAACTCGATGCCATGGAATTAGAGAGCATTGCATCACGAGGAGGTTCCATCACATTCGGTGCGATGATATGAGGTGAAATAAAATAAAAGAGTTTGAATAAGACACATTTATTTCGTTTACCCAATTAGCATTTCTCAACTTCTTATGAACTACTTAGGCTCGTGATAATAATAAGGATTTGATTTTCCTTTCGATGACAGGCTGCTGCTTGTACGAGGACTGCAACAAAGATCCTTGTAAGGACTTTGGGAAAGAAACAGTCTGCTTTAAGATGGCCAGTTGTCAAGAAGATAAATGCAACTTCGACTACGACTTTGCCAAGGCTTCCCAGCCTCCAACGCTTCCCTCCGAGGCTAATAGCGTTACTACGGGAAAAGTCCTGGGAGCGACCTTTGTATTGGCAGTTAGCTTTTCATTATTCATTTAAGTATTTCAAAACTTTTCTTTGGCAGGTATCACTTAGAGATAAGCTTGCAGCGTTTGATTCATTGCACGGTGTTTAAAAAAACTACATGAAGTATGCACAAACTTAGTTGAATCTTTTGAGAACTTATTGTAAAGCCAAAGAAATTAAAAGTGACTAAACTTACAAGTCAAGTGATATTTTATATAGGGAGTCCTTCTGAGTTTTTATTGCCACCAATGGCAAAAAAGGCCATAATAACAAGGCAACCATGAATAAAAAAACAGTAAGAAAGAAGACTACAAGAAAGTACGGATTAAAATTATCTTAAAATTCTTACAAGTCCATATCCCCATGTGACGACGGTTTGCGCCCAAAAATAGTAGGAAGATTCCTCAAAAGGTTTCGAACAATCAATAATTTGTACCTTGCTGGCTAATTTACATAATCTCAGAGCGGAAAAGAACAGTTGGTAGCCCTGCCTTTCTTTTTCGTCGTCCTCCGCCCTTACTTATTTGACTATTCATTCATTCTTCCCCTGAAGTCTTTTTTCACTTATTCCCTTCCTTGAAGTCAGTTAATTTATCAACTTTATTATTTTTGATTGCATTCGATGGGGCTTTCTCAGTTATTGAGCTTTTACTGGTTTCATTTCTTGCTTTCTTGGGTTTTCCCCGGGAAATCAAAATTTCCCCAAACCTCGTTTTGTTCACTATTGTTTCTATCAGCATTTGGCTCTAACACATCACCACACCGGCGTTACATACACTAGTTGTTTATTTATTGCTGTATGTTTATCACGTTTATATTTCTTATGTCTGACTTAATTCACTGATGGATCTAAACCATAAGTACCGGAATAGGTAATTCTACAGTATTGAATCATTATCCTACACCCAATTAACCAATGAAGATTAAGAATCTGTAAGCTGTAGATTGTCCTCTTCCATGGCCCCCAGCGATCCTCATCTGCTTCAAGACTTGATCCTCCGGCTTACATGTCCGAAGCCTCAGCCGGACGAGCATCAGCTGCTAGACCAGATGCGTCACTCTCAAGACTGAAGCCCTCGTCGGCACCAACACTTGCATCTTGAAAACTGGAGCTCTCATCCGCCGTGAAACCAGAAGCGTCTTCAAGGAAATATTCGTTCAACCCACTTTCCTCTAATTTCTTTGGGAAAGCTACTACAACACTGCATACCATGGCTATAACAAAATGGACGTACAAATGTTTCTGTTTCTTTATGCAGTAAAACAAAATTAAAACACTCATGGAGATTAGCGGCTTGGGGCTAGAGGAAAACATCGATTATTATTACGAACTGCTAATACTCGTCAATATTAATGCCAAGTCATTTTGGTGGGACAGAAAATTGACAAATGAGCTCATGCATCGGGTGAGCTTCAGTATAACTAACAGATAAAACATTTTTCTTTATTATATTGAGTTGTTAGCGAAAGGGAAATTAAGAAGGTTCGGCCAAAGCATTCTGAATAGCCTAAGTCGACAAGAGCTTATTATTCTTTCTAAAGCGTTTCTTCCAAAATATATTATTTCCCAATAGACGGTAATTTACCGCATCCTATCCGCATCTACCAGTCCCGTAGTGATTCGATTTGGTGCTCTCCTAGCAATAAGCGCCCCATCTCTAATAAACACCCCTCTCTAATTTTGTTTCGTTAACAAGCGCCCCTTTTCTGTTTTGGTAATCTAGTGATAGCACTGTAACATTACATGTGCATTGAGATCAACCTTGGTTTATCTTGCTTTAGTTGCTCACTTTAAGTCTCATTGCAAACACAAGGGTTTTTATCTCAGTCTCTCAACTATTACTTCGTTGTCAGGGCACAGTTCCTTCGAACGAATGATCTCGTCTTAAAATTTTGAGATGATTGCTTGGCTGATCGTTCTAGCCAGGAAGGATCTAGGGACAACAAGTCCGTTTTCCAGTCTTTTTGATCTTTTTTCAATAAATATCAACGCTCTGTTTTGCACCTTCTTCTGTTCCTCAAAAAAGAAAGAAGCGCCCTGTCCTTAATAAGAGCCCTGTTTTGAAAGAAATAATTTCCTCTTGACACAATTGAATACAGCAAACATGTAAGTACTCTCTTACCCAACAAAACAAGCGAAAAACAGTTCTTCATCGTGCCTCAGTTTGGCTTGGACTTTTCACGACGGTACAGATTGTCAAGTTAGTACAGCAGATCAGACCTTTAAGTCAACTACAATGATTACCCGACTTTCGCTGTTCCCTTTATTATCCGTTATCAATGTAAACAACAAACGTCTTATGTAAACACTCATTTGAGGGCCGCACAAAAAAATGATAATTACTTTGAAGTGGTGTTTGATGAGTTACGAAGAAAAACAATTAAACAAGTGTTCATTAATGGTACGACGTGTACTATTTTGTTGGAGGGGTCCTTGATAACCCTTAAATCCTACACACCTGAAAGACACGTCACGCTGTAAAGAAAAAGTTTCACTCTATGTATGAAGCGTGCCATTAGCAACGAAAAAAAATCTCATGTGGCAACTCTCACAGTTTCCCGCCACCTCAAACCCCACACACCCGAGAGACACTTCATGGTGAAAAGAAAAAGTTTCATTCTATGTGTGAAGCGTGCCATTTAGTGATGAAAACAAAATCTCTTGTGGTAACTCTTACAGTTTTTTATTTTAAAAAATATTTCACGTTATGTTTTCACACTCGACCTATTTGACTTAATGTAAGGAGCAACACAAAACACCTGTTAGAGGGTCTCAGTGGGGTTAACCGTGAGCCGTAAAATGGACAAAATTTTAACCTATGGCCGTAAAAGCCATCACCCTATGGAGAGCCCCCTATTATATACACTTATAGCACTATTTTAAGTGAGCCATCATCCTCACTGACAGCTATGTTTCTAGAGTTGGAATAAAAACAAAAAAACGAAGAGAAAAATTAACAGTAAAACAAAGACTTGGGGAAAAAATATCTGTCTTAAAGAAAATATTGTCGGGTAGATGACCAAATTGCAACTTTGAGGCGAGATCAACATGAAGATGATTTTGACATGATGACATGATTTTTTTCCACCTACCCCTCTTCATCTTGTTTTAAACATTACTCAAAAATGATTATTCCACTTTTTAATTTAAAGTTATCCTTATGTGTTAAGGTACCTCCCAATCAAAAAAATTGCGACTCGAATCCAGCATAATTATATTTATCACGACAATCATCACACTCTAAAACATAAGCTAGGCTGTTAATTTTTACAATAAATATTACACATATTGTTCAGAGGAAAACCAGCTGACAAAACACACTTTGTGGAAATAAGACATTTTTAAAGCTAATTAAAATTGCTTTTCTCCAGTTTGTTAATTTGTTTCTGCTCAAACTTATCCAATTTGATTTGTTCCAATCTTTCCCAATTTGATTTGTTCCAATCTTTCCCAATTTGATTTGTTCCAATCTTTTCCTCTTCCCTCGTCGTCGGGAGAAAAAAAGATTCTCCGTTTTAGCAAAAAACAGAACGAGTAGATTAAAATTCTATGATTTAATCGCATATCGCCAGAAACTCATACTATCTTTAATTCAAACTGCTTTGAACGATTTGTGATTTTTTAAAGCATATATCTGATGTTATTTTTAATTTTCAGGATTATATTTTTAAATAAAAAATCCAATGGATTTTATCATTAAGCAGTAACGAGGGTCTCAATTGGGTAATACATTTTACGGCGAACGGTCAAGATGTTGCTCATTTTACGGCTATCGGTTAATTTCTTTCCATGATGAGATGAATCGTCATCAGATGAATAAATTTTACGGTTAACTTTTTTTACGCGTAAAGGAGGTAAGTTTCTAAAGAAACTGTGGTGCTGCGTCGTTGGGAGAGTATAGCAGGTAATTAAATGTTAACAACTGAGTTGAAAACGTAAATTGGCCACCGTAAAGAGTTAAAAGGCTGATGTTTCAAGTGTTAGCCCTTCGTCAGAGTGATGACAAAGAGCTAACGCTTGAAACATCAGCCTTTTAACTCTTTCCGGTGGCCAATTTACGTTTTCAACTTAGTAGTTAACACAAGGTTACCTTTTTTTATGCGGACTAACACTTAAAATTTGTCAATTTTTACGCCTCAATGCTAATTTTTTTGTTTTGCCGTGTTACGGCTAACGGTAAACGCCATTGAGATCCTCTAAGAAGGCAATAAAATTGCTATTTTTCCAATCAGAAAGACAGTGCTTCGAAGCTACCTGCCAGTTATTCAGTTCAATTAAAATCCCGCCACAAAAACGAACAATTTAAATACAAATTGTTATTTACGAGATACGTTTTCGAACTGGTTCTATCAAAGAGGTATTGTCTAAGATTTAGCCAAAAAACTAGGTGAAAAAAACATCTCCTAAGCAATAAAACAAAATATGTCCGCAACTAAAGCGGATTATTCGAGTCAAGGATCTTCAAAAGCGGTTGAATGAAAATGAAATATCACAAATTTGACTGATACGAGTGTAAGGTACGAATTTATCCTCGAGGACAAACTGTATCTAAACTAAGTCTAATATGGAGAATTTCATCTCTGTCGTGTCTTCAACCAATGCTTCCCAGATACCAGTCGGGGTGCTTCTACCATCTGTCTACGCCACTTTATATCAGAGGGGAGACAAATTTACAGTTCTTTCTTAATTTGATCTTCTAAAAGGAGTGTATCACACACAATATTTCACATATGATAAAATCCATTTTATAAAGAGTACTGTTAATAACCTTAAACGGGAATGAATGCATGGGTAGACAGCCAAACGTACAACAGCAAATGAATACTGTAACTACATAATTACGCATCTTGAGTCCATAATGGACAGAGGCGGAAAGTAAACCAGACAAAGTACCCATAGAGGAACACTGTCTATCGGTTCTTTTCGGAAGTAACCAAGAAAGAGAATTCAGATTTAAGAAACAAAGGAGATACTTGGAACGCCGTTTATTTCGTAGTGGCAAAGATGAAACTTAGCAGAGCCTCCTAAAACG